CAGGTAGATACGCATTACCACCCTGGCAAGGTAACCAAGGCAGGTAAATATTGCAACTCGCATCTCATTCCAGATGTAAAGTCTTGGGCAACGAGGTGAATAGCACAGCACTCAAAACAGAATATAGACGTCGCTGTTTGGCATATACAAACAGTGAGGCCCTCATTCTACTTCAACAGCAGTGCTGCTCAACACATTGTCCGGGTTTGTACATGTGAAATAGAGAATCGAGAGCACAGGACGTTCACATCCACGGCCTCGCTGAAAGGGAACAGCTCAAAACAAGGAGAAATAAAAAGACGTCCAAAGACTGTCGGACCTCAGATTCTGTTTGAGATCATGCTCGCCATGAATGGAGAGCGTTCATTCTCTTCCTATCATAATTTAATTTGGGAATCATCATTGGCCATGTATGGAAGAAGAAAAAAGGTTTTTGCAAATTGCCCGCCGTGAATAAAAATTGTCCTCGGCAGCTTACCTCAGCAACGCGCGCTAGCAAACCGCTCCAAACCTTTTACGCGCCGATCTACTGCCAAGCTACCTGTGCGCAAGGTAATTCTGCTCCGGCAATGCGTTGCAGGTCCCATCGCCGATACGAGCCTCGTGACCTGGGCAACAAGTACCTGTTGATCTTTGGGTTTGGGCCAATCAGGGCGAACCTCCCCAGCCTCGCCTTCAAGCCCCTACCTCTCACGAAACGCTGCTCTCCCTCCGCCTCTGCACCATTCACCTTTACACTTTGCGCTTGCAACAGCTCTAACCCGCGCCTCCCACCTTCTTGGCGCCTGTATTCATTTTGTCTCATCTCCAATCGCGTCTGCGCAGTATCTTTCCATGAGCGATTTCAACAATTTTGGCGGCTCCGAGGAGGAGTACGCGTCGGTTCGCAAGTTCGTTGCTGAAACGGTATGTCAGCCTGCTCCGTCAATCGCTCGTTGCCACCCAACTGTCTCATGTTGGTCCGTAGTATCTGGCTGCTAACCGAGAATCCCGGCTTAGGAGGCGAACCCAGACAACTTCGAGAGCTGGGAGAACCTGATCAAAGCTTGCGAAGCTCTCGATGGCGGCCTCAACCGAAACTCGAGCCCCCAGGCGCTGTCCACCGTCCGCGACGCCTACGACCGACTTCTGCTCAAGTTCCCGCTCTTTTTTGGGTACTGGAAGAAATATGCTGATCTCGAATTCAATATTGCTGGCCCGGAGTCGGCTGAAATGGTGCGCTGCCTTGTCCCCTTGCGCCGTCTTCCGCCACGGTTGTTGCGATACGCCGCTAACGACGCCAAACTTAGGTCTATGAAAGAGGCTGCGCCAGCATAACCAACTCTGTCGACCTCTGGACCGACTACTGCTCCTTCAAGATGGAGACGACGCATGACCCCACGCTGGTCAGAGAGTAAGTATTCAGGGCACTTTTTCCTTCCCCATAACGATTTCTACCAATGCAGTGTCGCGCTCAAGCACCATGATTTCGGTTGCCCACCCGTCACGAGCTCTGCTGCTCACTATCGACCGTGTCTGATGGTGAGATATGCCACAGAGGCCCCCATCCTACCGGGATCTATCTCTCACTCTTTATCCCAGACTTTGTTGATGTGTACTCTTCGTCCCATAAACATTGCGTCGTGCTCCTACCGTTGTCCCCTCTGGGGACGTAGAATTCGATTTCTGCACTCCCAAATGGCCACCACCCCTTTGTGTACTGACCCTCTCTGTTCCCATATTCGCCTAACCCTATCCCCAATGGAGTCGCTTGCTGACAGCAACACGCAGGCTTTTTGAGCGCGGAGCCACCTTTGTTGGGCTGGACTTCCTCGCCCACCCCTTTTGGGACAAGTATATTGAGTACGAAGAGCGGCAAGAGGCTCAAGACCGCATCTTTGCTATCCATGCTCGCATCATTCGCATTCCCCTTCATCAGTATGCTCGTTACTATGAACGGTTTCGAAATCTGTCCCACACCCAACCTCTAGCAGAGGTTGTGCCAGCAGATACCCTGTCGAAATTCCAGGCCGAGGTTGCGGCGGAAGCGGCTGCCTACGGTAGTGCTCCGCGACCTGAGTTGGAGATTGAACGGGATGTTAGAGGCAAGATTGACGCCATGTACTACGAAATCTTCACCCAGACGCAGAACGAGGTGTCGAAGCGATGGACGTACGAATCCGAGAACAAGCGACCGTACTTTCATGTCACCGAGCTTGAGCACAGCCAGCTTAACAACTGGCGCAAGTACCTGGACTTTGAGGAGGCCGAGGGTGACTTTAGCAGGATCGTGTCTCTGTACGAACGATGCCTCGTTACCTGTGCCTTTTACGAAGAGTTCTGGTACCGATATGCCCGATGGATGGCGGAGCAGGACGGAAAGGAAGAGGAGGTCCGCAACATCTACATCCGGGCGTCGACCCTCTTTGTTCCCATCAGCCGACCGGGCATCCGCATGCAGTGGGCCTACTTTGAGGAGAGCTGCGGTCGTGTGGATGTTGCCCTCGACATTCACGCCGCCATCCTTGTCAAGCTTCCCGACTGTGTGGAAGTCATCGTTTCTTGGGCGAACCTCGAGCGCCGCCAGAACGGCACCGAGGCCGCCATCCAGGTCCTCAAGGACCAGATTGATGCTCCTACTGTTGACCTGTACACAAAGGCCGCACTGGTGGCTGAGTGGGCGATGCTGCTGTGGAAGGGCAAGAACTCTATTGAAGAAGCCCGAGCAGTGTTCCTCAAGAATGTGCAGTGGTATGCTGACAGTAGGATTTTCTGGGATAAGTGGTTCCAACTGGAGCTCGAACAGAACCCGCAGGACAAAGATGGGGAGAAGGACCAGGCTGAGCGCGTCAAGCACGTGTTTGACGAGTTCCGTGGCAGAAGCCGGCTGCCGGCCCCGGTCAAACGGGAGCTAGCCCAAGTCTACATGAACTACCTGATCCAGCGCGGCGGCAAGGATGCCATGAAGGAATTCCTGGCCGTTGACAGACAGATGTTTGGGTCCGTCAAGCACGCCATGTCCCAAGAGACTGAAGGAATCCAGCTAACACTTACTCATAGGCCCGCGTCTATTTCGGCCGCGTCTAAGGGTGCAAGTGGCGCCAAGGAGAACGGAGCATCACTTGGCGAGCTCGATGAAGCCAGCAAGCGCAAGGCCCAGATCCGATATCTGAATTTCTACGAGGCACACCCAGAGCCCTCTGCGGAAGCTCAAGGGGCCGCCGATTTCAACTAGACAAGGTCAAGGGCGGGTACCAGGAGTTTGGACAGATGTCGCAGACAGCCTATTTCAGGTTTTTATAGGCATTTTGGAGGGGCGTCAAAATTAGGATGTTTTCATCGTTCAAATGGCGGATGGTTGCTGTACTATACGCATTTGCTGGACACTATAGGGAGCGGCATATTTGCTAGCAGACAGATTTGGATGCGAGCCGCGAGTGGTAGGGAGGATTTCTTTTTTTGTTTTTTAATGTCTGGAATTTGTATTTTCGCTCGCAACCGGGAACCGCAGATAGTCGACTCTGATTTGAAGGGAACAAGGCCACTAAAACACACATGACTTCACAACAAATCTAATAAACGAAGATGATTGATTGATGCACTAGATGAAGCAGTGAGATACAAATGAAAAAAAAAAAAAAAAACCCCCATCCGCTAAATGGGGCTGGGCTTCGAAGCGATGTCCATCTGAGATAACTCTAATCATCTTTATAGTTTATTTCAAGACGTCGATAACATTGAAGACGGGTAATAGATAGTACTCCGTCCATGGAGCACGGGAAATCCAGGGACCGGTAGTTAGCAGGCCAGACTCCACGTGGCTCGCCGACGCATACCGCAAACAGAAAGCCGCTGCGACCTTGCCCACTTAACGCGCTGCCCATCCAGCCAATCGCTCGGGCGGCAAAAGTGGCGGCTTTTGCCTCTCAGGGTCCTTGTCAGCTTGTCAGGCACAAGTGTGAGCGAGGCTACCGATAATGGCGCTGTCCATTGGCGTCAGGGCTCCACGGCTCGCTCGCAGCGAAATGGGAATGCATGTTATCTCGGCCTTCCGCGCGGGACTGGTCCAAATCAGGCAGCGGAGCGGGATGACGACCTCGAGTTGTGGGATGATGAGATACGAGGTTGGTAGCGGCAGCTGGTCTGGGGGAGCTGGAGCTGGAGCTGGAGACGGGGGCGGTAGGTGATGCTGTGGTGCGTCTTTGGATTTCGATTTCAGCGGCACTACCGCATTACTCGTGCTACATACTAGGTGCCGGGTATATGAGAGCCCGTGTATGAGAATGTTTTCCGGCAGCATCTGTCAGAGACCGGAATCGACTCGGATGGGGGAAACCTAACATGGCATGATGCGGCATCATTGACAAGTTGCGGCATGAATTGGGAGCTCTGATTGGCTGGCTGCGGCACAAGGCGAGGTTCTGGCTTGCCCCATCGGCAGATTGAGCGACAATTCACGGTTCTCAAGCTGGTCTTTTGCTGTCTACAGCGTACTAAGGCTTACTACTATGTCGTGAATGTGCCGAGGGGGCTAAAAAGTTTGGTCGCTGTCCGCGGCTCAGGTCGGGGAGGTCCCCTACTTTTGGCAGCAGTTGTACAATTTTTTTTAATTTTTTTTTTTTTTTTTTACTTGCCATCAAGGAGGGGTCCTTTTTCCCCCTCGACGCAGCGATTGCGGCGTTCTTATCATACACCAGCGCCCGATTTTAGTGCCGGACAAAAGCACCACTGCCAGCAATTCCAGCAATTCGTACTCGTAGCATCTCGTCGGTATATTCCCCAATAGCTCCAGAGCCGATATCAAACAACAAAAGACGGACGTGGAGCGGCTCCGCTGGGGGGCGGGTCTCACGACGCTTGACTGGCCACTCAGGCGATGGCAATTTGCATCGTTCCCTTCACCACGCCATTGCTTGTGACGGACAGGCCCTTTTTCTAATCCAGTCCTTCTCTCTCTGCAGTGAGACGCTTCTTCGCTCTTCCATCCTTCCTCTTCCTTATTACTTCCCACCCTCCCCCATCTCCTTCGCTCATCCTCCTGCTTCGGCATATCCTCTTCATCCCACACATCAAGGTGAGTTATATACCATTTTGTTTCTCTCGTCTTGTCTTGCTTCTTTGAAGAGAGGCAGTCGTAGCTTTCGGGCTCGGTTCGACGACCCTGATAGGCAGATTTGGGCTCTTAACCAAGCTGGCCACATCTGCCGCCCACGTAGCCCTCCCACTCATTTGCTCGTTCACGCCTTCGCTAACGTTTCCCTCGTATCATCGTTCAGATGGCCTCTTCTGCCCGTCAGTTTGCCCGCGTGGCAACCCGCACAACCACCCGCACCTTCGCTGCCGCCCCTCGACAGGCTTTCCGCCAGCAGGGCCGCCGCTTCTACTCTTCTGAGCCCGAGAAGAAGTCATCTTCTCTCCTGTACCTTGGTGCTGCCGCCGCCGCCGGTGGTCTCGGCATCTGGTACTTCACCTCTGGTGCCTCTGCCTCTTCCAAGCCCTTTGTTCCCACCCAGGCCGATTACCAGAAGGTCTATAACGACATCGCCGATCGTCTCGAGGCCGACTATGATGATGGCAGCTACGGCCCCGTCCTTGTCCGTCTCGCATGGCACGCCAGCGGTACCTACGACAAGGAGACCAAGACTGGTGGCAGCAACGGTGCTACCATGCGATTCGCTCCCGAGAGCGGCCACGGTGCCAACGCCGGTCTGGTTGCCGCTCGTGATTTCCTCGAGCCTATCAAGGGTGAGTCTCTCCATTATGCGCGCAATGTTGGGTGTCAACTCGAGTTCTAACAACCAACCCGTAGCCAAGTACCCCTGGATCACTTACTCCGATCTCTGGATCCTCGGCGGTGTCTGCGCCATCCAGGAGATGCACGGCCCCATTGTCCCTTACCGACCTGGCCGCCGTGATGGTGAGGCTGCTGCCTGCACCCCCGATGGCCGTCTGCCCGATGCCAGCCAGGGCGCCAAGCACCTGCGTGACATCTTCTACCGCATGGGCTTCAACGACCAGGAGATTGTCGCCCTCAGCGGTGGCCACGCCATTGGCCGATGCCACTCCAACCGATCTGGCTATGAGGGCCCTTGGACCTTCTCCCCTACCATGCTGACCAACGACTTCTACAAGCTCCTGTTGGACGAGAAGTGGCAGTACAAGAAGTGGGACGGCCCCAAGCAGCTCGAGGACAAGACCACCAAGACCCTCATGATGCTCCCCACCGACCACGTCCTGACCACCGACAAGGCCTTCCGACCTTGGGTTGAGAAGTATGCTGCCGACAACGACCTGTTCTTCAAGGACTTCTCCGCCGTCGTTCTCCGCCTGTTTGAGCTCGGTGTTCCCTTTGCTGAGGGCAGCGAGAACAGCCGATGGACCTTCAAGCCCACCCACGAGTAAACTCCTAGATTCACATGGATGGTGAAGAAGGAGGTGATGTGTAGGATGGTGTATAGAGGACTCGCGTTGTCAATAGGGAGCGAGATTGATAGACTTCTGAACAGTTTTTAGACATGTAGAGCCCTCACACGGTATGAGACCGTTTTGTCGGCCAGGGTTCACAAAAAATTAGTTGGACGACAAGCTGGGAAAGCTTGGAATGGATTTTGCCGCGCTTTCTTCACAAACTGCTTTTTCGGGGGGTTGGCTTGTCGGGGTTTCTTTTGTTCGTTCTATTACCGCTGCCAACGCCCCTTACTTTAACAAAAACAAAGAAGATGACAAGCTTTTTACGTTGCCATGCTCCATGATGATCCGTGAAATTGATGACTGTTGACGGTTGAGCGGTGCTTTGAGAAGAAATGCTGCAGCGAGGCGATGGCGTAGAGAAGAAGACACGAATTGGGTACTGCAGAAATGAGGAGGTAGACCGCAATGCTACCTTGGCTGTGATTTGTACTACTACGATTACTATCCTACCCGGCTTTCCACTGTAAGAATTGAAGCCGTTGCTTGCCTTTGCCCAATTGCTATTGGCTGAATGCCGCTTCCATGACGGATGGACTACATGGTTCCCCGCACTTTCAAGCCCAAGGCAAGGAGAGCTTATTATTGTTGATTTTATTTGTCGGGGTTGACTCTCTCTCTCTCTGGAGTTGAGCCGAGGATCAGCCTGAAGCAGCAGAAGTTGGATATTTCGTAGGCAGAATCTCATATGGCTTGTCTAATATCAGGCACCGATCTGAAAGGGAAAATCAGCCCTTCTAGTGAGTTGTGGATATGGCCACGATGCCGTCATGAGAACTAGATCGGCCAGCCGAACTCCCGGTACGACGCCCGATCATTCTCCACTGCCGGGCAAAGGTGCATAGTAGTCTGTTTGCATCTCATGAAGAGACTACTCTCAAAGGACTATGCATACCTATGCATTTCAAGGAAATATGATTCTCTAGGTACCGAGGGATCCGCATGCGACGTTCCGGCATTGAGATGCCGGCCAAACAGACATAGCAATTGACCGTCCGTGATCAGCAAACTCCATTGGAGGATGTCGGTATCGGTATTTGTAAGATGAGGCTGAGTTCCCCTTTATTACCAATGTTCGACTCGAAATGCCCCTCGCATGATCTCTTCCCCGAACTTGATAATAGCGAATGGGAACCTGGCCAAGCGGACTATCGGGGCAACGATAAGGGCCCAAGCTGTTACAAGCCTCAAGGAATCGATAGGAGCACGTAATTTCCTGTACAAATCATCTCATAGTGTAAGACAAAGTCCGAAGGAATCCAATGAGCTATGCCTTTTGTCCGATCATATCCACAGCCCGATTATGTAAAGACCCGATTTACAAGGCAATGCGGCTCAATCGATCGGATGTTTGAGTCCGAACCGCGAATCTTTCTTTGCTTAATAGGGCGAAAGAGCTTGGCTGCACATACTTGTACAAAGCGTACGATGTCGTCATCATTCGTGCTCCCTATCTACGTCGTCCTTATGGCCAATCATAACCAAGGCTGCGTCTCAAGTATCGATTCCGCTCCGTTGGGGCTGGAGCAACTGTAGTGCCCAAGATGCGGATGTTGCCGCGTCGAAACCGAGAGCGAAGGCTTTTTTTGGCTTTAGAAGCGAGAGGGAAACGGGAACGGGGCGTAAGAAAGAAGCGGATGTGCCGAAGGATAAGCATAGAAGGCTGGAGAAGGACGGAACAAACCCACGATTTGCAGGCAAAAGCACAGATCCATGGCTCCTCGGCCAAAAAAAACTGCCTGTCCACGCTAAAGCCCGGTTTATCGCCGCGTGGGCTGAAAAAGCGTGCCTGAGTAAGGTGGAGGGCAACTCTGGCCGCCCTATTAGCAAAGCAAAGTTGAATTATTCAGCAACCCCTCAGTGAATCTTGTTTACAGACCAAGAAAGCCGCAATGGAGCGATGACTAATGTCTCTCTGGGAACTAGTGGCATAGAACTGGTTTGAGATTCGCTGGCATGCCGCGAGATTGCGCGAAGCCGGGAATAAACGAACCATAACCCTATTCTGGTAATATTTTCTGGGCCGTTGAGGGAGGGGGGATGGATGGAGACGTTTTGGGTCGTACGGTCGATGATGGCCCGAAATTGGCCCGATACCGAACATTGTGCGAGGAAGGATCTTGGTTTGAGGATATATAAAGTCTGGCCCAGGACACGAGAGGACTAGGCCTTGGAATCAGAATCACCAGCATCGTTTTCATTCATATTCCTTTGTCTTGATCGCCTATCTCGTTCCATCCATTAGTGCCCTTGATTAGTCTCTGATATATAATACACTATCGATATAGTATATACCTCGAATATACGCACTTTGTCCTCTCGAACAGGGCTTTCGAACACTCTTCCCTAGTTCCTTACGAAACAACTGCCCTTTGAATCCGTCACAACTCCAAAATGGGCAGCATCAGCGTCAACATCGAGAACACGGCCGCTCCAGGCGTGCCCTTTTACACTCCGGCTCAGAACCCCCCAGCCGGCACTCCGCTGGACAAGAGCTCTGCGCCGACGCTGTTCCAGCCCATCAAGATCCGCTCCCTCGAGCTGCACAACCGCACTGTGGTGGCTCCCATGTGCCAGTACAGCGCCGACGATGGCCACTTGACCGACTACCACTTGGTGCATCTGGGCCAGCTGGCGCTTCACGGCACCGGCCTGATCATCGTCGAGGCCACGGCCGTTGAGCCCCGCGGCCGCATCTCGCCCCAGGACTCGGGCCTGTGGCAGGACTCTCAGATTGCGCCCCTGAAGCGAGTTGTCGATTTCGTCCACAGCCAGGGCTCCAAGATTGGCATCCAGATTGCCCACGCCGGCCGCAAGGCGAGCACCCTGGCGCCGTGGATTGGCGGTACTGCTAACAAGACGCTGGCTACTGAGGATGTTGGCGGATGGCCCAACGACGTCGTCGGCCCCAGCACCATCCCATTCGACGAGAACAACGCCATTCCCAAGGAATTGACAAAGGAGGAGATCAAGGGCCTTGTGCAAAAGTTTGCCGAGACTGCCCAGCGTGCCGTCAAGGCCGGAGTCGACCTCATTGAGATCCACGGTGCCCACGGCTACCTCATCTGCAGCTTCCTGTCGCCCCTGAGCAACGTAAGTTCACTTAGACGTTGAGAATATTTCATCATGTTTGGTAACTAACACATGCATAGCAACGAACCGACGAGTATGGCGGCAGCTTTGAGAACCGCAGCCGCTTCGCCCGTGAAGTCGTCGAGGCTGTCCGCGCTGTGATCCCCGCCGACATGCCGCTCTCGCTGCGTGTTTCTGCCACCGAGTGGATGGAGTGGGCCGGCCAGCCGTCGTGGACCGTCGAGGAGACCATCAAGCTCGCCAAGCTGGTGCCCTCATGGGGCGTCGACATCTTCGACGTCAGCTCCGGAGCCAACAACTACCAGCAGAAGTTCCCCGAGAACAACCCCCTGTTCCAGATCGACATCGCACGCACGATCCGCAAGGCCCTTCGCGCCGACGGCATCGACCTGATTGTCGGCGCCGTGGGCAACATCACTGATGCCCAGACGGCCTACAACGTCGTCCAGGAGGGCCCCGAGGCTGCGGCCGAGCTGGCCTTGGTTGCACGACAGTTCCTGAGAGAGCCCGAGTGGGTGCTGAGGGTGGCCCACGAGCTCAAGGTGCGCGTCAAGTGGGCACACCAGTATTCCAGAGCCGGACCCCGAACAGACTTTAGCAAGAAGTTTTGAGTGACTGGTTACAAGAGAGGAGAAGGAATAGAAAAGCAAAGGCATAGACACAAGGTTTAAAGCGGCATATGGCGGGATTTGATAGATGATACATCTACTATTTTATTTTATTTATTTATATTTTTTTTTAGATGAAATTTACCTTTTATCATATATCTATTTTGGTCTACATATGAGGATGGCATCAGCACTAAGTGAAGCGGTTGTCCTTTACTTGGACATAGTAGCCCCAATCTTTGCAAAATGCAATTGTGTGTCCGTCTCTGTCAGATTGTTTTCTTTCTTCTTATCGCGGTTTCGTGTCCTCTACCGGGTATCAATGGCACGATGACATGGGATCTGGACAGGTAGCACTTTGCCCTGCATCGGACATTCGGTTAAGGTGCATCTGCATGGGGCCGCGCATTTAACCCCCGGGATGAACCATCAATAGGGAGGTGGCCAGGGTAATATCGCTTTGATGCTCCGTCAGGCTGGGGATATGAACATCCCTGGCCGTATAAATTCAATATAGCCACAATGCCTCGTATGTTGGCTCAGGTACAGAGTACGGAGTACAAAGGGAGAGAATATTTACCAGCCCGTGTCTTGCCAATTCTCGTCCAAAGCGGGGCGGGATATCCAGGTCAGCGGGGATGGGCCAATTGCTGCTTATTGGATGTCTCTTGTCTGATTCTGTTGGTTCTGTAGATGCAACGTATTCATATCTACTCCGTAGGTACTCCAATATCCGTAGAGACGAATTAAAATTTGGATGGCATAGAAAACATCCACATATACCTTAGGCATTTATCCAAACGACAATTCACAGAACCGCAAGAGATTCCAGGCCGTCCTGTTCTATACAGCAAAAATGCCCAGCCACTCTTACACAAAGTACCTATGATATACGCCCAGCCACCGGTTAACATAGGTATGAGTACCCGCTCGACCTGTAGCACAGAGTACAAGTTAGCACGTGTAGCTGCCCAGGTATATACTCGTACGAGTACTCGTACATGCTATCTAGGTAGGTACAGTACTTCGTCCATGTCTGGTTATGCTTATTGCCTCCATGTATCCCCAGCCGCCCTGCTGATTTATTGCCTCCGTCTCAAACACCCTACAGCACAATGCTAACCGCTATTGGCGGCTGCGATGGCAGTGAGGCTATCGTGCAGGGGCTTAGCGCTGGCCGCCCACTCAATGTGCCGCTTGGCGTGGCTTCAAATGCTTGGGCTGCAGCCATCTTGACTGGCAGAGGGGCATCTGTTATGGAGTACATGCAGGTAGCTGCCGTAGTAGCGCTACACGCACAGGCACATCATGTACCAACAAACTTGAGGCGAGGTGGCCAGTTTCCGCTCGCCAATGTCGTCTAGCACGGTCCCAGGCGCAAAGGGGCAACATGGAATCTTAGATTGAATAGTAATCAGTGCTGAGCCAAACCAGATGGATCACAAACCCGCCCAAAACAGAAACAACAGCAAGCATCTTGGATTTGTCAGGTGGCAACCAGTCAGGGAAACAGCCTGACCTGGAGGATGCGCTGTAGCGGCCTTCCTTAGTGGGCGCGTTAGTGGACGCTGAGGGGAGAGGGGGCCCAGTTTTAGGCTGCGCGAGGTGTGGTTCAGGGACCCGGCTGAACCATTAGCAATAGCCAGATCTGTCCAAAGGGACACTTGTTCAATTGAGTGCGTCTAAGTCATCCAGTCTTGCCTACTACAAAACCTGGCACATCATCCGTCTTCTTGCAACTGGATCTTCCATCTTGCATCACCACTTTTCCTTTCTGCTTCCTGATACCCGCTTGATACCCCATCACAGCCTTCGCCATGCAACAGAAGCGCCTCACTGCTGCCCTGTTGGCCGCCCTGGTCGCGGTGGTCTCTGCCGACTCCGATGTCACCTCGCTGACCAAGGATACCTTCAACGACTTCATCAACGGCAATGATCTCGTCCTGGCTGAGTGTATGTCTTCTGCCCGTTTCTGTCTTTGCCTGCCTGCTCCATTGCTTGCTTGCTATGGCTTCTTTGACGACCCCTCCCCCGCCAGCCGCGGCGTCAGCCCCCGCTAACATTGTCTTCTCCAGTCTTCGCTCCCTGGTGCGGCCACTGCAAGGCTCTCGCCCCCGAGTATGAGGAGGCTGCCACCACTCTCAAGGAGAAGAGCATCAAGCTTGCCAAGGTCGACTGCGTTGAGGAGGCCGACCTCTGCAAGGATCACGGCGTTGAGGGCTACCCCACCCTCAAGGTCTTCCGTGGCCTCGACAAGGTCACTCCCTACACCGGCCCTCGCAAGGCTGACGGGTAAGATTCAATCCACAGCTATCTGCATATTTAGGTGGCTAACATGCTCCTCTCTAGTATCACCTCCTACATGGTGAAGCAGTCCCTGCCTGCCGTCTCCGTCCTCACCAAGGACACCCTTGAGGACTTCAAGACCGCTGACAACGTTGTCCTGGTCGCCTACATTGCCTCCGATGACAAGGCCTCCAACGAGACCTTCACTGCTATCGCCAACGAGCTGCGTGATACCTATCTCTTCGGTGGTATCAACGATGCCGCCGTTGCCAAGGCTGAGGGTGTCGAGTTCCCCTCCATTGTCCTCTACAAGAACTTCGACGAGGGCAAGAACGTCTTCAGCGAGAAGTTCGACGCTGACGCCATCCGATCCTTCGCCAAGGTCGCTGCAACTCCCCTTGTTGGCGAGGTTGGCCCCGAGACCTATGCCGGATACATGTCTGCCGGTATTCCCCTGGCTTACATCTTCGCTGAGACCCCTGAGGAGCGTGTTGAGCTCAGCAAGTCTCTGAAGCCCATCGCCGAGAAGTACAAGGGCAAGATCAACTTTGCCACCATTGACGCCAAGAACTTTGGCTCACACGCCGCCAACATCAACCTCAAGACCGACAAGTTCCCCGCCTTTGCCATCCACGACATTGAGAAGAACCTCAAGTTCCCCTTCGACCAGGAGAAGGAGATCACCGAGAAGGACATTGCCCAGTTTGTTGACAACTTTTCCGCTGGCAAGATTGAGCCCAGCATCAAGTCTGAGCCCATTCCCGAGACCCAGGAGGGCCCTGTCACCGTTGTCGTTGCCCACACCTACAAGGACATCGTCCTTGACGACACCAAGGATGTCCTGATCGAGTTCTACGCTCCCTGGTGCGGTCACTGCAAGGCTCTTGCTCCCAAGTACGATGAGCTCGCTAGCCTGTATGCCAACAGCGAGTTCAAGGACAAGGTTGTCGTTGCCAAGGTCGATGCCACCAACAACGATGTCCCTGATGAGATCCAGGGATTCCCCACCATCAAGCTCTACCCCGCCGGTGACAAGCAGAACCCTGTCACCTACAGCGGTGCCCGCACTGTTGAGGACTTCATTGAGTTCATCAAGGAGAACGGCAAGTACAAGGCCTCTGTTGAGGTCCCCGTCGAGACCACTGAGGAGGCCACTCCCGAGGCTACCAAGGAGGCCAAGGCCGACGAGGATCACGACGAGTTGTAAGAAACCAAAAAATGGAAAATGAAATAACAAAAAACTGTATAATTGTGGGATTTGCTTCTTGACGAAAAAAACGTCGGCGCTGGTTTATGGACTATCTAAATACGTACTAGCAATTGCATACTGGCTCTACGCCCATTTGAAGCATTGCTTTGATGAAAGCACTCGAATTTGATCACCAAGTTTAAACAAGATGTTGTGTCTAATGAGTGCCCAAGTGTTTGCAATTGTGAAAGTGGCGAGGCTTTTAGTAGAGAAACGTATGACGGGCTTTTTGCTGCTTTCGTGTGCTAGATATTTCGGAGGCTAGATAGGTACAATTTACAGGCTTTGTTAGGTTGTTACAAAAGACGACACAAGTATTGCCATTATGCCGTTCGTTTCTGCCCAGTACTCTCCACCAGCGTTGAAGTGCTGGTATCATATCATCCCTAATGACATTGCGCTATTTGTATTTTTATCTTTTCAGGCTTTATTTTCTCTTCTGCTGGATCTTCTCCTCGAGAACCTTGACGTGGTTGGTCAGTCGGGTGACGGAGGCTTGGAGAGTCTGGTCAACGGTTCCATTAGCAAGCTTTTCAATTGCATGTTGCGCCCCTAGGCTATAGCAGAGGTAGAATAAAAGTGGGAGAGGGTGAGAGCTCAGCAGTCGTGAAGCTTCCCGAGACCTCAAGATTAGGGCGAGCTCATTGGAGCAGACGTACGTAAATATCCTCGGTAAGCAACTCGTTGGATGCCTTGTACTCCTGCAGGACATAGCTGTACACGGAGCCACCGCCAAGGACGCTGCCAAACAAGAAGCCGAAAAGACTGGTTCCCGGGTTAGCAAGCTTGCAATCACATGGCAGCCGAGACAATCGCCCCCATTTGCCCAACGTACCCTCCTCTGAAGGTGCCCATGGGCTTCCGCGCGGGCAAAGGCGCAGAGTCGTCCATACGCCGGGCCGAAGCGTGGAAGCTGCGTGACGACAGCGCACGGCGGGTGCCGCTGGCAAGTATTCTTGAAGATGCAGGTGTAAGCATTGCGGACTGAGTGGCGAGGAGGAGAGGTGCGAGGTTCGCGGCGAGGGACACTAGAAGGGCGAAACGAGGTTTAGACTTGAGCCTGGTATTGGCAGAAGTTGCCAAGAGGGAATTGGGAGCTCACATGAGTGTGTTTGATGGTTGCTGGACCGGAGTCTTGGAGTCTTGCAGCTTGAGAGAGGTATCGGCGACGATCGAGGCACTACCTATATCATAACAAGGTGCCCAGCTTTGCGGACATGGCGGATTACGGGTTGTTCCGGCGGAGGATAGCCCGAAGAGCTAGAGCTGTCGCCACTAACATTTTTGCCCCACGAGTTAGTTGACGTGACCCTGACAACTTGACTTGCATCGTGCAGCCGGCTGTTTTTCGTTCCAATATTCATCTCCATTTCGAATTTACGGTTTCCCTTGGATGCGACGGGATGCTGCCTTGGAGGGCTAATCGCGTCCTGTAAGCATCCATTGCCTTCATTGGAAGCTTGCTATTTGCTTTCTTCTGGCGAGATTCCATCATCCGATTCGAACCATTGCAAAGACCAAGCCCACGCCGCGCGACATGAACAACTTCGGCGTCATCGAGCTCGCCAGCGCCAAAACGACTTCGGCTCCCGGATGGGCCTACGTTCCTGACACGGGCGCCCTGCCCGGAGCCAACGCTTTGCAGCCGGCAAATCGGAAACGAGCTCGCAATGCGCCCGCGGGCGTGACGGTTGGCGATTTGACGGCGCGGCAAGAAGCCAAGATTCGGAAGGAAATCGAGGCATTGGAGCGAGACGGCGGAAAGGATAACTCGATTCCGATACCTGCGAAGAGCGGCAAAGGTGCGTACACACGCTGAACGCATGCCAGAAGGAGGAATTCAAAGGCTAATCATCAAGTCTTGTGCTTATAGCTGCTGGTAAGTTCACGCCAAACGTTCGAAAGATCCTACAGTCGCAAAAGACGTTTTCGAACCACCTGGACGACTTCCTGGCGATGCAGGCCCAGGCGGAGGGCGGCCCAACAGCAGCGAGCAATAATAGGCCTACCAACTCTAACGCCAAACGCCCAGCCGGCAAACGAGAGGCCACTGCGTCTACACCTACTGCCACTGCCAAGCCATCGTCGAGCATACAAGAAGAGGATGTAGCAATGGCGGATGCGGACCTGCCTCCGATTCTGGTAGGTTCATACAGACCACCACCAACAGCCCATCCCGGTGACAACGACCCATTACTGGTATCTCGTGTACCCGAGCTGCCATCGGACGAGGAACTGAGGAAGTTGCTGGCTCACCCGCCGCTTACATACTACGAGGCCAGATGCAAATGGGGGGACAACTACCCCACGCGTGTATTCTGTGAGGTTTGCGGGTATTGGGGACGGGTGCGGTGCATGAAATGCGGAACAAGAGTCTGCGCATTGGACTGTATGGAGACGCACAGAGAGGAATGCGTGACCAGGTATGGGCTATGAGGCATTGGCGTCTTTGCATTAGCGGCTCAAGGGGTCTGATGCCTTGACTGGAGATGAGAGGATTGTAAAGGATGCAACTTTGTCAGATTTGACGGAGGGCGGTCAACGGTTAAGGAGCGACGCCATGACATGGCAGGTTGAAATTGCATTCCACGGCGTTTGGACGGAGTTCTTTGGATAGGAAGCGCGACACTGATACCCAGTCTATTATTGGAATGAGGAATTCACACTCAGTTGATGCTTACTTGATTGTCTATGAGTCTTATCCTACGTTATACTTCCAGTGGCTGCTCCGATGTCCGGCCCAGTTCACGTCAGGTGTAGATATACGATGACTCAAGAACCAGGAAGCAAACCTTATGTATTAAAAAGGAAATTAAAAACAGAAGGTTGTAATTAGAATAGACTGCGAATGTCGGATTTGGCTAATTATATCCCCATGACACGGGTGCATTTCCACGGCCCTTTGACTCAACCTGTGCCCCTGGCAAAAGAGCCCGAGGATCTGCCGCGTGCAACTTTGTGATATTGTGAGTCAACCCCACCTCGCGCCTAAAGATAAAGTACTAAGGGTATTCCTGCCCCTCCATTCGAAAGGCCAAACAGCAGCTTTCTTCAACGTTTCGCAACGAGAAAGGATATCGCAATGTCTTCCGAGCAAGTTGACGCCCCAAAGGCGGCTGAGGGCGCTCCGGCCCAGGGTCTTCCTTCACGGCCCGCAAAGCAGCCCAAGGAGAAGAAGGCCGCTGGTGGAAAGGCTTCACTCGAGGTTTGCTCGACTCGACTCTTTCGTTTTAAAATGACAATTCGTGCTGATACAGATGTCGTCGTTGTAGCTGCCCGTCCTCCCTGAATTCATCCAACACCGTATCGCCATTTTCGACAAGATCAAGGCCAGGCGCGAGGCTGAGGTTGCTGGTTCGTTGCCACACATGGTCCGCTGTCATCTACATTGGGGGTGCTAACGATTATATCTTTGCAGCCAAGCCTCGTGAGGAAATCATCATTTCCATGCCCAATGGCAAGGAAGAGAAGGGTATATCTTGGGAGACCACTCCTGGAGCCATTGCCAGGGGCATTTCGAAGTCCTTGTTCGAGCGCACCGTTATCTCCATGGTCGATGGCGAACTTTGGGATCTTACGCGACCCCTTGAGAAGAGCTGCAAGCTGGAGCTGATTGACTTTGAGAACGAGGAGGGTACGTTACGGCACGAAATTATAATAGAGTGCTTGGGGTTTGTTAGGTAAAATTGCATGGGGCTGACTGGTGGGATAGGCAAGAAGGTCTTCTGGCACTCTTCAGCCCACGTTCTCGGTGAGGCTGCTGAGAAGCGATTCGGCTGCTACCTCTGCAACGGTCCCCCTACCACCGACCCTCCCGGATTCTACTACGATATGGCCAACATGGAAGGGTAAGGAATCTTGGGTCCCTGAAAGACTGCAGGTTGCTGACCGCTTCTCCTTAGACAAGTCGTTCAGGAGGAGGACAAGAAGGCGTTGGAGACTCTGGCCAACTCCATCATCAAGGAGAAGCAGCCCTTTGAGCGTCTTGAAATGACCAAGGAAGAGCTCCTTGAAATGTTCAACTACAGCAAGTACAAGGAGTACTTCATCAACCAGCGTGTTCCCGACGGCACTATGAGCACTGTCTACCGATGCGGTCCTCTCATCGATCTTTGCAGAGGCCCTCACGTCCCCCATACCGGAAACATTAAGGCGTTTTCCGTTCTCAAGGTAAGATTATCCTGGAGAAAGCAGAATGGTTGGACAGATTAGGGGATGGTTATATCATCCGTTGTCCCGTCATACTAGAGTTTGCGGTAATCAGCCGTTTCAGATGGCTGACTTGCTAATTCTCTTGTTAGAACTCTGCCGCATACTGGCTGGGCAACAGCGCCAACGAATCCGTTCAGCGAATTTCTGGTGTCTCATTCCCCGACAAGAAGCAGCTCGACGAGTACAAGACATTCCTTGAGGAAGCAGCCAAGCGCAACCACCGAAAGATTGGCCTGGAGCAGAAGCTGTTCTTCTTCGACGAGGTTTCACCTGGTTCTACCTTCTTCTTGCCTCATGGCACAAGAATCTACAATGCCCTGATGGAGCTGATCCGCGGCGAGTACAAGAAGAGGGCATTCGATGAAGTCATCAGCCCCAACGTTTACAAGTCTGATCTGTGGAAGACATCCGGCCACTGGGGACACTACGCTGAGAACATGTTCACCTTTGAGGTCGAGAAGGAGACATACGGCCTGAAGCCCATGAACTGCCCTGGCCACTGCAGAATCTTTGCCCACTCAGACGTCACTTACAAGGATCTGCCATGGAGGATGGCTGATTTTGGTGTCCTTCACCGAAATGAGTTCTCAGGTGCCCTCACCGGACTCACCCGTGTGCGCCGCTTCCAGCAGGATGATGCCCACATCTTCTGCACGGTCGACCAGGTATGTTCAGCAAGCATGATGTGCATCAGCAAGACCAAACACTCACTGTGAATAGATTCGTGACGAGATTGAGGGAGCTTTTGACTTCCTGTACGCCGTCTACGGCCTGTTTGGCTTCTCCTTCAAGCTCAAATTGTCGACTCGACCCGAGAAGTACATCGGAGAGGTCGCAATCTGGGATATGGCCGAGGGCAAGCTCAAGGAGGCTTTAGACAACTTTACACAGAGGATTGACTCCAAGTGGGAGGAGAATCCTGGTGACGGTGCTTTCTACGGCCCCAAGATCGATATCACTGTGTACGATGCTCTGCGACGAGAGCACCAGTGCGGCACAATCCAGCTCGACTTTAACCTGCCTCAGCGATTCAAGCTGCGTTACGTCGCTGCCAAGGACGAGAGCAGTGCCAACCAGGACAGCAACGATCCCGAGCTGCCTGTTGGCTACGCCCGACCCGTCATGATCCACAGAGCTGTGCTTGGCAGCTTCGAGCGAATGTTTGGTATTCTTACAGAGCACTTCGCCGGCAAGTGGCCGTTCTGGCTGAGCCCTCGCCAGGTCCTGGTTGTTCCCGTGATGCCTGCCGTAAACGACTACGCCAAGGAACTTCAGCAGACGTTCAAGGAGAAGGGCATTTACATTGACGTTGACCTGAGCAGCAACACCTTCCAGAAGAAGATCCGCACCGGTCAGCTGGAGCAATACAACTTCATCTTTGGTAAGCACACACCAGCCGTTATCGGCACAGATATAGCATGATTAGGAATATGTGAACCCGCTGCTAACGTGGAGTCTTTTTTTAGTCGTCGGTGCCGAGGAGGCCACCTCACGCACTGTCAACATCCGAAACAGAGATGACCAGAGCACACAGAGCAAGGGAGCGTTGATCCCCGTGGACGAGGCGCTAGAGAAGCTGCTGGCTCTGAAAGGAGAGAGAAGACTTGTCAACAAAATCTAAGTGAGTCGTTGGGCACGGAATGTGAGCGAGCGTGGGGGTTTACAGGAGGAATGATGTCGTCAGAGCAATATACTCGTCTGCATGGCCTTTTGCGTGCACACGTGGCTACAAGCAAACCGCAAAAGAAATGAGAAAAAAAAGGAAAATGAATACCACCGTTTGTTCTCGGGCACTCTATAGTCTCTACCTACCTCCATTAGTATTAGAAGAAACTAGGTATCTAGCAACACGGGCACATGCGTTAGAGTTACGGCGTCCAGGCAAGCAGACTACGAGTTGCGGGGGCCAGAGATCTCAGCACTCGAGCCGGAGATTGGATGGGCAAATGAAAGGTCGGCCTGAAAAAGATTTGCTGAGTCGCGTGATGCTGCAAGATTGATGCAAAAGGGAAGCCCGGTTGGGCATTTATGTCCATCCTGCCAGGCTGCTCTGCTTGGGCGAGTACAAGCAGTATTTTGTAGAGGCACACCCTATTTCGATATCAATATCCATTTGTTTTCTCTTTTCGCTCATCATCCCTTGGGCACATGTAAGCCCTCACTGATGCGTCTAAGTCGTCAATTCAATTCCGTGGCACGTAATAACGACACCTGCGTCACGGCGCACTCTGTACGTCTCGGTAAGTGTAAGTGGTTGGTGGTGTCACAGGGTAGGCCATTTGGGAATGTTTGTTGCACGGCGCCCCCCTTTTTGGTAAAATCTCACAAAAAACCAAGGGCGCTGAACCCGCACGTTGCAGCAGGCGAGGCCTTTGATAGGATGAAAAGCGGGAATGTGAGTTGTCAGTTTGGGGGGGTTTTAGGGGGGAGTCCGTCTGACTTGAATGTATGTAGTCTGAAGTAGAAGAGGCTGCATTGTAGCGCTAGAGATACGGTGCTTGTTGTTTGGCGTGTTTGAGCGACCTGCCTGGAACTTGCTGCTGAAATTCAATACTACAGACCTGCGCACAGTCCAGCTACGGCTATGTTCCGTAGGATCTTATGACGGAATTTATCATCTACTCCGTACTAGGTAGTGCAAGGGGATAGCTAGCGATGTGATAGAACGGGCGGGCGGGAACGGGATGAGGCGTTCCGGTGGCCCTTTCTCGGGACGTTTGAGGAGGGGGGACCCGAGGTGAAGCCTTTGATTTATTTACTATTTGATTTTACATTATTTTTTTGGCCGAAGAGTAAGGTAGATAGGTTCTGACATGGAGCAGCAGTTGTCCGGATTTGTCTTGACGTACATACTCATCCAAGCAGGTCGAGCAGGGTGGCGCGAGCGAGGTGTCAAGCTAAGGTAGCATTTCGTCCCCCTTCCGACGAGGAGAAAAAAGTTGAGAACTGAGGGGGGCGTGTTCATCGGTATTATTGGAGACGCGGAAACAGCATTTTTGGAAATTTGGTTTGGCTGATTCGACTGAATGTGTACATGTGCAGACAGAAACGTAGGGTGTAGGCAGGGGGGGTGTTATTACTCCGTAGCGTGGGAGGACTTTGCTTCTTGATTCCTGAATTGATGACACCTCTCTTTTTTTTTTTTTACTTTATTTTCCTTTTGCCGCCGTCTGCCCTCGTTTTGGGACCTCGTGTGCGTGTGTGTTCTGAGAGGAAGGGGATATTTCGGCGAAGTGAAATTGCGCTACCGAGAAGAAGGGAGGAAAAAGGTAGATATGAGTATAGACAAGACTGGGAGAGAAAAGGTTCATGCGGCGTGATGTGTCACATATGCGGGACGATAATACAAGGACAAGGACAACCTCAGTAAAAAAGGGCTTTCTTGTTTAGGGAATGTGCTCCGTAGTTTGGGGCGGGAAAAGCTGTTGTTTTTTGGACCTTGTAAAATAAGGAAGAAGTCTTCCGCTTTGCTCTTGTACTGTAGATCTTTTCTTTCCTACGTGTTCCTTTGGAACTATAATAGGCAGTGAGGAGCGTGACTAATTTACAAGCAAGGTTTCATTTTACTAGATGATGATGATCCGCGGAGAAATATGAAAAAAAGGGAACGTAATGGAAGGATAATCACTACTTGCTGTAGCTTTTTGGCTCCTGTTGGTTGGGACGTGTTTAAAGAACAGGACGCGAAGAGAACAAGACGGGACGGATTACGGATTACGGACGACAAAATAAGCCCGAGAAGCGAGGGTTTCTACGGACTACGGTGCAATTGAAACGAGCTTCCGTTGACTTGAGATTATCGTCCACACCCGAGTGAGTTGTCGCTTCTATTACACATTTTCTAGTTCATTATCATTTACGCTCTTGGACTCTTATCCCCAATCCGAAAGCGGAAGAAAAGAGTGTGTGTATGAGCCTTGGATGATGACATGGGTGAGCTTGATGCCCTCATGCAGAGTCCCGCGTCTGGTCATATGTCATGGACAAAAGGAACGAACAGAAAAAAAGCAAAGAAAAAAAAAAAGAGACAGAGATTGGCCTAGACAAGGCACGCATCACTACTACACATGCTCTCAAGGGCATGCAACCGTGGGTACGCGAAAAGCCGGGACTTGGACTGGGGACTGGGGACTGAGACTGGGGGGGGAAGGGGCTTGGCATGCAGTACCTGTCATGTAGGTACCTGGTATGATCTGATGGCGGCGTTGCCGTATCCTAACTAGACTTGCGATACTGTGCCGCATCGCATTGATGGAGGCGTTTCTAAACAGGCAATATATACGTTGTTTGGGCTGGAGGTTTAGCCTTTGGCCGATGGCCCAGCTCCGCTTCGGGGCCGCAGGCTATGGCTGCTACGGGCTACTTATTAGCCGGGCAACTGGGTGCATGAGGGAGGCGAATGAGGAAAAAGATGGCGAGAGAGCGAGAGCGAGAGCGAAGAGAAGAAAAGGCATTTGTGATATTCTTTTGGTTTTAGTGCATGTTATGGCAAGTTCCTACCTCTCAGCTACCTAGTATTTACCAGGGTACCTTAGCAGTATGAGCATAGGTACCTTAGTACTGAGTAGGTAGGTATCTTAGTACTTGAGCTACTGGTAGGCATTACAACTCCGTATCGCCTATCGCTTCTTTGGTGCTCCGTCCAGGCCAGTGCAGTCAGTCACTTGATATGGAGCACACAAAGTATCGTCTGGATTGATGCCGATGGCAGAATAGCGGCTTACCTTGCGCCTTTACGGAGTGTCACAAGCACGCACCAATGGCAGCGGATTGATGTGCGACTACGAGTTACCATGGAAAGTTAGTATCCACCGGCACGCGGAGAAGGCGAGCGCTAGGACCACTAGATAGGTACTCTAAACTGAGTCGTCGTCGTGACGAGGCCGTGATAGGCACAGTATCTGCTGTCTGTATGCTGTCTGTATGCTGTCTGTATGCAGTCTGTATGCAGTGTGGAAGGAATACGTCCTGGCAACGGCGTGTTTGGTGGCTGCAGCAAGCCAGGGGAAGCCATGGCCTCCACGGCCGTTCACGTCGTCTTCCCCCAGGGAGGGCAGGGAGGGGTGAAGCCCAGAAAGAGACCGGACGGCATGTTGGTGATGGGATGGGATGGGCTGGTAGAGGGGCTTTTTGGGGGGGCCGAAACCGACACAGGCAATAGGTCATCTATCACAAACTACCAGCGCGACCGGTGAAGGAAAAATTGGATCCTGTATGCGGGCAGGGCTGCAAGGTGGCACCCCTTATGGCCAGGATGCGAGCGGACCCTCTCAGCTGGACGGCCGATGCTGTGCAAAGATGAGGCAGCATGGCTTGTGATATCACGGCATGCAGCTGCAGTGAAGCCCAACACTTTTTTTTTTTTTTGGTCGACGTGATGTGATTGTGAATGCCTTGGAAAGAAAAGGGGAGGGGGGGTGGGAGGTTCGAAGAGACAAGAGACAAGAGACAAGAGGATTTGCATTTGCATTTGCAGTTGATGGCATGTCTCGTACTCGGACTTGCTTCATTCTTGTTCGACGGCCGAGGCTGAGAGGTGATGCAGCCAGCATCGAGATGGGCGGACGGACGTGGCAGGGCGCTAACACGCAAGATGCAGGACAAGGCCTTACCAGACGCGTACAAGAGCGACGACGAGACACAGGACAGGCTGGACATGAGCGTGGGCGTGCGTGGCTGTCATACATATTCCCGCAATGCTGGATATTCCCACAGTCGTGTCTGAGCTGCATCATGGCCCAACAGCCTCGGGCGGTGACGAGCATTGATCGTGTCGACCATGGAGTATGGAGTATAGAGTACAGTATGTACCTGTACCAATACCTGGAGGCCAATACCTGGAGGAGGCCAGGGATCTCTTGCTGCACGAGCTATGATGCTAGCGAGTATTCAAGTTAGCAGGAGGCAGTTCCCCGTACTTTTATTTTTTTTTTTATTTTTTCACTTTTCCTTCTCGGTCTGTCATGGGGCGTGGCTTTGCTTGTCCAAGGGAGTTGCTTGTTCGCTCAATTGCATGATTGCATTTGCATTGATGCCTGGCGGCTTAGGGACAGTAACGATGGCAATCAGCAGCGCACGGAGCAGGCCAGATGTATCAAGGTGATCCTGGCAGGCAATTCGTGTAACGCGTACGGATTACTCGATTCGTCCACACAAGGTACTACTAGGTACTGTACTGTAGTATACTCGTACGGTACTTGTACATGCGGCAATTTCCAACACGGACCTACTACATACGAGCACTCGTAGCAACTCCTGCCATGTCGTGTCACAAGCGTTTTATGATAGGAGATGGCAAAGATGGAAGAGGAAAGAAGACGACGAAATGTGAGAGATGAGATGTTGCGAGCGGGTGATGGATGAGATTTTGGTAAGGAACCCGCAACGGGGAAATTGAGGGGACCAATTTTTTTTTTTTTTTGGTCTTCCAAGGTTGTCGGATTTGTGTTTCTGGCACCGACGGGGCTATGGAAGCGCTATCCGGCAGATACCACTACTACCTGTATATGTACAAGTCTGGGCGTGTACTTGTACTTGCGTCCGGGAGCGGGCAATGGCGCCCGTGTGAGCTCCATGGTGTCGTCTGTACTTGCGCTGGAAGTCGTTCAGCATCGTCGGTCAATGCATCATGCTGGAACCCATCACACGAGGATTCAGCGACATCCGACGCTTTTGCGCCACGCTCCATAAACTGTAACTTCGGCCAGTACTTGTATCATCACCCCATCACCTGCGCAGCTGCAACTCAGCGCCACTTCGCCCGCTTGGCCAATGCCGTGGGCCGCCTGCTGCTGTGCAACGCCCAAAAGGCCCGTCTAGGCACTGGGTTCGCACGTGCAATTTTAAAAGGTGCGCTGTCCTTGGCCTGGACTGTACGAGTACTATACTGTAGGTGCGACTGTACGGAGTACAGTACCGTACTCCGTACTCTGAGCGGGTTACGCTTTGTGGCAGCACGACCCCATCATGTATCGGTACATCCACCCGCTGTGACCCCCGGTCCTACAGGCGCCGTCCCCTACCTCTAGTAAGGCATCACCCCCTGGTCCAGCATCCAAGCACGTCCATGCACGGCGTTTACAGGGTGTTATGGCGTGCGTTTTCGGGGGCCCAGACGGACAATGAACGGGATCGGCCCCAAAAGCAGCTCGGTAATTTTGCTGCGAGTGGTGCATCACCTTTGTGCCCCATGTACAAGTACCTTCGGCCATACTGCTACGTACGAGCGAGGTACACGGAACGTCGAGGCTGCGGCCAGGTATTAATCACCTACCCCAGCCCGTTTTTGGCGCCGATTTTAGCAGTATTCGGAGAATGCCCTCATCAGCAAAACCGCACATCTGATGTGTCTGATTCTGATGTTTTCTCTCCTGCAAATTAATTCTCGCGACACCTAACTGGCGCTAATCCATTCGCCCACAGACGCCTCCCACAGCTCGTTGGCCGCTTGATTGATTGCCTTCGAGTCGACGGAGCTGGCGAGCAGCATCATTTGCCAGCCGTCGGCGTCAGCCCTACGTAGCTCGAGACTCGAGCTTCTCTTTTGTCTTGTCTTGTCGATCAAGGACAGGAAAAGAGAACAAAGAGCCCGGGCCAGGAAAAAGTCTGGGGGAGGGGAGGGGGCTTGACTCGCACCAGAAGACCTGCTATCAAGCACACACCTCCATCTTTTTTTATTTTATTTTTTATTACACGCGGTAGACGGTATTAAAGTTGGGAGTCGTCCACAACCTTACGCCTTGCTGAAGGCCCTCTAGACTCACCTCTTCCATCCCACCACCGACTTTTCCCCTCTACAACCTCTACCCAGCAACAGCAGGGCACCGACAACGAGGACGACAGCCATTCACCGTTACCATCACTGCGATTCATTGTCATTGCCATCGGCATCGTCGCCGTCAGCGTCACAGTCACCATCACTACTACCGCCACGCCCCGTGCCCTTGTCAAGCACAGTCAATCCTTCCAGGCCGACTACTATCCGCTGCCGAATCCGAATCCAGCATCATCACTGGCGACACTCGGAACCCCACCGGCGGTGTCCAAGGGAGCTAAATAGTGGCATTCTCGCCTACTCGCCCTTGGAGTCATTCGACCCCACGCGGGCGTGTGCCGGACGCTATAGCCCTCCCACTTCACCTTTGCCATACCGGTTACCCTCTTAGCTGAGGCTGCTGCGGCTGCTGTGCGGTGGAGGCTAGGAGCGCGCAGCTAAGAAAGAGCTTCCAAGAGGCTAGTGCGCGGGCGAGTCAAGCAAAAGACGGGCGGGATACCCACGGTGGAACGACAGCGTGAGAACGGCGGTATACTACAAGTAATACTGTGCCACCACCCATTTGAAGCCGTTGGAGCCTGTAGCTTCGGTCAAGGCGAGACATCACAAAGGCCCAGCAGAACCAGGACAAGGTCCTGTCGCAGAAGCAAGGGCAACGGCTTGTTAACGAGGCTAGCAGAGAGTAGTGCTTCCGACAGCTTGGACCTCTGCGCCAAATCAAAGCAGGAAAAAAAAAAAAAGGAAGAAGTGACAGCACCCCCCTTGCTTGAGTGTGCAGCATTTGCACCAGGGAAAAAGGCCAGGGCTAGCCACCGGTAGCAAAAAGACGAAGCCGGACAAGGCACAGCTCGGGACGCAGAACCGTTGCGCGCGTGCGTTGCCGCAATCCCGTAGCACCAGGCTCAAAGCCTTGTCATCGTTGCTGACAGTCATGCGACCCGAATCGCTCTCACTACCGCCAGATCGCCCGCTCGACGACAACAATATATCCGACCACCACGAGTGCTGCCACCACGACTGCTGCCACGAGTGCTACCACCACTGCTCGGAGCAGAGGCACGACGACCATTGGAGCCAACACCAGGCGCAGGATGCGGCCTTTTATGCCCCGGAGAGCAGCAATAACACCAAAATGTACTACGACCAGAATGGCCACCACGACGAGTACCACGGGTACGAACAAGGCGAGGCTTACGACGCCGAAGAGGTCATGACGCCTGCCCCCGTCGATGACGCTGCCGATGGCGACGGGGACGTGGAATACCACCCTGCTCCTCAGATCCAGTACACAACCGTGTACTGGGGACATCCTCACCCTCATTCTTACACGACCCAGAGTATTATTTACCCTCCCGCGCAACCAAGCCACGACCAAGATATGACCGATGGTGACGGGGGCGCCCCTCTCAACCAATACAACAATGGAGCTGTCAACAATAATTCAATGACTGGCGGCGCCGTGGCACCCAATGTACATTCTTATTTCCCCAACGATCAGATAGACGACGAAGATGATATGGAGAGGGAGGAGGACGGCGAAGACGACGAAGACGAAGACGTAGACAACGAGGAAGACGAACCGATGGTGAACAACTATGGACTTCATTTCGGACCCTATGTGCCACTGCACCATCTGCAACAAGGCGGAAACAACCCGCTACCCTCCATTATCCACTACCTGCAACAAGCAGCCCCAGCGGCAATACCAGTCGCGCCGGCACAAGATTACGCCACCCAGCTCGCCAACTACATGGTGCAACAACCTGCGTCGTTCGACGACATATCGCTCGACTCGGAAGAAGAGGCGATGTTGATGGATCCTTTCCCTCCCGTTCATATGAGCAATCCAAACCCCAGCATTCTGGGGTCTGAGAACTACGGCCTGATCGACTTCTTGCGCTATTGGGCATACGGCAACGTCCTGCAGTCGGGCCATAGGCTACCTCGGCCGGGCATTCGCAGAGTCATAAAGCAGGCTACCAGTGGAGTAGAGCGCGTGTATTACTCTGATTTGCGCGGTGATGGCTGTGACATTCAAGGATTGGATTGGGACAGTATGAACACAACTCGCAGCGCCGCCAGGGAGATTCGTCGATATACTTATAGGAACTACGTCAACCGGCCGGGTTCTGATATTCACGTAAGTTAACCGTATTCCTTTTCCTTGACTTTTCCTTTGAACTTGCACCAAAGTTATACAAGTACTCTCCTTTGCATATCTTCCGGACACTTTTTTTTAACCAAGGCCAAACAGTTGTCGTCCGAGGTGAGCCTTCCCACCACCGACAGCTTTTTCAGATTCAGGAGAATGGATGTCCGGCGAGATATTAGCCTTGCCCATTTCCAGCTTCGGAGCGTGCTTGGTTGTCCCACTCGGACGCATGCATACTATCCTAGCGTGCAAGGCATAAACATGCTCAACACGTCAACCAAAAGGACGAGCCTGGCGATGAACCTACGTCCGTTTTCTGGAACGTCGGCCCCCGCGATATCAACCCTGGATGCCGGCTGTGGCGTCTTGATGGCGGGTACCTTCAATGGGGACTACTTCCTGCAGTCACTGACTGCCGAAGACAAGAAGAACTACTCGGAGGGACAAATCTCCAACGATGTTAGCGGCATTACCAACCACATCAAGATATACAAACCCAGGAGGTCTGACAGTCCTGCTGCCGCCATCGCAAGCAATGACCAGGGCTTCCGCCTCCTAGACATTCAGACGCAAAAGTATATCTCCAAATTTACGTATCCTTTTGCCCTCAACTGCTCGGCCATATCACCAGATGGTCGGCTGAGGGTCGTTGTAGGTGACGACCTGAATGTCTTGATCACTAGTGCGGAGACGGGAGAAATCCTGCAGCAGCTGGGTGGCCACCGCGATTACGGCTTTGCCTGTGACTGGTCGGACAACGGCTACCATGTTGCCACCGGTTTCCAGGACAAGACTGTCAAGATCTGGGACGCCCGCTACTGGCGCAATGCCAATGGCGTTAGCAAGCCGGTCTGCACGATAGCGACGGAGATGGCCGGTGTCCGAAACCTGCGCTTCTCTCCATCTGGCAGCGGCCGGCCTATTCTCGCCGCGGCAGAAGAGGCTGACTTCATCAACCTGATTGACGCCCAGACGTTCCGCTCCAAGCAAGTCATCGACGTGTTCGGCGAGATTGGAGGCGTGGCATTCACCAATGACGGACAGGACCTCAACGTTCTCTGCTGCGACGCCCACCGCGGCGGCCTGCTGCAGTTTGAGCGTTGTAGCTTTGGAGTTGACGAGCCTCTCACGGCGGGCTGCCAGCGGGTCCAGAAAGTGGAAGACGGCGCTTCAAATCAATGGGATTTTGTGCATCGGCGCCGGCCGCCATTGTACATGGACGGCCCCGGTGTGTTTTAAAGGACACCTTGCAATCCAGCCAGTCATGAAGTTATGATTCTACTTGCATATTGCTTTTCCTCTTGTTTTTGTCCCCCTCTTGCATTCCCATTCAAGCTCCCTTTTGGCATGTACATACCTTTGTCCTTTTCTCTCTACGCCAGTAATGACCTCTCTCTCGTTTTTTAGCCCTCTTGCACTTTTTACTTCATCGAGGCTTCATCATTCTGCTACCTCATTCTTGCTTCCCAGAGACTGTATCTTGTGCCTTTGCTCTTTGTGGCATATATCGTCCATTATTTTTCAGTTTGGAACATACCTTGGCCTTTTATTGTTCTGCTTCTTCTTGTCCTTTGTCAATATGGTTTAGGGACTCGCGTTTATCATTTTCTGCTGGGTTCTCGCCATGTTTGCTACTGCTGCATGCCGCACTGCGATGAAAATTAGAGACTCGCTTCTGAGAGGACGGAAACCCCTTCCCAAAAAAAGAGAAAAAAGGAAGAAAGAGAAGAAAAAAAAAAGCATAAAGTCGTGGATTACCAAACATGCCTACTTGGCCAAGACTGCATTACTATGGTATTCGCAATGCTCTTGTTGTTTTGCGCTTTGTCCTATCTTCTTTCTGGGTATGTACTGGGTCAAATACACGAGAACACATTTAAGGGATATAAGCCATCTTTCTACTTTCTTCTTGTTCTTCCCCCCTTTTTTTTCATCGTTTCCTTATTTTGCATGAGAAAAAAAAATTGTTCTTCTCTTTTTTGTTATCCCCTTCCCAGATCATTTTATTTCGTGCTCGGTCATAGGAAAGGAAGGTCACGTTTTAGGCTTCTAAGGTTCGGATTTTGTAGCTTTTTAGGCTGGAAAAAGAAAAAACAAAAGGGATGGAAACTGAAAATACCGAGGCACAGTAGGGTTATCTCTTTTTTTTTCTATCTCTCTCTTTTTTTTTTTTTTACATAAGATAAAAATGCTTTGAACGTTTTAACTTGAGCAAGCTTGCTTTTTTGGTGGTGCAAAGTGGGCGCTTGGGCGTAAAAAGGCCTCCTTCATGTGCGTACTTGTTCTGCATAGGTACCTTATTTTGCAGTTTTCCTGGCATTACGCAATATTGATAAAAGAGGGTAGGACGAAAAAAATTTCGTCTGGTTACATTGAGACTTTTCTGTGTTACTCGTGCATTTTGAATTACGCTGCTGTTTGGTGTAGTGACGATAAGGATAGAGGACGTGTGTGCGTCGTACGATGGAGGATCCAGAAATCATATCATGTCGTGCTCACCATCGTGCATATATTATTGCAGCGCAACATCCAGGCGGTGGGCGAAACCATGAAATATTTTTTTTTGAATTTTTCGCGCCATGAATTAGAACTAGTAAAAAGTGATGTTACAAGAGCTTAGTTGGCTATGCGCAATTGTGATAATAAAGGTTGATATGAAAGTTCCAAGCTTCAGGGTAGGTCCACATGATGACTTCTTTTTTTCCATCGCGGAACTTGGCACAAACTAGCCAATGTACTACTGACAAAGTCTTTGTATAATTCACTACCGATAGGAAATGTGTATAGACACAGTTTACATGCAAAGCTATCCTGCATCTAATAACGCATCGATTGACTAGGTGATGAGGATCTATAGTAACCCGCCGACATATGGAATGTAGATATTCTAGGTTCATTGGAATGTATATGCCAGTTGCTGTGCCATCCAAGCTTCATGTCTGATAGTTGATTAGAATCAGTCTATTAATTGATGATATGACACAAGCTGTTAATGACTACATGATGCTGATAAACTTCAAGACAGTCTTGGCCTAATACATCTTATACTCAATCCAGAACACGGCTCAAAATAATCACATTCAATAAAAACAGTTTCATCATCGAATAATTAAGTAATTACAGCATTAGAATCAGATGCTAAATGTACACCCGGATCTATGGCGACTTCATATACAGAAACACCGTGCAGTAGCCAAAACACAAGCCATTAAGACCCGCTTACCACAACACCACAAAAGGACACAAAAAATTCGCTGCCAACCAAGTTCCATCTCTTGTCAAGGAGCGGCCCCCAACGCCGTCATGACCGCCTGAACTTCCGAATCGGCATCAGGGTGTCATTTGTGGTCCCGCACTGGTGGCAAAATACACAAAGGGGGTCCGACGGATAGAACCGGGCGAGCTTGACATTCGAATACATCTAGTAAATGACGTTCAGCTGCAGTAAAACCCATCCATGCGTTGCGTATTAGAAACCTTCAACTCCCTTACTCGGAGATGGAGAAGGCGGCGGCGGCACCCCAGCTCTGCTCACAGCCAAAGCTGCCAGGCTGCTTCCACATGTCATCATCGACGGAGAAGAAGACGGTCTTGCTACCGCACTTCTCACGGATGTTCTGGAGGGCAGTAGCCTGCTCGGTGACACCGGGGCAGGCAGCGCCGTTGCAGGAACCACGCTTGGGCCAACCGCACTCCAGGTTGAGGACGTCGTTGCCAGGGCAGATCTCCTTCAGGAGCTCAAGCTGTCCAGCGACGAAGTCACCAGCGGTCTCGGGAGTGGTGTCAGAGTTGAAGAAGGGGTGGATGTTGGCACCGGTAACGTCGATGACACCGCAGATGGCAGAGGAGACAGCGGGGTTTTGCCAGATGTTGAGAGTCTCAGAGATGGTGTAAGGACCGGGGTAGCCACCGCACTTGCTCTTGACGACGGTGATGAGCTCGGCGAGCTGAGTAGCAGAGCAGAAGCCGTTCATAATAGCCTCGTTACCGACGACAAAGAGCTTGACGAGATCCCACTCAGCCCAGGCAGCAATGGCGTCAACCTGGCTCTTGATATCGGGGGTGTCGTAGCTGCAGCCGTCACCCTTGACAAAGACACCAATGATCAGCTCAATGCCATACTTCTTGGCGGCGCTGCCAACGCTCTCCAGAGTGTTGCAGTCAGTGGAGTAGACACGGAGGACCTGGAAACCGGCGGCCTTGAGCTTGGAAATGTCCGAGTCGACCTCGCTAGCAGACTTGCAGTTACCGGAGGAAGGCTCATAGGGAGTATAAGTGATACCATAGTGGTCGTTGCTGCCGCTGAGACCACCGCTGGGAGCCACAGGCTTGGGCTTAGAAACCTGGGGCTTGGGGCTGGGGCTGGGGCTGGGCTTGGGAGCAGCGGGGGGAGAGTAGGCGGGGGCGCTAGGCTTAGGGGCCTCCTGGGTGGACTGAGCGGGAGGAGGAGGAGGAGGGTAGTAGGCGGGGCTGGTGGTCACGGGAGCCGGAGTAGAAGTCGGGGCGCCGGAGCTGGCGAAAGGGCAGTAGGTGACATAGTCGGTCTCGGTGACGGTGACGACCTGCTCAGGAGCAGTGTAGGTACCGGGCTCGTAGCTGGTCGGGACAGGGTAGACCAGGATAGTGGACGAGGGGACCGCAGTGGTGATGGGAGCAATGGTGTAGGTACCAGCAGAAGGGCAGACGTAGGTGGTCTGCACAATGACGCTGGTAACCACGGTGCCGCTGGTTGAGACGGTGGCAACAGGGCAGACGATGGTGGTGGCCGTCTCAACGACAGTGGTAACACCACCAACGGTGTGGGTTCCGGGAGGCACCTGGGTCGAGCTGGCACCGCAGACGGTGGTGGTGTCGGTCAGGGTGATGGTCGTGGCCGGGATGGTGTAAGTTCCGGGAGTTGGGAAGGTGACCGGAGCGGGAGTCGGAACAGGGACGACATAGACCTCAGAAGTAGGGGCCGGAGCCTGGGACTCGACAGAGGTGGTGGCCGGTGGTGCGGGAGCAGGAGCAGTGGTGGTAGGCACAGGAGCTGCAGAAGTCGCAGGGACCTTGATGGGAACCACTTGGAGGCAGGTCAGCATATCACTTACACCGAATTCAAGGGGGGGCTCTCTGCTTCTGCGGGAGAAGCCCTTGGGATCGTCGACATACAGGTAGGCTCGCCGGTGATGGTCGAGTAAACGGTGGAGCATCCAGGAACACAAACCTCGCCAGTGGCGGCTCTCTTCGCAGCGAAGAGCTCGTGGGCGTGGCGGTGACCGTGAGAGGCGCTGGCAGCGCCAGTCAGAGCAGCCACGGCGGCGGCGGCGAAAGCTCCCTTCATCGTGGAGTTAAGATATCGACTAGGTAAATAGCAAGTACAAAAAGAATGCCCGCTAAAAGAGTGAAGCGGTAAGTTGGTTTACTGAAGAACAAAGAATCGAAGCAGCTTCCTTCAAGACCTCGATTTGACGATCCGTGGGGAGTGAGAAAAAAGAAGAGAGAGACGGCAAGGTTAGGTGGGCAAGGCGGCTATTATTATGAGTACGGGCGGTGCGCGTGCAGGCGGGTAACATGGCTCGTTGTTGTTATTAGCCTTGGCTAGCCTGAGAGGTGCTCACCAACAGTCGGCCGAAACGTGTACCTGGCTGGCTGTGGAATCCTGCGCTGCGGACGAGGTACTGCCCCAGCCGGAGGTGGAATGACAGGGGTTTGACAGAGAGGGGGGTGGAAAGAAGACGAGCCACTGTGGCTACCTCTGAGTCCATCACTGGCTGCTGCTAATAGAAGCTGCTGCTAGGCCAAGGCGGCTTCTCATCGCCAAATAGGAGAGGGTGGAGCTTGGCCAAGCAATTCCCATTTTGCGCCTGAGTCCTCCTTGAAAGGGGCAGCGAGCTCTCGGTGCGGCTACAGTGGCTGGAGCAGAACCAGTGCTGTAGGAATACATAGTATCTAACAGTCGGAAGCTGCTGCGAACAATGGGCACTGCTGCGACATTGTGGCTGCTGCAGTAAGCTGTGTAGAGCTCTCTGCCAACAAGGAATGCAAGCTGTGGTGGCTTTGCTCAGTCAGATCTGCCGCCTGCACACTGCTTCGTATTGGGGCATCGGAACTCCATGGATCCATCGTCTGCATGCTCCAGGGTCTGGTGATGAGTGGCTGATCACTTCTATGCCGGGAGATGAGCATCGCCTTGTCATCTGAGATATTTTGGCTGGCGCTCTCCCTCCCTTGCAAGACATACAAAGGAGACGAGACGCTGTGGATAAATCAAGGCCGAGGGACGATTCTCTGGCCAATCTCGGGCGTGGGTTGGCCAGCCACTAGCTACGAGATTGTTCCTGCATATGCCCACTCCGCTTGGCTCATGAGCGGGCCAGGCACAGGACGCCTCACACCTTGCTGGGCTCCAGTTTGTGCGCCGTCCCTTGCCTAAGCTTAGTGTCCGGCTTGTCGGCGTTTCTGATGTTGGTGATGGCGTCCGTCAGTCAGCCGCAGCTCGAGGCCTTTGCTTTTGGGATTCTTCGCGCTCTTCACGCCGTAGATGATGGAGAGTTGACCGTGCAGGTCTGTGTCGCACATGTCTGGTGTTGATTGCTGCATCTTTTGTTCCGTGGACACCGGCCCAATATCAGCGGTGGGTTGCATTTGTGCCATTTTAAGCTTAGATTCTCCGCAATACTCGAGGGGCCCTTTTCACTGGCAACCCCGGGCTGCGTCCAAACCTGTCGTCTTGCAAGGGGACCGTTTTAAGATGTCTTGGCTCGATTTGAGTCTGGTCCGGAGTGATTCACAAGGCAGCGGATGCCTCTGGCTTGACCGCTGTGGTGCGAAAACTGCTCATTTCGAGAAAGGGGCGCGTTCGAGAAGCCTGGTCCGATGCCGTCCAATCATGGCCACCTACTCACTATTAGTCTTACTATTCCGGTAATTCTCGTATTACAGAATGGATTCGCACCCCTGCCGCCAAAGGGGGTCGCTTGGACTAGCCCATGGCAAAGCAATCCTCAATTTGCGACGCGGGTTCGTCAAAGTGCCGGGCACGCCGTGGATTTGCGTCTAGTGCTGTTTGTACGAGTAGCCGTAACAGACCGCTGATTTTCCAAAACGGCCCCCAGATGAGGAAAGTCGTTAACGCTGCTGGCGCGAGAGTACGGAGTAGCATTCATCTTTCTGCATCTCTTGGATTGGACCCGAGACTGCGCCTGTTCAGGAGTGCAGATGAATACCTGCATGTGTACGGAGCAAGGAGGGAAAAATGATGGACCGAGTGCATGTGCTTTTCAAGTACGGAGGATTACGAGGTATTGCCACGAGAAGATTTGTGCGCTGAATTCGGTTGGTAAGCGAGGTCTTTTTTTTTTTCTCTCATTTTCATTTTCATGTTCAACTTTATTTTTTTTGTCTTGTCCCCCCTTCGCACTCTTTCCGGACCCTGTAGCCTTCGGAGGGATGTAGCCATTCTTAGACTGAATCAAGGGACGTCCGCACCCTGCCCAAGGAAAGACGCTGCACAAATCGGGGGATCTGCACGAACGGTAAGAATCTAGTTTTCTCCCGTGGTGTCGCAGACTCGTTTAAATATAGCAGCAATGTCTATGTGCAGTACAGCTGTGTGAATATCGATGCATAGGTAGGCACCTATATATTCTATATATATGGACTGCTACAAGTAGATAGGTACCTAGGTATCAACTCAATCACTCGGGTGGAGAGAAATAGAGTCAAGAAATGCAAATAACTCGTAGCGATGCTACCTTGGGCAGCTTACAGTATGCAACGTGCCAGGCATTGTTCTTTAGTTGCTGAGGTGATCATGCTGTACAACATGAGACAGTCCAGCACCTCGTATTCCTTTAATGCTTTGCAGCAAGGCGTCCAGCATCACTGCTCCCCCATAATAACCCCCAATTGAGTATACCGCTCTAAAAAATCAACAACCATTTGCATGACATCACGAATATTAGTATCAAAAAGTCTAATTGCTCAATTTGCTTCAGAAACCCTGTACAGCTTCGATAAGCTTGATACTTGCAATTTATCTCCATCAACCCCTAGTTAAGTAGTTTGGACAGGCGCTGGGATCTGTCAAGCCACACTTCACCACAGTGCCACGTGACCTTGCCACGCCACTCCCAGCAGCATCTCGACGCCACACCTCCATGAGAGATCAGATAAGGCTAGAAAAATTCGCTGTCGAGTGTTTTTATATGTGGTAGCATATGCCCGTCATGCTGCCCCGGCCGGGTTGTCAGTCTGTTTACCGGCAATATTTGTCGCACAGCCATGGCCGTCTCATTACAGATAGGTTGAATAACGTCCATTCCGTTGGTAGTACAAAGACTGCTCTTCTGGGGCTTCAGAGAGTGAGTTTCACCTTGGCCGACCCAGCATGAAGCTCCAACTTACACAGAATATGTAGCGCTGGGAGAGCACAAGCAGCCAACCCCATTCACAGACAAAATATGGACAAACCTATGTACCGAAATCTGCTGCTCAGAAATTGGCAGATGAGGATTTCAGCTACTTGCCAATCCGCAAGCGACTGCAATTATGGACTGCCAAGAACGGACAAAACAACCCGGATAGCATGCCTCCAGATATGATCCTATATGGAAGCGTCTCAAACCACCTGAGTCGAACTCAATCAACAGGGTCGTCCGAGATGGACCAACTGCGGCCTAGTCAGACCGGAATGACGGATGAGTTTGAAGAGGACGTGGGCGATGACGAACCAGAGGCCGCTGCTGTTGGCGTGAGTTCCAGGCAGCCTGGCGATCTCGTCGAACTAAAGTGAGGAACCAACAAGCCCATTCTAGTGATGAATGCTTGTTAACATGGGATACAGGCAAACTGGCTCGCGAGTACCTCTCTTTGCAATCTATCTGGGGTATTTTGGAGAGAGGAACCATTTCTATGCTTCCAACGGCAGATGGCTAACCAGCATGGGATACTCGCCTCTATTCACGGTTGCCAAGTTCGTGAGCAAGGAAGAATTGGCACCTGTACTGGCCAACATGCCCAAGAGCGGGTCTCCTGAAGTGTTTGAGGACCTTCGTCGCAACGAAAAGGGTCCTTCCAGAGATGACGGCGCTCAGCTTATCCAGAAGATGGTTGATTTCAGATTCAAAGCAGATGCAGTTTATCAGAACCACCTCGAGAGAATGGACGCAGTCCGCAATTTTCTGTCAACTCGACGGCAAGTCAGCTATCTTAGCCTCTTCGAAATTGCCGATGTATTACTCCCGGAATCTCTCAAAGTAGATGGCCGCTTTCCCCCCTTTGCCCTCTATGCCGTCCACTCAGCCCTCTATCAGAATGAGATTGGGTTTCGACCACTGAGCCCTACCAGCGATTGCCATCGCCGAGATCATTTATTCGAAATCTTCCCCCAGTCCCATGCGAATACCATCAATAAAGTTGTTGCCATGGTTCGTGACTACGCAGAAACCAGTGGGAAACGCCTAAGACCGCCCAAACCTGATGAGCTGGAGGAGACTTTACTAGGCAAGTTCATCAATCAGGCACGCAAGATAGTTTTGGCCAGTCGCTCGAAGCGACAGTGGACACCCCATGGCATCCTCACACCTGCAGATGGTGTGCAGTTGCCGCAGCCAGAATGGTCCTATTCTAGCAAGGATATCATTGCGTTCCTGGAATGGTGGGCGAGTTACGATCTATTTGAGCCTGGATCGAAGTTTCATGGTCACGGCGCCTTGATCCTCCGCGCTCTCCAACTATACGACGACGCTGTTCTCGACCAGAGCACGGCCTGGACGTTTTTACAAGAAATTGGCATGATCCCTCCTTGGGAAGTCCCGTCACGTTACAAAGTGCGGTTTCCAGATGTCACAATAGCTAGGGGTGGTGGTTTAGAGCGAGAGATTCCCAAAGACATTGGAGAATCCAAGCGACCAGACATTGCAGCGGGATTCAGACGAGAGCATACGCAATCTACAATATTCTGCATCGACGCCGTGTCGACTATTGTCATTGACGACGGTATCTCGGTGGAACGCACGGAAACCCCAGACGAATTCTGGCTTCATGTTCACGCGGCAGATCCCGCCTCCAGTATCAAGCCAAACTCTGACCTGTGCAAGTACATGGAGCTGATTCCAGAGAACATTTACCTGCCTGGGCACTTTCAAGCTATGCTTCCATCCAGCTTGGGAGAAGAGGATGATGCCAAGGACTATGCCTCCGACGGCCTCGTTGGCCAGTTTTCACTCAAGCCAGGTAGCCCGGCATTAACTTTCAGTGCCAAAGTCAATAGATCTGGCGAGTTGCTGGATTTCAAGGTCGAACCCAGCAAACTCGAAAAAGTCGTCTACTTGGATCCCGAAGATGTATCCCAGTTTTGCAACGAGCCAGCACCACCACCAGTCCCCAACTATAGCCTAACCGTCGGAACTCTTGAAGGAAACGGGGAGCCCAAGTTAAACCGCCCGATGACTGCCTCTCAGGACTTGGATGCGTCCAGCAAAGAGGATTTGTTATTGTTATATCAACTCGCCGAAGCCATTAAGAAGAAGCGTCTCGAAAAGGGGGCGTGGCCATACTTCTTCCCGAGGCCCTCCGTCTCTGTATCATTTCGTGATACACCCGATGCAGCAGACAAATCCAAGGTTTTGCCTGCTGATCCGTACATCAAGGCTGCCTATGAGACATCGACAGGCTGTTCTGTCGTCTCCAACACCATGGTTCTGGCCGGTGAAATCGCGGCACGCTGGTGCTCATCTCGAGGCATCCCCATCCCCTACCGGAGGGACATCAAGTTCAGGCATGGTGGGAAAAAGGTATTCGATTATGCTACGAAGGAGATTTACCCTCTGATCCGTAGGGGGATCGAGCCAAGTGGCAGCCAGCGGCAAGAAATGATGCGGCATACCGGTGGAATCGAGATATCGAGTCAACCTGGCTCATACTTCCTTCTTGGGCTGGATATGTATGCCAAAGCTACGTCGCCGCTGCGCCGCTTCTCCGATCTGCTCGTCCACTGGCAGATCCACGCTGCCTTGCAACACGAGCGGACCACTCAGCGAACCATTGATCCCAGCACCGACAACCTGGACGATATTCTTCCCTTTTCTTCTACCCAGCTTGCGACGACCCTTCCACTGCTACAGGTGCGCGAGAAGATGGCTCGCACGGTCTCCCGAGGCATCCTCGAGTGGATCCTCATCGCCCTTGTCCGTGCATGGCGCTTCGAGAAGACGGCTCCTCGCAAGCTCCGGTTTACCGTCGGCTCACGCTGGCGACAGGGCTGCATTGGCAGGGTGGATTTCTTTGATCTGCATGCGGTGATGGACATTGAGGGTCTGAACCAGAAGGCCCTGATCAAAGACGTCAAGGTCGGAGACCAGTTCGAAGTCGAGATTGCGGATATCAATGTACACTCTCGGCGTATCCTCGTCAAGGCCCTGCAGTATCTCGGCCGTAATACCGGCGAGGTTTCATCGACGTCAGCTCTAACGTGAGCGCTCGCTCGGCCTAGACCTGCGGCAGTACTCGTATAATGCTTTGAGGCTATTGGAGCAGTCAATAATACTGTGCCTCTGAACCAAGCAGCGACCATGCAATGCTGGCAGCACGCCTTGTCGACAACCTGCCTATTCACCGGGTTTTGCCCAGTGGAGACAAAACAAACGAAAGCTTGCGTGTGCCCGCTGTTACAGAGTACGAGGCGTGCAGCAACCATGCCATGCAAGCCCGCATCACGCCTGAGGTGTCTTCAACCCAATGCACCGCACAGGTGCATATGCAACCCCCTTTTCTTCTGGCTTTTGGCCCCTCCCTCCCTACCCCCTTCGCCCTACAGACGCTGGCAGCCTCTGGTTGGCCTGGGGCTATTTCCCTTCTCCCCGCACATGTATGAATTACCCCAGACTTTGGCTACATCTGACAGGGGGCTCCACTCCCCAGGGGGGTTCTTTTGTTGGGAGCAGATTGCCTGGATACGCCTCTTCGCTCCCGCATTCAGGCGCCTAAACACCGACATCCTGCATGCAAGGGAGTGCTACATCGTTTTGTTTTTTATTTGTTTATTTATTTATTTTTGCTGCCCAGTTGCCACCTCCTCGGTGTCTCTACTGTACTCTGCATTGCTGCTGTGGGGACTCTGCAGCAACACCATTTACTACTCTGCATCTGATGAAGAAAATGGCACGCATACATCCTTCATGTACCTACACATACTCCTCATGTTTACCGGCGTACATATGCCCCCCCAGTTGCCCAAAAAAAATTGTACCATATACCACCATCCTCTCTCTGTACGAATAGCATCCAAACGAGAAACCACTTTCCTGACTGCATATCCATAGCGCAGATGACGCGGCCACTCATAGACGAATGAAAAAAACCGAAATAACGAAAAAAGAATATTTTTCTTACAACCAATCACCAGCTTGCCCGCTCACCTTTGACCCCTTTCTGACTCCCCGGCTTTGTTCATCCTGCCACGTCGAGACATGACGTTATTTTTTTCTTTCTTCTTCCTCGATGCTGCTAATGTACTTCACCCTGGCCAAGGCTCCTGTGTAAAAGCAAAGGTGGAGATGGACCGGCTTCTCCCCGCTGGAACTAGGCCAAGTGTTTCCAATTTGCTTCGCTGGGTAGGTACGGAGTTAGTAGTCATCAAGGCATTGATTTTACGTATCCTCATCTTTGGATTCGCATGTATGATACTAATCCGTATAGCCAGCCCCATTAGCATAGACCAAGACTCGACTATTATAATCCACCCCGAGAGAGCGGAGAGCATTCCCCATCAGTAGTACCCATAGTGACCTAAGTAACAGTACCTGCTCAGGCTGTAAGTACCAAACAGTACACTACTACCAAGTACCGCTCTGCGATCTTGTGCACTTTGTATTATTCAAGCCTCTTTTATTCCATGTTTTATCTTGTATTTCGTTTGCTTGTGCTGTGTATTCCTATGTACAAACGACGCATCCTTCTACTTCAGCCCAGATTCGATCCCGTTTTCCATCTCGTAAAAACCATTCCATGCCTATTTGCCCAAATCTTAGCCAATTATCCACTCTCATCCCCCTTTTACAACAAATTTTAGCGCAATGAAAAAAAAGGACAAACTGAAAACTAAATAGGAACAAAAAAACAGACAGAAACCACATATTTTTTTGGCATGCAAACAAAAAGCCTATTCTCAGGCATGAAAACAAAAATCCTTTGAGCCGCCCATGAATTTTGATATAATTGCAATCCAAAAAGGGAGAAAGTGATAAGAAAACCAATAACACTCTTTTCGCGTCGACAGAAAGGATAAAGAAAAGAGACAGAAGTACAGAGACAGTGTCATAAGCCGTCGTATAGCCGGGATACCCCCAGCACTCGTTGAAGCAGAGAAAAAAATTGGTTAGTGAAGGAAATTAGGCGGCCAAGGTGAGAAGTCACCCGACCACCAAAACAGCATCTCGTGACATCTCCGTGTCCACATTGAGAAGATTGCCATTCAGTGTCGTCGTGCTTTCGCCTCCCGATGACGCCGGACTCAAGACCAAGCCTTAGTCGCAGCGCCCCAGCTCAACAAAAAAAAAGAAAAAGCGTCAAGTCCCACGCGGGGCTTAATTGGTCCAAGGAAATTATGTAATGTATAGGCCAGCCAAACGGACGTGGCTGGTGTCAGACGCAAATCAACGTAATGTGACACAGGTACCCCGGATTTCGGGTCGCTTGTTGGCGCTGGTCGAATGATTTGTTTGCCTGGGCGCTCAAAGTCCAGCCGGACGCTTGGATCATTCTGCTGCCCGTGGCATCGTGAGAGTGAGAGTCCACCAACCGCCAATTGAATCGAGTCCTAGTCCGCCCCCGACTACTTTCGCCACCCAACATTCCAAATGACATGGGCAATGTCGCGGGCGGTGTTGACGGTGTCAATTACCCGGCCGAAGATGCCCTCCCCGGATGATGTCTCGGTCTCGTCGCATGGCATGAACATGCCGGATGGAGTTCGACGCATGCCCTCTGGCTCATCAAGAAGACTGTTTGAAGATGTTGACCTCTTCAATCCACCGGCACCAGAGTCAGACGGTGGAGAGAGCCAGCCAGCGCTGGGGCTCTGAATGGTTGCATCTAGCTCTTCTTCATCTTTGTCAAAGAAGAACCCGCCAGATGGTTTGGAGGGACGAAGGGTTTCCTGTGAGGATGAGGGGGATAGCAGGGGGCTGCGGGCGCCGGTGCTGTGCTTCATAGCCGAGTCCTGGGAATCTGGACTGTCTTCCTGGTATTTGAGGGTTGTCGATGGAAGCATGGCAATGATCTTGCCCTCGGCAATAGAAGCCTTCTTCTGAGCGCGATGCTTTGTCAATGGGCGTCGTTTTGATCTAACTCGCTTCATCATGACTCCATCATCCGAGTCGCTCTCGTCACCATACATGTCCATGTCCATGTCGACATCATCATCATCGTCGCCTTTGACATCGACGGCAATGCACTGCTCTACCTGCTCGTTAAAGTGAATATGCCTGCGCTCGGTACAAGGCGATGTGATGCTCGACGATTCTGTAGACGTAGCCCACGCGCTGCTGTTTTCGTGGCTCATCCGCCTGGAGGAAAATGAGAGTGAGACGTAGTCTGTGTTTGCCCGCCCTAGGCTGGGTCGTAGTGCACTTCTTCGATACTCCTGTGCGTGAACGGCCGCAGCAGCCTGCTTGAGAAGCGAAGAAGTCGATAGCGACCTCTGGAGCAGGATCTCCGACATGCTTCTCTTCTTGAGGATGGTTTTCTTGTTCAAATTGACAAGAGAGCTTGATTTTGATAATGACACACTGGACGGCCCGGTCTTGTTAGCAGACATGTTGCGTTTCCCCGATTGAAGGGGGCCGTAAAGCCAAGTGACGTCGTAATCTTTTAGCCTAGATATGGAGTATCAGCACCCATTTTTCTGTAAACAATGGAAATAGAATAGCTACACGAGACATACCAGTTGAGCGTCTCGGGCGAGATCGTTTTTAGGTTGTTCTTGGCCTTCATCCAGGTTCTCCAAGACGCATTCTCCAGCCTGGCGCTGTTGGGGAACTCTCCCCTCTTGGATATTATGTACCTCCACGAGGACCAGATATCCTCTTCTCTCCAATCGTGGGAGAGATAGTCCACTTGTCGAGATGGTTTGCTTGCAATAGCCGTGTCATCTTCGGCATGGTCACTGAGTTCGGGGCTGTCGGGCCGTGAGGTGCTGACGGAGCTGTCATGTTCGGCAGGCGAGACAGTGTAAGAGTCACCGGTGCGAGGACTCGGGGGCGGCTCCAGATTGTCATCTGGATGGATCTGCGGGTGCAGATACAGCTTGTCAGCGGTAAAAGGCGGCAGGCCGAAGTGGTCCTCGGGAGACTCGTCTATAGACAAGGTCTCCTCATAATCGGAGGCGATGGAGAGGTTGCTGGATGGGGTGGAATTGTAGGAGACGTCTGCGGATTCGATGTGGGCAGTGCGAGGAGACGAAGGCGCCGACGAGTGGTCAGAGTCGGAGAAGGACTTGTTGGGGGGATGTGCGTAGGGATTCGACAGGTCGGCCATGTGGTGATATGACAATGAACCGCCAAGGTTGGACTGGGAGTGTGAGCGCCGCATCGGAGCGGATGAGAAGAAACTGTCTTCACTGGAAAGGACGGCTGCCATGCTGGATTCCCGAACAAGGAGACGGTGTGCGTGCGCGGTTCGGCTTGCTAGCACTAGAAAGCTCTCTTTATGAATCAGAAAACCATGAGAAGCACGAGTACTTCAGCATCCACCGAGGGCTGTTTGTTGAGTGACCGGATCGAGTGGTGTAAGTGTGGACGAATAAGAGGACGAGATTGATGCCGTCAGCGCTGCAGGTTCGGTCGGTAGCGGCAGCCAATTTTCAGGTCACCTGCGCAACCCACACAAAACACGCAAAACAGTCTAGAGAGCCCGGGCTCGGTTCTGTTCCTGGCCAAGCACAAAAAGGAAACGGGCCACCAGCAATGGGAGTGCAATTGAAAGAGGAAGAAGCCTAGAAGACGGCACGAGCGACGAGAAAAAGGGAAATGCGAGCCCAAAGGCAGTGCCGGCAAATTATTCGACCAGGTGACTGACTGATGGCTGATGACTGATGCCAGGAGATGCCGAACGGCTGTGGGTTCCGGCGCAGCGTTCTGGAGCAGTTGAAATTGGAGGCGACTAAAGAGTCTGGGGTGGAGCGAGGGTAGCAGCCGCAGTGGTGAAACGAGAGTCGGCTCAAGAGGACGGGCAGAGAACAAGGCACCAGACAGACGAACAGACGGACGGACGGACAGAGCGGGAGGAAGGAGAAGGAAAAGAGAAGAGAAGAGAGAGTGAGGGAAGTGAGAGCAAGAGTCAAGAGAAGTCGGGCCTAGCACAATTGGGGGGAATCACGCAGTGCAAAGAACAACAGACAACGACAGAAAGCGGATCGCAACTGGGGAGCCGGAGGCGTAATAAGTGGTTGACGGCAAAGGCAGGAAATGGAGGCCCGGCGGGATGGTGCTGGTGCTGGGCTAGCATTAGTGCTGTGGACTTTGGATTCGCAGAGCCTGGACGCCTGCAGCAGCGCTGGAGGGTCGCTACTGTAATTGTAATTGGGCTCCTGCAGTGGAAGAGCCGGAGCCAGACCAGACCAGCAGGGTTCAGGTTCGCTCGAGGGTACGCACGAGTACCTGAACCTGTGCACGCACAGTTATCAACCCTGGTCTCGATGGGTTTTTTGACTTCCAGCCTGCCGCACGGGTGCACTACCAGTCACCAGTCATATTTTTCTCTCTGGTCTTGTTTTGCCTCTCTGTGCGGGTTCGCCGCTGCAAAGGGTGGAGCGCGAGTACAGGTACTTGGACGGCACTGTGCCTGTCTAGACCAGTGCTAGTTTCTTCTGTTCACGGAATCCGGATGGCTGTTGCGCGGGCCACTAGCACGAGTTCCAGAAGGGCAGCCTCCACACCCAAGCCACCAAGACGCCATACCAGAGTTTAGCATCCTCGTAGCCTCAGGTTTCAGAGCCCAGCGGGAGAGGGGAAGCGCCAGGTGGGGGTGCTGGCCAAGTACAGATACGGCGCCCTGGGCGGGTTGAGGTATGCGGCGCCAGGTACTGTGGTGACGGAGGATACGCGAGAGGGATTCGTCAGGGCTCGGGGCTCTGACGACAAGCGAAGAAGCATGCAAAGGCACATAATCATGCCAGCCCAAGGTATGGGTGTTGGGCTAGCTAGCCGACCCTGGTACTGTACGGGACTCAGATGTGGTGTACGGCACACGACGGCGGGCTTGTGCGTAGTAGCAGGCAACATAGCTTCAATGGATGCCATTGATATGGGTATGGATGGATGGAATACTGCTACTACTGCTACTGCTACTACTGCTACTAATGGGCTGGGATGGAAACTAAAAATTCTTGGGCCCATCCATGTCTGCATCGGCATGTTGTATCGATTAGACCCAGCCCAAAACTGCAGCGGCACTGCTGGAGGGTGTACCTGCTCGCAACGCGACTGGACGCTGCCCGGCCATGTACCTGCGAGTCGTGCTTCGTCCGGTGCAGCGACCAATCTCGCGGCTCAGTGCTCGATAGACCCGGTCAGGACTTAATATAGACGCATCCAAAGTACCCAGCGCGGACTTGGACGCTCGTCTGGATGCATGCGCGGCATGTATATTGAAACCGAGTGCCATATGACCTGCTCCTTTATTGCGGCTGCAGTATACTACATGCTACATACAGCACATACGAGAGCATGCAAACCTCGTCACAGCTCAGTCACCGGGTCTTGATAATCACCCGAGCAGCTGTCGCCATGGCCATGTCACCTCATGCGGGCACGCAATGCCTTGAGAACGCTCCGCCTGTCCGTTTCTGGTCGTCCATGGCCGTGGTATCAATGGTATCTCGAGTCCATTTCCTGATCCAGAGATTGGCAAGGCAGTCAGACGCAGGCATGCAATTGAATTGCTTCATGCCGATGCCGATGAGGTGCGAGCACGACTGAGAGCCACCGACGGCCGATGCAACCAGGCCAACTTCGGTCTGCTTGGCACAGACGAAGCCGGCGGCTGCTTTTCTCATGTCTCGTCCGGACCTGGACCAGTCTGATAGGCTCTACTGGGGTGCAACATTTGCTTCTTCCATATCCAAACCCGCGCGTTTGATATGCACGAGCACTGAACTAATAATACCTGGCCCTTGGTAACCATCCATATAAGCGCTCGGAAGGGCATGAGCAACAACTCGTACTACTACTACGACTACCTCTAGTGGACTATTACTGCTGCTCTGTGGAGTATCACACAAGGGCTGTTGACTCAAGCACGCCGAGCCGTAGCCGGTACTCGTACATGTACCTATCCAGAGCTCCATGCCGTGGCGACCTGTATGCAAGCAGCTTCGGCTCGCTTGCTGCGAGTGCGATTGGCGATCTGCATCGTTTCACCGCTGAACCAGACTACCTACTACTATACCAGGTATGCTGTATACGTGTACAAAGTACCAGGAAGAAGAAGAAGCGGCACAACAACACAAGAGAGAGCGCGACAGGTCACAAGAATGCAGGCACGAAATTTGACCGAATCCCAAGGTCAGAGTTCCGCTTAGGGCCCGGTGCCTCGGTCAGGGCGCCCTAAAATCTAAGCTCAACTTGAACTCATTTAATGAATTTCGCGGTACCATACCATGTCACGTCGGATTTTTCGCCGCCCTTTGGTGCTCGCCCAGGAATGGAGTCAGCTGCTTGCCAACGGCCCTTATCGTCGCCCTGCTCCAAATGCAAAGCTGCAGAGGAAATTCAAAAAATCACCCATGGCCACTGCAATGTCTGGTACCAGTAAGCCCTTGCGAGTGCCACGGATGTCGCAGATAAGAAGACAGCGGCTAGCAGAGCCAGTGGCTGATGTACTCGTACAAGCACGGCACGCAGGATAACGGCACTGGCCGAAGTCACTTTCTCGAGACAGTCCAACATACACCGCCAGATAAAAGCAAGACACAAAGTTCAATCTGAAAACACCGATTCGAGGTCGGACCGGTAAGCCTTGGTTAGATCGGAATTGCTCTCTGAATCGTCTGAGGGGGCCGGACGATTGATTGCCTGCCACATGGCGTGGACGAGGATGGACATTGCAACTAGGCGGAGGCCGTCAGCGCTGATCAAAGAGTCGAGACCTAGCCTTAGCAGTGTGGTTTTCTCTTGATTTCCCGCCTCTTGGAGCTCCAGTATTTGACATTGCGGCGGCCTGGGGCCATCCGGAGGTGGGACTGGGGCGGGAGAAGAAAGAGAGAGAGAAAAAATTCTATCCCTATCCCTGCTCTCTACGGAGTACCGTCTGCAGCCAATGCTTGGGAGAGGATGACGGAACGGGGCCGTGTGTGGCTACAGGCAACTATTGCTAACTTGGACTTTGTAGAAAAGGTAGAGCTCAGCCTTGGACAAGAGAAATTGGCCGATGCTAAGTCACCCAAGCTGCCCCTGTTCCCGCACGGAGTACAGTACAGAGTACAGGTACGTGTACGCAGTCAACATACCATACCCGTATTATATCTCACTCGGCCATTGGGCTCCAAGGGAGATACGAGCCTTTGCTTTGCATGACAAGGGAGTGGAAATTTTTTTCTGCTTCCTTTATGCTCTCGCTAGATCTGACTACTTTTGCCCCCTGGTCATCCTGATGGGCGAGGGGACCCAATAACAGCGGGCCGGACCTGAAAATAACTAAGAACGGAAAGCCATGGTTGGCTGGTTGGCTGACTGTTGGACCTGAGTAGCAATTCGCCATCCAGCCGGCCGGTGGTGGCGGCTGGCTTTGGTAACTGGCCGAGGCAATCATGATCGCCCGTGGATCAATGGAATCGCCGTAACCGAACATTGTTCCTTCGGGCCTCTAGAACCGCTGCTGTGCAAAGGGGGGTTTTCGGGGAAAAGGCTGGGCATGGCGTTAAACCACCAAGATTTTGAGCATTTCCCATTACCCACAATGCGCACCGCCGTTGACGATTGCGGGTACTAGCATCGCTGCCCACGCTTATGCGGACAAACGCGAGCAAGCTCCGTATTTTTGCGCTCCATCCCCGAGCTCCATTATCAGTGCTAATCAGTGCTAATCTCCAGGTTCCCTTAGCCAGAATCTCCAGATTGATTGGGATTGGAAAAAGCTGGAGCACGCTAAGTTGGTAGGGCTTTTAGGGAAGAAACAGAATCAATATTCCCCGGCCTCGACTGAACCTGAGACCTACTTGTAGAGAGCCTTATGCAGGAGAGCAACTGGCGCAAAGTTTGTTGAAGCCCGTCCGTGCTGCGGGAGCTCTGCCGGCCCTTGGAAGTTGTCTAAGAAGAGCCAACGAAGGCACGTTCTTTTCCTGATTGGATCATATTAACGTGAACGGGTATTTCAGAATTGTCCACGCAATCAATTGCCGTCTGCTTTGGCAGTGCCCCCTTCTTCTCTGCTGCTCTCGAAAGATTGAGGCTTCGGCCAACATTTGCCACCCATCAGGGCCGCTCGTAGCCTTCCGAGTTCTCCCGCTTGCGTCCAGAACACACAAGAGCGCCATAGCGGCCTGTGGCTTTATCATGGTTTCGCTTCCTTTCTATTATTATTAACCTGGCAGCTTTCAAACGAAAGATGCTGCTCAAACTGGCAGAAATACAGTGGAGAAATCAAAGGTTAAAAGAATACCCGGAATGATTCCTCCGCTGCAGGATTTTCCTCATGCCCACGTTAATGATAGAGACTGATGATTTCTGGCCAATATGATATGGAGCTCTCAATTGGTGATGTGTTTATTGCAATGTACTCCGTACAGTACATCTAACAAGATCTGCGAGAGGCAGTGCGCACTGCATGTACAAGTACTGCAACATGAGCAGATTCGTATCTATCTTGGCTCATCTATCTGGACCCATTGGCTCCCGCGCATGACCCTTTTTCTAGACACTAGCTGCGCCTGTTGTATCTCAATGATCGACGGCGTGTGGAGGATCTTCGTACTCTGTGGCTGAAGAACCTGAATTTCTGGGTTGGGAACAGACCCCTGTTCTGAAAGACCCATCTCTACATGGACCGATCGAAGGACTAGCGGGTATTTGCTGATCACACTGGTGTATCCCGCAAACATGTTTGAGCTGCATGTCTCGGGTACCAAACGAACGATTACCTCTCGTAGAGTTTGTCTATTTTCTGACATGTTTGTAATGCATTGATATGCTATATGCTCAAGGTTAGTATATGCATTTGGTAATATGAACTCAAGTGGTATAAGTCCGCATTGCAGCTGTACATGAGCGCAACCGACAACCAAGGTTCGCCAGCTCATAGAGGAAAGAGCGTCATGATCGCGACCAGAACGGCCCATTGGCCTGAATATCCAGGCGGCAACTTGGATTAGAATGGTATGGCTGCTTCTACACCAGAATCCCAGCCCCTAATATGACTTTTCAGCGCAATTGTTGCGGCTATCGAAACGAAATACTGCGACCTAGGGACCATCTTCATATATTATGCTTTGCAGGGGCGGTGATCTTAACCTTCAAGGTGCACTAGTACCTGAATGACACAGCACCCATGACATTGACGACTTTTTGCTTCAGTCAGGCCAAGAAGTTGTACAGTACAGGACCAGCTCAGACAAGCTTTTCCCCTCGCCATCCGTTAACCTTCTCACGTCTTAGCCTCGAGATGATTTGTCTGCGTGGACTCTGCTTTGACTCAGAGATCCCATCTCCAAACGGCAGAAGACCTAATTGTGATGCAAGAGATATGTAGCTACAAGGAAGCCACTGGAAGCCGGATATCAGCTCTCATCTGATTGGCACTCTAAGGTGATGCTACCAACTTTGGCCAGCCAATCACGTCCTGGAGACAGGATCGTACGGCCAGGAAACGCTACGCAGAGCTTCCCTGCTTGGGCCAACCTCTGGACGGCCAAGTCACCATCGCAACCCTCAATGGCCTATCAAGCTGCATCGTGGTGGGATGGCTAGCACGCGGCCCCCTGTTAATGCGGTCGTAGCCTGCTTCCCCACAATTCACGACGCCCCCCGGCTGCTCCCCAGTGCTGCCCGAATCGACGATTCAAGGACGGTCCAGTCTGCAGCCGAGTAGGATTGCGTCAATGTTCTGTTGCTGCGTTCTTTTTTAATATATTTCTGCGGCCAAGATGGATGCCGGGTCACTGAGCCGCAGCCATAGCGCGGTGGCGAAGACGAAACGGTGCAGAATTCAAGGAGCATCCCGGACGGAGGAATTGAAGTCAGCAAGTCAGCAGTCAGGATACTGTACAGTAGCCGCTTGACCCAAGAGACCCCGCCGGGCGAGACACTTGATGGTCGATACAACTCTGCACCTCACTGGGAAAAGTTCCGAGGGCTGAATTTATCTCGCCCTCTGGCTCGGTATTCCAGCTATGACTGCATCCACGATTCCCGGTCTTGCCGATACATGTATTCAGTTGCTACCGACATTGCTGCAGACCTCGATCCATTGAGGACAAACGATAAGCTTCAAAGTTGCCCCTCTACTCGGGATTATCACCAATTCCACTACTACCAATGGGTGCTACCTTCGGGATATAGGAATCGATAACCGCCAGATGTCGAAAGAAAGGGCAATTGGACAATAAGCGATGCCATCCAGCCCCGCAGGATGGCACTCTACCGCGTACGGAGTCCGTGGAAGGAGGGGCGTATGAGTGCCCGGAGATGCAAGAAAGAATGTACTGCCACGCCCTCTGCCGGAACATTAAACGGACGAGACGTTGGAAATCACCCTGCAGCTACGAGGCCGACAGACACCCTCCCCGCAACAGCTGGATGCCTGCTGCATCACGACTGGGCCACGGTCTGCTTGCTTGACCCGCCTCCTCCCTGCCCCACTGCCAGCACCGACGAACCTCGTCGAGCTAGAGGGGCATGCATAGGAACAAGTTGAAAGCTGTACGCTTCACCCGCAAAGCAAAGTTTGCTGACACAATTGGGCATAGCACACACTTAGTACGAGGCCACACCACACGCAGCTTCAACACCATCTCCTCAAAATGGCTCGCACACTTCCAAGGTACAGCCATCTGTCATGCGAAGCTAATCTGGGCCTGGATGCTCCGTCGCCTCATTCAAGAGAGAACGCGGATATACGGAACACTGCCAGCTGTACTGTATACGCGCTCGTATATCGCACATCCCTGACTCTCACTCTCGTCTCTCTCATCTCTCTCCCTCTCTCCCTCTTCCTTCATCCTCAGGGTTGATTAGTCTATTTTTACCTTGGCTCCGTCATAACGTCGACGACCCAGCAAAGGGTTACCGGCATCACTTCTCATATCTCGGTTCTGTGTTACCGGACCCCTGTTGTACAAGGGGCAGGGTGGGCTGGCTTGAAAAGTGATACCAGCTGCAGTAGGCCCAATAGCACCATTTGGACATGTCACTGTAGATTTACTTTTTCTCATCTCGCTATGCCATATTGCTTTGAGCGGCTGTGCCTAGCTTGGCCACATGTCCGTTTCGTACGAGTAAAGGAAAGCTTGTCAATCACAAGGCGGAGTGATGCTCTCTCATTGCTGACTCGGCGAATAGAGTTTTCTCCATCCCCTTGGCCCTGCGTCGGTTCCGTTGATATCAGGCGTTCTGACAGCATATTGTCACCTACCGAAATGTGATACTTTTATTTTGCCTTGCCGTGCGTTGCATCTGCCCACGAGACAGGCGGCTGCACTGCAGAGGAAATGCCACTTTGGAGATGTGCTACGGAGTACACAAAGCACATTAGCCCTTGCATTGTGCAGCCGGTCAGAGAAATAAATTCATGACGGTGCAGTACTTGTACTATTTGCAAATCCGGGGTGTTTGTTCCCTATCTCGCCCTCGTAGCGAGCTAGGCACGGCACCTTATCTCGCACCCTGCCCGCTGCATGTTGTGCAGAAGGACATTTGCTCCGTAGATAACCGCCATCGGGGAACAAAAGGATTACTTCAGAAGAATTATTCACATGGGGTAGACTATCTTGTTATCTCGTGCGGCTTGATCCGTGCGGCTTTGGCGGTTTACGAGGGGAAAAAAGGCAGCAAAACCTGCTTCTCTCTACCTCTGACCTCCGTACAACCAAACTCTTTTTTCTCCCCTCCAGAAGCTCTTATCTAAGACTGCATGCGGTCTGTCTACCACTTGGCACCAGTAATCCCATATGCAGCCGTATGTACGAGTACATGTACGCGCCGGGGAGCCTCCGGGGTGTGAAGCCGCCAATCCTGATTGAGAGGGCCGAAACCAAGCTTTTCGGTGATGCCTTGGCTCATGGTCAAGAGACCTGCGCTCCTTTTTTATTTACTTACTTACTTATTTACTTTATTTTATTTTATTTTATTTTTAATTTTTCCCAAGGTGGCCAAGACTCGATGAATGCACACCTCTTCTTGCGTGGTTACATTGAGTAAAAATAAAAAAAAATAAAATAAAAAGCAGCCTTGTAGGCGAATTTTTCTCGGGAAAGGGGAGGAGCTCTCTCGGGAACTTCTACGTCCACGAGTAATGGCAACCTTCCTACTAGGCGGTGCTGTAGGCAATCCCCGGTTTTTTTAAATCATAAAATACTACCATCAAAATGCATCCAACGAATCGATTCATGTGGCGTCGTGCCTGGAAAAAGCCAAGGCCGCGCCCCCTTTGAAAGACCGCAACAAGGCAGTGGCTTTTTTTTCTTTACCCGGCATTTCGTGCGAGTGGTGGTGATTCCTGGGTGAACGTGGTCCCCTGGACCTTTTTCTGGTTGCAGAAGCTAACCGGCGGTGGCGAAAAGTGACGGACCAGGCGCTTCTTTACGGGGGGTGTCAAAATATCGAGGGCCGTAATTCTTCTGCCTGCTCCCAACTGTATGGTGTGAAGAGTAGATGAGAAAAGCTGAGATGATTTTTAGCAGCCCGTCGCTATCTGAAATCATGATCATCGATCCGAACTACTGCTGCTAGAGGGAATGCTGGATAGCCCCAAGGTGGCGTGTGTTTTGAAACTACGTAGTAGCCCTGCTGCTGCTATTACTACTACTGGTATCCTTGCTTTGCGCGTTTTCAGTGCCAAGTTTTTCTGGGGGACAGACAGCCTCTGCGGAGAGAGATAACTGTGCGGAGGAGTGGCTTGCAGGCCGAATGTCGATGTTTTTTGTGGCTTGGGTAGATACGAAAAAAAGGAGGGAGCTACGGCGTGAACTTTTTTTGATATCATAGCTGTAAAGTTCCGTTCCGTTACCCGCGGATGATGTTGTGAGCTTTAAGTGAGGGGAGAGAATGATGAGGTGACAGATTTATGGGCTACGGGGGGAAAGCTTGTTTTTTTTCACATTTCAAAGATGCATGAGGGTTTTGCGGGATATCCAGGTTTATGGCGTTTTTTGCGGGATTTGACATTTACTTTTATTTTTTTACTTTTATTTTTATTCTTTTCCATTTTTATCTTTTTTTTCTGTGTTGGATGCGGGAGGAAGGCTATGTGTAGTGCTGAGAATATCAGCCGTCTTTCTCTTTCACATCGCGGGAGCAGTCATCTCGTCCTGTAATCAACTGCACCTAACGCAATCACCGCGCTTAAAAACCGCATCGACAAAAGGCCCCAAACCGCTGCGTCAGGACTCTGCAAAAGGCAAATAACAGGGCACCCTGCATAGCCCTGATAAGTGGGATTTAAAAGAGGGCCATTTCAAAGCAGCTGGCAAAAGGGCTGGCTGCTGGCTGGCTACAGGCAACTAACATGTCGGTGTAGACCAACGATGGGAGGCGCCAAACCTGTCAATGCCGTCTTTCTGTCATACCCCCCTAGCGTGGACTCAAAAAAAAAAAAAAAAAGGCGATAGACGACAAAGAAGAAAAAAAAGCTCATATAAAAAAGAAGAGTACGGAGTATTCGTATACTATGAGCGAGATTTATGCTTTCCGCTTGATCCATTATCCATGACAGCTGAGAAACGTGTTTGACTAGCTTCTGGCTCTCGGGGGTTGCTTTTCATCTGGGCTCGTCAACCACCTGGCTTCTGACTGGGTTGAACATGCAGGGTGAAGCAGGACTTGCGTTATCATTGATTCGAGGACATGAAAAAAAATCTGGAACCGCCCGCTTATCTGTTGGATAAAACAAAAAGGCACTGATGCAAGAGAAAAGGAGATGGCGTTTGGGAGTTAGACTTAGAACGGCATGCCGGCTTCAAGCTTTGTCGTCATGGCGGCCGCCCGCAAACCCGGCTGTTGGAAGATAAGGTTCATATCCGCACCCTTTGTTCAGTATCTTCCGCCTGCCGATCAGTACCTACTCCGTGTGGGTATCGACGAGAGCATTGTAGCGAGTACGTTTTATCTAAGCCAACGCGCCTTTGAGGCGTGCGCCCTCCCGTACTGTAGGGCTGCCTTTACGTTCCAAAAAAGACCCGGACGAATTGGATCATCGGCTTAGGGGATCGGGCCTAGGAGCGCGGAGCAAAAGCGACTTGGGGCGGGAGACGGAAACTTGCACAAAACATTCGCTTTGCGGGGGCAACATCCCTGACCTCGTGGATGAGGACCTGGCCGTCCTTCTCCGCATCGCCTGGCGTGAGGAGCACTCCAATCTCCTTGTCGATGCGCTGGCAGATGTCGTCCAGGGGGGTTGCATCATCCGCCTTGACAGCGAAGCAGTGGACGTGAACCAGCGGAAGCTTCGTCTCGGTGTGAGGGGCGAAGAGCTTTTCATGGCCCTCGTACAGGCCGCGGAAGTTGTGAAGAAACTCTATAGCTGAGGCAGGAAGGTTCATGACAAAGTGTGATACCGTGGGAGGGACGGGGATCCGGATGGGTTCCGGCCGGGGGCCTGGAGCACTCCTCGACACCTTTTGAGGGATGAGGGCGCAGTCTCCTCGCTGGGATGCTTCCAGGACCAGATCAGTTCCTTGCTTGATGAAGTCATGTCCGTCATAGTTGAAAGGCTTGACAAATTCCGAGACCTGCCTTGCGTGTCAGTCCAGTAAACGGGGCAGGGAGATGGGGGAGGAAGAGCACCGCCCACCTTGTTCCTCTTGATAATATCGGTCAGATACTTGTAGCTCTCGGGGTTCTTGTCATTAGCCCAGACGAATACCCCTTTCTTTCCAGCGGGAGCAGCAAATGGCCCAATCCCAGCCATCACATCAATAACGACCTCACCGGGCTTGAACAAGCTGACAAGACGCTGGTGCTCTGTGCCAAGCTTCGTATTCCAGTAGACTTTGGAGTAATCGAATTTAAAAGTGCAGCCAGCCTCGCTGACTTCGACGAGCATATCGTCAGGGCCGGCCAAGACCTCGTAGCTAAATGTTCGATACTCGCTCTCTGTGCCGACGTTGTCGACCTTGTTGATGACGGTGCGGATGGTGGGATTCTTGTCCATGATGACTTGAGCAATGATAGCCTTGTAGGGGAGGTATTGTCCTCGTATGTTGAGATGAGCTTTTGTAATTGTAAGCTTTTGTTTCTTTCTCTCCAAAGATTGTTTGTAATAAGATTAAGGAGTTTGACTCACCCACATGGCCGGCGGTGTTGAAACCCACGGGGATTTCCCCGTGTAAGTCTTCCGGAAGGATAGATCTCATTACATCAACTGTTTCCATCAGTTAGATTTGCCATTTATTTCAATGCCAGATTGAAGGTTTAAATGTCTCGTACGGTAACTCCAAAGATCGTATCCAATGTGTACTTCATAAGGGACAATCTTCAACTCTCCCAGCTTTGAAGCTTCCTGCAACACTGGGCTCCATGTTTCCGGTACTTGTACATCAGTTAGCAACTCATCTCTCATTTTCATCATCTATATTTCCATCAAATTTCATCTCGATAAACTTACCATCTGGCTTGATATGAGGCTTCAACACAAGACATTTCTTCCCCTGTGCGGCAAGAGTGGCATCCGGATCCGCAGCACAAACATCGAATCTGTCCAACGAAAAGATTTCCTTTGTCTTCTCGAGTTGCTTGCGGTACTTTGAGATGAGTCTGTTGTCTCTTATTGAAGCCGCAGCTGTCGGAAGCGTGTTTGAGAACAGCGACCTATCCAGTGCTTTGGCCACTCTGGCAGCGGCAGGGGCTCGGAAGAGATTCAACATAATCTGTTTATCCGAATCCTTTGTTTTCATATAGAGCTCATGATTAGAGGCCTGTTTGTTTTGTGTTTAGGGACAAAATATCTGTCACTCACCTCCATGTCGAATATCTGGCCTGCAAGTTGAGTGTCGTTTCTTGCAGTGTTACTCACTCGACCAGGGTTGCAAGGCTGAGATGTGAAATTTTGCGTGCGGAGTACATCTTGCGGTACTTGCACCGCCACATCATCCAAGATCAGGGCGTGAAGTGGGTCAGCGGAAGCTGTGGCGCGAGCTCAAGATGGCAAGGCTGAGTCTGTGATGTCACGGTTCTCAGCCATGTAAACGCGACTCAACATTGGACAATGCGCTGAACATTTTCTCAGTATAGCTTCCATGGCCAATTTGAAGACAATTACGCGGCATAGGAATTAGAAAAAATGTCACAGAAACGGACGATTGATGCTTTCTTTGGACCTGTGCCAAAGCGGCCTCGTAAAGATACCGCCGTCAAAGAAAACAGCCAAGAAGAGAGAGATGAGATTGTACGTCTGAGCGTGTCGTGAAATGAGTACGATCTTCAATTGCTTACGATGTTGTAGATTCTCAGGTCACAGCATTCAAAATACCCATTTCCTATCGCTGAATTATCCGCGTCAATATGCAAAGAGCTATACTCACTGCCCGCTCGCCCTGCCCGGACTATCAACAACGAGCCAGACCTGGATCTCTTGTATTTCGAGCCTTATATCCCAGATTATCTTGCGCGTCAGCTTTTTCAACATTTAAGAGCAGAGTTGCCTTTTTACAAAGTAGAATACCAAATTAAACGAGGAGGCATTGAGACTCAGGTTCGCACGCCAAGGTGAGTGCTCCGATTCAACTGCTCCGTCCATATGAGAAACACTGCCAGCTGATCCACAAACGTACAAGATGGACAACTGTTTTTGGTATCGACGAAACATCCAAATTTGACGAAGACGGCACCGTGATAGATGCAAATACGGGAATGAAGGTGCCAGCCGATAGACGCTATGATAAGTGCCCACCTCGGCCTCTTCCCAAATGTCTCGACGAGCTCCGCCAATCCACCGAGACGGCTACAGACTGCAAATTCAATTTTTGCCTAGTCAACTATTACGCCTCTGGTGCAGATAGCATTGCATTCCACAGTGATGACGAAAGGTTTCTTGGTCAGGATCCTGCCATTGCCTCCTATTCGTTAGGCGCTCGACGGGATTTTCTGATGAAGCACAAGCCAGAAGCTCCGAATCAGGGAGCAAGTTCGCCCATCAAAACAGGAGTCATCAAATTTCCGCTGAATAGCGGTGACATGATCTTGATGCGAGGGAGAACACAATCCAAATGGCTGCACTCTATACCAAAGCGCACGGGAAAGAACCAAGAAGATGGAGGAAGAATTAATATTACTTTCAGAAGGGCCCAAACGAAAGAGGGAACAGAAAACTATTACAACTATAACGTCGGAAGTGGTCCCGTTTATCGATGGGATAAGACGAGTGGGACCATGATGCAATGGAAGCCCTCATGAAAAAAAAATTGAAGAAAATATACATCTATCTATACGGAAATGGATATCTGTAGCGCTTTCTAAGCTGATTTATTTGCCGCGACGCATCTGAGCAGAAGCAAAGTTCCTCAGAGCCTTTAGGAACACCTGGTAGCCAAACGTCTCGTTGTCTTGCAGGCAGAAAATCTCAGTCAACCGGATTTGCCACGGCGGATAGCCCGACAGCTCGACATAGGGGGTGAAGAGGATCAACAAGTCCGGTTCGGGGAAGATACCCTCTGATAGCTCGGCGTCGACGAGCTCCTGGGAGATGTCTCGCGGGGAGATCTTGCCCCGTTGTGACATGTCGGCAAGGGTTCTGGTGAGGTCAACGATGGACTCTCTTCCATCCTGGTAAGAGATCAAGTGAAGCTGTAAATGGCCGTGCCTGCTCTCCTCAAGCATTCGAGTGGGGAAATCATCCTGGTGGGGGGAAGTCACAGAGAGCGTCGGATGTTCAGTCCCAAAGTAGAATGTGAACTTTTGTATGACGGCTTCGTAGACCCGAGGCATGTGCTTCTTCAAGACCCCTTTGTTTGGTTGTGTCAGTCTTTGATGTATGTAAGAGATGCGGAAATTAGAGAGGGGGGCTCACCTGATTTCTCGTATATTGAGAGCATTGGAATCTCCGCACAAGCACACCACGTCGCAAGCTCGGCCGTCTCCTCGATCAGCCGATCAATGTCGTTCTTTGCCCTGTGTTTTCCCTCGGTCTTCAAGATTGCACTGAGATGCTTTGGCTTCTTGCTCAGTCCCATGATGTCCCGTCGGATGTACTGTGGCGTAGCGTGGTGGTAGTAGAGAATGGAGGAGATCTGGTAGGCCACGCCGTGCCATGTCTGCCTTGACTTTATATATAGGGAAAAGATGCCATGCATCACGGCGAAGACGAAGACGAAGATTTGGTTTTTCAGGAAGCGTCTAACTCCGAGCCGGGACCTGCGCTGTGCCTGTCCGGCCTTGTTGTTCACGGCGGCCTGTCCATCGTTTGGGGAGGGAAGCGAAGCCTGCTAGCTGTCAGAGATGCTGTCGCGTAATCTCGGATCGCGAACTGCTCATACCTTGAAGATGGCCTGTCGCTGAGCCTCGGTAAGAAGATGGTGGCCGTGTTGTTCGTCGGCTCTATACGCCTTTGTGTCCTTAACTGACATAGGCATGCTGAATATTGGCAGTCTCGAAAGATTGTCTCACTGATGGCGAGGCGAGGAGTGGAAAGCAGTCGAGAGCAAAGAGCTGAAATGCCGTCAAGGGCGTATCAGGTGTTTCGCTGTTGGTGTTATAGGTATAGTTTTCGATCAGAGAAAGTCAAGACCAGCTGCGCGCCCTAGGGTTGTGGCAGCTGCCCTTATGGCGAATCAAGGCGGAAGCTTGACGTGTCCATGCAGCAACGGAACTGCTGGGAAGAAGAGTTGGGGGAGGCGATGCAGATGAGGTCCTTTGTCTCGTCCAGCAAAAAAAGGTACCTCTCAACGGTACCCGATTTGATGGGATTTGCATGTGTCCTCTCTCCTGAGTGGTCCAACGAGCCACGGCAGCATGTGGCGCAGTCGGGAGGTCGCTGTAGGTGTGGCGTGGCGGGGCCCAGCAGGCATGATACCTGATACCTGCTGGACAGCTTCAAATGGTCACGTAAGGTGCTGGATTCCGACTCTAGGGGAGGCAACGAACAGCGCTTTTGCGACGACGCAACACGGCAACTCTGGGCTTGGGCGACCGTCGAGCACCGCATCACATGAGCGAACGAGGCCGATGTACTTCAATTGCAGCATAACACACAATACAATATACATGTAGCCCGCTGAGCCTCGCCCTGCAGCCTGCCAACCATGGACCGGTCCAGCGGGCCCAAGAGCATCTTTCCAAAGGGCCCGAATTTCACCCTCGATGACTTCTCCAACAAGGACTTCATAGTCAGGGACTTTGTTGATAGTCTAGCAGAGAGTGCTATGCCCTCTGGGCGTCGCTCGGGGCCGTCTCAATCCACCACCTTTGACCCAAAGCCGCTAATCAGAAGCTTTGAGAGTACGGATTCCGATTCTAGGCGAGGAGAAAGGGGGCACCCACGCTGACTGATGTCTCTCCAGATGCGTTATCTCAGCTTGCCGTCCTTGGAGATGAGCTCCAGGAGAAGGAATCCGAGCTCCTTTCGCAAGTGCGCCGCGCCGAAATCCAACACGACCAGACGCTTGATACCCTCGGCCGCAAGCTCGACGAAACCATGGAGTCGTTCGAGGCCCTAGATATCTCACTAAATCCTAATAGCAGCAATGGCAACGACGCGAACGGAAAGCCCGATACTGGTGGAAACATTGCCGTACAGATTGGAGAGAAGTTGGACGACTTGGACAAGAAGAGGAGAAGAGCACAGGACACCATCTTCCTAATAAGCTGCTGGACAGAACTCAGCGAAACTGGACTATTATCGTCCCTCGAAGATATCAGGAGGCAAGGAGGTGCGGAGAACAAGGTGCGATGTGCCGTCATCGCTCGTCAATTGATGAGAATCAGCCAGCAGCTTGATCCGCTGGCATGGGGAACACGGAATGGCAACAGAGCCAGTATCGCCAGTTTTGCCACGTTGACAAGTAGAGCGCGCAATACCCGAGAAATCCTTGAGAAATTTTGCGAGACGCTGGAGCAGGATCTGCTGCAACAGTTCAACAACAGCTACAGGCGACAGAACTTTAACGACATGATGGAATGCGCAAAGGTGCTATACGATTTCAACGGAGGCGCTAGCGTCATTGCGGTTTTTGTAAATCAACATCAGTTCTTCATTGACCGGGACCAGTTAATGAGCGACGAAATGGCAGCCGATGGCGAAATGTGGGAGGCTTTGGCCGACCCGGATACGGAGCCGCCAGGTATCGAGCCGAGTTTACAGTCCCTCATTGACGAAGTCAAGATTGTCATGCAGGAGGAATCATTCATTATCAAGCGGGCATTCCCTTATTACGAGACAGTGCTCATCAAGTTCATTCAGCGAGTCTTCCAGCAGTCCATACAGCAGCGGCTCGAGAAGGTCCTCGACAAAGCCGAATCAGTCTCCACCTTGGCGTTCCTCAGATCCCTCCACTCATCGAGGAGTTATATCGGCTCCCTGGTGGAAGATTTGAAGATGCATGGCTTGACTGAACACCCAGAGCCCTGCTCAGCGCAGATTGCACAGGCTTTGGATCAGCAGCTGGACGAGCTCTTCGTCCCATTCCTTGTGGGAAGTGTCTATATCGACCGGGAGAAGAAGAGCTTGGAAGAATTATACGGCTCGTTGCTCTTCAAGTTTAGCATTTTTCACTCAAGGCGAAAGAAGGCGCCGGCTTCTGGGTTCATGGCCTCTTTGGCCCAGCAAGGCACGCAGATGATCCAATCGGCCAAAGACGCCTTCCTCGAGCGTCTCGAGTCGTCAGAGCTATCGCCCACACAAAAGGCGATGATGTTGCGAGTCGCCGGCCTGCAGGACAGAGGGGATAACAATGAAATCGAGGTAGCAGACGAAGATGGCATACTAGGGGTAGCCAACGCCAAGAGGATGCTAAAATGGTTGGCAGAGAGTGTCCAGAGAGTACTCGAGCTAGGGTCTCAGATCGATACACCTAAAGACGTCAACATATTACTCAACCTGCTGCTTACACATATGGGCCAGGTCTATATCGAGACTGCACTTGAGGCGGCACACTCTCAGGCCACCATTTTGGAGAACACAAAGACCGAGCCAGACATGTCGTATCTACCACCTATCCGACCAGGCGTAACGATATCAGGTCTCATGGAACGGTTCATCAGTACAGTCCTCATTCGACTCGCCGAATCCAACACGACTGTGCGCAAGAGCATGGAGGCACAGAAGAAGATGGCCATTGACACCATTGAGAAGAAGACAAACGCCGTTATCAAAATATCAATCGACGTCGTTGTGAACTGGGTCATCAAGTCGCTGGGCACACAAAAGAAGCAGGACTTTAGGCCCAAGGACGGCGAACTAGAGTCTCTCCAAACCGCCACATGCCTGCACATCTGCCAGTTCCTTGCGCGGGCAAGCCAACTTGCCAGCCAGGCCATTGACGGGCACAACGCCGAAAAGTTCTTCAGCGAGCTGGGCCTCGTGCTCCACTCGCACCTGTTTGACCACTTCAAGCGGTTCCAGGTCAACGCCACGGGCGGCTTGATGGTGACGCAGGACATTGCAAAGTACGTGGCAACGCTGCGGGCGTGGCCGCTGGCCAAGGACGTGGAGACGGCGATTGAGATGCTTACGGAGATTGGATCGCTCTTCATCGTCGGCCCGGAGGCGCTGAGGGAGAAGGTGAGGACGCTGGCGCCCGGGTCGAGCTCCGTGAGGGGGAAGCTGTCGAAGGCGGATTTCAAGGCGTTTGTGGAGAAGCGGGACGATTCGGGGTCTGTGGGCATACGGGGTATTTTGAGCGGTTTATAATCTATAGGAGTATATATGTCGTAACCCGGGTGAATGGTTTTATATTGTTATTTCTTATTCTATATGACCTTTCATACCATGTGCCAAACCAAGCTTTAAACCAAGCTTCATTGCAAATGTCAAGTCGGTGTATATGAGTGCTCAAAAGCAACGCCTGAACCAGCCGCATACAAGCCCAAGATGAAGAGCCGTGTCAACTTCAGACAGGATTGTCACCCTTTGCTTGATATATCTATTTTTCTTCTTCCTCTTTTTCGCCCTGAAGTTCCTTGTTTTACTTTGTTGTTTACAAGTCTCGTCTCATCCCCTTCTGTCCCGTATGCTCCTCAATCTTTTCATCCAAAAAGTCAATCAAATCCGCCATATTCGTGAAATCCACCAGCTTCGCCCTCTCCTTCTTATTCAGCAGCGAGGACTTGTCGTCACCCATCCCCGGCGCACACATCTCCTGTACGTGATGTACAACCAGCTTCAGGGGCAGCGGACACCTCGCCACGTTGCACATGAACGTCTCGAGCGTCTCCCAGGGACACGCCGAGTGGCCGGCGAAGAGCGCGGGATTGGCGAGGAGGCCGCGGGCGGACATGAAGCCCGAGAGGTTTGTGGTGCTGGGCCTAGGCTGCTGCTGTGTGGCGGTGTTGCTTGGGGGGTCTTCTTTGATGGTGAGAGTTGCGAGATCAGGGGGGGAGGTGGATCTGATGGGGAGGGTGGCGAGGTCAAAGACATCGCCGGAGAGCAGGATGGGAAGCGTGCGTGAGTACTTTTCGGTGAGAATTTCAAGGGCCTCGGTGCGGATGGGGGTGGTGGAGGGAGTGTGGCGGGTTCGAGGATGGATGGTGACCCAGTCGACGAGGCGGTTCTGGGGATGTCCGATGACTGTGTCGAGATAGTCCATTGTTCTCCTGAGTTTTGCGTGAGATGAGTTATGATTCCCTTTGAGTTTCACTTTCAATAACAGCTTCAGCCCTTACCTCAAATCATCGTGAACTCGTATCTTGACGCTCACACTGCGACCCTTGGGATTCTCCATGTCCTGCTCCATCCTCACACCCCATCCGTCCCTCTCCAGATGCTGCCTCGTCTCAATGACCATGTCGCGCACCAACTCTCTCTTATTCATCAGCGCAGCGCCAAGCGTCTCCGCACAAGCCCACGACTGAGGGCATCCGCAATTAAGATCCACGCCCGACGCAAACGGCGCAACGAGGGTTGAGGCGCGGGCGAGTTCCAGGGGTACGTTGGCGCCGAACTGGACAATTGTGGGAGGTTGGACGCCAGAAGTGGATATTGTGAAATCTGCAGTTTTATGTTGGCCTTGATTCTTGGTTTCTCTTTACTTTTTCCCCCAAATTTTGTTTGGATGGTTTTGTGGTTAAGAGTGCATACCGCTGTCTCTGGCGAACTGATTCCTGTTAAACTCCTTTGCCAGAATCATGGGAGTCCAACACAGGTCGACGCCATACTTGTGAACCGTCTGGCGAAATGCAAGCTGCGCCGATGATCCTGTCAGCTCTGCTATTCAAGCATCTTCACCACTATTGAAACATTTTTCTTCCATCTGTTAAGACTTGCCTTGCTGTAGCGCACCATAGGCGCACAGGCATACAGAAACCGGTCCTGTCTCCTCGCGGCATCAAAGATCTTGAGCGGACTGAAAATGTCACAACCGAGTTAGTCATGGCGAAGCCTTACCCTGCAGCCCTGGAAATTCATCAGGGGCAGAGAACACGTATATGAGACAGACTTACTGTGAGGAGGCTGTCGGCGCATCTTCGTCTCTGGTGATGGAACCCATGCTGGGCAGCTGAGGCTCATTTACTATGTTTCTGATACGGGTTGTGTAAGTTTTCATTGGAAGCCGGTGACAAGCCTTTAATGTCCAGTAGTTAGTGTCAGTGTGAATAAGCCTTTTTCGCCGCCTGTATTTTCTAAGGCTAGGCGCAAGCCCCACTGCAAATCATAGGCACTAAGATTCGGGTCTAAAAGTCTTGGCGAAACATTTCAACGACGTTTGTTAGACTGAATATTAGACTTAATCGTTTCTTATCACGTCTATAATTTGCCAATGCTTGTGCAGATGATTTCAATCAGCCATAAAAAATCCATCACGTTGCAGACATTCACCATGTGAAGCATAGAATGAGTATACAATCATTGTGTATTTGATTCCCCGGCACATGCCCAAAGGCGTCTATGTAAATTGCTTGTTGACCAAATGGTATAAGAAAAGAAAAGAGGCCAGCCTCGCAGCAGGGGATTATGAAATTACTGGTTGCTTTTCCGCACGCTGCCTCTCGTTCATAAAAGAAAAAACCCTTGACTCATCGTACATGTCGACGTATATTCACAATTTGCCCATTAATCCGTTCCACCGAACCAGTCCAACGCTTAGATGGCGAAAGCAACGGCAGCACCAACAACGGCCATAGCCATGCCGCTGAAGCCAAGAGCAGAGGCAGCGTTGTGGGTGGTGGTGGCCGCAGGAGGAGAGGAGGTGCCGGTGCTGCCAGAAGACTTGGTGGCAGAGGCAGCAGACAGGATCTTACCACCAAAGACGCCGGTCTTGGGAGACTCGTTAGTGGTGATCTTCGCGGCAGCAGCCTTGAACTCTTCCAGCGTCTTGTTGGCGTTGGCGTTGACAGCACCAACCATGCCAGCGCCGCAGTGGTTGCCGGTGGTCTGGGAGCAGTAGAACCAGATGGGGGTGGTGTTGTTGACCTCGACCTGGAAGACGTTTTCCTGGAGCAGCTGTTAGTACTCATACTGGTGTACAATGCTGATATTATGCTCGCAACTTACGTTCTCGCCAGAAGCGGTGGGGAAGAAGCCGGAGTAGAAACCACCCTCAGCCTTGGGCTTGCAAGGAGTAGCAAAGTCGGCAGCAACAACGCTGTGGTTCTTGGGGTGGTAGTGGAACTCCAGAATGTCACCGACAGCGGCCTCGATGTCGTTGGGGGTAAAGCTTAAACCGCTCTCGCCGACATCAATGCGGATAGTCTTCGCGCTGGCGACAGCGGAGAGAGTGGCAACGGCAAGAGATGTGAAGAGCATGTTGGCGGTTGTTTTGTTTTGCGTAGGTGTTTGGTATTAGAAAGAGAATAAAGGAAATGTTGAGTCGCTTGCAACTGGGGGTATCACTTGAGTAGGATTTGTTTGTTTGGTCTGAGGAAATATCAAAATTCAATCAGGAACCTGAGGGTGTGCTGGGCTTATATGCATCTTCCTGTCCATCGCCGTAAGGGTCTGCCCACGGGGTGACTTATTCCAAGATGGGACTGCAGCACGGCATGGCGCCCAACGAAACAAGTTCGCGCCTCGCCGGCCAGGTCCCGAAACACATGTCGGGACTTAAACCAAGCCAGAGCTCCCACCACTTCCCCTGGCCGTTCCGTTGTTTCCGTGGAAGAGGGAGCTTCATGCTCCGTAAGAACAAACAGATTGGCAATGCGACCCCCATGGATACGGGGAGGGGCGTGCCTTGAACATTGATTGCGCATTGGCCTGGATGACGCCTCAAATCCTGCACATAGAAACGCTGCAGTGCGTTTTCCGCTTTGCGTATAAGCTAACACAAGCACTACGAACAAGTGTAAAGCAGTAGCGTGAAGCACAAGCAATGCTATCCAAATTCGTGCCCGAGTATACGAGTAATTGCCTGGACCTGGGGGCTATGGGGGCCGCCTTGCCACATCCGGAGCACAGCGTGCCAGATTGAATGTTGTATTGGACCTGGATCGTTCGGGACCAAACCGACAGCCGGTCATCCTCACCAGCTGAGACGGTTGTCACCTCGGATAGGACATATCCTTGGCCAGGCCGGGCACAAATGGAGCCAGGGGGTGCATTGCGGTGGAAGAAGCTTGTTTATTGAATGCAAACTTGCAAAAGCCACACGTAAGGACTAATACCGCCACCGGGCTAGCGCTTGTCTGCTGCTCCTCGTTCGCTCGCTTGCCCTGTGCTGGTAGTCGTGGCTCCAAGCAGAGGGCCTGTCACCAGCTTGTGAGGATGAGAGCCTCCATGTCCCATGTATTGTACTGTAGCCGCGGCATGGGTGTAAGTGCTGTATCCTCGGAATCCGCTCCAGCGCCGACCCGGTGATGCTTCTGCCCAATGGCGATGGTGATGAATTTCAAACACGCCTCTTGCAGATGCCAGCGCTGCCGTCTGCAATGCAATCAATCCCCACGCCTCTTTGCCGTGATGCCCGATGCAAATCCCATAGCCGCTCAACACAACTGTCCCCTTTCCGTTTCACGACTTGTTTCCCATTGTCAGGGCGCTCTGGCCAAACCGTGGCGCGACGGACCGTCAATGTGCTGATACACGTTGTGCCTCGAATATCCCCCCGACTCGGATGCGAGAAGTGCCGGCCCTTGGCTGGTCGGCTGCAGCATTAACCCAGCTGGGCTGAGCACCCTTGGCAACCTATCAGACGCCAGCATTTCCCGCCAAGGGGTTGATTTCAAGCAATCAAGATGAGCAGCCCAAAATAGCTCTGCAGCCAGGGCTAGCCCGACAACTGGAAACTCTGGAGTTTGGAGAGGGACAGGAGAAACAAAGCCAATGCGGGGGGTCGATGCGTCTTAGTGGCTGCCCTGGCCGGCGGGCTCCATCTTTTGTTTTAGCGCGTTTGCCTGCTGTGGGAGGCGCGTTCTAGTGGCCTGAAACATGGACGTTTTAGCATTGAGCCGCTGAAACGTCATGAAAGGGTGCAGCGTCATGCCCTATGAAGCTCTAGGCGAACTTTTGGATATAGGTAGTTGATTGAGTACATAGCACAGTAGGTAGCTGTCGAATACACACATCAGTACGCAGTACTCCAACTTTCCGGGTTGATGACTTCACCCATACCGATGTAACCCCAGCTCTCGCAATCTATTGCCTCTTGGCGATCAGCTCCGAGCCAAGAATCGACCAACAAGAATCGAGACTTTGCAGCCGAAGGAAGGGGTCTTAGTCGTACGAGACGTAATTGTGTAAACAAGTAATCAGGTCCACTTCAAAACCGAGTACTGTAAATAGTATGGAACAAGTACCGTAAATAGTATGGACCAAGTACTCTAAATAGTATGGATGCGAATAACAATGTCATTACTAAAGAGATAGAGAAGCGGATAACAGTTCGATCCATTATTACCTACCTAAGTATCTAGGTACAGAGGTTAGAGGCGCTCATTAGGTGGGGATAGTAGCGCCAGAAACACAGCTGAGGACCACCAACTTACACGCTTAATCCGTCTTGGTGATATTATTCACTAAGCAACACTCAATGGACATTTCATTTAGCAATAATCGTTTATAGAACAATGTCTAAGCAATGACAATAGCATTTCGTCACCATTTCCATTCCTGTACAACCAAGCCCCTCGCCATCATAGCCTTCACCCCCGGTCAACTCAACTACAAACCCAAAACCAGGACCACCAACAGCCCATCTCATCATGTCCGTGCTCATACTTGTTTACTGCTCACATCAGATTCTTAAATCCAGGGACGGAACTATTACAAGACTGTATCTCGCGCTTTGTCTGTGCCCATCTCACTAAGACGGCTTGCGAAAGTACTCCGAGCCACCGCCGATAATGAAAGGGGGGATCTGAGAGACATCCACATGTCAAATTTGTGCTCCGAGAACCGACTCCCGTTGATGCCGTGCTCTCACGGCCATCGGTAGCCTTCCGACTCGTTCAAAGAGGAAGGTAGATGGTGGGAGGACTATAATTTAGTACCTCTGTCAAAACTTCAAGGTTCTTTGTAGCAAGCGAAGTTTATAATATTACTATAGCTGGTAAGTTACCCGGCACTGCTCTGCTTTGAGATACGTCTCGTATTGTTTTAGCCCTTTCCTTGTTTCATTAGGACATCGTATGTGGTAATAAACTTCAATATGCTATTTTCTAGTAGTATCCGAGAAAAACAAAAGTTATACAAATGGCTTTGAGCCAAAATCATCTTATGAAACCAAAATGCAATGCCCCGTATCCGATCCGCCGTACACCGATATCCAACAAAATACATGGACTGGCTTACTCGTGGTTCTCATTGGTCTCAGCGGCGAACAAGCTGTCCGCGTCGTCTTCAGTCTCCCGAAGCTCCATTCCGACCAGCAATCGCTCACGCTCTAAAATCACCTCTTGAATCCACTTCTTTTCCGCCACCATTCGCTTCATCAACTCCGTCTCCTTGTCCACATACGATGCGTCCATTCTCTTCCTCGCGCTATACATGAGCTCCTCCTTCACAGTCCGCTCGTCCTCGAGCTTGGTCTGAAAATGGTGCATTTGATCGTCCTTCCACCTCTGCCACGCCCGGTATGCCTGATCCATCCGCTGGCGCAAGGGCAGCATGCTTGCTTCAACTTGTTCATCCCCGTCGACTTTATCGGCCCAAAAGTCACGAAGCTGTGCCAGATAATCCTCCTCCAATTGATGCTCTAGAGCCGCTCGAGCAGCATATTCCTTGGTGTATTTATCTTCCCTGGCTCTGAGTTTGATCAACATCAGCGAGTCAAGATTATCACGCTCAGCCTTTTGCCTCTCCAAGAGTTGTTTCTTTGCTAATTCAGCTTCGGAGGCAAGGTCTCTGGTATTATCGTCTTGCTTCGATTCAGCCATGACCTGTTGAAGCTCATGAAGCTCATCCAGCATCTCGCGCAGTTGCTGGTACTTGATCTCAACCTCTTGGCGGCGGATCTGTTCCATTTTAAGCCTTTCCTCGACTTCGGCTTGCCATCGTTCCAGCTCAAGCCTTTCTTGCTCAAGCCTTTCTATCTCGAGTCTCCAAGCTTCTTGGCGCTCAAACTCCTCAATCTGGGCGAGAATCTCGCGCAGCTCCTCTGCTTCAGCTCTTTCGTTAATCAGCCTCTGGCCCCTGCGAGTTTCGGCCGCCTCTTTGACAGCACGTAGCTGTTCCATTGTACACCCGCAGGTTCTCCAACGTAGCCCGCAGACGTAACAGAACTGAGCACCGCATCTGCACGTCATATGTTGGCAGGCTTCTTTGTGTTCCACCAATGCATGACAAGAATAGCAATGCTTCCAGCCTTCTTCCTCTGCTAGCAGGTTGGTCAAGTTCAAATCTTGATCCTGGGGACAGTCGTCGTTTCCGTGTGCTTGGCCTCGGCAGATGGTGCAAGTGATGTGATTGCGTTCACAGCGGGCTTGACGCCGGGCGAGACTAATCTTGCCAGGCTTGATCCAAACGCCACAGTCAGGAACATGACAGTATACTCGCTCGCTGACAGGGATTTCCCACTCCGATGACCTTTCATGGAACGTCTTCTTAAGGTCGTCGGGAATATTTTTTAGAACAGTCTTGAAGGGGATCTGATTTAGGCAGCATTTAGGCGGCCACTGCTGTTCGTTTTGAACTGCTGCTGTTATTAGACGAACAAAGCAGTCGCGGCAGTAGCTGTGGCATGGAACCTTGATTGTATCTTTCACGGGGACGTCGTCGAGGCATGAAACGCATTCACTAGAAAGAGAAAGAGGGGCGATTAGCTCGAAGAAACCAAACAAGAAACCAAACAAGAAACAAAACTGAGGGGCCAGGCAATAAACGACTTACACAAGCGCATTCGGATCCGCAGTCTTGAATAATTTGGTCATTTTGAGTGCCGCAATAGCTTCCAAAGTTTTCGGATCGGCCGAGTTCGGGTTGACAGACATAATCTTAGACTGTAGTTTGTGTTGAAGAGCTTCACGAGCCCGTCCAGCTGCGCTGCTTTCCCCGCCTTCTGGACTGCGCTGGAATAGATTGCGTAGAGCAAACTTTCGACGCTTCTCTTCTTTGGCTGGGACTCCCGGGGGGCCCAAGAGAATGAAATCTGGCACCGCCCCGGACATGACCAAATCCTTAGAATATTTGACACTAGTATTTAATGGTTCGGCTGGGGATTCCTCGGACGGAATGAGGATGGGCAAATAAGGCTCCTTTCCCTTCGCCTTTTGTTTCTCTTCCGCTGTCCGACGAGCAGCCTCCTCTGCGGCCTCTTTCTTCAGACGTTGCTCTTCGCTGACTCGTGCTTTGACGTTTTCAATCGAGGTGACGATAATGTCTAGGAGGATCTGGGACGTCACGTTGGGCGTCTTTCTAAGTGCTGTAGGTGGATCGTATTCGTGCCAGTCGATGCCATTGATGTCGTTGGTGTCACTGATGTTACTGATGTCACTGATTCTATTATCGGCCGGCTTCTCTGTCGACACTGGTGATTCGAGTTGTTCTTTTCTCTTGCCAGCATCTTGTAGCTTTCCCAGCGCTGTATATGGATTTTCGTAGAAGTCGATGCAGTCTTCCGGCCCAAGAGATGCGGACACGAGGGTATGCAGCTCGACCGTGGATGTGGTCATTGTGACGGTTGCAGCTTTCCTCGAGCTGAAGCTGTACGCGTGGCCTACAGCGCCTTGGTGGGATAACACTCGAAGTCGCACGGCAGAGCACTGCAGAGCACCACAGAGCTTTCGATTTCGACAAGTTCACTCTTATAAAGCAAAGGATGTAAACGAAAGAACAGTTCAGCAGCTTAGAGCTGCCGCAACTACGATATGACACTATAAATGGACTCGTGCTACCTCCTTCAGACGGCCTCTTAGCCAGGAGCCGCAAGCTTTAGGCTACGGTTGCTCATCCATCGAGCAAGGCACCCTGACCCAGGCAAGTCAGCCTCCTCACGGTCTAGTCCATGCTCAAGACGGCAACCTAGGCAAGCCCTCGCGGGAAGTAAACCAGCTTCTCTGCGCGAATCTGGGCCAGTAGGATGCCGGCACGCACCACCGCCCGAGACATCATCGCCTTGCTGTTCACACATCGTTGGTTGGAGCCCCGAGGAGGTGGAGAGAACGCTGCTGCGAGGCGTTGCAGCTGAGCTGCTAGCGCAGCTTCAGCCACTGACGGGACACATGGACTCTCGTCGGTATCGTATTCCGGGAACACGAGGCGAAGATGGGCTGGCGTCCCGTCTTGGAAGCATCGCAGGTGCTGTTTGGCCGCCTTGACGCCAACTCATCGAGGCTTCGTTGAGAGCTTGTTGGTGCAGGGATCTGGGGAAAGCGGAATCAGCAAGATGCCCCCGTTGACGCTGTTTCACGAACAAGCAAGAACTGGGGCTTTCGACAGGGCGATCGCATGGCATGATGCCATTGCGGGATAGCGGGTTAACTGCAAGGAGTTGGAGATGCGCCTCAGCCGCACGTGTGGTTGGATTCTGGCCACTGAAGGCTCGCACGTGGGCGCCCCGGAGGCACTAGCGATGCCTTATCAGGTACTGTACCTCTGTAGGTTGTCTGATTGCTACCACTACCTCCACTGGTAATGAATACCTGCGTGCACATACTGTACAGTACCTACTGGTAGGAAGCACCACCTGCAGACATTTTGCCAGAATTAAAGGCGCGCAATCCTGCCGGGAATTTATCAATATAGGTTTCAGGCTTGGTGTCAAGCATGCATTAGACAGTTGAGGCTGCATTAGAGAGCAATGCCACAACGATAATGTACTCTATTAATAACTTTGATTCACCCTGCAGCTGTCACTGTCACCGGGACGAGAAGGATGCGTCAATATCGGGAAATCCATGTGTCTTTCTGTCGCCCTGCTTGGGTATAGTACCTAAGTTGCGATATAGCCTTTAATACGGGAAGAAGCTATGTGGTGATGGGAGATATCTCTCTATCAAAAACCACTCTACCAGCCACGTAACAGGTAATAGGTAATAGGTATCTAATAGCTATAGCAGGAAAACCCGGACCAAATATCAATCGCCCCTGGCAGGTAATAAACACTTCCTTCATCGTGCACGTTTATACTGTATGAGGCCAGCAACCCACATGCATGTCGGGTACCTGAAATCTCTCTTCATGTCCCTGGAGCCTCACCTAGCACGAACACCTGCCGCATCCATCGAGCTAAACCGTAGATGCTCGTAATCAAAATAGCTTCTGACCCTCATCCGTCTAGATTTTAGCTCTGGGAGCGTCAAACTCCACCTTGTTGGTACTGGAAGGATGGCAAAGGTGCCTTTTGTTAGCGTCGCCTTGCTTATTCCACCTCCTCAAGGATCAGGGGACAATATGGTTACATACCACGTGCCAACACTTTCAAGACCAACCTCGACGACATCGCCGTCCTTGAGCCACAGCTGCGGCTTTCGGCCCATGCCTACGCCTTCGGGAGTTCCGGTGAAGATGATGTCTCCAGGCATCAGCGTCACGCCGCGACTAAGGAAGGATATCATTTGTCGCACACCGAAAATCATGTCTGCCGTGTTTCCGTCCTTCATCTATGAGTCAGTTTGAGGCTTCCAATCGTCATGTGCCAGTCGCATACCTGGACGGTTTGTCCGTTGACTTTGGTCCAGATCTTCAGATTCTGAGGGTCCTTGATGACATCGCCCGTCACAATGGCCGGGCCATAAGGCGCCCAGCCGTCAAACGCCTTGCCAATAGACCACTGGCTTCCTCCGTGCTTGAGTTGCCAGTCTCGGTGAGAGACATCGTTACCGATGGAGTATCCTAGTACATAATCAAGTGCATCGGCTTCGGACACATCTGTACATCTCTTGCCAATCACCACAACAAGCTCACACTCATAGTCCAACCCGGTCCCCTCCTGGGCCATTGAGTGAACGGGAATGGGGTCGACGGGGCCAGACAGAGCTGTGATAGGCTTATAGAACAAGACGGGATATTTAGGCTCTGGCAAGTTGGATTCTTTGGCATGTTTGGCGTAGTTGAGCCCCAGGCATCGAACAGTCTTGACGTGAGACTGTGCCAAGGGGGAGAGCAGCAGCCGAACGCCAACTTCTTGGTCCGTCACATTATACTTGCCAAAGATGTCGCCTTCGATGATACGGGCTCTCTGAGCTTTGGCAACATCGCTGACCCCCTGAGGCAAAACGGCATCGCCGTAATATGTGCGGCCATCCTTGGCCAAAAACCGAATGAGACGCTGTCGAGGGGAGGTTCAATGTTAGCATTCATTATTAAGCTGGAGTTAAACTCCATAGGTGGCACAACTCCGTGGAGGACAAGCGTGTAGCACATACAGTAAATCTGGCAGACATGATGGCTAAAGGATGAGTGCTTAATTGATCAATGCAATAAATCTATGGCAAACAGTATAATTTCCCACAAGAACTGGCAACAGGAAACGGCGCTGCTTTATCCGATATCGTCATGTCCTTCTTTGCACCGCCAAGAGACGCTCCGTATACGGTTGATCGTTTACCCTCCACACAATCGGACTCCGCTCTGGCGCCGAACCCCCACACAGGCGGCGTTGATGCTCCTCCAAGAGCCGATTTTCCCAGTTGGTGGGCGAGGAGGCTGCAAATATTCCACCAACTATGGGCCGGTGATTTGCCAGCCTTTCAACCGCGCTTCAACGGCGTAATTCACGGCGCAATAGGCGACGGAAGCCATCACACAACCCTGCAACGATGCGTCTCTCAGGCCTACAGAAGGAGGTGCTGGCGCTGTATCGCCAGTGTCTGCGCGAGTGCAGAAAGAAGCCTCAGGTGTGTACGGGTTAGAGAGAGATTAGAAATTTGGAATCCAACTAACTAGGACAAAAGAACACCCGCGCTCACTTTGAAAAGTTTGTGAGGTGAGATGAACTCATTTTACACACACCTCCACATATCAAATCTTGTTATAGGGAATAGATCGGGCTTTGGACCAAAGTGCTCACATCCGTCTGACAGGGATGAATTCTCGCGCAACTTGGCCATTGAGAAGCGCGACTTTGCCGCTATCGAGTTCCTGCTCCGCAAAGGCCATCGGCAACTCGACGTCTACTCTTCACCTGGTATCAAGGATATCAGGTAAGTGAGACGCCCGCCGCACTTACCGGGGCATCAGGGCGGAAATCTCCAAGCCGTGGCCTCTTACTTTCGCTATATGCGATTCATGATGCCAATTACAGAGAGCAACTACCAGGACACACACCTTGCGGTCTTGCACTTCGTTCCTGGATCTTGTTTATCCACCTTCAGTCGCTCCTGTCCTCCTTAAACTACCAGCCAATATGGCCGCTCTCCCCTCAAACTTCAATGCTCTCTCTGTCGAGATGACAACACAGAGCTGCATGACCTCTGCTTCATGCTTAGATCACACCGAAACAACTTCTTAGCCATCGTACCAAAGAATCATTGTCTCCACTACTTCTCATCTACTTTCCAATAGCCTCATCTCGTAAACCTCTCGTTATTTTCCATGGACGCTCGCTCAATGGCTACGTTAGCAGCCATTCCCGAGGCTACCTCTTGTTTACTTGATAGAAACAGAATTCGATACCGCGACAACCCTGCACCGACGTCGTTTCATAGGCAGCGGCCAAAATCTCGTGTTGTTATCCTCTCTAGACGCTCAAGCCGGGCGCGCACGCCGACTCGCAAGCCCTCTCCCCCCATGGCATCTCCCGGATCAGTATATAGTAGTGATGCTAGGCAAGCGCCTGAGCAGGCATATGCGGAGATGCCATCTAACGAGGCACGCAACTCGCCTCTAGACTCTCCTGGTTGCGCTCAGCCTGATATTCGCTCTGCCTATGATACGGGGACCACCTTCCGAGGCGTCAGTATGAGGTCTCTCGATGGGGCATCCTCTCTTGACCAGTCCTGGGAGCCTTCTGAACCATCAATCGATTTGGATTCTTTCCCACTGCCTCCGGTGAAAAACCCTTCGCGACCGTCTGTATACGGAGTTAAACCTTTAAATACGGCTACGAATCCACCACGGAGCCATGTACCAGTGCTGCAAAACCCCGGGATGTCGGCATGCTTTGCAAGTACCAGGTTTTCATCTCCTCTAGCTAGACAGAGGCCTCACGCGTGCATGCATAGGAGTCCACCTTCGTCGCATAGTTTGCTTCTTGATGGCGCTGCTGGCATTGCGAGTGCCTCGAAACATACGTCCATCGATTCTGCTCTTGTGGAAGCAATTTCTCGAAGCGTATGCCAGCAGCTGCGGCTCTTTACAGCGATATCAAAAACCAATCAAGAAAAAAGAGCACCGCGGGCATCTAGAGAGGTATCGAATAGCCGATACGGCAATCACTCGCGGATGCCCAATCAACCAGGCCTGTCGGACAGGCTTGCAGCAAGACGACATGGGACATCCCAGGGGGCCAAGCGTTTATGGCAGCACACAAATCCACCAACAACACCAACAAAGTCTAATATATCGTTACATACAGTATCTCCACTGTTGCCATTTCGTCCAGAGTTTAAGGCAGCAGGATTAGCAGTGACATCGAAGGACCAGAAGCGTGGTTTTCCCGCCTATATTGCAAGACTCATCTCAGCAAAGCCAAACCAGAGGCGCGCAAACCCGTCCCGTGGCAAGCACCCAATGGTGCCGAAATTCGATGGCATCGAAGAAGAAGATTCTGGCGAGAGTTCAATGAGCCAAATATCTTTTGCCCCCTCCCAAGACATGGATGAGTGGAGGTTCGCATTGATTGACGAGGCGCCTGTTCGAAAACAAAAGCGGCGGCCCGCCAAGGAAAAGGGGAAAACAAGACGGCGTTGGTTTCCTTGTTTTGTCGGGGACAAAGATTCTGTTGCGGATGGAGAATAGGCGCACTTCCGACAGATATCAGGAGATGCCGTTTCGAGGATGCCCTACGACTCGCCTCCGACACCCCCTCCCAAGCCTACACCACTTGTACTCCCGCAGCGAAATGGCCGAGAGAGCGGTACTCGTCCAAGAGCCGATTCAAGCCCACGGAGCCCACGCCATAAAAGCCTGGGGATCCGAGATGCGTTTGGCTCCCAGTCAAGACAACCACCAAACTCGACGGCGTATTGTCATGGCGGGCATTACGATGGCGAACCAAGTTCAAAGGAGCACATCTGTATGCGACCACGGGCTAAGAGAGCACAGACAACTCAAGATCCTCCTGGTCGCCATTTTAATTCACAAGGAGGCCAGAATTACCAGAGACAGTGCCAAAGTCTCCCAGTTCAGAGATTAAACAGAGGGCTATCAGAAGCGACTCGGTTCAAAACAGATATCAAGTCTCGACAACCTCGTCCAAGTTTCGATCCTGATCACATTGGAGTATGCTGTAGAAGCAGTCGCGGCGTCTCCTCTCAGGCCAATGCACCACCCAATATTCCCACGAGGACGTCTTCAATCCCAGAGAGTGCTCCCACCTCGGAGGATGACCGCGAAGGCGGCTACGGCAACATTATCGATAGAGATGTGCTCCGAGGTCTTCATATTGCAGCATCGGCAGCTTGTGATGAAGAGGTAGATGCATTTGTGCGCAACAGAACTGGACTGCGGCTGCGTCGATTTCTGGCAGACTTGAAAGTGCTAGAGACGCTTCGAGACTTCCAACCCGTTGAAAGTCGTGGCCCTGGAGCGAGGCGGAAGAGGTCAACCCTGAGGCAATTGAAGCAGCAAGTTCGCCGATCACGGGAGGTAAGGGGATCTGTAGGGGATTCTGGAATGGCTGTTTGATGGGACAGAGTTGCATTGTCAAAATCAATATTGATATCCTCATATCAATGTGAATATTGATGTGCTGGGGCTTTCATGCGCTTGAGTTGCCGGTTTATGATATATAACTTAGGGAAGCTGAATTATGTACTTTGTGTTTTTCTCGTCTCGAATCATCATAAATAGACTACGTTACCTACCTGGTAGTTTGGTATTTTCCTTTGCGCTCCAAGGGGATTCCAAATTCCTCCAGTCAAACGTCGTAAAATGGTATCTCGCTCCCTGCCAAAAGTGCTAACTTGACAACTGAATACCAACATGTTATCCCAATATACTTGAGACAGGATATCTTTGCGAGCTCCAAAAATGCCGAGCTTGACAACCAAACAAAAACCGTTCCGACAAAAGTTCATAACATCATTCACACTTTCTGCTTCTCCCTTGGCTCTAATGAAAAAAGAAGCCCTTCAGCTCATCACAATCAAGGCCAAGTCTCTGCATGCACAAGCTCCCCTAGTGCTTTGCTCTCCTCCAATATCTGCCTAGCCTTTTCCGGAGAGACATCCATGTCCTCCACGATCAGCTGCACGCCCAGCTCAGCCACCAGCACCGACTGGATAAAGACAGCCGAGCCTCTGCTCGCGATTACCTTGTCGTGGACGGCCTTCTTCTTCAGCATGTCGCTGAATTCCTTGACGAGGTAGTCGCACATCATGTTGAAGCCGCGGGGGCCGTAGTATCCCGGGTTGAGATTCTCTTCCTTCTCCATGGTTCGGGCTTGGTGCTGCTCAATCTTATCTGCCAGGGCAGTCCGGTAGTGCGATTCCTCGCCGTTGATGATATCGACGAGGTGCTCGTGATGTTTCTTGAAACGGTCTTCTAGGCTCGCCCAGTCGACTTTAGGGTATGATTTCGATTCCCACGTCACCATTGCTGATTTCTTCCTGTGAGACTCGCAGAATGATGTCTGTAGCCGGACATTGAGCCGCTTCCCCTTTGAAAACTCCTTTAGCAGATTCACGTCAACCGTGGCTCCGCACCAGGGGCACTGGGCTCCCCCAGCCTCATCCTCGTCCCTATCTGGGAAAAGAGAGCCGAGCGAGCTCAGGCCGCTGCTGCTTCCATCAGATAAATCGCCGTCGCGAATGTCGCCACCGCTCTTGGCGCCGGGTAGCACGAAATCCGAGAGCTTTGCCGGCATGACGAACTTGGCTGGCGGCGGGGAGGACGATATTGGCGTTTCCTCTCCTTCCTCCCCCTTGAGCGCATTTTTCTTTTTCGAACGCAAGGGATTGGTTCTTCGTTTGCTTTTTGCTATAGATTCGGCGCCATCCGTGAGGGATCTTGGTTGGCTGTTAACCACGCTATCGTCGTCGTCATCCTCTTCATCTTCGCTCTGAGACATGATGTTAGGCTGAAGAGGTGAGTATTTGGCAAGTTTGATCGGAGACGAGAAGCCACCGGAATCTGGCACAATGAACTTCCAACTTTTTCGAGGCGTGTTGGTGCTATACTCGGGAGGAGGGCGAAACTTGAGGGGAGTCTCTTCTGCGACTGCGCATCATTAATCATCAGCGGCATACAATGCTTGGCAATATGTAGGCTATACTAACCTTTGGATAATAGGCGGCTTCCCTGAGAACTGGAGCTTTTCCTCCCAAAGGTGGCTTTTACCTTGGCTTGCTTCGTAAAACCATGGGGACCTAGGAGGTGACTTGGAGGGGGCGGTGCAAATGTAACAGATTTGGTGAGTACATTTTTCTTGGTTTTGGTCTTGTCGATGGAGGCATCTGAGGGCCTCTTCCTCTTCTTGGCCACTGACTGTGACTCTTCGGGTTCTTCCTCAACTTGTGGTGCCTCTTTCGTCTCTCGAAGTCTTGATTGACGAGTTTGCCGTCCACCCTTGTGGCCTAGGGGTGTGAAAGTGGTGGACGAAATGGCTCCTCGTGGCGGAGTATCTGAATCCGAACTGTCGGCAAAAGCCTGATCAGATGCCCGGGTGGCCTCTGCATTCTCAGCAGTGTCATCGTCTTCAACTTCGTCTTCCACATCGCTAGACGCAAGAGGCGGCGCAAATATATCGTCAGGAACGGGCTCAGGGACCTTGAGCTGAGAGCGTCCGCTCTGGACACTGGACTCTGGTTTTGGTTTCGGTGCCGCCGCCGCCGCCGCCGCCGCCGCCTCCGATGTCGTCGTCGTAGTCGTTTCAGTCCTGGACTTGATTGATTTGAGTAGAGACCCAGGCGAGTTGCGATGGCTTAACCCTACTCTTCTTGCGGGTGTAACCATGGTGCTTGTCCCTTGCTCTAAATAGAGCCCCCAAAACAATATCCCAGAGAAGAAACTGAGCCCTCAATGCTTTGGCCAAACAGCCAATGGCAATGCTAACAGGAATGGATTGCAGCTGCTGAAATTGTCCGCCTCAACAGGGTTGGAAGCCAGGCTCTTAAAATCAAGCGCCCCTGCAACCAATTGTGTTGATGACAACTAAAGATGTGGCCGTCAGACGTTACGCAGCGCGTCTTGGACGCGTGCGCTATTGCAGCTTAAGGTGGGACATCGTCTTTAGTTACCTCATTAAATCGCTAAAGGTTGGATATCGATTTTGCGGGGTTCATTGTCCAAGGTAAACAACGATGGACGACAAACTGCACTGAGCTCTGTGGCCAATTCGCCCCGAAATCGCAATAAGTCTAAGGATTGGTAGAATTATTGAGAATTTTGAAGCCAACAATAATTTATACATCCATCGTAAAAGCGGCCGGACATTGTGTATTCTGTTGCGAATACCCGCAACAAGTACCTTAGGTGGTAGCAGGTACCACCAAGTGCCCCGCGACAGCACATCTGCAAGGCTACCGGCGCCTGTACTCGCAGGGAGTTGACCCCTGGAAGAGAAGACCCAGCTTCTGATGGGTTTGGCCTCACCTCCAAAGCTCCGACAAGCACACAAGACTCGACCACACCACTAGCTTGCGTCAAGATCGAGCCTTGCAATTTCACCATGGCGCTGAACCGCAAATACGCGGCGTTGCCAGACCTGGTACGCTTTCGCGGCAAACGCACAGCTGCTCAACGTCTAACTCGCACCAGGACTCTGCGCCAGATATCTACGAGACCCCAGAGCTTACAGATGACAACTCTACCGTTCCGGTAACAGCTCAAGCTTCTTTTCCCTTTGCAGATCGCAGTTAACGATGGGCACAGACGACTGCAGCTCGGACGCTTTCCGACGACGAGTTCTACGGCGTAGAAGACGAGACGCAGAACATCTCGCGGTCAAGACTGCGCATTGACGAAGCGCGCACTCGGTTTTCTCCAGCTACCATTGATATTAGTGGAGCGGACTTCTCAGACCGCGTCGACGGCAAGCGACGATCATATAAAGCCTCCAGCCGCCGCCAGAGAATATTGCAAGATGGAACAGAAGAGCTGGGAGATCTTTCGGATGATGACGACGTGGAAAGCTTAGAACGCAAGATTGCCCGCCTAAAGCGAGAAGTGGAAGAAACCAAGGACGAATATGCCAAACGAAAGGGGGCTGCGGTCGATGATGGCTCCCCGGGCGACATGAGGCTCGAGTCTCTAAGTCAAACTTTGGATGACCTATCTAGGCGCTCTGGCATTACCGGCATCCAGAAAATCGACCCAACATCCTCAAATGCAAACGAGCCCATTGCAGGATCACTCGAAGCTGGGCCCACGTACACCATTACCTACGCGCCAACGTATGAGCAGACACATGCTCTCGCCAAGGCCGCGGATTTTGATCGCAGGCTATTGATCCTGGAGAGGAGCCTCGGTATCAGCTCATCATCCATGTCAGAGGCCGGTGAAGGCGGGCTCCCTCGGGCAATTCTCCCCACACTCGACTCTCTGGAGAAGCAAATATCGACACTATCGCAAGCCTCAACCGCCAACCTAGACACAATCAGCCGCCGAGTTCGAGCACTGGCCACTGAGCAAGACAAGCTGAATGAATCACGCGAAAAGGCAAAGGCTCTACGAGAGGAGCTCGGCAAGCACGCGGGGTCCCCTCCGGCTGACACATCCGAACAAGAGGCCAAAATCAACGCCTTGTACGCAATCTTGCCTACGATCGAGAACCTTACTCCTATTCTGCCCCCTCTGCTTGACCGCTTGCGATCACTCAGAGCGATTCACGCAGACGCCGCAACCGCCAGCCAGACGCTAGACCAGATTGAGAAGCAGCAGGCAGAGATAGCAACAGAAGTCAAGCTGTGGAAAGACGGTATTGAAAAGCTGGAAGAAACTGTGAGCAACGGCGACAAGGTCATGAAGACCAACGTGGAGGTCATGGAAGGCTGGGTAAAGGACCTAGAGCAGCGACTAGAGAAGTTGACATAGAACCAGCGCTGCTGATGTTGCGAATTTACCATCTGCAAAGAAATGATACCCAATTGAGCGAAGCTCCAGAAAAGAATTCAATGTCCTCCAAAATGTCGTTAGCGCCTAAGCTTTCAGTTTCCGTTCCCCTCAGTAGCTTTATTGGAAGCTCCCTTTCATTGGGGGAGCTTTGAATGGCTGGGGCCATCACGTGGAGACGGGAAACGACGATTACTACATAAAAGCCTCTGAATGCGGCGTGTTTATTCCTACTTCCATCATCGTCAAACCACGATTCTCTTCCAGAACAAGATACAAATTATTCGCCATCTAGGATGTTGTAAGTGCAAATCTTCTTTGCATCTCGCATTATCCTCTTCTCTAGCATGATGTTTCAAATAGCATGTATTACCTGATTGTTATTGATGTCACATTTATCACCAAGATCTCTGACGCTAGACCTTTTACTTTGTACCTTTGCTTCAGCTGCCATTCGACGTGAGGAAGCTTCTACGCTAACTAACAGACTTGAGGAGAAGCAATTGCTAGAATACGCGTCCAATTTCTCTGCCGAGTTGATAGCACCATATATCTTACTGCCTTTTAACGCAAACCATCGCCATAAGCTACAATGACATCATCCGCCCCGAAATCCCCGCGCGGTCACTTCAGCGTGCTCTATTTCGCCAGCGCTGGCTCTTTCACGGGACGAGACTCCGAGAGCTTGCCTGCGCCTCTACCTATAGGGAAGCTATTTTCCGAATTGGAGTCGCGGTATCCCGGCATCCAGACCAAAATTCTCGACTCGTGTTTGGTAACGGTCAACCTTGATTATGTAGACGTTCCTGAAGAGGGCGAGGACGGCTCTCTGATCCAAGAGGGAGATGAGATTGCCATAATTCCACCGGTCAGCTCTGGCTGAATATCTAGCCATGCGTTTTGCATAGTGACGTCTTCATATGTTTCGATGGGCTGGAATATCGATACGCGCGTCCTGTGATTAAACTCGCAGGCACTTCCCAGGAGAAGCACGGCTCTCATGAGATATTTTCAGACGAGCTCTCCTGGTGTGGTGATAGCAATGGGTCTCGCTCTGGATTGCCCCTCTCGACGCGCCTTTGGAATGGCCGCTTCCATCGAGATATCCATTCCCAGCTGATTACCTTTTGTCCTGATTTCCGTATTTTCCAAACCGTTATGACTGCTGCGGCAACGACCAAGACCGCCGCCAATGTTGCCAAAATGGATACCACAACTGCCAGCGCCATACCAGACGAAACTTCGCACCCAAGAGGCCTCGTCCTGACCTCCCATCGCTCATCTGGATGCGGGCAAATGTTACCGGCGAAGGCCGGCGCCAGTATCGGGATGGCATACTCGTTTGGCACGCATGACCACGTCTGCACAAATAAAGCGTCAATATACCACTGTTAAAAAGCCTTTGGTTCACTGTTTGTGGTATATAACAAATTCCTTCAAGAAAATACGGAGAAAGCACAGCCATTTTGTAGATTTAACTCCAGCATGGGGGACTCACATAGGGACACCAGCTGCAGCCTTTACTGTTCAAGCATCCCCCGCATGCCTGCTCAGCCCAGCACCGTTGGAAGTGCTCATCGGTGGTTTCGGCAGCTGAGAAACTGCCATTAAAGGCCTGGAGACGCATCTCATGTAAATTCATCGTGGGTAAATGTAAAGCTAAGCGAATCCAACCGTGATGCAGTGCTTCTGGTAGTCGATGGAAGACGCTAAATAGAAGAGCTGTGAGTGGTTTTGGTCGGTCTTCTGATTGCACAGCCTTTATTCCCCGGAGTTGGAAGGCAGACCGTGCGGGGAACAAACGGCCAAGTTAGAGTTCAACGGAAGCAACAGCATTAGTCAGAGTTGAATGTTGCAACCAGAATGTCATGTTGTGTACATATTCTTTACATATAGCAGCTTCACGATTTCAAGTATATATGGAGGCTAGCAAAAGAAAGTTTCGTCTATCTTGCCTATTGCTTCATACCTACCTACTAGGTATGTATACGTGATTTTAGAAGAAAGAAGCAAAGGTAGCAGAAAATACGTATATATCAACAGCAGTCCTTCAGCGTATTCTAATTCTTCTTTGTATACCCATATGTAAACCCGGTAAAGTCAGGGAACACATGCAGCACCAGCGCTTCACACGGAGCCAGCGATATCTGGCCGTTTTTGATATCACCAACCGTCTTATCATGCGTGCTAAAGAGCACATCTCGAGGCAGATCATCAACCTTCCACGTCACCTCGTCGAGCGAAAAGTTGCACACGACGAGCACAATCTCCCCTAGGTTTTCTCTCTTGTACGCAAACACGCGCTCATTAGCTTCGTCGACGAGCTCAAACTTGCCGTAGACGAAAATATTCTTGTACTCTTTGCGTAGCTGCAGGACCTGGCGGTACGTGTGGTAGACGGACTGCGGGTTGCCGGTCTGGGAGGCGGCGTTGACGGCTTTGTAGTTGTCGTTGACGCGCATCCAGGGGGTGTTGCTGGACGTGAAGCCGGCTTGGGGGGTTGAGTCCCATTGCATCGGCGTTCGGGCGTTGTCGCGCGATTTCTTTTGGTATTCCGCCTTGACGAGCCGTTTGGTTTCTTCGTCTGCGGTATCCTTGTATAAACTGGAGCAAGTAGAATAACGTCAGTATGATATTCATCAGAGCGAGTAACTATGCCCGTATCGTGTATTTCAGTGAATTAGCTTACTTCCAGTGATTAACACAATCAATATCTTTATACTCCTCGATCGGCCACTCCTTGGGAACATTCGTCATGCCGATTTCCTGTCCCTGGTATATAAATGGCGTGCCCGCCTGAAAAACATGAAATACGGCAATGAGCTTTGCACTGGCCTCGCGATGCTGAGGGTCATCGTATGCGAAGCGGCTGACGACTCGCGGCTGGTCGTGGTTTTCCAGGTAGAGGGCGTTCCATCCATTGTTTTCGTACATGAACTTTTGCCATTTGTTGACGACTGTCTTTAGCTTTGCGAGAGTCCATGTCCCGGGAGAGAACTTTCCTTTTGGGCCGTAGTCAAGATCCATGCTAGATTGGGAGTCAGTTTCGTGATTATATGCAGCGTAGAAAGGCATCTGATGCTATTCATATGGTATAACCCAGCAGACTTACTGTTCAAAGTGGAAAATCATGTTGAGTTCTCCTCGGTCCGCGCCCACAGCCTTGATGAGCTCATTCTGATCCTGCACGCATGGCATTTCTCCCACATTGAATGCATCGTACTCTTTAAGAATAGCGCCGAGATCTTTCAAGTATTCATGCAATCTAGGTCCGCAAGCGTAGTATTCATGGCCTCGGCATACCACTGTGTCAGAGTCTGGGAAGCGTTGGTCTTTGCTGATGAAGTTGATGACATCCATCCGGAAGCCGTCTATTCCTCGATCGAGCCAGAAGCGCATAACCTCATGGACCGCCTTGCGCACGTCCGGGTTTTCCCAGTTGAGATCGGGCTGCTCTCTGCAGAACAGGCGCAAGTAGTATTCGTCCGTTTGTTCGTCATACTCCCAGGCGCTGCCTTGAGCCATAGCAACTCACGTTAGAGTCCATTTGTATCTCATCTCCGCTCCACTGCTGCATCTTAATACCATTAAGATAGGCGTACCTTGGAAGTGACTTTCCCAATTGTTTGGGGGCTGTCGATTGCCTTGAGCATCATATTTAGGTGGACGCCAGATGTACCAATCCCTGAAAGGGTTGTCCTTTGACTTTCTTGATTCTTTGAACCATTCGTGCTGATCGCTCGTATGGTTGACAACCAGATCTAGCACAAGCTTCATCCCCCGTTCATGGAGCTTGTCTTTCAGCGTATCAACGTCATCAATATCTCCATAGATGGGATCAATCATTCTATAGTCACTGATGTCGTATCCCTATGCATATTATGTTTGTTTAGAATACAGCATACATACAACTCCTAACCCAATTGTACATGTGCATATACTTGTAGGGTAGCAGCTTAGAGTCGGGAGTTTAAACCAACCATGTCTTTTTGAGGACTCGCAAATATTGGTGACAGCCATACTATATCCACGCCGAGGTCTTTGAGATAGTCTACGCGTGAAATGATGCCTTTGAGATCGCCGGTTCCCGAGCCTGTGGTATCTTGAAAGGATGCAGGATATACTTGATACACCGAACTCTCTTTCCACCAAGTTTGAAGCTGTTTCGTGGAGCCCATGGTGGCTTCTTTTGGAAAGCAACCCTGATCTGGATCGTACGGGGATGTTTCAGTTTCAACTTTGTCTGGAGATGTCAACCTCAAGGAGAACAAGTTCACACATGGCCATTTCAATGTTTTCTTTTAGCCCGTAACTAAACTATTACAGCATGCGGGGGATTTCGCGGGGCGCTGAGCCCACTGTAAAAGAACACTATGTCCAGGCTATCTCCATAGAGTGGAGGTAGTTTCATCATTGTAGACCCGTAAGAACGCCAGACGGCCTGTATTATTCGTGGATATAATGGGACAGGAGCACAATTGAAGCTGCCAGGCAACTAAGGCCGTGGAACAACACACGGCCAGCCGGTCCAGTGAGGGCTTCCGGAGTTTCAGCCGCGAGGTGAGCTCGTGTTTGACGCCGGATATCTCCCCGCATCTTGCGCCGATTTTATGGCGAGACAGTTGCAGAATCCTGCTGCAATGATGGAACAAGAGGCTGTTACGGATACTGTATAACTACTAAGGCACCCGGCATGTTATGTGAGACGGATGGGCGACTAGCAGCAGCATTGGAAGTGGTTTGAAATCACAGCCGCAGCTCCATTCTCTCCTCGACTTAATGAGATGTAACCATATGACACCGCCCGCAAGCGTAGGTAGCTGCATTTCTTTACTCGTATGCGCCAATGCCTGCTTCTTCCATTATCCATGTATATAATCTCCAACGCTTGGCATGTACGAAGCAATCTTTCAACTTGACACCTAAGCTGCAGCACGCCTAATGCTACCGACTCGATGGGACATTGGGGTTTCAGGTTTGTCTACAGGGATGGCTCAGCTAGTGGTTGTTCGCCGACCGAGTTTTCCGCGCAACTCTCTCCCAACAATCAGGTGCTGCTGATGCAGATAAAGTGTTGACAGCAATGATCATCGCGCTATACACCCCATTACATAGGAGGCCATGCGGCAGGTTTCCAGTGGCTTGGGTTTGACACGGCGCAGGGAACCGGGTTTTACTCATCCTCCGTTCGGCTTATCTCACTGCGACTGTGACACAGCAGTCAGATGATTGACATGTGTTTGTACTGGCGTCACGCCCAAGCAAGGGATTCCCCAATGAATGAGGCATTCCCTCTTGTTTGGTGCTGAGCTGACCAGCTTCAGGTTTGTCTTGGTAGGGATTCAGACGGCATTAGTGGCTCGGCTGTGTGAGGAGAAGACTGGACTCCATGTCACCAGCGAGATTATACGGTGCCGGGGTAGGGAGTGCAAGTATGAGTACAGTAGGTGCTTGTACATGCTGTCGTAGCCAGTGCTTGGGCGCAGTGAAATGACGCAGGGTCCTTTTAACACCATCATATCATGATTTTGACCTTGCCTGTGGCCATCGGATAGGAGGGAACTCTATCTATCCGAGCACATTCCGCAGCAAGCCTCCCGATACGGGCTATTCCGCTCAAGCTTGGTGGACGTGTGACGCTCATTTCGAGGCACAAACAGACCACCGTTTTGGCGGATAGCGTCATCCAGCACAGCCGCGGCGGCCGCCGTCAAACTCTACTGGCATGAATCCGGAGTTGACTCGAGCCCTGGCCCGTATCCGCGGCCACTGATGGCCCTGAGCCCCGGCAAAGTGGATTGGGGTGCAGGCGCCGGCGACGGCGAGATGCGAGACTGTCAGCGCAAAGTGGCAGCGCGCGGCTCGACTTCCAGGGGGGAGAGCAGCCTCAAGACGGCATAACCCAGTTTGCCAGTGTAGCTCTAGCACTGAAGCAAGTGCTGTGGCCAGGAGGCGTCAGTGCCCGATTCAATTGAGATTTGATGAGGTGGAGAAGGGCAGCCAAGGAGGACAAGGGATTTTGTGGCAGATGCCAAATCAATGGGCAATTTTGAAGCTTGACAGGTGCACGTTGCTGCTAGACGGGTACGGCGGCCTGCGTACCTGTACCTCCAAGGCCTCCGTGATGGCCGCTGCGCACAGGTACTCATACTAGATGCTGCTGAACTGCCGTAGCCGCGGATTCACGCCCACTTGGGACGTAGCCGCAGCCCATTTGCGGGTGCCGGTATCCGCCGCCCCGAGCGGGGAGAACGTCATTTTCCCGTATTCAGCCCAGCCTAATGCCAACGAGAAGACCCGAAGCATCGTCGTCATCGCAGCCAGAGCTGCTGTATTCACGGCTTCGACTGATTGCTACAGCATACATGTACTAGTAGTTACACTGCTTACCAGGAGGAGGAGCAGGCTTACAGGCACCGGCACGGTACTTGCCACCTGCGCGGGACGGTAGGCAGATTGGATTAGCACACGGGACATTGTCTTATACTGTATTCAGCCCGTACTGGCCAACGATTCCGGGTTGGGCGATCCCGTTTGATTGGCGCCCATGCTAGTGCCATGCCATGCTACCGCCTAATGTACGAAGCATCCCGGCTGCCGATAGACCGTTTCTGAATGGTGCCGTACGGAGTACTCGTAAATGAGAATGACGACTAATCTCATGTTCCTTCATTTGCGTGCGTGCGAGTGTGACGCATGCAGCAGCAGCAGCAGCAGCAGCAGAGCAGAAAGCCCTCGGCCGCATCCACATTCATCTACTGTATAATATTAGTAGACCAAGGAAGGCATGCAGCTAGGAGGGAGTGGTAGCACCACTGCGACGTTTGGTGATGCGCAGTTTTCCTGTGCATTGGTCAACCTCAGGCCAAGACCATCAGGTTGGCAGGCAGCAGTATTTTGCTGCCATCTGATTCATCGGTGATCTCGTCTTGTGCAAGCCTTGACCCCCCCTCGCACAAGACGGCTGACAGGCGGCTTTGTGCCGTGCTGCGTCTAATTAATCTAGAGTCTCACCCTCACGACCAGGTTGCTTACAAGACCCGACGCTGCTGCAGCTGCGCAAATCAGCCAGGCATGTACCGGGCATGTACAGGATGTATGTACATACATATGCCGTGCTGGAACAGAAGAACCCTGGATGTCACCATTGTCGATTGGGCAGCGTCATGCTACATTACATCAATACCTTACCTGCTACCTACGTACAGTGCTGGACATCGTATCGTATTGATTTGATTGATATGAAGGCTACAGTACCGAGGCTTTTTTAGCTACCAAGTACTCCGTAGTCTAATAGGTATGGAGGTGTTTGGTCCCGCCCATCCCAAAAGGTAGGTCCGTACGTAAAAAGAGACTGGAGGGGAAAAAAAAGACAAGCATCCCCTCATCTCATGGCTTGCCGCCAGAGCATTGTGATGAAAAATGTGTTCGCCGGGTGATACACTTGTGCCTGTCCTGTCCTGTACAAGTACACGTACTCGTACTGCGCTGGAGAGACAATCCACCCCTGCGCAAGCAAGCCATGGAACACACGAGAAACCAGCCGGTGGTGCATGTGATTTGATTGTGAATTGCGAGTCTAGTCTAGCGAGACGTTAGTGAGTCTAGAGCGCCAAGTTGCTGTCCATGTACGAGTAATTTTAGACGTCGGGAGGTTGGACGTTCTTGGTATGAGAGCTGCCCTTTGTGATTGATCTTTGGGTTGTACTGGCGGCTACGTGAATACCTGCACGGTACCTATACGAAGCGAATTGAGCTGCTCCGATGCTAGTACTGCCAACAGCATTCAATCAATGACTAAGTCATCGCACATGCAGCGTCAAGCTCTGCTAATTTGAAGTGTGTGTGTGAGACTCGGTGCGTTCGTTGTGCCTGTCCGCTTTCTGCCACCGAGCCTCCGCCTCGCCTCGATTTCGATCAACCCATCAAAACTGCCAGCCCTCCGCCCACCCCCTCACACCCCCTCAGAGCAGAGCTAAGCAAGCAAACTGTGTTCAGCCCTGCCAAACCTGCTCCGGGGCAGGCAAAGCCTCTGCTTGTTGAGTTTTGGACTTGGATAATCCCGCGCTGCAGCCGACAATCCCAGCTCTCCAGCCCCTCGTCATACGCAGACGACCGTCGAAGCGAAAATCTCTGCTCTGAGCCCGACATTCAGAACGACACAGTCGCACCCTCTCCAGCAGCGCATCAGCCCGGTCAAGCATGACGTGAATGCGCCTCGACGACTCCAGCACCTGTTCCGAACGCATGGTAGTGGCCTGGAGCTCTCCGCTAGCGCCTGGGTGACAATGGCTGAGAATGAAGCTGCCTTCCGCATCAGCTCCGGCACGAGCGCAAGCACCGACAGCACTCGATCCTCCATCACGGCGAAGCCCTCAACCCCGACCGCGGCCTCATCCGAAGCTGCTTCGCACAACGGCGTGGGCGCGGGCGCAGGTGTAGGCACAGGCCCGGCGCACATTGACACGGACGCTTCCACGCCCCATCACCACAAGTGAGTTTGCCCAGCTTCCTCGTCCCGTGCCTCCAGGGCGTTGCGAGCGAGCGACCTCGTCCCGGCCGCCCGTCCCGTCGCCTTTATTGCTGTTGATCTACTGCTATCCGTGCAAAGCAAATGTCTAACGCTGGCCCCTGCGCTTGTAGGAGCCTCTCACGAGATGACGACCTCCAGATCTCGCCCACCTCGACCGGCACCACGCGAATGTCGCCCACGACGTCGAGAGAGAGCGGCCGCCGCTTGAGTGACCTCACCAACTACCGCCGCGACCTGGCCGTGCTCGATCCCCCCCTGCGAGGCCATCCCAACCCCGCCAACTATGCCGCGAGCCTCGTCGACGAGTCGGCCGACAACATGTCCATCTTCTCGCAGTTCTCGTCCGGGCTGCACGGCATGGGGTCTCGCACCGGCGCAAGCTCGTCGCTGGGCATGCAAGACTCTCCCGAGCAGCTCTTCTACACAGACGGGCGGCGGCCATCGGCTGCTAGTGTCACCACGACGGCTAGCAGTACTGGATCCAAAGCTAGTGGTCCCCGTGGCGGCTTTCGCAAACTGCAGGGCTTTTTCGGCGAGGAGTTTCCTGGGCGCGACAGCTCCGAGAGCAGCCTCCCGAACTCTTATATGGGGAAGGACCAGCGATCGCGCTCTTACAGTCATACTCGCCCAACGCATCGCGATCGCAACTACTCTAATGCCACCGATCATACAAGGGATGCTTCGCCTGCCTCGTCACGGCCCAGGACCCCAGTTCCGGCCCCTGAAGTAGTGCCCTTTTTGTATCAGGACAACACTGTAAGTCCGCCTTGTGTTTCTGATTTTTCTTTTCTCTCTTCTCCCCTCCTCCTTGTTTGTTTTTTTGGCCTTCTTCTCTGTACCTCACCTTTCTTTTCCCCTTCTCTTCCCCCTTTACCATATTTCTTTTTCTTATTTTGCAGCCTCCATGTCCCTGCCTCCCCTTTCCCGAAACGGCGTAAGCTCTCATCTGTACCTTTCTTCTCTGATCCACTCTTTTTTTCGTTATGGGGCCGCCTGCGATCCACGAATAGTGGGGGTCGAAATTGGAAATCGGTTTCGCCTGCAATCATGACACAGAATCTGACTTGCCCGTCTTCCTCTAGGACATTGCGCGGTATGGAGAGGCGCCAGTAAGAGACATCATGACGGGCCCCGATCGGGAACGATACATGTCGGATGGCGCGCCTCAAGTGCCGCCGAAATCCTCCCAGTCCTCACGCGCCGGCATCGTTCACCTCCCCGGCCACCATCACCGCCATAACAAGAGTATCGATGATCCAAGGAGCCTGCGGCCGAGCACCAGTCGGGAAGACTCTACGAGCAGTTCATATCCTCGCGAACGAGGGGGCATGGCGGGGACGCTCTTCAGCAGCTCACGCTCCAGAGCCCAGAGCCCGACACCGAGCATTGGTAGCGGACAGGCGCCCTACTCAAGGTCTGGAGTGCTCGAGGGACACGCTTCCCCTGGCCACCATGGCAAGCTTGGCTTCATGGGCCGGTTTCGAAGGCATAAGGATAAGGATGACGGCAACGGCGGCGGCTCCAAGCTGAGAGACTTGCCCCAGTCTACCAGGTCTTTGCAGGCAAAGTCCTCCAAGACGGACTTGACGCGCCCCGAGCTGTCGCCATCCGCATTTCCTTCCACCTTTGTCCTCGGCTCTGGAGAGGTATCCGATGCTTCTGAAACCCGGTCCCTGGTGGCGCCCCGCGCAACGTTCAAGAACAACTTCCCGTTCTCCAAGAATAAGCGACCCTCTCGGCCGAACGATTGCGATGAGATCATTGGCCCGACCGACCGTGCTGATCCTGGACACATGTACCACCTCGACACGAACTTGAACGATATGGAAGGTATTCTGGCCAAGCCACCCCCATTGACCCCCATGGACACGTCCTTCGTGAACATCGACCCTGACCCCATCGATTCGGCAGTTTCACCGCCGGTCAAGGGAGGAAGTTGGGATGCCCCTGATAGCTGGGCAGTCCGCCGAGGAACCGAGGACACTACGATACAGCAGCCAGAACCGGAAGAACTCTCGAGCCCACCCCGACCCGAGGAGAAGCTGACGCCTTACTTTATTCGCATATTCCGATCGGACGGGACCTTTTCCACCCACTCCATGGCTTTAGACGCCACCGTTGCCGAGGTCATATCTCAAGTGATTAAGAAAACCTATGTCGTTGACGGGCTCGAAAACTACCACATCATCATGAAGAAGCATGATCTGATCCGCGTCCTAACGCCGGGCGAGCGGCCATTGCTCATCCAGAAACGCCTCCTACAGCAGGTCGGCTACGAGGAAAAGGACAGGATAGAGGATTTGGGCCGAGAGGACAACGGCTACTTGTGCCGCTTCATGTTCCTATCTGCCCGAGAGAGTGATTTCCACTCAAAGACGGCGGACCTGGGCATCAAGGCCACGCAAAAGGTTAACTACGTCGATCTTGCCGGTCGCAATCTCGTCACCATTCCCATCTCCCTCTATCTCAAGGCTAACGATATTATATCTCTTAATCTCTCTCGTAACCTGTCTCTGGACGTACCGCGAGACTTTATCCAGTCCTGCAAGAACCTCCGAGACATTAAATTTAATAACAATGAAGCAAGAAAACTACCGCTCAGCCTTGGTCGGGCCGCGAGGCTCACGTACTTGGACGCCTCGAACAACAGGTTGGAGCAACTGGACAATGCTGAATTAAACACACTCTCCGGACTGCTCAGAATGAACCTGGCCAACAACCGCTTGACGCACTTGCCCCCTTACTTTGGTGCATACCAAGCACTGAGGAGTTTGAATATTTCCTCCAACTTCTTGGATGCCTTCCCGCCCTTCTTATGCGACCTGCACAGTCTGGTCGACTTGGATCTAAGCTTCAACTCGATTGCTGAGCTGCCGGAGGAGATTGGCCAGCTCAAGAGCCTGGAAAAACTACTCATTACCAACAATCATCTTAGCGGCGGTGTCCCGGAATCGTTCAGCGGCCTTATTAGCCTGCGCGAGCTCGACATCAAGTACAACTACATCACTAATATCGACGTTATATCCGAACTCCCCAAGCTGGAGATTTTGTATGCCGCTCATAATCACATCTCGGCCTTTGTTGGTAAATTCGAGCGCATTCGCCAACTCAAGCTTAACTCAAACCCACTCAACAAGTTTGAAATCCAAGAGCCACTCCCAACTCTCAAGACTCTGAACCTTTCTCAAGGTCAGCTGGCGAGCATCGACTCCGCATTCGCCAACATGCCGAATCTGGAACGCCTCGTCCTCGACAAGAACCACTTCGTCTCGCTTCCGCCTCAGATTGGTGCGCTGAGCCGTCTGGAGCATTTCAGCATTGCTCACAACTCCGTGAGCGAACTGCCGCCCCAGATAGGCTGCCTAACAGAGCTGAGGGTCCTCGATGTGCGGGACAACAACATCTCTAAACTGCCCATGGAAATTTGGTGGGCTCACAAGCTTGAAACATTCAATGCCTCTTCAAACATGCTGGAAAATTTCCCCAAATCCGCGTCAAGAGCCCCCAGACTACCCGGTGAAGAGCCGCAGGGGCCGCCTCCGACTTCAAATGGCAAGGCGCTCCCCATGGGGACGCTTTCCGCCACTGGCAGCTCTGAGGAATTGGCTGAAGAGCGCCGGCCCAGCCAAGCGTCTAGCACCACTCTGCTGAGCGTGGGCCCGACGCCCAATATCCCAGGAGCAGACCGGAAGAGCTCTGTTGTGTCCGTCTATGGAAAGGGAGGACGTAAGACGTCTGTCATGTCTAGGGGCACGACACAGTCACAGAACACGGTCTCAACTTCGAATCAGTCATTGAGAAAGGACTCAGGCCTGTCGTCTAGATTAACCAACACATTTGCTGGATCATTGCGAAACCTGTATCTTGCGGACAACCGACTGGATGACGACGTGTTTGACCAGATCACACTGCTCGCCGAGCTTAGGGTTCTCAATTTGTCATACAATTGGGAGATTAGCGACATGCCTCAGAGATCAATGCAAAGCTGGCCGCAGCTAGTAGAGCTATACCTTTCTGGAAATGTGTTGACGAGCCTCCCGGCAGACGACTTGGAAGAATCGAGTCTTCTCCAGACCCTGTATATCAATGGCAACAAATTCACCAACTTGCCGGCTGATATATCAAGAGCGAAGAAGCTTGCAGTTTTGGACTGCGGAAATAACCAGCTGAAGTACAACATTGCCAACGTTCCATACGACTGGAACTGGAACCTAAATCCCAACTTGAGATACCTCAACCTTTCGGGAAATAAGCGACTGGAGATTAAACAGACAGCATGGGGCGGCATCGATGGCCCTGGAGCCGTGAACCGCGAGGAGTACACCGACTTTAACCGGCTTCTCAACCTGAGGATACTAGGCCTGATGGATGTTACCCTGACCCAGCCCAGCATACCAGATCAAAGCGAAGACAGACGAGTTAGAACGTCCGGGTCGCTGGCAGGACATTTACCATATGGTATGGCTGATACTCTGGGTAAGAACGAGCATTTGTCCACGGTTGATCTTGTCGTTCCACGGTTCAACTCTTCGGAAACGGAGATGCTTTTGGGTCTCTTCGACGGCCAGGCCTTATCCAACAGCGGATCCAAGATTGCCAAGTACCTCCATGAAAATTTTGGACACATTTTTGCCCAGGAACTCAAAGCCTTGAAAACCCGCCAAAACGAAACGCCCGCCGATGCGCTCCGAAGAGCCTTCTTGGCCCTCAACAAAGATCTGGTGACCACCGCGACCCAGTATTCGGATGATCGGAAGAAAAAGTCGCATAGGGGTGTATCTCAGCCGGTCATTCTTAGTAGGGAAGATCTCAATTCCGGAGGAGTCGCCACCGTCCTATACCTTCAAGGCACGGAACTGTACGTGGCAAACGTTGGCGATGTTCAAGCCATGGTTATCAAAACAGACAGCAAACATCACATCCTGACCCGGAAGCACGACCCCGCAGAGCAGACAGAACGGTCAAGAATTCGCGAAGCTGGCGGATGGGTATCACGCAATGGCCGACTGAACGATGTGCTACAGGTATCTCGGGCCTTTGGATATGTTGATTTGATGCCTGCAGTACAGGCGGCACCGTATGTGACCAGCATGACTATCCGAGAGAACGACGACATCATCGTCATGGCTACAAGCGAGCTATGGGAGTACCTCCCACCTGGTCTTATCACAGATATTGCGCGAGCTGAGCGTCAGGATCTCATGCGCGCTGCGCAGAAGCTTCGCGATATCGCAATGGCGTACGGAGCATCAGGAAAGATTATGGTCATGATGATTAGCGTCGTCGACCTGAAGAGAAGAGTGGAACGGTCTCGCCTTCATCGGGGCGCGAGTATGTCCCTGTACCCCTCGGGAGTCCCTGCGGAAGCCCCATATCTCCTTTCCACGAGGCGGGGACGAAAGGGCAAGGGAGATGTCCTCGACTCTTCCCTCAACCGGCTCGAGGCGGAAATCCCCGCCCCGACTGGCAACGTCTCCATTGTCTTTACCGATATCAAGAATTCTACGACTCTTTGGGAGATGTATCCCAATGCCATGCGATCAGCAATCAAGCTGCATAATGAGGTGATGCGGCGACAACTACGCCGAATAGGAGGATACGAAGTCAAGACAGAAGGTGATGCCTTTATGGTGTCATTCCCCACTGCGACTTCGGCTCTCCTCTGGTGCTTTGCCGTTCAGATGGAGCTTCTCGACGTCCCTTGGCCTTCAGAGGTTCTCAATTCAATGTCTTGCCAGCCAATCTTTGACAAAGAAAACGCACTGATCTTCAAAGGACTGTCTGTTCGCATGGGCATTCACTACGGGGATTGCGTGAGCGAAACAGACCCCGTCACCCGCCGCATGGATTACTTTGGACCCATGGTTAACAAGGCATCACGTATTTCGGCTTGTGCCGATGGCGGCCAGATCACCGTGTCTTCAGACTTCATCTCCGAAATCCAGCGTTGTCTGGAGAATTATCAAGACACAGACCGGAATACATCAGCCGGATCGGAAGCCTCTTTCGAAGATGAGTCAATCGCAACTGCTATACGCAAGGATTTGAGATCTTTAACTTCCCAAGGATTTGAAGTTAAAGAGATGGGAGAAAAGAAGCTAAAGGGTTTAGAAAACCCTGAGGTTGTCTATTCATTGTACCCTCATGCTCTCACTGGCCGCATTGAATATCACCTACAACATGAGCGTCAAGACATGGGGGCTGACAGGCCTACTGCAGTTCTGAATGGTGAGCTCGCCTTTGATCCTGACACTATCTGGTCATTGTGGAGAGTCAGCTTGCGTCTTGAGATGCTGTGCAGCACCTTGGAGGAAGTCAGGGGTCTGGGGCTTCAGCCCCCGGAGACGGAACTCTTGGAGCGTATGAAGACCCGAGGAGGCGAAGTCACTGAGCGCTTCTTGATCAATTTTATGGAACATCAAGTAAGCAGAATAGAGGTAAGCATCTACTGACTATATTTATTATACGCCCCTTCCCTGTTGGCCTCATTCTAACACGAAAGATAGACTTGTGTGTCGACCCTGACGATGCGCCATCTCGCTATTGGAGGCGGTGCCCTCCGAGAGCTTAATCAACTTCGTGCCCCCATGGCTGCGGTGTTTGAGCACTTCCTGAAACAGAAAGAAGAGTTGGATCGGTACAAGCAAAAGTACGGTCCCATCGATGACGATGAACCCAGCAACGGGGTGACTATCAGGGGAGACATTGAAGATGGTGAAAGCGGTGAAGACGCGGAAGATAGTGAAGAAGATGGAAGTGACACTGAGCAAGAGTAAACCTTGTTCAGTTGTACATTATTAAGCCTGCCATAAAGCGAATGGCGGCTTCTCTCATAACATTGTTTAAGGCTTCCGGTGGAATCCTTTCCTTCTTCTATTATCTCGAGCGGACAAGAACCAGGAGAGAGTAGGGCCGTCGAGGCTCTAGGAGTTTAAAAGAGGGTTTGAGTTCCCTTCTTTTTTCTTTTTTTCCCTTATTGCATTCTGGATCAATCATGCTACAACGTGGTCGGATGGATTTAACATATGAGGCTTTGCGTTGGCGCAGTCTTTGGCGAAAGTTGTTTATCGGGTGGATTGGGGATGTTTGATGCGTGGGTGCAGTTTTTTATTATATATATACCTTACATATATTGTTACGAGTCGTTTTGTACAACCTCTGGTGGAAAGGGGGATTGGTTCAATGCATCTACAGCACAGCAACTGGGCTTGCAAAGCGGTTTTAGGGGATTGGTCTTATTTTTTATTTCTTTTTGCTTTTGTTGCAAGTAGTCACAGCAATATTCTTTTTTGCATACGTGCATTGATTGGGGGGGAAACACAACCTGGCGTGAGAAGAAACAAGAGAAAAAAAAAACTTTGAGTGGATCGATTTGATTTCTGGATTTGTTGATTTCATTGTTTTGTTGAGTGTGTATGTATGTATATGTTGCTTCTATTTAGTATTATTCAATATCTTAGAATCACAAACCAAACTAGTATTAATGCGATAGCCACTACCCACTAGAAGAGAAAGCTTCTCTACATAGGGCGGTCTATGATGTTTGTTTCACTTGGATACTGCATCGTCCTTTCGAACTTGTTTCATGATGTGTATTCGGGGCGACATCCGGGGGCCAATCCACCAGCCTCCGGTGTATTTCCTCACCATGTCCCTGACCGTGGCAATAGTAGCGCCCTGGCCGAGGATACTGCCATCAGCTCCTTGCTCAGGCGATGATTTTGCTGACACGGCTGTCTGGCCGGGTCGCAGGATTTCGATGCCGTCGTAGCTGTGTATCCGACCGATGGTGTCCCATGTTCCGATGACGAGAGATGGATCTTCCATGAGGACGTAGTCAAACTGGGACCAGAATTCGGGGCGAAGGAGTTCTCCGTCTACCTCAGTTTTGTCGAAGATCAGGACTGGGGACGAAGATGTTGGCGAAGAGCCGTGGAGGTTTTGGCCAAAGAGAGTGAGCCCCGTCATGCAAGTGAGGACGTCTGCGTGGACGAACAGCTCGGGGGAGGACGAAGTGACGTTGGTCGTGATGGCGTAGAGTTGAGAGATGGCGTCGCCGCCGGGGTAATTGAGCGATGAGAGGAGGAGCATGGCTGTGCTGGCGGCGAAGGAGGCGAGGACGGAGATGGCGAGGATCAGGGTGGCGAGACCATAGATGAGAGACTTGGATCCGCGCGATGAGATGAAGTTGGCGCCTACGGCTGCGGCCGCGGTGAGAGGAGGCACGGCGTAGAAGATGAAGCGGGTTTCTTTGTGTGGCTGGATGGAGTATACGGCGACGAAGACGATGGATGGAATGATGAGATCCCGGACTCGACCAGATGTTCCAGGCTGGGAGAGCGCCAACCAGATGAGTGGGATGCACAATGGATTGAGCAGAAGCCGCGGCAGGGCAGACGTGAAGTAGTAGTGCCACGGCGAGACGCCCCAATTCGAAGATGACCCCAGCACGGCATTGTAGTAGAAGCCAGCGAGCTCCGGCCACAGCGGCCTCTGCCAAAAGTACGAGTCGACAGGCACCGAGAGGGCAAGCGAGGTGACAAAGGAGGCGATGAAGACGACAATGAACTCGCGTAGGCCGAGGTGCCTATTGACGAGCAGGAGAAGTCCCGTGGCGGCGAGGAGGATGGCGAGCTCGGAGCGGAAGACGGCGGTTGCGAAGACGAGGAGGGCGATTGCTCTGCGGCGGCTGATGCGAGCTTTTTGGGGATCGTTTTGGGGGAGGAGGTAGGCTGCTGCTAGGGTTGCTGTGACGTTTATATGAGTATGATGAGAGTATGAAGAAGTAATGAGAGATATTGATGACATCAGTAACGAGGTAAGGAGGTGTGATGTATACATGGTTGAGTATACGAAAGCAAGGAACTTGGGGTATGAACTCACTCAACCCAAAGGCAAACATGTTGGGCAGCGTCCTGCTCAAGTAAAACACCACATGGAACTGGCTCACGCTCAACATCACCCACCACCTCGCCGCCCCCTTCCCAAAGGCCTCTCGCAACGCCCTCCCAAACACCACCAGACACACGGCATTAAAGCACCCCAGCACCGCCCTCACAATGAACTGCGCATGCTGGAACCCCGCCAGCGCAACCAGCGGCTGGCTCACGCCCGCGAGCAGCACCGACCCGACAAACGTCCGCGGCACGGCGCCGGGGAACGTGAAGTGGTCGTACGTGGACGAGAGCCGCGCGTGGACGTCGTGCGTCGGGGTGCCGTAGGTGAGGATGTCATGGGTGGCCTGCAGGTTGAAAGATTCCTCGACCTTTGTGTAGGGCGCTGCGAGGAGGTGCAGCAGCGGCACGGCGAAGAGGAGGGGATCTATGTGTTTTCTTGATTAGTGACGATGGTGAAGTGAAGGATGCGGGATGTGATGCTTGCCTGTGAATTCCATTGTCTTCAATGGCTTAGGAGTCGCTCATGTCGTATAAGAAACTGAGCTGCTTAGACGTTTAGACGTAACTTGTAGTCGAATCTGTCCTCTTTGGAACGTGTCCGATGGCGATCTGTAAATATGACGAGCACAGGCTGCCAATTATGCCCATTGACTGGAAAATTGATAAGTCGCAGTGTCAGCAACGAACACTTGTCTCATTCCTTGGTCCAGGTTGTTCTCTTAAATGAGAAGCTGTACTTGTCCGGCTCTCTCCCTCATTATAGGGCCTGGCGGTTCGGAACGGCTCAACCATCCGCCGCATCTGGTACGGCCGCCGACATCTCCAGTGACATCCATGGATGTGCCTATAGCACTTCAATTTCATCAAAGTTCAGTTCCGTGAATAAGTAGAAGCAATTTCCCAGAGAAGCGAGGTTGGAAACAATGCCACTATTGCACTTACGGATCCAAAGTATACTTCTTTCACTAGGACCACCAAGGCTCTAACCTCTGCTAGTGATATCGCAGTACTCAAACAGACGTTCCATATTTATGCCATTCCCTGATACTGCACTCACTCTCCAAACCATAAGATATACGTCAGTTGTCAAGTCATGCAAGCTTCTCTTCAAATCAAGATTCTGGATAGCCAACTTGAGGGCTTGCTGCACGTAGCCACTCCCGTAATATTATTCCCTCCTAGCGCTATGTCAAGTAACGAAATGTATGGTACAGCTCTTGAAGAAGGAATAGAAACAATCAAAAAGAGAAAAAAATCGACAGAGGCGAGCCATAATAATAAAAAAATAGTAATAGTAATAATAAACGCATCAACCCGCCGTGGCGAGCTGCACATTACCCATTTCAACCAAAAACAGACCCTACCACGTTGAGCATATATCACCGCTTGTCCTTGGCCCTTTGCCATTTTGAGGTTTGTAGAAGAGGGCGTAAAACTGCCCCAAGGCAGCCCAAATGCCATTTATCAACAATAAGATGGCTTCTCATGCCAGCTCTCTCTTTCATCGTTAGGTGCTGAAGAATTTCCTCTTAGATAAAGGCTGTAAAATGCATAATGTTCCCGTCATCAATCGTACATACGAATTCGCCATACGCCGCCACCCAACACCCTCCTAGATGCTTTGCTGTCTGTCTCTCTGTCTCTCGCTTTGGAGTATATCTCGAGGACTCAAAACCCCAAATCAAGACCACTGGGTCCCTGTTTAGGGGAGGAAAGATGTGCTCTTCTTCCTGCCTAGGCCCATGCTGATGCGCCCCTTCTTATCCTTTTCGGGAGCATCGCCATTCATGGGGCCATCTGGTAGAGGGCCACTCTTGTCCTTGAAGAAGCTAAAGCTGCGCTTCGACATGGACTTGCTGCCTCGCTTGGATCGATCCAGGAACCCAAAGCCTCCGCCTTCTTCCTTCTTTCTAATGGCTTCTTCTTGCGCTGCGGATTTCTTACTGGCCTCGAGTGCTTTCTGCAACTCATCTTGCTCGTTTCGTCGGGCCTGCATAGCTTTTATGCTATCTTCTCTGCGCTTTTTCTCATCTTCTTTCAGTTGTTTCTCTTTCAGCTTTTCCTTCTCCTTCTCGGCTTGCTTGGCGGCCTTTTCCACAGCCTCACGTTCCTTCTTTTCCTTCTTCAAGTCATCTTTGGATTTTGATTCCACCTTGGTTGTACTTGTCCCGTTTGAGCTTGTATACGGTACTTCGTTCACCACTGGCGTCTCGACGATCGGTGATGCGGGTACATTTGCCAGCCCAGGCGCAGTAGCGGCATGTGCAAGACTCGCTAGAGACTCATGTTCCGGCATTATGACAGGCTGTGTTACTTGTCGCTTCAGGGGGGCGGTGTCCTCCTTGACCACGCTTTCGTCTTGCGCGACATTAGCGGCCTGTGTTGCGAGCTTCACTTCTTCCATACCTTCCCTCTCTTGCTCCTCTCTGACCTTCTCAAATGTGGTTTCCTGGTAAAAGAGAACATATGCAGTTGCCATTCCGGGCTTGTCGCCAAAGAAATTGCGCACAAAGTGTTTATCCACGGGTTCAACCATCTCGTCATCGAACAAAACCCACCCACGATCAGGGGTCTTGATGATGGAGACGTAGTGGCCATGGTACGCATTGCCGCCAATGTGAACGACGACGGCGTAGAGTTCGTACATTCTGTCAGGATCCTCTGCATCCTCTGTGGTGTTGAACATGCGCAGGTGATAGGGGTATACAACACGATGGAAGAGCTTCTGAAGGCGACTATAGTCCTCGGTGTACTTGAATCGCTTGAGATGCAGAGTCAGTACTTTCGGTAGTTTCTTGACCTTCATACGCTTTTCAGCCTCCTGTAGGCCACCACAGTGGTCGCAGTGGAATTTGTTCCGCTCGCAGAGCATCTCCTCGGCCGAGAATTTGCGCAGACAGGACGTTACGGATGAATGTTCTTCGAGATCAATCGACAGATCGAGGAAAGTCTCGTCTCTCTGCGACGCCGTCTCGCAAGTCAGGCATTTGGTTTCCGAAGTCAAGACGCCCTCAAAGATGTCGTGGACCCAGCCCGTTCCAGGTGTGCGGTAGCCCGTCGCATTGTTCATCAGCGCAGATCCTAGGGCATTTTCTACCGATTGTACAAGGTCGGTTTGGGCCTTGATTTCCAGACGTTCCTGAATCTTTCTCGCATTTGCCTCGACATTAGCGATGACGTCGTTTAATACGAGGCCGTAGAACTCATGAGCGTCCTGGTGCATTGAGTTTCGGAACATTTCGTTGTCGCGCTTGAATATTTCAAGGAAGCGCTGAGGACTCAAGACTCCCGTTCTGGTGCTGCTCTGAAGAACTGCCAGGAAGATGTCCTTGAGACCCGTAAAGGTACACTCGTCCATGCCATACGCCATGCCATTTTCTTGTGCTAGCTCTAGGATCGGGCCCTTGAGCATGGCTTGTTTCTTCTTGTATTCAGGGGTGTCTGGTTTATCCTCAGGCTTAACGGCAGGCTGGCCATTTGCCGGTTGCCCGTTATTGAGCGCCTGTCTCTGTTTCATCACCTCCTTGGTGCTGATGCCCTTCTTATTCTGCTGCTGGGCTGGTGGAGTGGGGTTCATTGGCGGGCGGAGGGTGACATTGACCTTTGGCCGGTTGCCATTGGGGGTTTCCGATGGTGATAGTGATGGATAGTTGATTACGCTCTCTCGGAATAGGTCAGAGTAGAATAAAGCCTGTACGATGGAGTTACAATAACTAAACGAATTCAAGTTAGTGAGATGCAGTTCTATGCCGATTGGGTCTACAAGATGAAGCGAACCAGGTGTTTCCAAACTACGGCTCGATGTTAGCATGGTGACAGTCACACAAGAAAGGGGTCTAATCCGCAGATGGACGGGACGGTCAACATACATTTTCGAAGCCAAAGAACTTGTCAGCCGCCTCCTCTCGCAACGGTCCCGCATTCTGCAACATCTTCTCAAGCGGGGTCAACTCTGGTGCGATTTCATCTTTCTTCTTCGGCACCACTTCCTTTGTGGTTTGCGCAGTTGATGGCTGCAGGAGAGGTTTTGTCAGCAACTATGCATACCGGGGCATGGGAGATGCCAGCGTCTCCTCGGAGCATGGCAATCGCCTCGGAAGTTCCCGCCAACCAAAGGAACACGGCCGTCTGGGGGGAAGGAGGCATACCGTGCTCGCGCCTTTAATCTTGTTAAAAAATCCGGCCATGGTGTCGCCGTATATGCTCAATGTCGGATATCTGGGTATAATATAGAGGAGGTGGGCCAAAGACAACAAGTTTCGGCAGCCAGAGCCGCGCAAGAGCCGCTCAACGAATTTGAAGACGGCGGAAGAGGCTATTCATTCGAAGGATGCGGGCGACTGGCGACGAGCGACGAGGAGGGATCAAACAAACGGACCAATGGTCGAAAGCCGGATGATCGACGATACTAAGTGTGGCGGAGAAGCACCCAGTCCGATGGCTCGGGCGTTTCCCCTTCGCTTTGGTTTTTGCTCGTGATGGCGACGTGGGAGGCTGAAGCGCCGCTTCGGGGGTGCAAGAGAGCGTACGAGACGAGAGCGAGTCCGGTTCGGCGCCGACACAGAGGAACCAGGAGCGAGCGGAGGACGAAAAAGGCGCCGCAGGGAGTTGCAGACAGCAAGAAAGAAGAAGAAAAAAGGCGACGAAACAGCAGGGAGCAGAAAAGCGCAGGTCGAGGAGCGGCAGAAACAAGCAGAAGCAGAAGCAGAAGCGATGGGGGAAGAAGCAGAGATGCGTCTGGACGCGGAAGACTCGCACAGCAGGCATGGAAGTGGTCCAGTTGGTTTCTGGAACCCCCCCAGTCGCAAGTCCGCTATCCGCGACTCACTCCAGGCACTTTCTTCGGGGCTCCCCAGCTCGCTGTGGGCCGGTGGGGAAAGGCCGCTTGCAGGGCCCAGGGCTGGCACTGGCACTGGCACTGGCTGTGGCCGCGGTACTTTGCGGTGCACCAGCGCGGCCGTGGCGGGCGAGGTTCCCCAAACCTTCAAGTCCGTACCGCTAGTACAGTGCCGTGGGCTCGTACCCTTCGAGTGGCACAGTGACTCGGTCGACTAATACCGCAGTGGTACAAGCCTGGATGGGCAGATTCGGCGTGTTGGTCTAGGTCCCTCTGCGCTGCCAGAAGGGCCCTAGCGCCGAATTAACGGGAGACCAGCAGAGAAACAGGCAAGGCTAGGCGCAGGCTTGGGAAAACTAGCAGTGGGCTGGCCTGCGCTAAAGCGGCGTCTGGCTGGCCGCTCAGAACTCACTCGCTGTGGGGGAGGGGAAGCCGGTGCGCTGTCGAGGCGAATGAGAGCGCAACGGCCACCGGGGGAGGACAAGTTGCCTGGCATTCAGGTTGCAATTACAGGTTATAATGTCAGCCCGGCGGGAAAATCGCTTCCCAAAGGAGACGGCGTGCTTGCGCAGCTGAAGGATCGGTGACATTGCGAGGGGGTTTGTCATGTTTGTAATGAGGGCGATGATGACAGATTGATGCTGTTGAAGCGGCGGCAGACGTCGAGTCAGGCCCAACTGCTGGCTGCTCTGTAATCCATTGCCGTGTCTGCAGTGACTGACTTGCGCGCAGACAGGTAAAGCACGAGTAAGGGTGCCATTGGAGGAGATTCTCAACGGGCACTGATCAATTTGGAAACCTTGGCATCCCGATCCCTGGCGCGTATGCAGGCTGGTAAATTGCAGTTGCGGGTGGTGGTCGGCAAAGCATCAAGCAATACGACTATACCTGCAAGATGCTTAAAATAATCCATCCCGCAATCAAGCTACATCTACAGTACCTAGGTGCTGCTGAAGGCAAGGGGAGAAGAAAACTGAGCACTTCATTTTTTGCTCTGATAGCAGAAGACTGTCTCTGCCATGCTGCTATTCCTGGACGGACAGCAACATCGCATGTCTCGCAACAGGGCGGCCGGTGGTTCTTTGCAGCAGGCCATCTCAAACCAAATCTTGGTTTTGGCCCCCAGCCTCACTAGCAGCAGGCAATTGGCCTCATCGATCGAGTGGAGAGACCGAAACACGCACGCACGAGGCACAAGAGACGAGACCCATCCAGCTGGGCTGCTTTTGTCGTATGATATATCCGGGGTAAGCCACGCGGAGGCATCTCCCATTGCTGCATGCGACGCTATGCACACCATGCAGCGTCTTGCTGGGTTTGTGTGGCCTGTACGGCACGCTTGCTCCAGCACTAATGCATCAGCTATCTTGACTCGACAGACGTTGAACCCCGTTTGAGGACACGAGGGATATCTCAACTCCAGGCCTCTGTTCTCTGTCGTCGGGAAAACAAGGAGCGAAAAAAAGTCAATTCTTGCAAAATGCTTGGCCACACTTTGGTTTGTCTGCTCCGGCAAACGCCTCGTTTCGTCAGCGCGCCATAATATGTCGCCGAATGCACGAGAGAAGCAGAGAGAAGGGGAGAAAAAAAGTTGGATATTAGCCGAGTGGGCTGGCAAAAGATGACGCCAACCCGGGCAGCGAGCGGTTTTCGCCTGAGCTCCGCTCGTTTTTGGCTCGACGGACGAAACCGCAAGGCACATGTACCGTTTTGGTACTCGCGGCTCAAATGCAACAGTGCCTCATGGCGATTGATTGCAAGCAATAAATTGCCTATCTGCGGAGCATCGTGGATTTGCGTCCTTTCCATGCTATCAATACGTTTAAACTCGTACCAGGAGATTCGCCTATCGCCTCACATGACTTAGCAGCCTTTTTTTTTTTTTCTTTGCCATCTCGCTGTGGGTTTTCTTGCCTAGCCGTTCGGAGCAAGTTGAATATGGACATGTCCCTTGTAGCAGCTGCAGGCACTTTGACCTCTGTCTGCCCATCCAGCCCGTCTGATCATCGCCCGCGATCCTCCCACCTCCTCCACCCCCGCCTTGTCAATCAAGCCAGCTTGTTGCCAGCATGGATACATCCTGGCCCTCTTGCAGGTACCTCCAGGCACTACAGGTATACACGTACTCGAGCGGCTTCCCAGCACTAGAGTCAACTCTGCAAACAGCCGCAACGAATCGCAGCGGTTCTTGCTCACATCGCCATGGTGGTGCTGTGGGGAAGAACCCCTTGCTAGCCAAGAGAAATAACGTGGCTTTGGACCAAAAAGGGCCCCAGCCAGACACCAGGGAACTTTGCAATGCAGGCTCCTTCAGGTGTATGCAATGAATGGGCGGCGCTTATATGCCATGCAGTAGCTTCACTGTGTTAATGCCTGTACGAGCGCCGTACATGTAGCAGCATCAGTTTCAACTGTGTGCATGGGCGTTTTGCAAGGTTTCTGACAGATTTGTGGGTGCTCGTGCATTTCATTACCAACATGGGCTGCCAATAGCTCTACTCGTATGTACTCTATCAAACCTGCTGCAGTACAAGTGCTGTCCAACCAACATCTTCACCACCAGGCAGCTCGGGATGAGAGACAGCCGAGCTAGTAGCTCATAGTCCTTACAGCACAGGTCGTGTGCCTCTTTGTCTCCTCATCTCTCGCTCTAAAAAAAGAAACACGACCTTCACTTCGTGTTGCACGTCTCTTCCGGATCACCACCTGCATCCACACCACCATACCTCTGCAGCAGGCATCGATGGAAGCTCTGCTTTGCAGCCTCATACCCTCAGCACATGACCTTCCAGAACCAAAAGTACACCAACAGCTGTGACACAAGTCCTGGCATCCTTCGAAGCAACAGACGGAGCGCAGATTCAACGCCTAGGCTTAACGCCAGACCACTTGTGCTACTCCACCGGACGTCATCCCACAGATCGATAATGCGACGATAGCTTGACAGCACAAGCACATCATCCCCACCAGCTCCTCCGTTCCCGCCCTGAGGGAACTTGCCCGTATCTCTGCTGCAACCCAACACGCCATCCGGCTCGGAATCGACAATGACAAATCTCTCTCGGCATCCAGATCTGGCTTCTCAAAACGCACACCGAGCCTTGTCCACAACCACGTTTACCTATCACAGGAGGAGAAATGAAGAGCGTAAATATTGTAGATCCTGGGTAGCCCAGTAGTAAGTGGCCAAAAGTTGATTCATCAGCCAAACGCCCAGCTTCTACTTTACCCGTCCGCCCTCTTTCTCGGCCAACCAACGCCCTTGGCAAACCCCCATCCATCACAAATCTGTTTTCTCTCTTTCGCCCGTTCAGCCCAGTCGGCCCTTTCCTCTCGCTTCTTGCTCATCATTTCTCCATCTGCCGCCCGTTTTGTGGAGCACACCCGAATGCTCACCTGTGAACCGACAACCCGTCGGACGTTGGCTCGCGGATTTAAGCAACCGATTCGTGCGTCAGTACCCCATCACGCCCGTTTGCGTTGACGAATACTGTACGAAGAACGTGTGGCCATTTGTTGTATCCAATCAAGCAAGGTCGCAAACAAGACCAAAATGTAATGTTGGGCTGGAGGGGAGAAGAAACGCCAATCGGACATTCTCTCTCGGATGCCCATTGCCGACTTGGCTGTACTTGGCTGTGGCTTTGCCAAGACCTTGGTTCAGTTCCCAAGCATAATGAAGAATACTAAGGTCTATTCCAGTATATCTCCGCGGCTTTTTCTCCGAAATTCTATCCAATGGCAATCGTAATTCTTTACTCCGAATTCTCCATCTCATGCAGATTGTAAAAAGAGTGTGGTTCAGCCATCTTCTCTACGGCAAAGTGCAAATGAACACCTGCGACTACCACATACTGGATGGCCTAAAAATGTATAAAAGTCTAGAGTTGCCTACAATCACCTTAAGAGGTTATGCAAGTAGCGGAGATGCAATACATGAACTTATTCTTACAACTAGGTATGTAATGACTTTGGAGTAGGAAACTCGCAAGACGATGTTCCCCTCCCATTTAGAGACTAATTAATGGAATATACTTCAACCGCGTTGCAATATCATCCACGGCAAAAACTCAGATCTGTCCACAAGAAGCTCCCTTTGACCTACCAAACCTTGTCCATCTATACCCTCTAATTCGCCTCTTTCTTCTCTGGGGGCGGAGCGACACCGCCAGTGGTGGGCAAACCCATGAAGATCTTGAAGTAGTCCTATGATATATCGTCAGTACAGCGTTTACAATTCCTCCATCCTCGCCAGAAGAGACACTTACGTAAATCATCCACTGGAGACCAGTTAGGGTGCCAATCATGACAATTCGCATAGGCAAACCGTTCCACAGACCCTTGAAACCGATGTCCTTATAGATACGACCCATGGCGGCACCGAAAGCCTCGCCGGGCTCGCGTACCGAGTTAAGCTTGCTGACCATGACATCTGCGGGGTGAGAGACGATAGCGCAAAGGATACCGGCAAGGTAGCCACCAGTGAAGGAGACACCAGTCTGCGCAGCCTTGCTGTAGTCGTCCTTCTCTCCAGGCAGGCGTTCATAGATCATGGCAACAATGGTTTCAAACGAGGCAAACTTCATCATGGTATAGGGGATTTGGCGGCCCCACAGGGGATAAAGACCTTTGTAGAGACCAGCATAACCTTCCTTTGCAGTGATCTTGTTGAACCCGTCAACGGCTCCAGTGTAGGGGTTGGGGGTACCTCCCTGCATTCGAACCTTGACAGCTTCCATGGGACAGAGGGCAATGTCGGCCAAGAATTCAGCGGATGCCGAGGCAGCCAGATACAAGCCAGTCTTGTACTTGTGGGCAGCTTCTGGACCAGCAAGATCGGAATACGTTTTCTTGAAGTACTCATACCACCCATACTTGAAGGCACCCTGAGCCGAGTAACCAAACAGAGTTGGGCTCCAGCCGGTGAAGATGCCGCGGATGCCTTGAGCGCGGTAAATCTTTCCCCAAGCTTCAAAGTTGCTCTTGTAGAGTGATGAGTCGACTTGACGGCGAGTTTTGACGAAATCAAGGGGTGTGACGGCAGTGTGGGTGAGACCCTAGGGAAAGCATATGTGAGCGCGGGTCCTCTGGTGGGAACGGCAGAGACAATGAGAGCCAAAGCTCAGTTAGTACTCACACAAGCCAACATTCCTCCAAATGTACATGCTGCATAATACTTTCCAGAGTACAGCTCAATCTTTCCCGTCTTGGCTTGAGCTGCGGAGCTAGCTTTCTCGAATTCCTTAGTTGCCTCATGGCCTAGCTTCACAGCCTTGTCTTTGGCAGTGTCTACGACGGAATAAGCTCCGTAGAGTTCAGGGCGAGCCTGAAGAGGAGTCGCCATAGTTTGTGAGTTGTGATGGGTAGATGCTGGGCTGAAAAAGGCGCCCTTTAAGGCATCAGCCTTGGGATAGAGGTGTGCCATGCCGAGGGGTGGATTGACGACCGAGGCTGCCGACAGCTTGGTTTTGCCTAAGGAGTCGAGTGAAGCTGGAATTAGAACACTGGGGGTATCCAATTGCTTAGGATCGTGACGTGTGAGAGAACTTGTGAGGAAGGGGGCGAATGAGGAAGGGGTGATTATGCTCTTGTGGCTCCGCGGATGGGGGGTGAAGAAGGGCGGCAGAGCAGCAGCTGGCGCAATGAGGAGCTCTATGAGCAGCTGCTTTGTTCAATGGAGAGGAACTCACAGGGTCAGACCGTCACTAGTACCTAGCAGGTGGCAGGATTCGCACGCGACAATTGCCCGTGCAGCGAAGCTCGCGAGATGGAATCCAAGGGGAAGAAATGAGGCAATACAGAGGAATTGCGCAAAGGATTCAAGAGTTATAAATGTCGCAGGAAGGAACAAGCCGAGTCACAACTGACTGCTTCCTTCCGGGTAAAGTCCGCGGGACCGGGCATGCCAGGCCACCACAAGCTGGAAACAGCAAAAAGCGTGACATCACTGGACGTCAAGATAACGGACTCTCAGCAAGTAGCCGAGTAGCGATCAATGACGGCTACTAGCAAAGTCGAGGTACTAAAACGCGGCATTGAGGTACGGAGCCGCTATGGGAGTGGCTCTCCGTTGCAGAAGTAGCTATCTGCCCCACCAATGTCCAGATTCAAAAGGCTTCTAATAGTCTCAGGGCTGCCATGGGAGCTCACGGATCGGGCGCGAGCTTGAGCAAGTTGCATTCAGGTACAGATAATTACGGTCGAATTGTCGTGGCTCTCGGGCAAAGTTGCAGGGTTTTCAATCTGCCCGTTTATATAATCCGATGGCTGCACAATGGCTGCACAAAGGCTGCACCAAGGCTGCAGCATTGGCATGGGGAAGCTGCCGTTTTACTGTGTCGTGTGTGCAATAGTGAACGATCGCCCTCCATGAAATCCCGATGGCATCGATCGAGAAGCCGCACGGACCGGCTGGGAGCTTCACAAAAAGTACTCCACTTACCAGGCGTGCCGGAGAGCAATGCAAAGGCGAAAGCGGGACTATTCGGAATTAATGGAGGGAGCAGGTGCCCACAAAAGATCAAGGTGTCGCAGACGAGATGCCGGAATAGACGCATGGGGGGTTCAGGGAATAGGATAAAGATGCACTCGTGCGGCGTCGGATTTCGGATTGGATCTTGCTTTGGCAGCTTCTGCTTCTCTTCAATGTCTGGAAGGTAGTTGATGGGAGGGGCCCAACATCGAAAATGTGATGCCACAGTCAAAACAAAAGGACAGACAGAGTAGTAGCCTTTACTGGTCTGCACGAATGTTGATGTCCTATTTCAGGGCACCACAGAAATCTATCTTCAAACTTATATTCAACTTCTAGGTAGGTAACGGAGAAAAAGAATCCGGAAGGTTGACGGCATAAAGGACGCCATCACATGAAGCTACAGTGCAATATAAGCTCATTGACAACCCCGCTGAAATAGGCCATGCTGAGCTAATCACCCGCCCCCGCGGTGGCTCAATTGACTCCATCGATTTACCCATATCTGCCCAACTTGCTTCAACTCGGGACAAGAAATTTCTTTGTCTCTGCAACACCATCGCATCCGGTACAAAACAGAGCGACGACAGCATCAGACACCAGCCATGGCCACCACATTGACGCATCAGCCCGCCGCGGCCGGCCCGGCAACAACAACTGCTCCCTTCTCCACGGCCTGGTCTTCAAGATATCGAGGCGTAAGTTCTTTGGCCGTAGTCGGCATGCGCCTAGGCTACCCATGTATTCGAGAAGTCTTCAAACATTGTCAATGAGTCGCCTCATGTCAATCGAACCCCTAGCTGACAGAATCTCCCCCTTCGCAGGCCACAGTCGAAGATCTTGACCCTCCCGCCGCTCTCTCTCTCAACCCGTCTGACGCAATCTCCCTCGCCATGATGTCCGCCTTTGAGCGCGAGTACACACACCTCACCATCGTCGACTCAGAAACCCGCGCCCTGCTCGGCTACATCTCCATCCCCCACCTGCAGTCCCTTCTGGAGGCCGGCCGCGTCCAGCCCAGCGATCCCCTCTCCGCCGCCATGACACGGTTCCAGCGCAAAGGCCGCACATATCGAGTCATCACCATGCAGACCCCGCTGGAGGAGCTCGAGGCCTTTTTCCGGGGCGACAAGAGCGACGGCACGTGGAAGGAGGAGTTCGCCGTCGTCACGGACGAGAACCGGAGATTTGTGCTGGGTGTGGCGACGGTACAGGACTTGGAAGAGTTTGTCAAGAGGCGGCCTGCTTAAGTCGTTGGCTGGGGGGTCAGAGGTAGCGGGTTGGAGTTAAAACGGAGCAAGCCCATGTCTTTATGGCGATTAAATGAGACGCATGTACGCTTTTTGAGGCCCTAGACGGCGTTTGGAAGACAATTGGCCATATTCAACATGCGTTGGAGCTACCACTGGGCTTGTTTTTGATTGCATGCAATGAGGGCAGCCGGAAAATTCTTTGTATAAAGCGTGGTGAACAGGACTTTTTTCTTTGCTATGAGGAGGCGAAGCTGAATTATATGCAGATATGTGTACTCATGACGTAGGGTTCAACACCATATCAGAATAAACCACGTCTTCAAAGAATACCTCTTGATTGGAGGCATAGCCTTTTATTGAATCAGCTGTTACAGCATTGAACCTCTCATCTTGATATTAAGTTTAACCTCTATACCTCTTTATGGGAAGAATGTCCACTGGTAAACGTTAGTATTTATTGGTAGAGCGGTTGCCCAGCACCCCAAGCTGGATATCCAGGATCTCGTATCCCAAGTTACATAGCACAAACATATCTAGTATATAGCTTACCCATCTGTGTAAGTACAAATATCAAATAGGGGAAGATGGTGAAGCAGATGTGTAAGGAAGTAATAATAGTAGCAGATACTTAAAGAACAAGGTAGACGAAAGACAGTTCTTCAGCATCTCTCAACGACACTTGAGCTGCACGTAATCACCAAAGAGTTGTATAACCAATGTCTTTATTTATTCTTAAGAAACAAACATGAAGGCTATGGACTGAAATGCGGTCTGTCTTTACCATTTTTCCTGCCCCTCAGCTCTTCTATATGATATCAAATAAGCACCTGCCACAACACATCCCCTTTACTGCTCGTCATAGTCGTAGACGAGGCGGATCTGAGCCCGCTCGGAGCCCTTGGTCACAACAACATGTCTGCAGTATCTACGCTCGCCATCGACAATCTGAAAGCCCCAGACCTGCTCGGCAACCCACCCCTTCTCCTTGTTCTCAGCAACGTTGGTGATGAAGCTCTGGCCCTCGCCCTCAACCAACCAGTCCTTCTTCAGGAACTCGTCAGTGACCTCGTCCAGCGAGACCCAGCGGCTGCGGCCCTCGACGGTGCCAAACAGCCAGTCGGTGTGGGTGCGGGGGAAGTTGTCGAAGCAGCGCTTCTCCTCCGTGCTCGACAGCTTGGATGCAGACTGGATGATGTCGATGTGCGTGACGACGTCGGTGGCCGTGTTGGGAGGCTTTGGCGGGCCCTCGTACTGCTTGATCTCGAGGGTGACGGTGGCCAGGCCAATGGCCTTGCGGGTGAGGAACCCAACGCCCTGCAGCGAGAGCACCGGGTCCGAGGAGTCGGAGAGCGTCTTGTTCTGTGAGCGAGCCGTTAGTGGAGATGCCTTTCTTCGTGCTGATGTCATTTTATCGAGACAATTTGTCGGAAGACACGGAGGGGCACCAGCAACGCAGCATCACTCTACTAGGCGTAAAACTGGAATTCCCCATCACGCCGCCCTCTAATTCTACGCCGGCCTGCTTCCTCCCCCATCTCCTAGACGAGAAAGAGCAGCCCATCGTCCTCATGGAGCGCGGTTGGCGCTGGTATTTTTGCCAGGTGACGAGAGAAGCTCTCGTGGTGGGGGAGGGGTAACCAAATCCCCCTCTCCCTCTTGGCGGGCGCTTCGGCTCGAGGCAGGGGTGGCCAAAAGTGACAGTGAAACAGGCAAGGGGATGTTAGGGATTTGGAGTCTGGGGCTTCTTACCATGGTCCAGTTGCCATTGAGGTCCTTGGTGGTCTTGCTCGCGGGGGCGGCCATGATTGCGAATTGGAATGTATGGTGGCTGTTCTAATGTGGTTTACTCAGGACTAAAGGAAATAGAAAAAAGGAGAAAAGCAAAAGCAAAAAAGGAGCAAGAAAGAGCTGAGTTTCCGTCAACAAAAAGAGGTGGCCTGGGGTGCAAGTCGTGCGCATTAAATGCAGCTCTGGTGGGAACTATCACAAGCTTGCAGCACACTTCCGCAGCACCAAGTGGTCGCCATCTTCCGAGGCGCTCTGCTAGTCCGCACATGTAAAATGCACACCCTGGAGACACACGCCCGAATAGGCACTGCGCCATGAGCTGAGTAACGCTGCCTAGTCTGCTAAAAGATCCATTGATGCCCCCCAAAGCGGCCCCTCTCCTCCCCCATTTTGCCTGGCGCCCCTCTTGCTGGAAATGACATCTGATGGGAGCAATGATCCGCCGCTGACGAGAAAGTGCTCCGTATTTTGACAAGATTTACCAGTTGAGGCACTTTTTATATTTGCTAAACGACAGCTAACAGGTACTAAGTTAGGTGGCTAAGGTACCTTGGTATGAATCCGGCACTGCCAAGATTGGACATGTACCAACAGATGCTGTTGGTCCGTCTCGGCCTTGATCCTCATATGGGTACCTACCTACCTAGGTATGATTGCCCATGGGGATGTAATATCCCCCGCAAAGTTTTAGATCAGAGTAATAGTGGTCTAATAAGTATTGTATTGCTGCCAAAGAAAAGCTCCTAGTATTTGTGTAGAACAGGATAAACATCATCCCCCCTCGTACTCAGTAATTGCCAGTTGGCACTAACCACAGACCATAACCCATTACCCGTATTCCATCGGCCCCTTGATACCTCCGGAAGAAACAAAACAAGAATGGAAATCAAGGGGGAAATGTAGGGAAGAAAAAGAGAATGAAAACAAAAAAAAAAAGACAAGCCCTGCGTCTGTATTTGAACTCAACTCCCGGGCGGATATCGTGCTACTTCCTCCGGAACCATGTGGATATCTAATGATACATCAACCAGAAGTCGCTTCCTGGCTCGTTAAAATCCTCAGTCATCATCGCCATGAATCCCAAGACTACCACGCCTGGTGTCCCCTTACTTCCGAGGGACATTTGTCCTCGTCTATAAGCTGTTCAACCACGAAGTCTGCGTGGGCGTCAATCGGCCGCTTGCTTTTCAAATATGCATACCTGTCAAAAGTAATACGAGTTCGGCGTCGGATTGGCCATGCTTCTGATTTCTCACACTTCAAGTGTTGTGCGAGGCCCTGCTCAACCTCTCCTTCATGGCCACCACTTCATCTGCTTGTAGCTCTCAATGACTTCTTCAATAAGCTCTTTTGTGATGACGGGTTTCTCGTACTTGAAGCCCAAGACGGTTTCCAACCTGCTGCCATCCATACTGAGGTCGGTGTCTTTAAGAAGCTCCTTCTCCATGAATGGCGTCAGGGGACCTGGTCGTGTAATGCCGGCGTCGGATAGTAGGTCGGCCCAGGGGCCAAGAATCTCGTCATTGACATCATCGACGACGCTGTCGAGGTTCAGTCTCGCAAAGGTGCTAATCAACTGTCCTTGGAAGCCCGTCTCGATTTTGAAGATTTCGCCGATAATGTCAGACATGATTCCTTGCGTGGTGGCACCCTTGTCTACAACGTTGAATACGGGCACCTTGCCCATCTCGCTCTCGTTCCATTTGGCCTTGCCAGCGTCGTACCAGGCAGCAGTATCCCAGAGGGCCCGTACCACATCATGGATGTGCGCCGTGTTAGTTCGCAGGTCCTTGGTCCACAGCCACTTCATTTCTCCTTCGAGGTGCTGGTAAACTCGGGCCATGCATAGGGCTGTCGCAACCCACTGAGAAGCATACGGGCCGTACACATGGGGGAGACGGACAACCACAAGGTTAAGCCTGTAGACACGACATTGTTAGATGAACAAGGCATGGAGCCAAGGGCGGTCCAAGAGTGGCTTACCCTTCAATCTTGGCCAATGCCTCCTCTGCCTGCAATTTGAAAACGGCAATCTTGCTCCACGGCTTCAGCTTGTCTCCTTCTTTGCTCGGTGACGAATCCGACTTGTACACCATGCCCGTGCTCAGTTCAACAAAGGTCTTGACTTTACGTTTGGCGGCCTCCTGGCCAACGGCAATGGAAAGATCCAAAGACCTCAGCTTGTAGACCTCGTCTTCCTGGGAATATCTCGTCTCGCCACCACAGTTGAAGACGTAGTCCCACTGCTTGCCATCGGGTCGGTCGAACACTTTAACTAGGGCCTCTGTTCAGGGCAGCACAAACATTGTTAGCCATAGTGGTTCGTGTGCAGATATAGCAGTCTCAGAGGATGAACAAGATTGAGAGAATGGCTTATTACCCGGCTTGCTAGCGTCGGCCTGCATGAACTTGCTCGGGGCGCATGCTTCCGAAAATTCTGGTGCCAGCCAGGCGAGCTGGGGCAGTACCTTGTCGACAAGACGGACTTCTGAGGCGAGATTGTTCTGGTGAATGTGCTGGGCGAGGAAGCGGCCGATATAGCCCAAGCCTCCAATGATTAGGACCGACGGCTTCTCGTCAGCCATTTTCAAAGTTGCTGTGGCGGTCGATGAGGCGCGAGACTGCGTGGCAGCAAGAAGGTCGTCAGAACGCGCAGTGGCGGGCCACGGTTTCGAATTAGTGGCTGCGTTTCACCCTCCGCTACGCTCGTATTTTTTTTTTATTCGAGAAAGGAAAAGAACAGCGTCGCCGAGGGGGGATGCTGATCGGATGTAGCTGTTATGGCGTTCGGCAAGGCAGCAAATAGGCTGAGGGATGTGCACAGCGTTGAGGCTCGAGATGGACAAGAGAGAAGGGAGAGAGGAAAAGAGGGAGGTCGCAGGCTGCCTTGGGCACTAAAGCTAGGTACGAGTAAGCTGTTGTGCTGTTGAGGAGTCGGTTCGGTACAGGATCCCGGATCACCCACACAACTGCCGGAGGAAAAGACAGCGAGAGACAGAAATGCACTGTGTGAGGAAGCCGAAGCGGAAGCCGAGGCGAGGCGAGGGCAGGAGAGAAAGGCAAACTTTTGTATCTCGCAGGTGAGACCAAGCCAAGTGCCTGAGACGGAGGGATGGGTGGATAGAGCAAGGCAAGGCAAGGTAGCTTGTATGGGCGGATCGAGGGATTGGTCATGGAGGGGTTTGGCCTTAGTATTTACCGCCGTGAAGAATCCATACCTACCTGTACCTACTGCACATACAAGTACACGTACCTACGGGGAGCCACCCAGCCAGCGCCAACGGACCCCCACAGCAGACAGAAAACGCACCGCCGTGTCAGTGCTATGCTGTGCTAAAGCTGTCCATGCTGTCTATTAGGTTCCATGTTGTCTCCCACCGCCAACACTGATGTGTCGTGTCGTGTCGTGTCATGCCATGTCATTGATGCGGTGCTAGGTGACCACTCAGACAATGGGTAATTACGGAGGCACCACCAGGTGGGCATCTGCTGTACGAGTATCTGCCAAGCACCTGTCAAAGATGGCTGTGCAGGGCCTCCTTCGCGACACTGACGATGTTCGGTATAAATGACCTAGATAAATGAGTATGGGGTATTTGGATCATGTCAGTCAGCTATTACCACTCAATACTGTACTCGTAGACACAGGCACTGTACCAAGACAGGCACTGGTCCGCGGGACAGGGTGTTAGCCGAAGCTAGGCCGGGCCACTCTTTTTTGGTAATTAGCAGGCCGTCATCTCTCGCCGTCCAGTAGAGTACCGGGCATTGCGGGAGGTTCCAGGCACATCCAGGCACGCATGGGCTGTGACTGGACAACCAGCCAGGGTCTGGCCACGACGACACGACACAGTGCTGATGATGGCTTCAAGCCACTCAGTATAAAGCTACTCAACTACTGCACAAGCAGCGCCATTCTGAGGCGCTGGACCTTGTCCCTCCCCCTGCTCCCAAGGTTAGACGGCCGCACAAAGACTCGCCCAGCAAACAACTGACAGCTGCAGTGAGCGAAATTGTCCAGCCCAAGGGCTCTTCTGTACGAGGACGGATGTGTTACTCGTACTTGGTCCTACTCACATTTCGAAGCGGCTAACCGCTGCCAGGTCCCAGCATCCCTGCCGACATCCCCACCGACGTAGCGGGTTTAGCGGACTGGTATTATTTGCCATACAGTCGGCCGAGTTTTCATGTCTCGAGAGCCTCTCGACTCTGCCAAGCGCACGAAGCGTATTGCTGCTTTTTTAGTGGGAACCCAAAGGTCTAGGTTCACCGCAATGCGTATCCTGTCTCACCTTTCCTTCTCCCAGATTGATCCTGCGGCTAAGGAATTACGGCATCCAGGCACCGCCATAGCAAAAGCGCCTTGGACATGGCTCCCCAAGCTCCCTTATCGCTCCGCCATGACATTGCCTGTGCAAGTAATTCCGGGCTGCATACTCGTACCCACAAGACAAATCAAGATTCCTCGCTAACACGAACGGATATTGAAGTCTGTCTGCAAATCCCTTGGTGGCAGCAAGCAACTCCAGGACATGACATGTGCGAATGTGTACTTTCTGCATCCAATCTGCGACCCGACCCGACGCCGCCGCCCGACCGGAATAATGAGTGGCGCCACCACCTTTGAGCAATCGCTCTCTGGCCTTTGCCCTTGTGACACTAAGCAGTGGGACTTTGTTGCGCCATGTGCAGCCTCCAGGTGGGACGAACCGCTCCGAACGGGCGACTGGCGGCTGTAACATGGCACTATTGTCACAGCAGAGCACTGAGTTTGCTACCGTACTCTTTGCCTTGCCCATATTCGAATATCACCAGCCTAGTATTATATTGGGCCCTCCGAAACGCCAACCCTCCTCGACGGGTCCCAACCCTTGGAACGGGCAATGCGAGTCCAAGGCAAGTTGGTGTGAGTACATGCATATCAAGTACTTTACTCGTCCTATCAGCTTTGAATCTTTTGACGTCTCTCACCTGTCGAGCAAAGCACTGGCGACGTGGGGTGCGGGGTTCGCTGCATATGTTCCAAGCGTCGTTCTAGAAGAGGGTGCTTCAGCCAATGACTCGGCGTCAAAGACAAACGACACAGACCGCATTTTGTCGCGCGGTCGTCAAGACAATCCGGCTTATTTTTCTCTTCATGCGCTGCTCCCTCTGTCTCAACCGCAGAATCGTGCAGTGGAAGTTGGACGTAGCCAGCGGTATGTCCAAACACGGAGCCGACGTTCTTGCACCTTGTTGCAGGATACAGTTGGAGAAGCACCGTGGCTTACAAACAATTAAACCCACAGGCTTGTTTTACGAAGCGCAGGGAGGGAGATCCAGAGACCCACACCCATGCCTTCGCTGTCTCTCGTGGGTTGTACGGAGTCAAACACACGTTTTGAGCCCTCCTTGACAGCCACATGCAGGAGGTAGCCCTTGGGTGGCGTATTCGCCCTTTGCCAAGGATGCCGTGCACATACGAGTGAGACAGAAACATGCGGGCGTCGAAACAGGGAGACCCATTGTTCGCCTTTCGACATACCACCTTACTTACTGATGTGCTGTGTGCTCGTATACGACGCTGGCTACAGCACTATTGGTACCTCTGAAAGTAATTTGCACATGTCAGCGGAGTACTGTACGGAGTTTACAGTACAGGCATGTGGGCAACTGGCAAGGATAACAATGCCTTATCCTCCGGGTTGGACTTGCCAACCCTCTGTTTGTGCTCCTTGCAGGCTCTTGTACGCCACCAAGCCCAAGGGTTGTCCGTCTCCAACCGCGGGCTTGCTCAACTCCACCACACTTTTCATGGCTGGACTATCTTCTCACCTGCAAGGCACCAATGCAGCAGACATCCAACGACGAGTCATGAACAATAGCGCCATGCTGCTTGTGCTATGCGTTTCACCCTCAGCTCTTTGCCTGCTCCGCTGTGCCTGAATGTCTAGACCGAGGTGTAGGAGACGATATGAGAGCGTACGTTGAAGCTACCCACTCAGGCCACTGCACCGATGACATTGCCGCTACTACTACTACTACTACTATTGTACTACTGTACTACCCTTCAAGAAGAAAAGAGGATTAAAGGCACAGCCCCAGCAGACAGATCGCCCTCATCCCTGGACGTGTGGAATACCTTTGTCACTCTGTCAAGGGTACCACTTGATCAAGCTGCACGCTAGCATCAGCCGCAGAACTGTTACGGTGTGATGATGTTCCATCTTGGGCAGTACGTCCCATAGCCTCACGAATGAAAAGGAAGAGCAGGATGGCAAGGATCCGCTACGGCGCAGCACCCAATCTACCACCCATCGTCACGGGGGCTGTCCAAGCCCTCTGGTGCCTCAGGGGACATGGGCACGGGGATTTGGCCGGGTATATTTCCGCGTCGGTTGCATTGTGCATACGGCTCCTTTCTTTTTTGCAAATCAAATCCATATCTGGACATGCTTGTATGGCGATACATACAAGCAGTGCTTTTCGTATGCCAGGTTTGCAAACTTTTTGCCGTATGGATCGGGCTTAGGACGTGCCGGAAATTCAACACAGTCCGGTCCGTCATTTTTGGCAGGGTTCTGTCCGGCCGCGATGACATGGGTAGGAGTCAGAAATCAGGCCTCTCAAGGACGAAATAACACAAGCAGTAGTATTACCCGCTTGTGTTGCTAACCTAGTTGCAGAATTTTATCCATTGGAACAGGAAAACGAAGAAGAAAAAGCAAGAGACGGGATGTGGGATCCGAGCCATTTCAGGTACATGTAACGTGTACTATACAAGCAATGCTCGTGAGAATCCTGGTCCTGCAAGGGACGCGCACGTCATGCATTGTGCCGCCTTCCCATGCAAGTCATCCATTTCGTCGGCCATTTTCTCTGTCCTATATTGCCCCGGACTCGTAAAGAGCACAGAGCTGAAGACATACCGAGTGCGGACGCAAAGCGAGTCCTGGAGCCATGACCCACCATCTCGTTCGTGGTAACGATGCCACAATATGCTTCTGAAGCCTTTTATTCGTGGAACAGTAGTGTCTCGTTTATCCTCACATACTCTCTTTTATGTTTAAAGAAATAACCCCCAAAATCTGAAGAAACCAGACTGAGAATAAGAGGACGACAAGGAGGGGGAAATATTGTGCCGTACTTGGAGTTAGACGCGGGAAGTCGGCGACTACTGACGCTGTGTTGCAGATTTTAGACCGAGACTACTAACCGATGGTGAAGTTCTGATTAAATCCCAACAATAGAACTCATCAAGGATGAGTGCAGAGTAAACCCTTGTCTTTGCTATGCCCAAATCCAACAACCACCTCTACTGGGTCAGTTTTGACGCAGCAAAATTTTCCATGAGATGAATCATCCACCCAGCACCCGAAAACGGTATCAAAGAGTGGTAAAGTGTTTAATGAATAGAACAAAGAATGTTGAATTGAGCTACTTTTGAAAAGCACTAATGTTGTACAAATTCCCGTTCCTATCCATATTTTCATAACTATTCGAGAGAATGTATACACTGATAATGTCAAGTACCTAGCCAAGGTATCTTTGGACTGCTCCTCGTAACTCAAAATGCTGGATCTGCAGATTGCCAGCTTCAAATAATCGTTTAGTTACTCCCTCAGGACTAAGGCTCTCATCTACGTTCATGCCGATATGGTTCGGAAGAAGATTGTGCGTAAAAGAATAGATATGGCCCTTTGGAGTTGACTTTACGATACAGAGATCTTCACGTCACGATCTAAGTACGTAGGTAGTCTGAAGCAATTAAGATGGCTCCTCTTGATGAATAGGAGCTAAGTTTGCAAAGCCATGCCACAGGAGGCATAGGACTGCAAATGCAAATTGTATATGATGAGTGAACCCTTCAATAGTACAGACCTATCCAACAAGAGGAAGTCTATTCTGGTTTGATGTGCGGTCTGAAGAAGCTCATCTACTGTCCAATGCTTTAGGAGCTCAGAACTCTATAGATGGTCAACAGCTCCCTCCAATCCCGAATCAAAACTGAACACAATACCCTACAACTTCAAAATTCTTCAATAGGTTTGAAGTTGAAGTTTTACTTGCAAGAATTTAGAGACAGGTTTATTTGCTTTCATATATTCGAGCGCTTGGTCTTTCATCATTGTCAAAACACACACGCAGATACTCCCCCCCTCAATCCCCTCAATCCTCGTCAAAAAAACACATCCTCATCACCGCTTCATGCTGCCAATAATCTCCCGCTGCGTCTCCCGCTCCCTCGCGCCATCGCTCAGGCTGCCAACGCTCCGCAGGTCGCCCACCACGTCCTTGGCCTTGCCAAAGTAGACGTCCTGCAGCAAGTTGCGCATTTTGAGCTCCATGTCCTCGACCAGGCGGCCGACGTTTGCGATGTGGCTGTCGTCGTTCTCGACGGGCAGGTCCTGCTCCACCTGTCGAGTCATGTTGCCGCTGAGGTCCATGTCGCCTACGGTGCCCTCGACGTTGGTGGACAGCGATAGGATGACGGTGGAGGTGAGCTTGTAGTGGGTTGTTCGGCCGCGCTCAATGGCCTCGAAGACGTGGATCGAGTCCCAGACTCCCTCGGTGTTGGTTCCGGGGGTGGCAGCTAGAGCAAAAGAGTGTTATGTTAGCACCGTATGCATGAGACGGACCGGATGGATGTTGGCAAAACAGGGAGCAGCCCAACGCACATTTCTTGACCAACACGACGCCGGCGAATCCGTCGTCCAGGTTCCACAGGTACACGCTGCTCACGCCGCCCTCGTAGTACAGCTCCCTGTAAATGTCAAAGGCCTCGTTGGCCTTGATCTCCATCTTGCGCACCCTCTCGTTGGGAATGGCGCCCTCTCCAGCCCCCTCGCTGCCTCCGGGGCCGACACCGCCCACGCCGCCCTCGTCCAGTGGAGGATCAAACTGGTTGCTCCATGGCGAGCGGTAGCTGTCGCCGTCACGGTTGTAGTCGCAGAGGAGGTAGTCTCGGCCGGTTTGTCTACAACGCTTGACGGTGAGGGGCTGGTCGACGGACGAGAGGAGGTCTTCGGTCAGGTCAGGGGCCAGGGAGATGATTGCGTTGAGATGCTCGCTCGTGTGTTTCGGATTCAGGCGGCGGAGGAGGTCGCTGCAGAACAAATCAAATGGATCAATGCGTTAGCTTCAGGTCAGAGTTGAGTTTGAGAGTGGGAGGAGACACAAAAGGGCGTCAGGGGGGAGAGCGAGAACAACAGCTGGGTTATTTGGGTGGACTCGCAGCATGGAGGGGGGGAACAAGACAAGAAGAGCTCACAGCGCCGAGTCAAAGGGATCCGTAGCCATTTCAATGCTACTGTGCTGCAGGATATGCAGACTCAAATATCAGTTGGAGGTGGTTATGGAGGGTGATCGCGGCGATTCTCCCAAGGCGAGGTCGGTAAAGGAAGCCCAAGATATTGTCGAGGTCGCGGGGTTTCGCCTTGTCGGGTCGCCAGGGGGTCACGTCACCAGCAACGGGCCTCTAAGAAGCCCGCGGCTAGCGGCAGCTATCAGCTAATTGGGGACGTGGTAGAGGAGCAACCCCACCAGATGAGAGGGAGCTTTGTTTGCTGAGCAGCTGGAGCTCCGTCTGTCTGTGCTGCTCGAGTTACGTATTACAGCTCTGCCCTCTGAATTGAGGATAAGCTGCATCATTCCTCAAGTCCACAACTCCAAGTACTTAAACAGAAAAAGAATAAAATAGAAAATAAAAGAACCCAATTCTTTTGCCTCTGATAGAGAATACACACATATTTATTCGCATATATTCATATTCACACTTTCATCATCATCCTCAGCTTTCTCATCAAACATCCAATTTGTCTGTAATCTACCTATCCTGGGCAAAAGAAACTGCAATAAAAAAGAGAGAGAGCACGATACTAGCAAACGCTCCCAAGACAAAAATCCCTCCCTACCTCACTTCAAGCAGCCAAGGTCGGAAATCCAACAAGATCAAAACACACATCCTGAAATATCAAGCGCCCTTTTCCAGACCCTCTATGTGAGAGAACAGACAAACGGTGTTCCGCCTTGCTATGCCCCTGACCATGTAGCCCCGGCCCGTACCGTAAATCGCCCAAAACGCCCCGCCAAAGCCTTCGTCCTCCCTTCGTCGGTGTCGTGTCACCAAGCATGGTGCCGTTTCCCGCTACCGATTTTCTTTCGTTCTTTTTTTTTTGTTTGGTTATATTCAGTTTTTGTCATCTTCCTCCACTTGCATTATATTGATATAAACACTTGTCCAGGATGCCTCGGAAAGCCGAGGGAAACATCGCTATCGCCTCCTTGCCGGAAAACGGGCATGATGACGTAAAAAATCCAATTCCAGTGTCTGACATCACCACGGAAGGCTATGTCTGCGTGTAGGCGCCTCATCATTTACTCAATGAGAGTGTCACACAGCAGGCAGTACGCCGGTTCTGTCCACTTCTTCTCTCCTCCCTCAACGCCCTCTCTTAAATCTGTTACTTGCCAGACCGTGGGGCCTTCGTTCATCTTGAGCGTAGCCTCGAAGAGACCCTCCCAAGGTTTCTTTGACGACTTCTTGCGCTTTCCTCGCTTTGCCAAGGCCAATTTTGAAGACTTGTCCGAGGGATTTTGCGGTGCCGGTGTTGGAGTTTCTGTGTCCTTGGATGATTCGTCATCCCCCTGCTTCACGAGCACTTGATCTTTTATCTCGTTGTTGGCAACTATTGGCGATTTTCTGTCTTCTCCCTCGACTGAGGGGCTCAACAGGCGATAAGGCAGGTCTCCCTTAGTTCCTTCCTTTGGCTCATCTTTTGGCTCTTCCTTTGTCTCTTCCTTAATGGCTGGCTTTTCCAATTTGTGGGGGATATCTGTCCCCAATCGATCGTACACTCGGGTGAGGACATCGTCGAGCAGGCAGTCGTAATGCATCCACTCCTCGCACGCCTTATTGGAGCAGCCTACCAAGGTTTTGTCGGGATTGGCGGGAGTCCTACACTTGCAGACGAGGGCGACCGACTATTTGCAAACATGTTAATGTTGACCGTACTCAGAACAGAACGGCTGTTTTAGCAATTGCTTACCGATAGCTCCGACGTCCTGCAGTTGAACGCCTGTCTCCAATAAAGAGATTCTTGTATGTCATCGTCGTTCGATTCTATCCACTGCTTGACATTGACGCCCATCACAACACTAACAACATTGATAATATCCACTACCTGGGCGTTAGAGACACAGCAGACACTCATTGATGCTAGGGAGGCTTACTATGATTGGAGGCGACCAGCTCATGCTGTCCATGGTATGGCTGGCGACCAGATATTTGCTTCTTGCCGTCCAGAGTACCCAAAGGCAGCTCCTCGGGCCAGTACATCCAATATACGCGGGCGTATACGTGATGTTCGTCTGAGGCCCGAACCTCCAATATCCGGGCTACCCAGTAATCGGCCTTCTTGGCAACTTTGGTAGCGCCGGCAGGCAGGGAGTTTTGTCGTTCCATGGTCGCCTCGTTCGCCACATAGACAAAGTCTTCAGTGTAGTACTTGACGCCGTTCACTACACGATTTCGCAATTGGTTAGCTGCTCGGGGTCTGGACATCGGCCGGGAGATGCGGGATATGGCACTTACGAACGAAGCTGTTGTAGCGTGTCATGTCGAGCCATTGCTTGCGGGGATCTACGGCGTAGTAGAGCTTCAAGGATTGGCTCGTCTTGAATTTGCCTTCGGGATGGAAAACGGCGTTTTGCGTCTGGACCTTTTTGTTGGTGTCCTCGTCGGATTTGTCATGCTTCCTCTTCTTCGACTTGGGGCCGTCCCTCTCGCTGCGCTCCGGCTCTGAGACAACGGTGACAGTGAAGGGACAGTCAGCACGGTTCTCGTCCGTGACGGCACCATCAGGAGCGGCGGCGCCGTCCGGGGCAGGGCGAGAGCGCTTCCGAGGCTTGGAACTCATCGCGGGCTGTGGGCAGCGCGCCTGCGGTGTCGCGCAAGCTGGGGTATCGCGCGTCGTGGGAATTCGGGCAGCCGGCAATGGGCGCAGCGACTCGGTTGGCGAGCTGCTGTCTCTGACAAAACGACAGATGGGCCTTGGGTGTGTTTCGGTCTATCTCGATGTAAACACAAGCGCCCGCCCCGATAAATAGCACAGGCAGTCTGTAACAGCGGCACAGGCCCTGGTAAATCGGGAGCAAGATAAGGTAGGATTCCTGCTATGCACCGATTTCTAGATGACAGCTCTAGCAAAGGCGCGGGCTGGAGCTCAGCGGGCGTAGCCACCGCAATCCCCGGGGCACACAGACAAGGGGGGAGAGGAGCAAGTCTGAGGACAGGGAATCGCGCAAAAAGCTATGGATAGTTTTTTTTTTTTTTTGGTCCTCAGCTTTTTTTCCCCTTCTAATGCCTTCCAAAGTGGGCTTGATTCGACAGCACCCGTCGGCGAGGATCCAGCTTGCGATCCCTGCAGCGCGCAGATGGGACTGAAGAGAATGGAGAGGGATTAAAGAGAAAAAAGAAATGAAGAAAAACGAAGCGTTGCTTCTGCTTGGGCCGCCGTCCTATCGATCCAACGTGTTCTGCTAGGCAAAAACAGAAGAGGAGAAGAATAGGAATAGGCAAATGGTCACTAAAAGAAAAAGAGTGGAGGGAACAGGCTGATGTACCTGCCCAGGCACCTCGCGCCGACCAGGTACTTGGCCCAGGTTACGTACAGCACGCGAAAAGGCAAATGGACGCGAAACCCCCACTGTAATCCAGCTGCTGCTTATTATTTAGCGCGATGGGTTAGGGAAGCGCCAGCCCTTGAGCACGTTGACGCAGGGAATCGAATTCCCGTTTTTGCAGAAGGCTATTTAGCCGTTTTCCTAGTGCTTCTAGTGGCGTCCTGGATCCTCTTGGTAGTGGCTCTTCCAATTTGCAGAGATGGTGCGTGTTGAGTTGTGGCGACCTGGCTGTTGTTGTGCGCTTCTTCTTTCCAGGTACCACCCCCGTAACGGAATGTCACTGCAAGGGGACTCGGGAAAGATACTATCATGGGTAAGGGTATTCAATATATTGGTATGTGGATTAGCAGGTACATGTAGTTTGGATTACATAAATGCGGTGTGCAAGCACCTATTGTTACTGCCTAGGTAGTTGAGTCTGGGGGAATACGAGTATATAGCATCATCACTGCAGCTACCTACCTTCTAATCCTAGGCAGCAAGTGAACCTCGGATAGAGTAATACCACCGACGGCTTAAGAAATAACAGTTGAACCCGATAATTATGAAGCAACAAAGTATTATTACTAACCGAATACCCAATCCGTTCCGTATTACTTGCTACCTAGCCCTCAACTTCAACTTTCGCAAACAAACGAAATAGTGGCCAAGTAGCCTCCGAATCAAACTCTACCGTGTTTCCAAGGGAAGAGTCCAGAGTTTACTAATCAACCAAAACGCCTACGCTATGCATACCTACTTGTAATAGGCTATTTCCAAGTCCTGTCCAGTCAGGAAGAGACAACAACCAAGAGAAAAGTACCTCGACCATGATAACCAGTTGCAGCCAAGATCAGACAACATCTCACCGTCGATGAGTTGCGGTGCCATTGCCCTCGGTGGCTTCATAGTCTGCCAGCATTCCGCGAGCTGATTCCTCGTCTTCGTCCTCTTCCGAATGGCCCTCGGGCTCAAAGCCTTCGATGGTCTCGGCAAGCCTCTCGCCTTCCCTCTTGCCACGCTCAACGTCGATGAACCAGATGAGGGGAGCGGGGAAACCAACAAGGGCGCCGAGGAACCAAAACGCAGGCCTAATGCTCCCGGTCTTGTCGATAATGGCTCCAACAATAGCAGGGCCAAAAACGCTGGACCCTTTGTCGGTGATGGCATACAGCGCGTAAAAGGCGGCTTCGGATCCGGGTGGGATCAGCTCGCCAAAAAGCGAGCGGCAGTAGCTGCTCAGCCCTCCCATGACGAGGCCATACACGGCCGCTAGGGGGTACATCTCCCAAGGTTGTTGCAGTCCCATGACACCCCAGCGCTTAATGAACGGGAGGTAACCCATCAAGCCATAAATCGGGATGAGCTCAAACAGCGCAATACAGACGAGAATCGTCTGATGGGGTTTCAGGTTGAACGTCCTAGATACCCAGGACCAGCCAAAAGCGCCAAATATTCCAGCCATTGTGGCGATGACGTTAATCATGCCCAAGGCCCACGGCTTCATGTGAAGCTGGGTTTTGGCGAATAAGACGGCAGTAGAGGATGTCGTGGCAATTGCATCCGAAAGAAGGAACCAACTGCCCAGGAAGAGAACGATATCGAGCAGCCGTCTCGCTAGCTGGATTGTGCGAAATAGAGATTTCCATGCAAATTTCAAGTATACCCACCATGAAGCACCTTCTTTGCGTCCATCAATGGTCAGAGCCGGTCCCGGTCGGGGTCTAAGCCACATCGCAGCAGGGATGGTGAAAACAGACCACCAAGCCCCAATGATAAACAGCACAACCCGCTGTGACCAAGTAGTATTTTTCATGGCTATGAGGATGCCAATAGAGGCACACTGCACAAACAAGGCAGCACTGTAGCCAATGCCGATGCCCAAAGAAGATATACGCGTAGACAGCTGAAGCTCCTTGGAAGTGATTTCTTCGTGGGTTGCCACCCGCTTCAGTCCATACCTTTGGCGCTGATCATCATGAGGAAGTAAGCCTGAAGTGGAATTGACCATGGACCCCTCCAGGTCGTCCGTTGAATCGCCCACCTGAGGGCCATCTGGAGGAGAGTCGGCCAAGTCAGGGGCTTCTGATACATACGCCTCCGTTACTTCCGGGTGATTTCGTACCAGAAGGGGGAGGAAAGAGTTGAGCAATACAAATGACGCGCCAAAAGATGTGTTGGAGATAATGGTTAAAAAGGCACCGATGAGGTAGTTGGTCTTGCTGATGAAGATGAAGCACATAACGGAGAACCCTCCAATCCAGGCAAACGTGAGGAGAAGTCGCTTTCTGTAATTGCCATGATCCGCAGCACAACTAATGCTGACGACAAGAAGCGCCTGTAGTAAAACACTGGCGGAAAAAGTATACATGGCAAAGCTTGCCGTGTTGATCGGGATGCCCAATACGTATACGACACACTGGCCGTCATCCTCGGATTTGCTGTCGCTGGAACCGCAAGGCTTGTCTGGGTTGGAGAGGAGGACGCCATTTTCTCGAGCAAGCGTCTCTAGGAGAATTGGGATGAACGAAGCTGTTGTGGACGATTAGCAAGCAAATCCTTTGATGGAGACCCAGAGCTGACAGCGGCCCAACATTACGAGGACGCGGAGAGGTGAAGGCGACGTTGTGTTATCAAAGACATCGATGTAGGTGATAGAATCCATTTCCTATAATGCAAAACAAACGCAAAGTAGAATATGCCACGCAAGACTCACCAATTCCGCAAATAACATATGTCTCGGCCGCGAAGCCATACATGTACCATCCCCAAAGCTCTTTCTTGCTGGTCGGTCTGACATCGTGCCCGACGTATGCCGGCACGCCCGGCCGCTCGTCGCTGTCGAAGCTGTCGCGCAGACTCATGTCGTCGTCGCCGTCGGAGCGCTCGTCGTCGGCTTCAAAGGACGATGTCGCGTAGGATCTCTTGGACAGGATGGACAGTCCCGACCAGAAGCGCCGTCCTTGGAGCTCTGGGCGATGCGGCGTCATGGCCGCTAATCAGAGGCAGTGGTCTGACCAGTGACAGACCCACGTGATTGACCCAGTCGGAAGCGGTGCCTTGGCTTGCTAATGCACCCCGCGCTTTGCAGCAATTCACAGTGGACACAAGCAATTGACAACTGTCAAGGCGTGAGATTCGTCGCGCAAAGGGGGCTGACTGCTGGTGGTAATCGTTTCGTATCAGCTGCTTCCGGCTTGGTCTGGGCCATTTGAATCCAGGCAGCTCCGCCTATTATTGACTGCTGATGGTGGGAGGATGCTGGCAATGCTGAGACGCTCGCAGGCTGAATGGGATGCCTGGCTCGACTAAGCCTTCAAGCAGTCAAGTCGAATCTTAGCCCACCGAAGGATCTCAGGCACCTTGTCTTTTTGCCGACGGGCGACATGCAACTCTTTATGTGCCCGACGCACGATGGAACAGTTCGATCACATCCCCCTCTTCTCTGCATATCGCGCGTCCGGTGAGGCCTTCCCTTCGCTTATTCGCTCCAGCGTGGCCCCAAAGCGTCGACCTGAGCAAATCTACACTTCTAAATATGGACGTGGTTAGCATCTTTTGAGCACGGCTAAGCTTTAGCATTGATCTGGGTGGAGAGCTCTCGCGTCAGAGACCCAGTTTAGCTGATGCTATTCTCTAGCTAGCGGAGTGACGCGCTGTTTTTTTCTTCTTTACAGGTCAGCTGAGGTCAAACATGTCCTGTCGCAAGTGTGAAAACAGGTGTTGAAGATTGCTTTGGAACGCAAGACGATTATTCCCGAGATTGGCGCTCATGACACCCAAAGCCTGTTGCTTGACGACGGCCCAAGTGGGGATCCATGTGAAGCGACGAGGATCTGGCAAAGATTTGCAGTGACGATACTACCTATCTCTAAATTGTGGCGTGATGACAACTGTAGATGCTGCCAGCATCCACTTTGTGATTGTGAGGAATCACCAACTTTGTGCAGCTTGTATTCTAATCTCTGCAAAAGAAGGGCGCTGAAAGTATACCTAGTGGAGGGATAAAGAGAGCTAAGAAGAGAAAGAGATGCATATGCTTATTACAGCCTCGACCAATTCATCCTTCGTTTGCCTAATTCGACTCTGACAGGCCTACTTCGTATGTGCTAGGACGCATGGCGCAACTGGTTGAAAAGTTTATTCTGCTTATTATCTTGCATGTCATTCTCTACCTATAGTGACTGACAGCATCGTAACAGCGATCTGCCATCTAAAGCAAACAAAACTCAAAATTGAAGTGGGATATCATATGTGTTGTCCAACAAAGGTGACCAGACCATAACCAAAACTTCATCAGCACCCGGATGGTCAAATGCTTTTCTCCCGCACTACGATAGCTTCGGAGACTCAGTGCTTGAACGCGCCAAACAGCTTTGTCTTGAGCTTATCCGCCAGGCCAACCGGTGCCACGGGGCGAGGCTTCGCTTCGGCCTTCTCATCGGCGTGATGCTCATTGCCTGCGCCGCCACGGCCCGTGTGATATCCTTGGACGTCCTGGCTTGCTCTCACAGCGGCCTCTGGGACGAAATCCGTGTCTTTGCGCTGGGTTGACGTGGTTCCGATGTCGGTGATGTTGCCGGCGCCTGTGGCCCGAGTCTTAGATGAGGCTGCTAGGTGAAAAAACATTGGCATTGAAACGACGCACCTCCTCGGCCGGCACTGAATGCGCCATCGCCATGACTGCCCACGGCTCCGGATCGCACAACCTCGCCGTCGACATACTTGGTGTCATCAGCTTCGATATTTCCCGCTCCACCGCGGCCGTGGGATACCTCGGTTGTCATGAGAGCAAACAGGTCGTTGTGTCCAGTGAATAAATGCTCGATTTGAGTTCGAATTGGGGGATCACGGTGAGATACTTATGACGCTTTCAGCTGCGCAGCTTCACATACGGCAGAGAAAAGCTCCTTGTCTATTACAATCTACAGCCCTGGGGGTTTAGCGGCCCTGTCAATCTTTTATATCATGGCGCGACACACAATGGCAACATGTGCCATGAGATAATCTGCGCGATAAGCCGGAAAAGGGCGAGCAAACGAAGGCGCCAGATGCGCCACATGGCTGCTCATGGCGGAAAGTCAGTCGACGGATGAATGGCACTAACGACGGAATAGCATGTGGGAGAACAGCCGTTATCAGCTCTCTTCAGCCGCGGCCATGCCAGGCCATCGAGAGATAACATTCGCAAATCTTTATCGCTGAAGCTGTTCGCGCCAAGCAATCGCGGGGAGCCAGTGAGAGGCTGCGGGGGCAAAGTGCATTTTACGTACCTGAATTTGGTGACATTCAGCGCCAGGGTTCCTTATCAATGACCCGAGCAACTGATTAGCAGCCCTTCCAATGCAATAGTCTCAATATTGCCATGCACCTGTGCAGGTATAGACTACCTATGAACACAGCGGTGTGCTTTTCTATCAATGGTATGGAAACGTCATAAATCTACTGTACTCCGTACGTTGGCTGAAATGGATGGCCGGGTAGCATTAAGCTTATACCAGAGCGCAAGTTTCTCTAACACACACATGCAGCAAACACAACAACGGCCTTTGCCATTCAAACGCTGCGTTGTCGCTTTTATTTAACTTTTTTTACACGACTGTCAATCTTCCAGTTATACATTGCCAGCCCGACCAATCTGAATAATCTCGCCCGTCAGTTGCTCATCACTTCGCAAAACCGGCCAAGAAGCTCCGTCAGCCTTGACAAGAGTCAACTCCATTTTCGTGCCGAGAATCTTGAAAGCCGATTTTTCTGTATCAATTTCCCCAAACAACGGCAGAGTCGCCGTGTATCTCTTCGGTGTTGGGTCGCTGGTCGTAAGATCCAGGTCAATCTCCTTTGCCTTGAAGACGACCTTGGCTATCTCCTTGTTGATCTTCTTCAGGAAGAGTGACGCAATGACCTGCGTGGGGGTCTGGTAGAAGTCGTGTCTGTGAACCAGTTAGGTTAGAGGATGGATGCTCTCGTAAACCGAACCCTAAGATGAATCAGAATACTCACCGGACTGTGGTTAGGATCTCTTCGTTGCCTGCTTCGGCCTTGTCCTTCTTTCCACTGCCAATAAAGAGATGCTTATCCTTGGTCTTGCAGCCTACAATCTTCATGAATTCGTCAAACTCCAGCACCCTCCTCTTGCAGCACGAATAACCCTTGCTACCCTCGTGGAAAATGGGGACACCGGGATGGTGCACGCACTGCTCATCCTCCCTTGAAGCTCCCTTGCTATATTTAGCGCCGCATGCCTTTCGGCGACAATCGGCTCCGTCAGGAATGTCCAAGCTCGGATCGTCGTCTTCAGAATCCGGGGGCGGCAGAGGCGGAGTAGGAATGTGCTGTGCTGGTTGAATCGGCAATCGTATCGGAGCAGATACGCTAGCCTCAGAGATCTTCTGTGCCAAAGCAGCCTCGTCGATCTGAGGTTTCTCTTCCACCGGGGGAGGTCTCTCAGTGGTTGAATGTGTGCCGGTCGTACAAGGAGGGATCTCCATGAATTCGTCGAAAGTCAGCACTCGCGGCTTGCAGCACTTCCATCCTAGAGTCGACACGATGAAATTAGTACACGCACAAGGCAAGGCAGACGCAAAGGCCCCATGATGCGCAGCGTAAAAAGCGTAGACGAAGCAATCGTACCTTTCTGCCCCTCGTGGAAGATGGGTGGACCAGGGTGATAGTGACACTCCTCCTCTGCGTCAGTGAACTGTTTGCCGCAGCCCTGACGGACACACTTTTGCGCCATGATGGAGGAAGCTGTAGAGACGACTGTTATAAAGAGCGTATATCGTGTAGCTTCAAGAATGATTGAAAAAGCGATTGGAAGCTATGGAGTGGGTATCTGATGGGATCTTCTAGAAATGTAAAGATGACGGAGCTGAGCTCTCTCACCGCTTTCCTATTCCAATGCGGGGTTGGCGGAGATCACAGTGACCGAATCGGGTATGCAGTTGAGCTGCAGATTGATGAGGATAGGTTAGGTAGCATCGCCCAAACAATCAATGCTTTTTTTTTTCTCTCAATAAGTACTGAGCATAAAAATTTAAATAAAAGAGAGAGAATATGAAACAACTCAGTCCGCTTCATTCAATAGCTGGCACATTAACACTGAACTCCATACCATTGAATTACCTTTATTAAGCCAATACGAGAGCTTACTTTGTAAGCTTGTGAAACAGCTCCAAGAAATGGCCGAGGTTTGGCCTCGTCATCCTATATGATTTTGCCCATCGACAACAAGCATTTAATCATTATCCACATATATATAGAAGCTTTTAAAATGAAGCCAAGACATAAGAAACCCTCCCTAGGCATCTGCACAAAGCAAACGAATATGGTATTGTCGCATTTAGTTGTCGAGTTTCTAGTTTCAGTAATGCCTGGATCACATCTAATACATCATCAATTATCATTAGGAAAACTGTTATGAGATATATTTCCTCGCGAATTTCTACTAATGGTCTCAGGGATTGATGCTGGGACTCAAGGTGAGCATAAAACAGTCAAAGTCACAAGAGCTGACTACATACGGTAATGTCAAAGGCAGACGACAAAAGATAAACAGGACAGAATTGGCGTAAAGTGTCATGGTTAGCTTGGTGTAGCAAGTTTTCAATATGTGTATTTCCATGTAATATGCAATCTATTATATACACTCTTCAACTATCATGCAATTTCTTTGCCAGACTTCCCACCATGCTCCTTCTCCATCTACTATATATACATATGCATATACAGACTTGATATTCTATCAAGGTTATATATGTACCATATACGAAATACTATCAACGGGCAAGGCAGAGCTTCACCAGGGGCTGGTCAGTCCAGGCACCGCTTGAAGCTTGAACTGGTGTCTCCGCCAATGGGTAACCGGGATCGAATGAGCCCGCAGCCCATCCAACATACCCCATGTAAACATCGGAGTTCTGGTTGATGTATTGGATCTGCTGGCACATGTACTGCTCACAAGATGCAGTATTGCCACCGCCAGTCTCAGTCAGAATAGCTTGACGTTTGTTTGTACGAAGCCAGGTAGCCAACGGCGCAAATGCACTATCAACATTGTCCGTAACACAGATTGAGTTGGTACCAGAGTTATCCGAATCCAGGTACTTGTGCACATCGAAAATCAAGTTGGTCTTTGAGCCGTCCGGGTTGGTAATGGCACTTAATGCCGCTGCACCACCATCGGAAATGATCTGTCCGGCAGACTGATAGTCAGTACCCGGTAGTGAGATATACTGTGAGGTAGCACCCGCGTTACGAATGGCAGTAACAACAGCCTGTACAGTGCCGGCCCAGGTGGTGATGTTAAGGTCGTGAGGCTCATTCATGGTGCCAAACCATATTCTCGGCTCTGAGGCATACTTAGTCGCCAGTTGTGACCAGAGACTAACAAATTGAGCATTTGTAGGACCTCCCTGGCCAATGATTTTGCCATTCCAGCGAGCATAGTTGTGGATGTCGATGATGCAGTATGCACCCGTGGCCAAGCATCCTTGAACGAGCTGATCATAATAGCCCAAATTGGTGGCGTCCAGAGTGCCGCCAAGGTTGGCATTCACTAAATACTGCCAACTGACGGGCAAGCGGAAAATATTGAAATTGTCATCCTTCACAAAGTGTTGCATCTGCCCAACGCCATCTGGATAGTTATTCGCGCCATCATAGTTCTTCAGTGGCGGATAGGCGCCGGACACGTTGCAAGTTCCATCAGTTGAGCAACTAAAGTCGAATCCAGCAATATTAATACCAGCAAACCGTACCCCCGAGGTGGGTGGTGGAAGTGAGGTTGCTGAGGTTTTCGTTGATGCTGTTGTTGTAGCCGTTGTTGATGCAAGAGTGGTGCGAGTACTCGTGATGATGCCGGTAGCAGGGATACATTGGGCATAATATGAATTCAGCGTCGAACAGCTCGTCCCAGAAGTACAACTCGTAGGACCACTGTAGCCTATTCCTCCGCATTGTCCCCAGGTAGTCTGTTGTTGCGCTATAACACCAGTTGCTCCAAGATATAGAGAGGCTGCAAGCAGCCGTCTGGCCTTGTTGTTGGTCATGGTGATTTTGGGGTAATAAATAATATTGGTAGAGTTACAGAGTTTTGGTGTTCCTTATGACATTAGGCAATGGAGAAGAACATATATTCAACCAAGGTCAAGGAATATCTTTATGGCATTATCGTGACTGGAAAAAACATCGGATTGCAAGACTGCTTTATATAAGCTTGTTTAGGCTATTAATTTCTAAAGGTGCCATAGAATGGCCTTGAATACTTGAAATGACTGAACAGCCGCGCGAATCTGTAGCGCTAGGGATGGATCAAAACAGTTTTGGATTGAATAGATTCTAACAAAGTGTCCATAGCACCTCAGTTCAACATTCGGCGCTTCTACAATGGCGGCTGGGTTGTATTATGGCTGAATTCAATCCATTCAGCCATTGAGCCTCGGACGAGAGGGCCGCCCCGTGTCACATCGGCCCCTAGCACGTAATATGCCGAAATTAAATAGTCTTCCTGGGGGAGTTCTGAGTTGAGGTTTTTTACCAAACGAGAAATGCCAGAAAAGAAACGCACTTCGGAGTAATATATGAACCCTGCCGCTATTGACGGTCGGCAAAATTGTAGAAGTAATAACCTGTAACCCTACACGGCCTTTGGAATCCGAATGAGAATTAGCCAATTAGAAAAACTGTTAATTCTCAATTCAGCCAAATGAGATATCACTGGCTAAAGCTCTTTTGTCAATCTTCTCCTGCTTAGAGAGGCTAGAGCTGTAAAGGCCAGCCAGTGCGCTCGTCCCTAGGAAGAAGACAAGGATTGTTATAGCCACTAGTGGGGGACATAAGAGCCGTGTGTTGCGACGAGGCCATATAAGAGTCACAACAATCTGGTCAGCTTATAGTTTCAAAGTTTTGCTATCAGATATCTATATAAAATGCCTGTAAGAACAATCTATAAAACCATGGATAATGGAAGATCCGAGGTTCAGTCAAGTTCTTTTCGTAGACCAATGACTTCAATTGTCGGTATTATACTCTTCTGTTTTCAGTCATATAATACCATAATCAAAGATAATGAACCAGCGCCTGGACCGCGGTACAGGTAGTTTACATGACCTACCGCCGTAATAATCGAAGGAAAACCCTTTGGTTCTCTGCCTGCCCGACATTGGTAAACTACCCCCAAAGAAAAGGTGAATGTAAGCTTTGGCCTATCCTCCAGCGGGGGCTTGCGGTGAGGCTACCTGGTATCTGTCAAGCTTACTGTTACGAATGAGAAAAATATCAATACATGTACCAAACAATAGAAAGGGGAAAACACACATTCAAGAGAAAATCTTCAATATAGATGATTCCGAAATAGAAGGATTAATGCATGGCGTATTCCAATCTAAAATCCCCTCTCAAGAAACGGTATCACATGACTGTTACAAAGAGGGGTTTCACCGAGTGCTGCGTTGGAAGCTGCCCTCGAGTATCATATAGTGATTTATAATTGAGAAGCTTAATATTCATGCTGGTATAATAATTAGTTGCATATCTGGAATTGGAACCCGATATCTCATTTGGTAATAAATTAAGAGACCAATCACCAGGATGGGCAAATTATACTATTTTCAGGCGCCAAATTTCGACATCAATCCTGACAGCGAGGTTGCCCCAAGGCTCGGAAGCATCTTTTCCAACCTTGAGACGCTAACGGCACCACTCAATCAACATGATTGTATAGCTGTTCCCAAACATCTCATGAACCAAAGTGTCAGCACCAACTTTAACGAAAGCAAGGGCCGAAACTTCGAAACTAAGGTTGATCTCAATGTCAACGTTGCCAAGGGAACCAGATGGTCTACGGATCTCATCTACGCCTTTGGCCGGGACAAGAAAAATGTCTACCATTGCGAGTTGCTTGAAACTCTTGAATTCGAGCCCAATCAAGAATTTGTGACCGAGTGCATCCTCGCGTCACAGCGTGTGCAGAGCTTCCTGGAAAATAGCCTCATTGGCAGAAAGAGGGTGTATATGATTACGGGGTTGAAGATCGCTTCCGGGCTTACCAAGTCATCTACGAGTGGAAATCAGTACAGCCCAAAGCTTAGAGTTGCGGCAGAAGCGACGACGATGGGTGGCCTGGGACTCGATATGAACGTCACTAATGCCCGGACTGTGTCTTATGGGCGGACTTTGAACAGAATTGTATTTGCGTATCGCGCCATCCGCATAAAGTTGAAGTGGGACGGTGAGGCTAGGTATAAGTATAAGAGCGGTGGAAAGTATGACGTCGACGATACTAGTGATAGCGAGGATGAAGAGAATTGGGACTTGGAGCCGCTGGATGAGGCGGATAGGTTGAAGGACTTCCCAGACTCTGTCAAGATTGATATAGACGGGGAAGAGGCGGTTGAAGATTAAATGTTGTCTTGTAATGAACAGTCTCATACTTCAATTCAGTTGCTCTACGATCTGGGTAATCAAGTAGATCCCCTGAGTCGCGCTGCCTTAGGACAGGAAACCTTTGATCTCTCCCTGTATCCAAGATTCATCTCGCTTAGAGTCAAATAACCCCCAGTGCTTAATCCACCAGTAGCCAGTGTGATTATCGGGATCCTTCAGTCTTTCAAACATACGCCGCATAGAATCAATCCGACGGAGAGATTCCCACTCTTGCTGAGACAGAAATCCTCTTGCATAATCAAGAATGAATGCTGCAACCCCAGCGGCAATCGGCGCTGCACATGACGTACCACTCATGTCTTTGACATTGCCGGGCAAACCCAAATTTGGTGGCCACGCTGACCTGACACATTCTCCGAGGACCATGATCCTCATGTTCTCCTTCGGGCTCGGCGTGAACGAGGATGGATTGCCATAACCATCTCCCGAATGGACACAGATGACATTTGATTCAATGGCGGGCCACGCGACGCCGTCAGGGCGGTTCTTACCATCATTGGAAGCTGCTGCGAACATGAGAACATCATTGAAGGCGGCGTACTTGATTGCATCGTACACCGTCTCGTTCCTGCTTCCGAATCCAAAGGACATGACGATAATATTAACTTTCCAATCGTCCACAGCGTATCGGATAGCCTAGATTGTAATATTAGCTGCGACCTTACATAGTAACCTCTCTGGCCAAGATAGGTTCTCACCGCAGCAATATCATATGCTGATTTCTCAACATCAGGCCTCTTCTTGAATACCCGCGCAACGTGGATAATGGCATTTGGCGCGATCTTGCGGAGGAGAACAGCGAGGTGCGTGCCGTGTCCAACGTCATCTTTCCATTCCGTATTATCTTCCTCGACCCATGTGCGATATCTGATTCTGGGTTCCAAATCATACATATCCTTTTGGTCCTTGGAGAGCTCAATGCCGCTGTCTAAAATAGCAATTCTAACACTTTGAGACTGAATAGAGTCAGGTTTGCGTAACTTTCTTATCCGATTAAGGGCGTCTGCGTGCCATTCGAACCACGCATCCGCCGCCAATTTGCTATTTGACGTGTAATATTAGCTATTAGCCCTGTTATTTGGGATCACTGGTACCATCACCCACTTGTCGCCTTCAGCACGCATTTCTCCCTCCACTCTCCCTCCAAGAAGGCCTAAATCACGATTCTCTGTAACTTTTGGGGCCGTTTCTGGTGCAAATCAAGAGTTATAACGATATTCAAGTTGGAGGAAGTGTGACTGTACCAGTTATTCCAACTGAGATGAAATCTCTTGCTGCTGAGGATGGCCTAGGATTAACGCCTAATTGTTCGAGATCCTCCATGCTTTTTTCTGGAGTCATATCATCATATAACTTATCCAAACAAACCTTATATCCATCACTGAGCTCTGAAGCCAAGGGCTGAATAATGCATGATAGAATATATTGTCTGATTGGACCTTCTTCGGACAATAGCTTGCTTGGGAAATTTGATGGCGGGTCCAGAATCAGGCAAGAACGGATGACTTTAATTAAAGCACGAGATGTCCTCTTGGAACGGTCGCGAGTGATTTGATGCTCTAGTTCCTGGATTTTTTGCAAGGCTTGCATGCCGTCGCTGTTGAATTGCTCCCACAAAGTTGGTTCACGAGATCTTCTCGTAAACCTGACACCTGTGGCAATTTCCAGAAAAATAATGCCAAGGGCTAAGATTGCGGGATGGTAGTGATACTGCATATGATTTGGCGGATTATTTTGAGCCTGTTGAAGTGTGACTGAAAGATATGGAAACGTCAAGGCGGGCGACGCCGAGCTGCCGACACGGCGGACGAAGTAGATTTTGTCACTGTTCCATGTTGTTTGGAACCAAGAGCCTGGATATAGGAATAGCATAGAGCTAGCCAGAACATAGCAGAGAATGAGCTTGTCCTTAGGTGTGTATTTCGAAATATCTGAAACTGAAACGCCATCTCCTAGGAGTTGTTGAAGAGATTCCATAGTTGTGTGGTGATCGACACCCTTAGAGGGTCTGGGCGTTAGGTGCCATAGTTTGTCATTCTGAGCCAAAAAATCGGCCTGGAAATATTGGCTCTTTAACAACCAGTGGGAGATGTCGTTGTTGACGGACTGTCGACCTCTGAATATCGATATCTCGGGCCTGCGCCAAAATCCCGTCAGAGAATGAACAATAAACTTTATAAGCTGAGCTTCCATCTTACCGAGGTTTGACGACTTCAACATTCGTCACTTTCCACTCAATATTGTCCTTGCAAACAGGCAGGAGAATCTCAAACTTGGCTAGCGGATTATTATGTGCTGCAATTCCTTGTGGTGCCACCTTTGGTGCTAATCGACGGTGTAGAATCAGACAAAGTCTCGCCTCTCTCAACCCACACGGCCTGGCCCATTTAACGCAGTCGCATTTCCAATGCTGCTCTAAGAGGTAATAGGTTCTGTTGGCTAGGACTTTCATTCCATAGCTGGGATGCTTGGAGAGTTCATACTCCTCAGCGTCCACTCCACAGGGGTGCCGGAAATACACGTCTAAGAGATGCTCTGTGGCTCCTCTAATCCGTTTGAGAAACTTGTCACGTGCTGCTGTAGATTTATTCTCCTCTTTATGAAATAGAAAAATGTTTTGGCCGATGATTCTCAAATATTGATCGCGAATCTCGCTTGACTGGGCCTGCAATTCAAAACATTCGTCATAACCTCCTAAACTTTTAGACTGGATAGACTTGGCAAGCTGATATAGGCCAGGAAACTCCTTCAATTGAGCATGCTCGATATCGTTCGCCTATCAGATAATAATGAGCGACCTCTACCTGAACGGGGGAATCGTTAGGTGTCGCGTTTGAAACGTACAGGTACTTTGTTCGGCATGGAAAATAGTGGAAGGGGCATCCATCTCTTCGGGAGTCGGCTCTCCAGCGCTTTTAATAGCCTGCCAACCTGTTCATCTTCGAGGCCAGGGGCCCATTCTCCGTGGGACGTAGATAATACCAACCCTATATTTACTATATCGGAGTAGCAGTCTTGGGCACTGCGGAAAAGATCCGGCTTTGGCCCGCACTCTATGAAATCTTTGGCGAGTGCCCCAAAGGCGGGAACTACCCAAGAAAGAAGCTCCAGTTGCCACATTAAATCTAGACTTCGTGCTCTTTCACCAAGGAGCTCCTATGAAGCTGCATGAATAAAACTGTGATCTGAAGGCGGCCTGTGAGTATCGAAGTTGGGCTTCCTTTGCTTGGAGCCCATGTGAGTGAGCGGCTGCTGCCCCGCCCGTTGGGCTCGTCTACAACACCGTTGCATGTACTTTAGTACCTAGTACTTAGGTACTGGTAGGTAATGTACATATGTACTCTTGTCACCATGTAGTGTTGCATGCTTGAGGCTCCGCCGTCGAATCACACCCCAAAACCTGTCCTGCTACCTAGGTATCGAGAGGCTTGGACGGCAAGACATAGGTAGCTTCAAACGGATTGTTATCAACACCACGATGAACTGGGAATCCGAGGTAGACCCGAAAGACACTGTAAGTCTCCGAAATATCGCCCTGGCTTGCGAGAGACATCTACAAAAACTCCAGATGGATGAGGAGGTTCAAGAAGACACCGTCAAAGCCAGAGAAGGATATTGGGCCTCTCGCCAATGCGCTGAGTTCAATCTATGGTGCACCAAAGTTGGGGTGCACGGCGAGGGTCTCCGAGCCATCGATGTGCGACTAAAAGACGTTTCGGGGATTTGCAAGCTTCTCAGACAGCTGCTTCAGTCGCTGGAGCATGATCTTGAAGGTTGTTGCCTCTCCTACCATCACCCACTATAAGGAGCGACCATGGATGGAAACTAACTGTCTTTAACCATGATCAGAACTACAACAACCCATCAGAGCATCCGAACATGTGATCAACATAGATGAGAGCATAGATGATGCCCAGTCAGATTCGTCTTCTCTTTCCTTCATGGCTCTATCCTCTTCTGATGAGTCTGAGACCGAGGGCGCTACTGGCGATGGTGCATCGGCATCTGCGAAATGGAATGCGGGGTTGCGAAGACATGTCGAAGACACAATCGATCGACTCCATGGTCACGCACTACAAATTGACCGTGCCGGCGCCAAACACCGACAGGAACGGATAGAACTCTATCGGCAGAAAGAAGGCCCAAAATGGGCCTATGAGGCGTACAAGGGGCTCGCAACCTGGGCAGCTAAGAGTTACTTCCCGTTGGCATCTGACGCTTTCCAACAGAGAATGGGAGAATCTTTCGCTAGGCGGAGAATTCGCTTCGAGTACCTGGCAGAGCATCAAAAGAAGAGAACTGTCTATGCAACTGTTAATCGCATGCAACCTTCGCTGGCTAAGATCCAGTCCGACTCTGAAGATGCCGATGGTTCGACACATGTATCCAAAACGCAGGAACCCCTAGAAACGGCAAATGAATACTGTCAATGCGCTCCCCAAGACCAAGACACTATTTACTCAGCTACAGTGAATACCAAACTCGACATGCAGCCCCAGCCAAAGCGCCAAGAACGTGCAGAGAGCGTGGCCTCTGTAACACTTCGACATCCTGGATTCCCGCCGCCTCCCCAACTCTGTAGTGATAGTTTCCAGTGTCCCTATTGCCGACTCGAATTTCGTGCCTATGAGGCTGGAAGAGACCGCTGGAGGTGAGAGTTATCCTGATGCTGAACAACTCTCTCCTTGCTGATCAATCGAGTAACAGCCAACATGTCATTCAAGATTTCGAGCCATATTTCTGCATCTTGGAGCAATGCAAAGAGCCATTTGATGTACCTAACTCATTTGATGGCTTGCTAGACCACTTGCAGGGCCATCTCGAAGAACGATATCACATTGACATGCCTGATGGGACGCACAAGGAATTTGACGAAACGGAATTTGAAAAACACCTTGCACAGCACGGAGAGATATCCACAGAGATGGTATTTATCATGAAGAAAGCCAGTCGGCGCAAGGGCCCATTCCTGTTTGGGAGCTGTCCTTTCTGTGGCGGCTATCCCGATGTCATTGAAAAGCGTTTCTCAAAGTTGGATACTCCAGAGGCTCAACAAGAGTTGCGGAAGCATATCAAACAGCATATGCAAGACATCGCGTTTTTTCTTCCTCCGTATCGAGAGGATCTCTCCAAAGAAGATGTCGATCTCAAAAGCTCTGCTGTAACAGGGCAAAGTGCCAACCTTGACAACTTTGAAGACCCAAGCGAGTTCCTGGAGATCTGTGGCAACAAAGATTGTGACTGCAGAGGTCAAGGAAGACACGTTGGAGATGTGTTAGCAGATAAATTGATTGCAATAACGGTGGAGCGGGATCTGGAGGGCATGGACATCTGGACAGAAATTCCAGCCCCAGCAGATCTGAATCATGAAAACACTGACTTCTGGGCGAAGCTCTTCCCCAACTCTGCTCCATATAACCGCTCCCCTGTTTCGGATGAGTATTACCTCAGCGATGGACACCTTCAGTCGTTTATTGCACGCTTATCGCCATTGTCTGTCGACCATCTAGGACCAAAATCTACGTCAACCAAAGATCTTAGCGAAGACAATCTAAACGAGCTTTCACAGGCTTTTCAAGATTGTATGAAGTCGCTAGCCTTTCCAGAAATGAACGCTGGGTTCGATAACGTTCACACCGCCGCGAAGGGTACATGTAGATGGCTATTTCGTCATGAGATATATTTGGATTGGGTCACCTGCCACCAAGGCCTTCTCTGGATCAACGGTAAGCCAGGAACGGGGAAATCAACGTTGCTAAGATATGTTCTTGAAAATCACCAAACTGTATCCAGCGCTGTGACCAACCACATTGTTCTCTCTTTTTTCTTCAGCCGCCACGATGTTGAGCTCCAAAGAACTCCGCTCGGTCTCTATCGGTCTCTTCTCTATCAAATCCTCAAGCAGACCCCTGACATGTTGCCAAATCTCATCAGCACCTTTAAGAAAAGACGCAAGGAGAGCGGAGAACCGGGAGAAGCATGGCAATGGAGCGTGGAAGAGCTGCAAGACTTCTTCCAGTTATCTCTCTCATATGTCTTAAAGACTCACCAAGTTTGGTTGTTCATCGATTCGTTGGACGCATGTGGTCAAGAAAACGCAGCCAATCTAACTCGTGAATTAAAGGCTTTAGTCCATATTCTCTCGTCTGGAGGCTTGAACGATTTCCATGTGTGCTTGACCTGTCATGGCTACTTGAACTTGGACCCAGACAGTACGTTGCAAATATGCCTGGAGAATGAGATTCAAGGCGACATTTTATTGTACACGCAAGGCCAAATTTCCGCATCTTCTATGCTAAGCGCATCCGATATTGCGACTCTCATTATACATATTGCCAAGGGTGTTTTCACTTTGGCCTATCTCCTCGTGAACCAAGTGTTGGAACTTGAGCGGAGAGGCATCAAGTTGGAAGTCATCAAAGAAGAAATGAAAGCAATCCAACCAATCCTTGAGCTATACCACATTTTTATTCAAAAAGAGGGATCACTTGCATGGCCTTTAAAGTCTATAGACGAGGCCATCGTCCAACTACTTGTCGATGACGATGCTGAAATCTATTTGAAAAAAATACACCGCGGGTCACCGCTCTCATGGGCGGCAGCAAGGGGGAATGATGCAGTTGTTAAGCTGCTGCTTGAGAGCGGCAAGGTTGATCCAGATGCTAAAGATAATGTATACGGCCACCACCAGACACCGCTATCATTGGCGGCAGAGTTCGGGTATGATGCAGTTGTTAAGCTACTGCTAAAGAGCGATAAGGTTGATCCAGAAACTAAGAATTTTTTTGACCAGACACCGCTATCAATGGCGGCAGAAAATGGGAATGAGGCAGTTGTTAAGCTGCTGCTTGAGAGCGGCAAGGTTGATCCAGATGCTAAAGATCCTGATATTTGCCGGACGCCACTATTATGGGCGGCAGCAAATGGGAATGAGGCAGTTGTTAAGCTACTGCTAAAGAGCGATAAGGTTAATCCAGATGCTAAAGATTATGACGGCCAGACACCGCTTTCAATGGCGGCAGAGAATGGGCATGAGGCAGTTGTTAAGCTACTGCTTAAGAGCGGCAAGGTTGATCCAGATACTAAGGATCGTCGCTGCCGGACGCCGCTATTATGGGCGGCAGAGAATGGGCATGATGCAGTTGTTGAGCTACTGCTTAAGAGCGGCAAGGTTGATCCAGATACTAAGGATTGTGACGGCCGAACACCGCTATCATTGGCGGTAAAGAATGGGCACGAGGCAGTTGTTAAGCTACTGGTTGATAGTGGCATGAACACTTCGAACTACAAGAGTGATCAGCCATCGTATGGCACAACCCACGACCCCATCGTCGAACATGAGGTCTCCTACTTGGGGTTTGGTCCTTGGGCCGAGGATAATCAATGACCTGGGCAAAATATAAGAGAATATTTAGAACAAGTGGATTAGACTACAAGAATACCTGAGAACAACACCATTGCCAACAACTGTCGTCACTGATGGTTGTCCGGCACCAGTTCAAGCGGCATGGGCACGTGCCGAACCGAAATATGTCTCATATATCTCACCTGGAAGAAGGAATAATAGAGTCTCAGCCCTTTCGCAAGAGAGAGCCGACACACACACACACACACACACACACACACACACACACACACACACACACACACACACATATATATATATATATATATATGAAATATAATATTAATTAACACTGCCTTCAATTATTGGAAAACTATTCAGCTTTCCAAAACGCGGCAGCCGTGTTTTACGACGAGGTTGTTAAGAGTCGCAATGGTTAGGGTGGCTTCTGGCTGCAAAGATCGATATCCACGCATTCATCCAAAGCGCTTATGAGAATAATCTGAACACATATGACTGTGGGGAAAATTCAGGGTCCCGTCAACTCCAACGGTCTGCCCTGGTTCCAGCAGCTCAGATACGTACCTACATATACTGATGATGGCATCACATGATTATGTCGATTGTAATGGGGTAGAATCTTTGCTTGAAAAACTTCCAGCAGCTCCTGCAATGGCACCCTTTAATCACGGACAGCGATATGATAGAAAGAACAACCGATTTCGCCTTCGCCTCGTCGATGGGGTCCTCCTTAACAACGAGGCAGATTCTTGCTCGGTCCTCTGCGGCGACATGCGCCATTGTGACAAGAATGCCAACATGTCCATGTAGTAAGCTTTACTCACTGAAAAAACTTTCTGGAGAGGGAAGCTTGCCCACTTGAAGCCCAAGAGGATTACGATGATATGACAACCATATCCCTTGAAGATCAAGACGACTATGATGATACAGCGACCGCGGCCCCATAAAGAGGACAGATGCTTGCTTAAGAGCTTATATAGTCAGCAGGACGCTGTGAAAGTATTGTACACAGCTCCGCTCCCCTAATAGTTGAAGTCTGCTGACGACGATCCCATATAGTATTGGTAGCCTCCCTGGACTGACTATATTGCAGATGTGTTTATTCTTGCTATTCTAGGGGATAAAGGCTTAGGCAACATATGTGCACGTGAAGGTGATGAAGAATTTGTACGTGAGCTTGAAGAACGAATGTTGTTGGACGATTTACTTGATAGCTGCCATTGTCGGTGCTCTCCCGGTGATTGCACGCCGTTTATGGCGGGGATGAAGCATATGCAATTATGTAATAGCCAGCTTGGTATTGCCACTACTTTCACTGAGTGTCTAAAGGAGTACGGTAACGCTTTTCAAAGGAAGCACTACTATGCTGCGATAGGGTTTACCACATTTCAGGCACTAGGCGTTGCGCGTACGTGCATATGCAAAGGGCGGTATTGGACGGAACCAACATTTGATGCAGATGAGATTGTGGAAATACCAGATGAATATTCAGAGCTGTTAAAGCTCTTGGAGTCGTCGATAGAGGAGTTTGAATCGCACGCCTTTGAGATCTTTGAGGCAGCTACGGATGGATTTGACAGTATAGTTACTTTCTGGAACGGGTAAAGGGATCGGAGAATGAGTCAAGTTCTCTCTGAGCTCTCTCGAGCTGGCGAGGCAAGTAAAACAACTGCAGAAGACCTAGGTATTATTTGGGTTCCTCAGGTAGAGAAACAAACGGATGAGATACAAGTATTGGAAAGGTTGGAACTATTACTTTCGAAGGATCGAGCAGATCAAATAGATCGAATAGGTCGGTCATGAAGTACTCCGACACGTTTTATGTTGGAATATCTGCATCAACAGTATGATTGATATGAAATACACAGTAGGCACAGAGTATCGTGTGCTTACATTTGGTATAGTAAAAGATCCATCGTGAATCATCGAAACTGCATAGTTCCTCTGTATGTCTTTTATATCGCCTTAACCCTAGCCATATCTGCGCCTGTCTCCCCATATTATTAAAGAGAAGATATTTTCTATAATGCTATCTCATTTACTTTAAGTAAGACCTTCTCGATAAATCGAACCCCGACTAATATACCGTCGTCGTCGCGCATTTCTTCATCGTCTCCAAAGTCTTCGTTCCCTTGATCTAGACATGTCAGACAAGTAACAACAACAGACGTGTATTTGTCGCCCATTCGTGATGGTAGCTTGAGTCTTGCAAGATTGACCAAGTGGTTTTTTATCTTGGATGAGACCGCTGATCCCTCTGCTTGAAATTGAAGATTGTCTAGACCCAGACCCAAACTGGCCGAAGGCTGCTTATTCTCGTGCTTCGCATCTCCCACATCTCTGTCATAAGAGACAAAGCTTTCCCACAGACCTAGTTCTAAGAGACAAACTCCTAAACTGTATACATCATGCTGCATGATGTAGTCCTCTTGGGCGGATAGTCCTTGTCGTGATGGATGGCGGTAAAGGTTCCGGTCCCATTCTTCGTCGCCAGTCCTCATTGTGCGAAAATTGACGCTACGGAATGAATTGAAGCCTAAAAGATAAGCAGGCCCCAAATCATTAGGATTTGTAGCATTGTCTTCTGGAAGTATAAGTATTGTCTCTGGGCGGATATTTTTATGAACCCAGCCACATGTGTGGATGTAGCTGACAGCACTGACCAACTGACGAGCCATATTCAAGATGGTAGTTAAGCTAATGCCTGTGCTATACAATAGATGGTGTCGCAAGCACATTGGATTAGAATCTTCCGTCCATAAACTAAAGGCCAAATGCAGTGAGACAAGTTTTCGACTCTCTGGGTCTTTTCTCTTAATAAACCCGAAGCAACGAAGGAGTCCCGAGGCGCGGTGATTTAATTGGGAGAGTTTCTTGGCTAGAGACTCCCCATCGGCTCTAGCTCTAGTGACATCGAGAGTTTGGTCACATATGATTGTGTCAACTGCGAATCTCGTCTTGTTTGATGCTGTCCGTGGGATAAGGCGTATGTTGGTGTATTTAATCTGGACTGCTTGTCCCCAATCTAGCCCATTATCCGAGAGGTTTATTGGTATTTTTGGATGCCCGTCCTTTTCTCTCCCAACACCAAGGCTGCTTCGAAATCTCTGAGCTGGAACCAGAGGCGAGTTCTTATAAACTGTCTCCGTCTGTAACGACTCATTTGAAGTAGTTAGTGGAAGAGGAGACGTTGTTGACAACTTCTTGTCAATAACTTCATCTCCAATAAGAAAAATTAAATACCATGTTGGATCGAAAATACGCTGCCATTGATCTAGATCTGAAATGGCCTCGTCGATTGCATCTCGAAGGAACGGATATCTCCATTTTTTTATGCCGAAATTCGCGCCTTCCTTGAGCACAGGTTCGATCTTTGTGATTGCCCTTGATAATTTGCTCTTTAGAATCTCGAAGACCTCCATGTGGATTATGCAATGCTCTCTTTTCAATGTATTCGCTACCTGTTTCAGAAATTGGATTTGGATCTCTAAACGAGCCCAAACTGATTGCACGCGAAGGATTCGTTCTCTCACTTGCTCATCGGCACTTTTGAAATCTTGGTACGCTGTCATAAGCTTTTTTCCATGCCTTGTCTTTTGTCAGCATGATGGCTATTTGTGTATCATTTTTTCTCAGGTACGTACTGTAAACAGAGGTCTGCTATGCCAACAGCCGACAAGACCAGATCCACGGATGACATTTTCTTGGATTTCAAGACAAGATTTACCACTGGATGCTGATTTGTTTGGAGTTAGCTACTGCCGCAGAGCCTCAAATATCTCAAGTCATGATACGGCCACGGCTAGGACTTTATCAAGGCTGTGCTCTCGAGCGGGGTTGGCAGCCTGATTCAGATCCTCCTCAGCTCTACCCCGCCTGGTATTCATAATAAAGACAAGTCATTGGCTGGTATTCCAAGTATTTGTATAGATGCATGATACATTTCGCAGGTCTAGGCTGCCGGTAGCTGTGTTTGGCATCCTTCTCTACACATCCATTCGTACTAGCCATCACATATGGCATTTATGTTGCTTTGGTGTAAAACGTAACAATTCTTCTTTAACCGCTATCTACCAATCTTTATCGCGTTCTTACTGGCATAGAACCCAGACTCTCTGTCCCTAGGGTTGGCAGAATGCCGCTTAATTCCGAACCACGGTTGCCTGATATCGTACGCGACTGGAAGATCGAAGCTGAAGTTTCCGGCGACTATACCAAGCACATTGTTTACGAAAGCGGATTATCGGCACGAGAACGACATATACGAAAAGAGGAAACATGGAAGCGGCAGAGACTCTTAGGGCAAGGAGGATATGGTACGGTCTACCTAGAGAAATGTACACAAGGCGACCAGCCAAAATTAAGGGCTGTCAAGAAGATCAAGAGTCAAGACGTTGAACATTCAAGAGAACTTGAAGCGATACTTAGATTTTCGCATAAGAGGGTATGCAAACAGTCCTGTTCAATGACGACCCAGTGTTGCGAATTCAATTCTAAGCTTGAGCGATAGTATAATTATTGCTTTGTACAGTCTTATGGATGGTTCGAAAGTGGCGATTCAATATTTATTTCCATGGAATACCTTGAGCTAGGCGATTTACAAAGACATCTCATAAGGCCATTACCGGAGTCCGAAGCTCAGCAGATTACTCTCCAGGTCTTGGAGGGCTTAAAGTATATGCACGAAAATGGCTTTGTTCACCGGGATGTGAAACCTGCAGTAAGATGGCCATGTTTTGTTCTTTATTCTCCATATCAGTTTATAGTATGGCTGCTTATTGCAAATTGTTTAGAACACCATGGTGGTTACTGCCGGACCAGACTGGTTCGTGAAGATCGCTGATTTCGGCATTAGCAAGCGCCGGCAGCCAGGCGTTACGAGCTTGCGAACGAAGCAGCTCGGCACTATGGGATTTGCGGCTCCTGAACTATTAAATTTGTTTCAGGAGACTGTCACTTCCTCATACACATGGTCCGTGGACATTTGGTCCTTGGGTGCTATGGCATACCTAATGCTTACGCATACCCTTCCCTTTCGAAGTTTTGGCGATTTATACGAGTATGCACATAAGGAATCATCATTTCCAACTCATTCCTTGAGCAAGTGTAATGTCTCAGAAGAAGGACATGATTTTATTACCAAGCTTATGTCTCCTAAATCACAAGATCGGCCGGCAGCGCAAGTGGCTATGGGCTATGGATGGCTGTCATCCATTAATAACGATAAAGATGCCCAGCTGAGGCGAGTCCATGATGATGCACAAACTGCACGTGTTTTGATGAAATCTAACATAACTTTAGTAACTTCGAGACAGAAAAAGAATTTGATACTTTATCCTGCTCCTCTTCAACATCGATAGCGTCCAAGGCCTGGAGCGAGCAAGCCACAAATGCGATGACTCGCCTTGATCCAGATGAGGCTACAAGGGAATCGGTTACTACAAGCACTCCCACAGATCAAACGACCATAAAACCAATCTCAGCTATCTACCAGCCGCCTTCTGTGGAAGATTCTCAGAATACAGTCGATATTGACACAATAAATGTCTTGCCTGCTAACTGGCCGCATGTTCTGGAAAGCTCGACAGATATACTTGGCCAGGGCGATACTGTTCTCGCTGCTTCTCCTACTTCGACTGGTTCAATTCGAAAGAAAAACAACTTACAAGAACGCATCTCAAACACATCTCTTACAGATCGTGAGGCTGCTATTAAAAACTCTACTGAAAGTCAATCTGCCGACCACGATAAGATCTCAAAAAAGTCCCCAGGTACATACAGGCACAATTATTCGTTCCTTTATAACTGACTGACATCTTAATAAGAGTTGGAAATGATTAAACCTTCGGAGTCCAATAAACCCGTTAATCCAAAGAAACAACATAGTGGCAACAAACGGCCGCTCGTTTTAAATACCAAGCACATCGAGAATAGCCGAGCTAATACCTCCTCAGGAAAGCATAGACTCGCAACTGATACTGCCAAGAGCAGTATTGCGATGAAACAAGCCAAGTCAGATCCTTCTACGGCTTCTTTGGGTCCAGTCACAATAGATGAGTATGGATGCCCATGAATTCATGACACTTCAGATGTTCTTTTAAAGGTTTTAACTCGGTAGAAAATAAATAGGCCCACTAAGACTATTTACTGTCATAGCTGCTCTTCTGGCTATTCGATACGCATGTTCTCACGCGGTCCAATAGAACTCCTTCCATGTCAACACTACATGTGCCACACATGCCTCGTCCAGCTATTGGCTCTGTCACTGTTGTCACCAATGTACATGCCTCCAAAATGCTGCGAACACGATCTAGGGAAGATTAGTCAGATCCACTTCGACAGAATTCTTCTTGATCCGGAACTCGGTAAAATTTGGGATATTTGGGATGATCTCAAAGATGTTAAGGAGGAAGGATGGATATGTGCAGACAAGCACTTTACACGTGGCGGCTCGCTCCTGGTAACTAACAGCTTAGTTCCAGTTTGGAAACAGCCCGTAAATTGCGCGGAATGTGCTATAAGCACACAGAGGCCAATTGTTGAAAACTCTCGGTATTCAGTGTCGCCCGGTTACAAACACACCGAATTTTGTCTTTTCTGCACCGAGTCGCTCTCTGGTGGTAACTGTCGATGCGGGTCTAATGAAGTCATTGACAAGTTTATTGAACTTTTGTTTACTACAGGCGCCCTTAAGATTGAAACAACAGCATCTGCCAAGCTCTTGGCGGCGATAGATATTAGGAAAAACATGAGGGATGGCAAAGCCTTCACCTTGGGCTTTCGACCTAGGGAGAATGGGAAGGGAATCAAGAATGAAAAAGACAAGAAAGATGAAAGAGACAGAAAAGATGAACCGAGTTGGAAAAAGCTGAGTCCTAGACCAACTCCAAAATTGGAGATACCAAGCGGAGACCAAGGATCAAGGAAACGAAGCGCCGAGCCACCGCCAACGCCACGATGCTACGCATGTAGGACTCCTATAATGCAAGAAACTAGTTCAGGGAATCTTCAAAAGTGGTACGTACTCAACTTTCTCCGAACTCTTTGTGCGTTTGTTCACATCCAATGCAGCCGGGAATGCAGCGCGCCTTGCTGCAACATATGTGGCACCAAATGGAAAGAGTGCAAATGTCCTACGGCCATTTCCAAAACTGACCCTAATTATCTGGTGGATAACTCACCTTCAACGCAAGCTCGACCAAGAGCCTGGGACGAATCGCGTCCACGTGGCGCCTCAATGGAAAATGTTGACTTGGGGGATAGATTTGGTTATGTGGCGACGGGGTCTAGAGAGAGGCTCACACCGTATTATCCGCGAAGCGAGAGATCATATTATTACGACCGCATGACTCGTGAAGATGCACGGCGGACAGATGCTAGATCTAACAAGCCTAGAGAGTATGAAGATACTCTCCCTCAGTCTCGTCATCAATCCAGCCGGCTGCTAGAACCAAACTCTCCTCAGCACAGGCGCAGAGAAAATCTAGCTTACTACAACGATTACATGTCAAAGCCTAGGACAAGTGCTACTGATGGCAGACAAGAGACATCAGATCCGTCAACTTACATTGAGGTACCAAGTAGGAGAGGAACTTCCAAGAGTGCCGCGACAAAGAGTTATAGATATCTGAAAAGATAGATACGCTCAGCAGATATAAATCTACTATCAAGCGATGAATTATATCAAATCAGGATAGCACTCATAGTTAAGGTGTAATTACTTGGTGTACAACCGAATTGTTTCATTATGTGCTGTAATTACACAAGCTCTTGACTGGCAGATCAGTACGTACATGTGTAGCCAGGCAAGTTACCACTGGCGAACAGAGGTTGCTGTATGTTGCAGGTCTAACTGACTCAGCACCTACAGTGAAGCTCTCGTTGTTGAATTGCATGACTCTTATCGCAGCGAAGGAGTATCCCGATAAATTTCTTACTCATGATGATGATGATGATGATGATGATGATGATGATGATGATGATGATGATGATGAAGAAGAAGCAGAATCGATGGTGTTGAGGTTTATAGTCTAGTCGAAAAGGTTAGCAAGCACGAGTTATTAGTGAAAAGAAGAATAACCTATGCGCATCAAAGCCATCCATCTACGCATTAGCGCAATAGCAATCATAATTCGGCTGCAGTTTAGCCAAATGCATGACTCCGTACAGCAGCATCAACCTACACTTTGAAATAGCGCTTCGTACTTTGCCACCATTCTATATTAGTAAGCAGCGTCTCCTGTCAGTACATGTACCTATTCTCGAGAAGCTTTTACCAAGCGAGTCGCCAACATGGCTGTACATGGACCTGATTCTAGCTGTGCATACAGCATATAGCTGACCACCGTGGCTGCTTTTTTGATGAGCAATCCTTAGGTATTGCTCTATACCCTCATTTTTTTTTCGATAGAGAGGGACGAATCTTTGGGTAAGTTGGCTCCTGGCTATAAGCGGATCCTTTGCAACCGCCAAGGCTTGCTTATAAGCATCGTGTATCAACCCGACATCCTAATATTGATAGCAGTTCTCAATGAGAGAATTCGGATCTAAGAATATGTACCGCCATCTCTGCCACTGTGGAAAGAGTTATAAACGGAAACAACATCTGCAACGTCATCAAGCTTCTCATGAAGGCCAGTTATATCGCTGTGACATCTGCGGGGAATCCTATGGGCGCAAGTAAGTCTCTTACAAAATGTACTGCGACATGTTACAATGAAGCTTAATTTCGAGTTGCAGTGACGTTCTGCAGCGGCACGTTGCTGCGCATGAGGATACCCGGCAAATACGGCCACGAGCCTGTAAGGCGTGTCACGCAAACAAGACCAAGTGTGACGGCAATGGCACGTCTCAGTGCTCGTTTTGCGCGGCGCGATCGATCGCATGCGCATACTCCGTGGCTCAATCAAAGAGGCGGAAGGCAACTAGAAGAAGAAATTTAAATGCCAACCATAGCCACGAGACTGAAAACGCTGTTATTATTCAAGCTACAGCTGACGTCCTTCAGACAGTACCTGTGGTTCCAAAACCACCGATTGGTGAATCCATTGTCACGCCAAGGAAGCCGGATAATGTGTATGTCTTCGCACGTTCCCGAGCATATACCAATCCTACCAGTTCTAGCCCTGAACTTAGTGTGCCTGATGGTACAAGCCACTTGAAATGGGTTCTTCGAGGGTTATCTGCGTCGCCACTTAGATCGGACCCAATTCAAGATGCAGAATCTCCTGATGAACTGAGGAGGTGGTTGCAACTGTGCTTCAAATCCTACGTGGCCAAGTTCCACTACCGATGGCATATCATCACCGCACCAACATACGACTTCAGCGAAAAGCCCTTTGATAATGCAGCCTCCGTCGTCATGATTGGGTCTTACTTTCTAGACCATGTACGCTGGAGGAATGCGGCGATCGATATTCACCGTTGTTTAGTTGATAGCTATTTCCGACTTCTAGTATGCCTCCATTCATTCATAGTTCTTTTGGTAGAAAGCTTACTCACTATCCTGCAGGCCAAACCTCTGGAACGAAACAAACTGCCTGCTAATGCCAGGCGGCTGGAAACTTACCAAGCTATTTTGATGAATATTGTGTTTGGAATGTATTTAGGTGTATGTACATCGTACAAGCTGAACTGTGAATCTGTGCAGAAGTAACCTTTAAATAGGACAAGAGAGATGTGGTAAGGGCCAACAAGTTATGTGGCCTCCTGATCACGGTACTGCAAAGCTCTGGTTTTTTTCAATGAAACTTTCTCGCAGGAAATCCAAGAGAGCGATTTTCCTGGGACCTATGTTCTTTGGGTAGAGATGGTTCAGGATGAATGGAAGAGGTCTGTCGACCCTTCTTCGAAAGCCTCGCATTCGCCAAGTCAGAGCTAACGTAGGATATCAGACTTATAGCCAATCTATTCAAAGCTGAGACGCATTTATCTATCTTCTGCCAACAACGCCCTCGACTTCTCGATGACGAACTCGACGCAACCTTGCCGTCTACTTTTGCATTACGAAACTGTTATCGTCTGGACATTTTTCTTCAACGGTACCAACGAGAGCGCGATACTCAGCACCGGAATCATATAAAACTACCGTGGATGATTAGGAATCCTCACATGTTCCTATCTGGTTCACTGCTTATTGAGGATATTAACCTTGGCCTATGTGGCTTACTTTTTGACGTTATTAGCCAATCACAACACTTTCGTATCTTTTCAGATATATTTCAAGACCCTTCAGCAGGAACTACACGTGATAGAGTCTTGCAGCGGCTCTCTCTCTGGGCTACACATATACAAACCGCAGCAGATCAATTCACCGCTGCTGCAGATGCTAGCTGTATCACTGATAATGGTATTGATACAACTGACCCTTTTCTGGAGCCGTTCCTCGGAGAGGAAGAGGAGACGTACCCAGAGAGCAATTGGAGGATGCTGGTTAGCTTCCGAGCCAAGACTCTCATCCATGAGACGACGGTACTTTATCACTTACTCCATATTCTTCTATCTGTGGATCATCTACGAACTATAGCGCACTTGGCAGTTACACAACTGCCTGGCTATAGAATTACCAGTGAACAGACCAAGATAAGACGAAGAAACGAGATCGCTGAGATTGGGAAGTGGGCTGGGTCAAGTGAGGGCAGACATGGAATCATTCATGCGCTTGCTGTGCTGCAAGTCGCTGATGTGATGCTGCAGCGAGAGGAATCCCATGATAGCAGTCACCACCTTGATTACATTGTCTATGTAGCCGTTGCTTACGGAGCTCTCATTTTTGCCGGTTGGCTGGGTCACATAGACACCGTATGCCGTTGCAGCGAAGGAGAAGCTCCTATAAATCTCGAGGCTACAGCGTGGGAAATCGACGAAGGCCAGATTCGCCGTGCTTGGGTCGAACATGGAGGCCGAGCTTCGGCTAAAGGGATCGCTCTATGTAAGTGTTCTTCAAGCGCTTGGATTGAGCGATTTGCGACCTACTTTCCAAAAACGCCGACGTGGGAGATGGCTGGCATCGTTGCACCCATGTTACAGCCGTTGATGCACATGGCGGACGAATAGCCAATGGAAGATACAGGTACATATCTAGACAACTAGAGTCTAACCATTCACTATCTCCACACGGCTCAGGTGCTAAAACATAAATTCAGCTCTCGCACGAATAGACATGTACAGTAGTGGCGTTAAACACTAACCCACATTATTTCGGCCTACATGTGGGTTACATGTGGGTTACTGATGTTTACAAACCGAGCTTCTGTCTTGATGAGGTGCACGAGGGGAGATATCCGCTATAGCCATATATAAAGTCTTTCATGATTCGCATTTCAAACTGTATGATCGCCATTCAATTGTCATATTGTATTAATCTCTACTGCTTCACCATTCTTCATTCATTATCCGATCCATTACTTTAATTCAATGTCTCTTCCAGCAACTTACAAGGCATGGGTGGTCGAGCAGGCCGGTGAACCCATGGTTCTCAAAGATCTTCCTCTCCAACTTCCTGGCCCTGGCCAGGTCCTTGTTAAGGTCCTGGCATGCGGTGTGTGCCATTCTGACACTGGTGCAGCTAAAGGAGAATATGGACCGATCCAAGGGCGGGTTCTTGGTCATGAAACTGTTGGTGATATTGTTGCGATAGGCGAAGGAGTTACCCGATTTAAAGGAGGCGAACGTGTGGGTGGGCCTTGGCATGGAGGTAAGATAATCTGCTGTTGGATATAGCTTTTCAGATAGGCTGATGTTACGAGCACCACTTCAGGTCACGATGGCACCTGCCGCTCTTGCCAGCGCGGCCAGTTCCAATACTGTGAACATGAGGCTATCAGTGGGCTCTCTCAGGACGGAGGCTATGCCCAGTACGTTCTATTGCGTGCCGAGGCAGTTGTTCGTGTGCCCTCGGATCTCGACCCGGCCGATGCAGCGCCGCTCTTATGCGCCGGGGTGACTGTCTTCAACGGCATCCGCAAGATGAACGTCGAGCAGGGTAGCATCGTCGCTATTCAAGGTGTCGGGGGCCTGGGTCACCTGGCTGTTCAGTATGCCAGCAAGATGGGCTATAAGACAGTTGTCCTAAGTTCTGGTGCATCCAAAAGGGCCTTTGCCTTTGATCTCGGCGCTCATGACTTCATCGACACTGCCGTCGAGAATCCGGTGGATAAGCTTAAATCAATGGGTGGTGCTGGCCTTATTGTGGCCACGGCGCCTAACCCCAAGGCCATCAGCCCACTTACGGCTGCTCTTCAGCCTGGCGGTAAGCTGCTGGTTCTCGCGGCTGTGGGCGACATCGTGGTCAACACGATCGACCTCATCATGGCGGGTGGCTCAGTTCATGGATGGGCGAGCGGCCATGCCCTTGATTCTGAGGAAGCCATTGAATTTGCAAAGGTCCACGGCGTAAAGGCCATGATTGAGAAATTCCCTATGGCTAGCGCACCAGAGGCTATGGAGCACATGCTGTCTGGGAAAGTTCGTTTTAGAAGTGTACTCGTTATGGAGTAAACCCCATCGAGGAAAAAAGATGTAGTAGTGCTACACCTACATGAGAAGTATTAGTATGTTTATTTGAGATGAAGCAAATTGTCATCTACAGAAGCGTAGGGAACATAGTATTAGTAGCACATACAATTAATCAAGATCCCTTTCATTCACAACGAACAGAGATATAGCCATACGTGATAACTTTATAATCTCATTATATTATATTATAAGTCACCGTAAGAAAAAGCTAGAAGATATGGTATAGCCAACCACGGCATTTATTTACGAATGATGAATTCTTAACGCAAAATTCTCTCACCCCAGAGTCTATAGAACCAAGATTGCTCAACATCCTCCGTAAATATAATCAGAAACACAACACAGCAAGGGCCATAATACGACCCATATTCAAGCTCGAAAGGGTGATGTATTAGCTCTCCGAGTACAAACGATCAGGGGTGAATAACAGAACGCTAGCTTCACTAGGATAAGAGCATACGAAGAACTTGTGGAGATACGTAACGCTAACCGGATTTTGAATCTTGTCGGAAAGCCTGTGGGTGAGCATTTGTAACTGACCCGCTGTGCTCGCTAGCTGAGGCCAGTATAAGAGGCGGGATTCTACGGTGGAGACACGTTCATTGATAGTGCATGTACTCAATCAACATGGACAGATGTACTCTGTAATTGTTTTGTTAAGCACAGCTATGATACAATATGCTAATCCAAATTAAGACTCTCTCTTTTCAAAACTTCTTCCAGTGACGTAAGACGGCCCTTAGCTTGTTTCGCTCCCCACGCAACGTCGTCCTTCATTGTCATTCCGTAGTACCCATAGTCTCTGAATAGTTGGTACATGTCAAGCAAGTCATCTCTAAGCCCTTCTGGGAGATTGCTTCTAAAAGCCTCATCTGATATATGTTGAAATCTGACATCTTTGCCAGAGACCTGGGAGAAGATCTTGGCGATTTCAGCCCAGGTGTATAAATTTTCGCCTGCGGCTATGGCTTTTCCCTCGTGCTGTTCTGGCTCGGCAAGCATCGCTCCAACCCATTTGCCAGTATCAGTGACATCGATAAGTGGCATAAGGGTATCTTGATTGCAGCAATTCGAAATGACATATGTTTCATCCTCAGTTGGTGATGAACGCGGTGCCATTCTGAAATTAATCAAGTTTTGCATAAAATAAGCAGGAGTAAAGAATGAAGATTTGATGGGTAGGTTGCGAATATATTGCTCAATCTCTGCCTTTACGTCAAAATGTTTGACATCCAACTCCCCCTTGGATATCTCTCGCGCATACGGCAAGGAACTCCAAATAACGAAGTTAACCTTGGCCTGCAACAGCTCTGAACAAAGCACTTTTGCTTGTGTCATTTCGATGGCAACGGTATTACCACTGTCTTGGGTATTTGTGAGGGCAAAAACGGTATGTGCGTTGGCAAGTGCAGATTTCAATGACGAAGGATCGTCCAAGTCGCCTTGCACAATCTCTGCCCCTTTATCCCGAAGATTTTGGGCTTTGGGGCTTGAAGGTGAGCGGGTGATCCCTCGGACAGTATATCTCATTGAGAGATCTGGGTCGTCCAGCACAAAGTTGGCGACTGATCCGCCCTGGTTACCCGTAACACCGAACACAATTAGGAGTCGTTTATCCATTGTTAGATTTCGGTTTCAAGATAAATTGATAAATAGAGTATTGTCGAATGTGTTACTTCTCTATCAAGCCTGACAGACGGGCTATTCAGTGCCTTTTCTACATACTGGTACGGAGTACTAGGCCCGCAACCCACACTTGACCGAACTACAATATAATTGCTTATTATACCCACGGTTGGCCGATCCAATATTCCGCACTATTCCGAAGTTTGAATGATAAGTTTGTAATATCCTATACGTCAAGTACCACGACCAAAATTTTTTATAAACATAAATTTTCTGTCCGTCAACCGAAGGTGCCGCTTGTCTAAGAGCGGATGGTGCTCGCAACGATAATCAGTTTGGTTGTTGTGAAGGGCTGCCAAATATGTCTTGACATTAAACAATCTCCGACAAAGATGTACTAGACGAGTCGCCAGTTAAGGAGTGGAAGTTACAGTGGTATTTAATTCCAATGCCTTGGATAAGTGACTTTTATATTATTTGTCGTGAGAGAGTGATTAAAGAATCTGACCGTATCGCAAGATTACTACATCATAATGTTCAATCACTGCGTACAATTATTTTGTTTACGATTTTAAGAGACGCTGTATTATTACTATTACTATATATATATATTTTTTAAGCTATCAACATATCATGAAGAGTCGCCAAGTTTGATATCGTTACTGATGAATAATGAACTAACTATTCCAATTACTCTGAGAATAAGCTTTAATAATACAGATCACGTTCAAGCCAAGAAGGCAACCAAACTATGGCAGTAACTCCGGAAAGGTACCATGCCGTGTACACATAGTTTTTAAGGCTGCTGTGATTTTTTTTTTTTTAATTTTCTTTTTTTAAATCATATCTTCGGACTTAATCTAGCAGTATCCGGAGTTTGTCTTCATTGTCTCTTGCATTAAATACGCGAGACTCCTAATTCAGCTAGCGTTCCGCCGTTTGTGGATATTGTTAGTTTGGAAATCCCCACAAGTCTTTGGTTCACAGAATATCTGGTATTACCAGCTTCGGATGGTCGACATATTTGGAGCTGATTAAACAGCAACGCTCTTCACATTTCGCTTAAATTTGCCACTGACTTCTTTTTATATGCACCTACTCCGAAGTAGTGACACCAGGGTAGAGTTTTGACCATGCCCCTCTAAGCAAGTGCAATTTCTAGCTGTACAGACACCCTTGCCAAGGCTTGATATAGCGTACCTATGGTCCATAGCTGGAAATCTTGAATAACAGAATTATAAATCATTGTAAATGTCTCTTACATGTTCCAACTGCTAGCTATCAGTTTTACAGATATATAAACCTGGAAGCCGTTTAGCAGCTAGGTCTACACCGCAGATTCACAGATTCCAGTTCCAAGTGCTCTAACTACGCAACATACTTACAATTTTTTCAATATGTCTCTACCTGCCACCATCAATGCTATTCAGGTCGAATCTCAGGGCAAAGCTGTCATCAAGGAAGTGCCTCTGCCCAAGCTTCGTGAAGACTACTCACTCGTTCGCACTACTGCAGTTGCAGTGAACCCGATAGACTGGAAACTCATAGATTTCGATCAAGGGCTCGCTGGTACAACTGTTGGTTGTGACTATGCTGGTGTTGTGGAGGCAGTTGGACCTAATTTAACCAAGCCATTCAAAAAGGGCGATCGAATTGCGGGATTAGCCCATGGTGCGTAAGTAGTTTTCCAACCTGCCACGGCATCGCATTGTAGCTGACATTGTCAAAAGGAATAAGGTTCAGCCTGAAAATGGTACCTTTGGCGAATACATAGTCGTAAAGGCTGGTGTTGCGTTCAAGATTCCGGCTGCCATCAGTGATGAAGAGGCTGCTAGTCTGGGACTGGGTATTGCCACTGTAGTACGTTATTTGTATCCAGCACATTTCTTAATATCGAGAAAACCCTTTGACACACCACTTACCCTTTGTTAACACATCACAGGCCCAAGGTCTTTATCGATCTCTGAAACTACCTTTACCAGCCAAACCGATTAGCGAGTCGGCGACTATATTGATATATGGCGGAGCGACAGCCACGGGCATTCTAGGAATACAATACGCTAAGTTGTCTGGCTTCACCATTGTGACAACCTGCTCCCCCCAAAACTTCGCGTATGTGAATTCTCTTGGTGTCGATGTGGTTTTCGATTACACAGACGCTGAGCGCTGTATCGCCGATATCCGCGAATTTACGCAAGGGCAGTTACGTCTTGCATGGGAGTGTGTTGCTAACCCAGCTACGGCGAGCATTTGTGCACGTGCCTTATCCACCAACGAGAAATCTGATTACAGCTCACTCCTGCCTATAAATCCCAAGGATATCATGGCGATCAATTCCAATATCAATGTCAGGACCTCAGTGGCATGGATGTGCCTAGGTGAGCGCACTGAAGAGTTCGGTGCAGTTTCTGAAGCAAATCACGAAGAATACGAGTTCGGGACAGCTTTCTTCGACTTGAGCAGGGAGCTGTTAGCAGATGGGAAGCTGAAACCTGCGCGGCAGTCAGTTAACGCGACCGGAGGTGGGCTTGCCGGTGCGCTCAAAGGCATCGAGGAATGTAGATATGGAAATGTGAGAGGGGCGAAGCTTGTCTATACCTTGTAACTCTGACAGCTTAGCTTGTTACAATTTCAAAATTGAATGTAATTAGAACTACACAAGTGGTTGAGTCAATCATCGATTGTATCAAAGAGTAAGCTTGATGCTGGATGCCAGCGTACAAGTAAGATATTCCCTGTTGAATCTCATTGCGTTTGGTAACTTTCGGAAAACCAGCGGACTATGAATGGGGTTGCGCTATGATGGCGTGTCTCTGATTGTTAGAAGACAATTGCCGTCTATACAATTAGTCCTTTTTCCTGTTTGACACTGGAGTCCCAGCAGGTGCCGCGGCCCCATCATACCATCATTTCCAACGACGTAAGATTCGTTGAGCATCTGGCACCACATGCAACTCGTAGAGCTGGTGGGGTCAGCCAGAGAAGGGTCTGAAACTGAAGAGATTCTTTTAAGCACACCAGGCTATGCTAGGCTAGTTCCGGAGGCAGCGGCCCAGCGACAAAGGATTGTGGCAATATCAATGCGGATACATGGGCGAGTGACGCTGCCGTTAAATGAACTGGAAAATACATATTGTGGGTTGACATTGAACATTCAAGTTCAAACGGACCAAATTTCCCCATAATTATGGTGCCCGAGTCATAATTTCGTGCACATACAGCTTCGGGGAAACCCTTGGTAGAATCCTGCCTGCTGAATTGGCTTAATCCTCATCGGTAGGAGAACCAGCAACGTGAGCCGTGTTGTACCCGCAGAATACGATGGTTTTTCGTGGTCAACCATCTAGAAGTTGTCTCCCGTGCCGAAAGAGGAAGATCCGCGTATGGCCCCTTTAACCTATCCACTCATTCCTGCATTACTAACTCAGCATACCAGTGTGACCTCCATCCTGAGGCCTGCGGGCAATGTAGGAGAGCCAGATTGCAGTGCCATGGTTACCGCGATCTTCGGGATCTTGCATTTCGAGATGAGACTATTTCCACGGAGCAGAAGGTAGTTGCGCGACGCACTTTGACGCAAGAGCCTTACCCTGCCTCCATGGACCTCGGTTGGAACATCCGTGCTCGATACACTTTCTTTTCTTCATATGTATTCGGCTTCGCGCAAAGCCTGGGTCCCCTGATTCGCTTTAACAGCAACTCTTCTACACATGACTACAGCGTGGAGTGTATTTTCGCGCTACTTAGCAAACAGCGGCAACAGCCCGCGACTAACTAGTATTTATACCTTATGCAATGAAAGTCTACCCATGTATACTTTGTCCATAGTATGTATCTGTTAAATCCACCATTAAGTGCCGGGTTGGAACAATTCAGTATTTCTAGCTGTGAAGCCAGTTTAAATTGTGTTGCCTATTGCTCACCATGCAAACGAAGCGCTAGGCCTATTTAAAGTAAGAAGGTATTCTTGAAAGCTGCGCATAGTTTCCATCAAGAACAATTGCTCAATGTTGTGGGACTCAAGCATTTCTTCTATTCGCTTCGTTTGTGGGTGCTGTCGACCAAGTAGAGAGTAAGCCAGAGAAAGAGCTCGCTCAATCCAAGGGCAGATTCGCTCCCATTCGCATCTTTTCTGGACCTCAAATGTTGTAGAGATGAGAAAGTCAATTAGCATTATACTGTGATGACCCTTTCTCTCGGCGGCGAAGTCTGTGTCGAATACTGTTACCACTCGCTTTATCACCTTATCATACATCTCTGGATCTTTTGCTTTCAGAAATATGACGGCTATGCGTTGAACCAATTTTAGCGTCGAGAATTCCAACAGAGATTTGGAATCCACTTTGTCCTTTAAGGAGCGCCCACTACCTGCCAGTATACTGCAGGCTCTCTCGTATTGCCCACCATCTACCAGAATCTCTGATAAGATGCATCTGGAGTGAATAGCCAGATTGCTATTTGTTTGCTGGAAGCCGTCGCATCTCTCTATTATTTGCGGCATAAGATCTTGGAGAAATTTGTGATTTTGAGAATCTCTGGCAAGATCTTGTAGGACATATAGGAAAAGAGTGAGCCTTTTCTCATCAACCGAAGATAGCAACTCCCCAATCATCTCATCAGAAACAGTCTCAAGTCCGGTAGAGATTAAAGGTATAACGGGATACCTCTCTGAATCTTTTAAGCTCTTCAGTAGACGATAGATTAGCAGCTCGGCTTCCTTATTTCTTAGCCAGCGGCGAAGAAAAGAAATAGTGTGGAACATATGTTCTAAGGCCTTATCGACATTTTCCTCAAGACCTCCAAGGTGCTTATTGGTCATCCAATTGAGAATATCATAGGCACCAACAAAATTTTCCTTGCTGGCATAGAAGTCAGCAAGTATATAGCCGATATTTACCGTGCCCTGATGGGTGGGTGATAGCAGACGGCTAGAGCAGGACAACGCATCCCTAAGTCCCCACTCTGCTTCTTCTTCGTCTCCATCTTTATCAGCTTCCAAAGCCTTTTTTACAAAGGAGGAGAGATCTGCGATAGAGGACTGGTTCAATCTTAGACGGAATGGCCCCTCGTCAATAGGTCCGCCTACACTTCCGGGAGCATGAGTACCAGCTGGTTCATGGTCGCTACCTTTTTCTTGCGCAGTCTCCAAAGCACTCAGGCTTTGGGGGGGCTCAATTTCTCGTGGGGTCTCACAAATCACGCCTTGGGGCGTGGGACAGTCTTGCATGTGCCGTTAATTTGCGTGATTCCTGATTGGATTTTGCAATCTGTGGGAGTACGGGGGACAACTGACCTGCCAAACTATTGGGATCCGGTTGATCGGCCAATTTGCCATGTGTTTTCTTGATCCGGTCGACAGTCCATGTTTGGTTACCCCATTGAAAGATGGATTGTTTGGGCTGCCTCCGTTTAGCCTTGTTGAGCATGCCAAGGGCCATATCCCTTGGCAAGTTCTTAGACCACTTCCACTGCTTAAACATATCTTTATACATTTTCTCTCTAAACGCCTGTTAGATTGATATTTTGTAATTCTTGGCATACCGAAGGTGGTAGCATGGCACTCACGTTGCGTAAAACTGATGCGTTGCCTTCATTTCTTTCATAGTCTCTATGAGAGAAAGATTTTGTTTAATATACAAGTGCTCAATGGTTCTTTTATGACTCTCCCACTCTTCAGAAGCTGGCTTCCTTGCACGAGACCTGCGTTGAGCTAAAGGCATCATGGGGTCATGTAGGGTTGATGGAACACCCAAGGATGTATCGTGGTCTCTCTCTGCGGTTGCGGTAGTGGTCACGGATGATGACCTAGGAGCAATTGAGGGCCCATCTGAACCATGTTGTATATTGGACAAGGCAGGTATTGTGATTTCATTTCGCGAATGAGAGGATTGGAGGGATGAAAGAGCCGCCGTGTCTGTGGTTACATAGTCCGAGCTCAATGAATGAGCTAGGTCTAAGTGCTGGTAACGATTAGTAGTCGACGGGTATTGACGGTGAGCTCCAGATATGGCCGTATTATATCCGCCGAATACTGAATCTGCGAATGTATCTAATCCCAGGCTGGAGAATGTACCAAAAGCATCACCAGGGCTCATCTGCAGTTGGGAGTGTTGTGGCCAAGGGGCACTGAACTCATTCTGCTGACCCTTCTCTGAGCCTTGCGGTGCCATCATGCCACAAATAGCGCCGTAATACTGGTTGATAGGATAGAACTTTCTGATAATGACGTGGTATGAACGCTTCTGGGGGCTGTAATGAATGGTTCTAGATACTACCAACGATATCTTATAGTAAAAGTAATGGAAGGTATAGATATATATATATATATATATATACGCCACCTCGAACAAGGGTGGGCTCTGTTACGAATTGGCCAAGTTGGGTTATTTAGCCCGGCAGAGGACCATAAAAAACCAAAAGGTCTGAAAAGTGCGTAAAAGTTCTCCCCAGTCTTTTGCGTCCAGCCTCACGGGCTACACTTAGCACAAGCATCCTTCCTGCATAGCATGGCTGGACGCCTTGTTTGCGAGTTAATAGGCGTCTGCCACGTACTAGGTCCATGGATGGCGGAGAAGAAAAGTTCTAAAAAGGGCTGGAAAGGCCTTGCTGGGGTGGGTCTAAGCTAGGAGCGTGCCGCAGATTGTTTGTCCTAGAACACGCAATAGTATCTGCGATACCATGCCCAGTACCTAGTACTTTATCCACTCAAAGAAATCGTTGTAGGACTGAAAGTTCCCGCATCAACGACGCGCAAGGTGAAGGTAAAAGCTTGGTCCAAGACGTGCCGGAGGTTCGACAAAAGGAAAAGTGCCAAAATAGTCTAAAAAGTTTCACAGATAGAAGCTGCTTTGGCCCTCATGAACTCAATCAGTATATATTCCACAAAGCGTCCTCAGGACAAGTAATGTAAATGGAGTAGACCTTTACTCTTAAGCGCAAACGAATTGGTGCTTGCTCTGCATCGAAATACACATCTCATTCATCTTGACAGCAATAAATTTCATTATCTACATCACTTAGCAGTATGACCACTCCGGTAAGCAATTCGAGATTAAAAACATGGTACGATGTATATATGTACCTTGTACCGGATACAACCCAGCTGCACATCAATGCATGCATGTAGTCACGGAGAGAGCTCCAGCACACCTGCAAGCTGTAAGCTCACGAGGAATAAAGAAGCTAACCGGTACCACACTGAAGGCTCCCAGCCACCCTGATTTTAAACTCGAGCATAAACACGGATCATGTGTAGAAAGAGATCAATCTGGCAGTATCCAACTTTCTGTTAACACTGGAGCCGACAGGCAGGGCAAGAGAAACACTTTTACTCTCGACAGATGGCTGAACGAGCCAAAAAAGGATGGACCATTCGGCCTTTTGGCTTTAGTCAACGCAGCTCACCTGCACCACGCGAATGGCACGGCTTTGGCTGTGATCCCATGGGACGGTACATCGAGCCTTGGGTATATGCGTGCAGACAATGCAGCCGAGTCAAAGAATGGGGATAAAGCACATGCAGCTTGAGTCACCGCCAGTTGGATTGCAGCCTCGTTTCTCAATATGCAGCCATGTCGCAACGGCGGTGTGCGGGCTTATTATGCAACAATGTATATCCACGAAGAGCATATCACCAATCTACAAACAACTGGGTATTTTGAAGGCGTTTAACTGGTTCGCGACCCCATCGTGCTATGTGGACCGCCTGTACGTTTTTACATCTCGCTCCTATTAGAACATTCGTTATGTTGCACTGCCTTTGTCACTTCTACCTACTGTAGACACCAGAATGCTTCCCTGATCGCGTACTATGAACATGAAAATTGGCAAAGGTTGCACATGAGCCTCAGCCTATACCTCCTGTTCGCCATGGGATAAGTACTTAAACCAGGTCATCTCACCAGTTCCGTCAGCCCCGTTGTTCAGATACCATTCCCCATGTTCTTTATTCATATACGTGGCCAGAAGGTTTACTTTTCAGTGCTATTTTGTCACTGTTGTAACCACGAGCCCAAGAATCAACTCCCCTCAATCTTTGTACCATGGATGACTTTAACTCTTTTCTGGACTCTTCCGGAGATACAAATAATAACCTGGATTCTCTTGACCAGGACTTTTTTGTCGAGAAAGGGGTTTCTCCGGGTACTATTGTGACGGAAGGGTCCGGTATCGACTGTGAGCTCAAGCGATTCAACTCCATCTACAATTCAAAAGGCGATAAAATAGTATTGGAAGCGGAATCTACGAAGAATCTCAAGGTCGAAAAAGAACGCTCGTTCCCCACTGCACTAGTTCTGACCCAATATTTTAATAAAGACCAGTCGCCTGGACGCAAGGAGCTGGTGATCAAGTCGCCATACATGAAGGCCGCGCTCAAGGCCCTCGTGCCGGCCTATAAAAACAGCCAAATACATCTTAAACATTTGCTCATTATAGGGGAGCCTCGATGCCTATTTCACTATCGCGATGAGTTCCGGAAATACTGCGCGAATCTCGAGGACCAAACCGCCGTGAAGCATGTCTTATTTCTCATGAAATACATGTGCTGGGAGCTGGCCGCTCAGATCTCTTTATACCGTGATAATATGATTGTGGATAGGGGCACAGAGTCGTTGGATCACCAATACCTCTGGATGGCCTTTCGACCGGGTGATCTTATCTATGTATCGGCCAAAAGCCACGAAGATGAACGGATCTATCGGCTCATTTCAATGGAATATAAAGGAGGGTTTATCTCTACTTTCGAGCTCATTTGGTCTATCAAAGCGCTTTGTATCGTTTCAGATGGTGACAAGTTCAGAGAGTATGAAGTTGAGTTGACGATCGACCAGTTTAATGGTATCCGCCGGCTTCACACTCTACCAATATTCCCATTGAAATACCATCCGGAAGCAACACGTATCCACGCGCAGCTGCTGGAGCGAGGCAAGAAATTCTGTCGTCTCTACAGCTCGCACTACCGCCAGTACAACGGTATAGCCGAATTGTTAGACGATAACAAAAGCCTCCTCATGAGTGAGGACGAAGACTCTTATTCGGCCAGGTCAACGACGACCAGGTCGACAATGGTACGTACTCCAACGGTTCTATAGGCTCTTGGCCTCTATTTCACGTCTTCTCAGAGAATTATATCTAATTTATGTGCCCACCTAGGTCAACGGCCGCATTATCATTGACCCTAAGGCCTTCTCCCAAGCACGGCCAGCAGAGAAGTTGTACATCCCTGCTCGTAATAAATTCTTCAACCCAGAAAAAGGCGACCATCTGCGCATGAGCGATGATGAATATACGATATGTAACAGTCAGGTTACCGGATACTCACTTGGCAATAAGAAGTGGGGCTATTTCAGAGTCGACCTTATTGATGAGGTTGTATTTAACGAGATGGCTTTCGATTCACTCATCCTAGGTACCCAACTCAAGAAGCAGATCCAATCGCTAGTGCAGATCCACAGCCACGAGGAGCTGAAATTCGACGACGTCATTCGAGGCAAGGGCAAGGGCATTGTTTTTCTCTTGCACGGCGAACCGGGCGTGGGTAAGACACTTACAGCGGAGAGTGTGGCGGATAACACCCGCAGGCCGCTATTACGTCTGGATGCCTCAAGTCTCGGGACGACAGCAGAGTCAGTGGAAAAGGGGCTGATGGCTGCTCTTCGCTTTTCAGAAAAGTGGAAGGCCGTGGCTCTCTTGGATGAGGCTGACGTCTTTCTCACTCAGCGCAAGGCTACAGATCTCGAGCACAATAGTATCGTGTCAGGTTAGCGCAGTCATAATGATCTTGACCATCAACCCCTTGTGGGACTCAAAAAGCAACTAAGCTAACGATATTAACAGTCTTTTTGCGCGTGCTGGAATACTACGAAGGCATTCTATTCCTTACAACCAATCGTGTTAGCCACTTCGACAGCGCCATCAAATCACGCATCCACCTCGCAATTCACTACCCGAAACTATCTCGAACTAGCCGTCAAAGCTTATGGCACCTCTTCCTATCCCGTTCTTCTGCAGAAAGCGTGGATTCTCTAAAGGCCGATGGCACGCTAGATCGGATTGCCGACGAGGAACTGAATGGTCGGCAGATTAAGAACGTAGTGCGACTGGCATACTCGCTAGCATTGAGTGAGAGTTCATTAATCAAAGCTCATCATATTAACATCGCTCTTGAACCGATGAAGAATTTTGAGAAAGACTTTAAAACTGGAACCGGGGATTTTGAGAGGCAGAGAGCTGTCACTGACTCGGACGAAGATCAAGAACGGCCTACTAAACGTCGTCGGCACTAGCATTAGATATAGATACAACTCTCGGCCTATGCGGCCAGTGAACAAGGTCTTTGCAACTGTATCAAAGAGACATGAAGTTTAAATCGTCATACAGAAAGATTTAGGGATATAGGTTGATCGTGTAGTTGCTCACATCACATACGACATATTTAGTAGAAAATCCAGGTCTCGTCAAGCCTTTTCCTCATGTTTAGTATCTCCATTCTATACTTTACAATCCAAGACTCTAGATCTGGATTCCATTATACGATTCCAGTCCATTTTTGGTGGTTAACTAGATAATAACCCGCGCTAAGAGGCCCACTACCGTTTAGCCCTATATCCATAGTATTTAGAAGGAACGGGAGCTAATGCTGCTAACAGACCCAGGCTTTTGGCCACTGGGGGGATCTCCACGATTCGTATTCCACCATATGACCAGGGTCCGTCAGTCTTAGACAAATCGGCTTGTATCCAGATAAAGGGACATTGGTGTAGTAATCGGAGCCTTTGATACCCTGATATCTCCAGCTTTTGTAGAAGTCTTGGATAGCAGCTTACCACTTAGCAGCTCGAATTCTTTACGATAGCTTGCAGACCGGCAGATCGAACTTCTTCGCAACCCAAGGCAGCGGACATTGAAGCCGTTATTCAGAGTCAGTCACAGAACCTTGAGGCTGTACTTGAACGGTGGCTCTACGTCCTTTGCTGAGAGCGGCAGGCTCAACTCAGCAATGTCAAACATCGAGGCATCCTCCGAATGGCCTGCACCAGTTGAAATCATAGAAGAGGAACAGGCTCCAGCTCAACCTGAGCGTCAGGTTTTTCTGAGGGAGAGAACCGTGGCTCTACGCTAGTTATTCGGATACTACGACAAACGAAACTTACCTGGCTGGACGGAACCTCCACGTTGGCCGCATACACTCTCCACCTGGCTACCGCAGACACCAAACACGCGATTTAGAGATGCAACCCTTGTAGGTATAGATATCGATGAGCTTAAGGAACAAGATGGTATGCCGATACAATTCCACATTGGTATCTCAATCCTACACACAAAGCACCTGCATGACCTCTGTCACTCTACTCTGCCATTCGCAGATTCCTAAGCAAACATTATACGACCATGCCATTGGGTTATCCAAGATTCCGAGTATTTTACATACAACGATAATCGCTTTTGTTTCGGTAAACATCGGTGCATTCCGCTTTCCAACCTTGAGGAATGCTTGAAGAAGCTTCTCAGGCCATTCTACCCATTGATCCTTGTCGTCCACGGAATTTCTCGCGAAAGGATTGTTCTCCAAAAACTCAATATTAATATGAATCCAATCTTCGAGATCGACACGACAAAAGCTGCTCGCTATCCACTCCAGGAATTTCACGATTCTACGCTCAAGAAGCTCCTCAAATACTTCGGCATCCCATTCACAGGCGAACTACTCCACTTCGCAGGGAACGACGCGCACTTTGTGCTCAGGGCTCTACTTATGATTGCTGTGCGCGATGCACGGCGAGAGTTGGAGAATATCCCAGCGTGGGTGCCGTTGTTCGAGGCAATTGCGCGGGCGCCGCTACCCCCAATGCCACTGACGCGCGCACGAAAGGCGGCGATTAAAAGGTGGGAAATGAAGAGTCCCGAACAACAGGAGGAAGGAAGAGCTCGATGTCGGGCATGATGGGCGAGGAGCAGGAAAACACCGAGCTGACGGCTGTCATCTACTACCTCACCATACATGTACCTTTCATCCCCAAGCATGCATCGCAATTGTCAGGTCGGTAGAAGGCTATTGGCAAAACGTTGATTGGCCCATGCCCGTCCATAGGGAGCTTTACGCTCATTAATACCAACTACCTACGTAACCAGCATTTGCAATCTATGTGCTTCCTACGAGCGGTTCCGGTTTCTAACCTAGCGCCTTACATCGATGAATTTATGCTGCATAAGAATAAATCACTTCTTTACCGACTTACGTATCCTGGAAGCACGCACAATCACATTTCATTTAGAATATCTAGAATTCCAAATCTCTCAATTTACAACCCGGTCGATCGAATTCCTGCAATGAAATCAATTTACCAATTTTTTTTTTCAAGTTTCTTCATCAATATACATGACTTTAAGAGTATGAGAAAGCAGGGCTTATATGTAACCAAACGAGTTTATAACCCAACGAAATCAATATGCTGAAACAGGTGAGAATCACCGCATGATATCACAGCCAGCGAAGGGCAGATCATAGAGCAAAGCTATAATAAAATACTCGTAGGCTCTACACGATTATATCAAGACTTATCTGACCAGAAGGATGAACGTTATTTGCTCGGATGTCATTCCGCTCCCGAAATTGGTGCCAGTAGTAGAAGCATTCAGCCTAGACCGAAACCCGAAGATAGTACTAAGTATGCGAATCTCATTCATAACACGTATGATGCAGTACAGCAAAATATTCATACACACACAAAGAGTTACAAGTCAACAGCTACCCAATGAGGATTTCTAACACATGCAATTGACCTCTCAGATATCAATGTTTATACCACATGTCGAGCATTGCCTTCGATATAGAAGATGAGAAATTCAACAATGCTGTAACAGCTGGTTCAATAAAGGGCCACTCCCCAGCCTTTGTTGCCTTCGATACATTCGCACTTGGTGGTGCCATCTTAATAATCTGCTTGTGCTATTTTATGCAACTCAAAAATCATCCTTTGTCCTCCAATGACCATTGCAGTTGTGGTCTCCATATATGTGTAGCCGTGCCTAATCATGTGTCCAATTTCAGACATCATCAGGCTACAGAAATTTCTGCCCCCTCTTTACTTACAAAAACAGACATTTTGAACGAGTTCAAGAAAGTTCTCTACATCCAATACGACAAAATGGGTGTGAGAGCGTGGATTAGAAAGCGCTTTCCTTGGCTTTCACGTCTATCATCTCGACCATCCACAAATCAGTCCAATACTGTCTCTCTTGCTGATGCCCAAACAAACCAAATCAATCAAGAGACGCCGAACGCTAATGTGCTGCCTGGTATCAATGACTCCCCGGTCGATCAATTCAAAACGAACGAAGTAATCGAACAATTAGACGCTCAAGTCCAAGCAACATCATCTACATTGGATAATACTCCGATTCGAGAGCTCTGGAATTTGGCATACGATAAATTACGAGAGGAGGACAGTGCGCTAATCGCAGAATATGAGGCAAAGCTACAAGGAAGCGTTGTCGCCGGGTTGGGCGAGACTGTTAAATCGAAATCGAATATAAGAGAGCGAATGTCGGCGATTCTCCAAAGCAAAATGGACGATGTGAACAAAAACACGGCCAAACTCAAGTTAGGCAGCTCCGAAGTCAAAATTAGAGACGCTGCGCAACTTGTCTTAAAAGTTGTGGGCTCTGCCAACAGCTACATCAGCCAGGCTGTGAGTCTTAACCAGTACGCCTCGATAGCTTGGGCTGGTATCAGCTTTCTGCTACCTGTGAGTTAGGCTACCTCACCAATTTTCCATGCACTCGAGTAGGATAGCTTAATATTAACCTGAAAATATCAGTTATTCATGAATATATCAACTCAAAGCGCCTCTCTGGTAAAAGGGTTAGAATACATCTCATCCCTTGTCGCCCAAAGCCAAATAAGAGAAGCGCTCTACATTAAGTGCTACGAGTCGCGGACTGGAGGCTATGAAGAGTTCCAGCAATCGCACCGCGTGTATAAAGCCGCTTTACAGCAACTCTATATGCAAATCTTAAGATTTCAAGCTAAAAGCTGTTGTTACTACTCAAATAATTCAGCCTTTCGCCACGGCCTTGATGCCATTAAGTGGAATGATTGGGACCAACTAGTGAACGACGTTCGCGAACGAGATACAGAATTTACTGCAATCGAGCAGATTTGGCAAAATATGCAACTCGTTGAAGAACGTTTAGCCGCCGAAACTCGGCAACAGAGTGTCATAAACCACTTATCCGCCATTGAAACAGATACAGCCGCGTCGCGCAAGGCGGCTGAGAGTGCAGTGGCTCGAAAGGAACGCGAAGAACTACTAAAGTGGCTGTGCGATATTGATCCTTCGTCAAACTACAACACTGCGCGCGAAATGCATGAAGTTGGCACCAATGAATGGCTAGTAAAAGATAGTGAAGAATTTAAGGCCTGGGAGACAAATGATGGGTCATTATTATGGCTCCATGGAAAAGGTAAGATTGAATCATTTGCTTCCCCAGCGGTGGAAAGCATGTATCCACCGTCACTAACTGTCTATAGCGGGCTCAGGGAAATCAGTCTTAAGCTCCTCAGTTATCAACTACCTCAACGACAAATATAAATCGCAGCCTTCAACCGCTATCGCTTACTACTATTTTAGTTTCAGCGACGCCAAGAAGCAAGAAGTAGGCGGAATGCTTGCTTCGCTTGTTAAACAAATTTGGTCTTGCATGTCTGACGCGCCGCCATTAATTAAACGCTTCAGAGATTATAAAACAAGAGGCGGGCGTCCAGATATCAAAACTCTCGAGGCAGCGCTTATGGCCTCTATTTCAGAGCTCTCTGCTGTATATGTTGTTGTTGACGGTCTGGATGAGTGTCCCATTCTTGGCGGGGAAAGAGAAAGACTTCTGAAAAGTCTACAAAATATCCTCTTAAACGCACCCGAACCTCTCCATGTTTTTTTAACAAGCCGCAAGGAACAAGATATCGATCTTAAGATACGCACTCTTTTATTGGCACCGTCAAGAACTAGTATCGATCTATTAGCCTATCAGATGGTCCTCAACAACGATATCCGTTGTTACATCGACTCGAAACTGGCGAATGATAGTTTCGCGTCTTGGTCTCAGAGCACAAAGGAAAAGGCGAGAAGGTTGCTTGTTGAAAAGGCAGATTGCATGTAAGTTATTAATGAAGTTTAGCATTTTTTTGAAGGGAGGTGTTAACGGCTCATTTAAAGGTTTCAATATGTTTGGTTTCAACTTGAGACACTTAAAATGCTCTCAACTAAACCAGATATCGAGAAGGCTCTCCAAGAACTCCCTACAGGGCTTGATGCAACCTATAATCGAATTCTCGAAAGTATAGATGCCAAGTTTCAGCCCAGGGTTACAAATTCGCTGAAGTGGCTTGCTTTCTCAAAAGGAGTGTTATCTGTTGAACAACTCTCTGAAATATTCATTATTGACCCAGATAACGATATTGCCTTCGATGAGGAGGACCGCCTTTTCTCTCCTACGGATGTACTCAAATATTTCTCTGGTTTAATCATCTCTCAGACGAGCATATTTGGCTCTCGCGTTCGTCTGGTCCATTTTTCTGTCAAGGAATATTTGACTTCTGATAGAATACGAAGACGAAGCACTGCTTCGGCCTTCTCATTTACAGAAGTTAACGCTCATATGCATATTGTGCGTTCTTGCCTCGCCTACCTCACATGTTTAAGCACTGGAGGTGGCCAACACACACATACTTATGATGACATGAGCCACTATATCAAAAATCTTTATCCCTTGGCAAGTTACGCGTCCGCCAACTGGAGACTTCATCTCAAGAAGATTCCACGTGCATCATGGTCGGTCAAAGATGTACAAGACGTGGTACTCGCACTTGCTGCCCGCAGCCAAAGCTTGCTCACTCTGCTCAGTCTAGACGAAAGTCGTGGAAGGTTCCCTAATTACATACCGATTAGACCATATTGTTATACTGCTGAATGCGGCCTCCGTCAATTAACTGAGATGCTGGTCTCTCAAAGGCTTGGAGCAAATAAATATATGACGCAAGAGGATTTGGATTTCGGACTTCAACATGCAGCTTTTGGAGGAGATACAGACCTCGTGTGTTTTTTTCTTGCAAAGGGCGCCAAACTTGATGTGCATTGCAGTAGCTTGAATTCAGCTCTGTGTGCGGCTGTAAAGGGCGGGCGCATCAACATTTTGGAGATCCTTTTGAACCGTGGGGCCAATATTGACTCTCACCCAAGTTTACTTACAAGCGTAAGTCCCTTGGCCCGCTTCCAACACCTTACGAACTTTCTCCTCAACAAAGGCGCAAACATAGATATGCAGGATGAATATCATGGGACAGCGCTTCACAAGGCAATAACGGACAATAATAAAGGCCACTTTGACCTACTGCTAGAGAGAGGTGCTGACGTGAATGCGTTGAATGAGAAGCTCGGCACGCCGCTTCACGCAGCATGTACTCTAATTAGCGGGCACGCAGATCTCAGTCACTACTTCATTAGAACACTATTAGAACGCGGCGCAGACCCCAACATTCGTGGTGGAAGGTATGCCACAGCACTACAGGCTGCGTGCTCGACCGGGCTACGTGATCGAGGGAGAATTGGGCGAGAAATGAAGGTTGTACAACTTCTTATTGAGCATGGCGCCGACGCGAGCATTCCAGGGGGGGAATATGGGACAGCACTTCATGCGGCTGCAGCATCACATTTTCCCGATGAAGCAATTCAAGTGATGAAGCTCCTCCTTGATCACGGCGCCAAAGTCGACCAGCCGGGCGGCGACCGGTGGGGAACAGCGCTACAGGTTGCTTGTCGCGAGGGGACGATTGAGGCAGTACGATTCCTGCTCGACCATGGTGCTGATGTCAACGCCGAAGGTGGTAGTCAATTCAGCACATCATTGCAAGCTGCCGCCGGTCGGACGGGTGTTTGGTATGAACCGGCAAAGCTACAGATAATGGAGATGCTTATAAATAATGGTGCCGAGGTCAACCAGCAAAGTGGAGAGTGCGGAACCGCGCTACAGACTGCTTGCCTTCGTGAAGAAAGTGTGCCAGTCCTCTTGCTCCTCGAAAACGGTGCGGATGTCAATGCGAGAGGCGGCAGGCATGGAACAGCACTCATGGCTGCTTGTACCTGGAGTTACGCAAAGCGGGTGCGGCTGCTGCTAGATCGTGGCGCTGATGTAAATGCACAAACTGAAGAGCATGGAACAGCGCTCATGGTTGCCTGCGAACCCAAATATACTAATCTGCGGAAGGCTAACATGGAAGTGGTGCGATTGCTTCTCGACCGCGGTGCTGATGTAAATGCGCAAGGCGGTAAATATGGGACAGCCCTTTCAGCTGCTTGCAGGGGCGACTCTGAGTTGGCGCAACTGCTGCTCGTACGTGGTGCAGATGTGCATCTCCAAGATTGCGCTGCTTGGCATTCGGCCGCTCTCTGCAAAACTTCGAAGTATTTAAATGACAACGACAATGTGCTTCGGCTTTTGCTTGGCCAGGACGGCATAGATGTCAATCATATGCATGAAGAATATGGCAGTGCCCTACATACTATGATGAGTATTAATCATGATAATGCTCTGGAAGATAAAGTTGCCATGCAAGAATGGCGTAAGGGAGTCGATGTTTTACTTGAGCACAGCATAGATGCTAACGCAATGAACGAGAGGTTGGGCTCTGCGCTTCACGTGGCATGTGCGGCAAAGCACGACGATAGGCATAAGGATATCGAAACGGTGTGCTGGAGCTGTACAGATGCCAATTTCAAATCTAACAAAACAAAGTACCTTCTCGACCAGTGCCCTGATATCAACGTGAATGCGCAAGGCGGTGCCTTTGGCTCAGCTCTCCAGGCTGCTGCGTATTCGGGCCAGACTCTATCAGTAAGATTACTGTTGGATAGAAAAGCCGATGTTAATGCTCGCTCCGGAAAGTACAGAAGTCCATTGAACGGGGCTGTTATCAGCGGTTATTGGGACATTGTCGAGATCCTTCTTGAAGCTGGTGCGACGCCCGACTGTCATTTGCAAGAGCAGCCTGATGAAGAATGGGTCCAGACAGTATTTGAGGAGCACGGCCGAGGGGCTGTTGAGAGATACAGGAAGTTTTGGGAGGTGGAAATGGAGAATAAAGTAGAAGGGATATAGGAGGCTTGAACTTATAACAATGATGTATCTAAGGGTTTTCTTCCCCCAGATTTGATTGGCTCATAATTTGAGGTGAGGGTTGTTTTTCAACGAGAAATGATAAAACTTGACATATAGAATCGACTGACTCTTTTTATATTGATCAATTAAATGCATCGGAGGAGTATGGCGAACAACTCCTTGTGCCCCAGATCTATTCCTACCTAAGCAATGTACCTATGTTGCAGTTTACATCCATGTTAAACCACACTTCGGCGTTGTATACCAGTATACTAGACTAGTATACAGCCGGGCTTATGCCGGCTGAGTCATCTAATCACCCCTAGCAAAATAGCATCTCAATACGAGACACTCATAAACAAAGACTCCGAAATTCGTCTCTATGATGAAACTTCCTAATATATCATCTGCCAGACTGCATGTAAATAAATCATCACAAAGCTGAGGATGTTTGTGACTAGACGTCTCCTGCAGGCCTGCAGGATTACTTTGTTCTCCAGAGATACCTGCGGCCTCTGCACGCAGGCCAAGGGCGTGCTCTCTGATGTCTGGGATAAGCGGCCCTTTCAGTACACAGAGGTAGATTTAGCAAAGCCGGAGTTTAAGCATTGGAAAAATTTATATGACTTCGATATTCCTGTTGTGAGTACCATGCCGTTTAGTTAATGACGCCAAGCAATGGGAGGGGCCTAACGCCCTGTGAACAGATACACATAAGCAAATCAGACACTCCCGAAGAGGACATCAACAAAGTCGGAAAGGCCATCAAGCTGATGCACCGATTCACGACAGAGCAAGTCGAGGCCAAGATGGACCAAGTCGAAGGCGTCTAGATTTATGATTTCTAATCTACCCTTGATTCAACGGAGAAAATATTTGCTTCTGCTTGTCTTATTCTAGCTCCGAGCCTCAGTGAGAGACTGCTTGGCGATGTCCTCGATGCCCATATAGTCCGTGACTACGTGGACCATGTCAAAGCCTTGCTCCTGGCACTTCTTGGCGTGGGCTGGGCTGAGTGTGTAGATGCCGCTCTTCTTGCCGGCCTTTTTGGCGGCGGCCTGGATCTTGACCAGGGCATCATCGAGTTCTTGGGGGATGCCTGCGGGAGTGATGCGGTGGCCGATGTTGTTACCTAGAGGTGTTTGTACATTAACAGCTGAATCATAGTGATGGTTATTAGTAATCCTTGGAGGCTATCTTACCTAGATCAAATGGGCCTACAAACAGCACATCGATTCCCTCAACAGCAGCGATTTCATCTACTGCATCGAGAGCCTCCTTGGTCTCGATTTGGACCATAGTCAAAACAGACTCATTGGCCTGGTTGAGGTAGTCGAGAGAGCTGATGGTGGGCCCGAATTGCTTGGCGGAATAAGGGGATCCAAAGCCTCGCTTTCCCCAAGGAGGGAACTTGGCGGCCTGGACGAGGTCTTCGGCCTCCTTCACGGTACGCAGGAGCGGGACAAGGACCTGTGATTTGTTGTATCAGTATTCAGTCTTGCATCAGCATCCAATCCGGCTGTTCTAAGCTAGGTTTCTTAGCTGTAGGAAAGTAGATGAGACACATACACCATGAGCTCCAGTGTCCAAGGCACCTGAGTGATCGTCAAAGTTAGCGTCACTCTGAGAAAGGAGGTGCAAAACACCTACGCTTCACCATCCAAGGCTCCATGCCCGGGATTCTAACAATAGGGGACACTCCCAGTGCCGCAATGGCGGGAACTGCCTCATGCATGGCGCGATCTGTCAAGCCAGCATCGCTTTGTCAGCTCACTCCATTGACTCATATCAATGCACATGTAACGCACCGTCCATGCCTCCGTGCTCACAATCCACCAGCACCCAATCCACGCCAGATTGCGCCAGAAGCCTCGAGATGGTCGCCCCTGGAAGCATCTGCCAGCCGCCCAGGGCAGGCTTGTTCGCGTCAAACAGCGCCTTGAGCTTGTTGCCCTCGCGCACCGTCGCCTGCGCGCCTCCCGGTGCAACTCCCGCTCCGATGTATGACATTCTGGGTATTTTAGATTGAAAAGCTGATCTGCTCTGGAGTCTTAAGCGGGATGTAGCGGTTCTTAAGAAGAATGAATTCATGCCTGCCGTCGCTCCAGGGGAAGAATTGGGTCAGTGTCAATGAATTGGAGGGGTGCAAAGGGGAATACGCAAGAAGCCGGCGGAGCAGCTCGTTTCTGGCTTGTAGTCGATGATTGGACAAGCACTTAGAGATGGCCCTCTCGTACTGGTAGTGTCATGTTCCGGGAGATTTGGGATGAATTGCACTTACACTATGCGAAGGTCATGGGTCTCTCCTCTGATGGGCCCAGTGTGAGGTCGGGTATCATAGGAAGAGTGCGGGGAGAGTGGCGGAGATGCCAAGATGGCGTGGGGGGAAGCACAAGAAACACGGGAATAGCAAAACCGTCTCGGTCAAATGAAGAAGCGAATCGTGCTACGATTGGGCTAATTGCTGATGGACGGAGCTGCTTATTTGCCTAATCATCATAGTAGTACCATGTACCTGGGAATAGAGCCGTGTCAATGTGGAGATACAGGCAAAAAGCAAGCACAACCCGTGCTGTCCATTGATTTACTAGATTGGGCCAATATTTACATACAAAACGATTCTGATTCCATTTTTTCGTATTTTTACCATTCGCATACTCCAGCGAGAAAAACAAAGAAACATCCGTTGACTATAACTGAGTCCAATCTTGGAATCTAATCTGTGTGGGGGCAAGACTCCCCATCCGTTGTTCTATCGAAAATAAAAAGTATCATCAAGCACGCGTATCTGAATTTCTTTTCGTTTGGTTTTCAGAAAGGGGGTGTCACCCAACTCCTATATCTGAATTCCGGCGAAAAACTCAAGCCCTATTGCCGAGCTGATCATACGACTCCAATGATTTGGCGCTCGTTGTTTAGGCCACATGGGAGCGCAGAGGCGTTCGTTCCTGTGCTCAATCGTGATGGGGCTTGAGGGATGGGTGGATGGATGTTTATAATCCTTTAATCCTGGAGGCATCTGTTACGCAGTGTTAGCAGACAAATATACGCGCGCCTTCCCACAGTCATCCGCCATACCCTAGGTAATCCTCCTTGATGCTTCCAATGGCCCACATCTCGCCGACCTCTGTTCGCGTGCCGATAATCTTGACACGCACATGCGTGCCCGGCTCGATGACGGTATCTTCGTTGTTGGTAAACTGCGGGGGCGTCGCGTTGGGGTCCCATTTGATGTCGCTGGGTATCAGCTGTGGTACTGTGAATCAGCCAATATCCAACATCGAGCCATTCAAAATTTTTGGGTAAGAAGAACGCACATGGGCAGACACAAAGAGTCTGAGTGGGCCAGCCTGGGCGAAGAAACCCTGTGGATTGATGGAGTAGACAACGGCATCAACCTGATCAGGGTCAGACAACTGCTTGCCACAGCGGGCGCAGATTTCGCCTTACCGTCTCTCCTTTGAATGGCCGCCATACGACGGCACGGTATCCAACCGTGAACTCTGCAAGACCATTGCCTGGCAAGATGCGACCCTCGGAGATGTCAAACGTGTCCATGATGGAGATGATGTAGTAGCTGCCGGCGCAGGTGCCCTCGACGTCCTTCAGCAGCTTGCTAGTAACAAGATCGTGCATGTTGCGGCCGAAGTAGGACGGGTGCAAGGTGACCCTGCGCTCCATATTGTAGAGAAAGAACATGGCGGGCGACTGGAGAAGGGCTGCGTGACGGCTATGGATCCAGAAGACGGCGGGATGACGACGATTGAGGGTTGAGCAAAAAGCGATGGGTTAGCCTTCCAGAGAAAACCGTCAATTTCCCATATGAAGTCGTATCCCGTCTCTCGAGGACGCGCGCGCGCTGTACGGATATCTAATGGTCAATCGGGGGGGCAAGGAGTGGCAATCGGGGTCCGTCGAAGAAAGGGAGGAGCAGCGTGGCGATGAGGGGAGGCGAGGAGAGGCGAGGAGAGGCGAGGAGAGGCGAGGAGAAGAGACAAAGCCCTTGAAGCAGACGCAACACGCACAGCTGGATCTCTGCGCTTTCAAGTGTGCGTTGCTGCTCCTCGGTTGAATTGATGGAGCTGGCGCTGGATTGGAAGAGGATGAAGACGAAGCGCGACGAGGCTGCGATGCGATGGTTTGGTTGGGAAATCTTTGGAGCCGGCGCTACCACATGGTCTGTGCGCTATCCCAAGACGGGACTCTGGCTTGAGCTTATTAAGAGTAATTTTGGTGGCAGCTTTGGGACGAGTGGGAAACAGCAGGCTGAGGTCATTTGCGAGATGCGCTGCACTCGGGATTGGGGTAGAGCGCATTTGCCCATTTACTCCGCATAGGGGTCTATCACATGTTTTTTTGACAGCTGGGGGGCTTGCCTATGCCATGAAGTGTCAAGATGAGAAGACGTCGGGGCCATCATATAGGTACCAAACGCTACAGTGATTACCTACGATTACCAGCAGAAATGCATTGTCATCACCAGTCATGCTCAATTACTTAACATAGCAATAGCATCGTACATACATGTAGTTTATCGTGATGCCGCCGCTGCGCAAGAGCTAACAGACAGCATCGAGAACACCAGATGCCAGATGCCAGATGCAATACTGCATGATGCGCCGCGCTGGCCTGATGCTCGTAAGGTACCTCCGCGCGCTAGCAGTCAAGGCGGCAGCGCGGGTACCTGGCTGAAGCTTGTCCGTCAAAGGAGACGGTCCGGAGCGGTTCGTACGAGTCGCCCAACATCCACGGACTTGTTCAAAAAAAAAAAAATGAGAAGAAAAAAAAAGCCCCCTGCACATCGTGCCTCGGGATACAAGCATTGTGCAGCATCAATGGCCCAATGCAGACTGGCATAACCAAGCATTCGACTCCCATGCTCGCGGGATGCAATCCATGGATAATAAATCTCACTGCGCTGCTTGCTTACTTCAAGGGGAGAAGAGGCTGAGCTCGCGCTGTGAATTGTCCCGAGGCTCCTAAATCCACAGCGGCTTTCAGTGGACCGCGCGCAGAGCTCTCAGCGCCTCCGGACTGTCTCCTGACTTTGTGCATTGCATCTTCTTCAAACAACCTCATGCCGGACCAATTCCACTCGACTCTGCAACCGCGATAGCACGCTGTCTTGCGCTCTCTCTGTGTTGTTCCTCGCCTCTCGTTGCTGTGGCTCCATCCCGATCCGTCCATTGTGTCCGATTGCATCTTTTCTCACGTGCCGGCCGGTCGCGCCAATTCTTCGGACTGGCGGTCCCAGATCTCGCATTTTGTTGAGCTTCTCTCCTTCTCCCTCTCTCGCTCCTCCAGCCCGCCTCTCAACCCAGACAAAATGTCTCTGGATCTAGAAAAGCACTTGACATTTGTGAGCTCATCTCATCTCTGCTCACACTGCCTTGGTCCTGCCGCTAACGAATGAGTTTTTCTCTCAGTATGGCGCCTATCACCATAACCCCGTCAATGTGGCCATTCACATGATCTGCGTGCCCCTGCTCCTTGTATCAGGATTTACCTTGGTATGTTCAGCTCGCTAATGACTTTCCCCAACTCTTTTTTCTCACCTTCTGCGATAGGCCACGTATACAGGAACACTCATACACACGCCCAGCTGGCTGACCGTCCCGTACTTGGATCTCAATCTGGGCACAATCGCCGCTATTCTTTATGCATCGCTCTATCTGCTATTAGAGCCAGTAGCAGGCTTTGTATTGGCCGCATTCTGTCTTGGCAGCACGGCCTTTGTCAACTCATGGCACCTCCGAGATCCCACCATGACCTTTCAGGTCGCCCTTGGAGTTCATGTTGTCTCCTGGATCGCACAATTCATTGGCCACGGTGCCTTCGAGGGCCGAGCCCCTGCCTTGATGGACAACCTCGTCCAGGCCATCTTCCTGGCCCCCATGTTTGTCTGGCTTGAGATGCTTTTTAAGCTTGGATACCGACGCGAGCTCCAGGCTCGAGTTGAGAAGGCCGTCTTGAAAGAGATTGCCAAGTTCAAATCCGAGTCTAAGAATGGCAAGGCCAGCTAATCCCGATCCTAGCTTACTGATGACGGGCCTTGGCTTTGAACGGCATTTCCTCATTCCTTGACTAATGCTCTCAGGACTTGTAAACTATATGTCTCAACCATCACTATTCAAATCCAGGCGCCCTTTCATTTCGTCATTCAACCAAGCTTCCCACGGGCGCCTCACCGGGGGACTGGATGACATCACCATATGACGAAAGCAAACAACACCTCTTCAACATCTCTTCACAGCGTCCAAACTACAAACCGCCCATCTCATTAGCTTTTCTAAACACACAATCTTAATATTGCAAGCAAGCGCTCTCAGTCATCTACACCCCCAGATGGGCTACCACCACAAAAAGTTTTTCATATCTATAGCGTCTGTATACAGCTATGTTACCTCAAAAATACAAGGGAGAAGTGCACAGTGGACTGCACTTTGATACGAGCAGTGTATCAAAGATGTGGGTGGGCAAAAAAAGTACGGTATGGCATTTGTTTTATTAACCACCTTTTGTACTATTTAACAGCCATACTATGGCAGCTACAACTCAGAAAAAAATCATCAAAACTCTGTTCATATCCTTCACCTCTCTCCACCTCCCTTGCCGATGTACAGACAAATGATTCATCCGAAGACTTTCTTTCGAGACCCTTTTGGATCACCTTCAATACCGACGCTGAACGGCGAAGTCCACTCAGAGAAAGGCTTGATAAGTTGTGTATGCTCTCGGCGTAATCTACTAGGCCTGTAAAGCTTGTGGGGCTTGTTGGTGTTCTTTCAAGGAACGGAACATATGCAGACGCAAACGAGTCTAGTTCGAGGCCTTGCGTGATGATGTTGCTTGGGCGGTGTCTTCGACCGCGGCGGGCCTCAAACCCATCATTCTGGGGCTGTTCCAGACGATGCTCAGGACGCTGCTCGGGACGTTGTTCAAGGCGTGGTTCCGAACGTTTTTCAAGACATGGTTCAAGACGATTGTACTCGTTGCGCAGTGAGCTATTGCCCGCATCTCGGACTCGCCTTAGACGATGGGATGAAGGCCTTTCAGGATTGGAGTTTGATCGGCCTATACGGGCACTCACCTTGGTCACTGTGCCCTTAGCTTTTTCTTGGGGCATCACCAAATCCTTCTTTGTCTCGATCGGAGGGGCGCTTGTTCGTCGAATGCTGTTTTGATATATCTCGTCCTCTTTGCCTTTTTCTTCGCACATTGGACAGAGAGCAGCGCGTCGCTCGAACTTGGCCGTATCATGGTGGTCTTGTTCGTGGGCGTAAGCGAGGCCGGAGAAGCACGTTACCGAGTGGTGATGTTTGGGCTGATGTTCGATGCAGCGAATTGTGCGGCGGCACATGTGCCCACAGTCATACTTGATGATTTGTTCGCACATGCTTTTTGTCGAGGTTTCTGATTTGAGACCATCTGCAAAGGTATGTGTGAAAAAGTGGACGGGGAGGCAAGTTTGGGCGGGCGGCATTCCCATGTGATATATACAGTTGACTTAATGGAAAAGCGAGTCTGTTCAATAGTGAAGAAGTCCTGTGATTCGGTTCCGTGAACGCCATCGCCCTGGGGAAGATGGCCGAAGAACATGCATGTATCGCAAGTTTCTGTGGAAGAACGGCTGTGAGAGGATGTGAGCCTGTTCGTTCATTGTTCGGCGTCGCGAGTTGCTGTGAATGGTATGTGTGGGTTCTTCTAAAGGCGGCTTGGTGAATGCATGCAACGCGTTTGAGGGGATTAAACCCTGCTAGTTGAACCTGCAATGATTCATTCATACTATAACTGTAAGTGATCAGAGACATATTGATTCCAATTGAACCAGGGATGTGTTGCTTTCTGCTACGACAGATATATACCTCTAGTATCTATATATTTCCCTACTATCGATATGTTCCTCTACTCACACTATATTCCTCTGGTAGCGATACATTCCTCTAGTATCTGCTATTACCACTGCCTGTTAAATAGCTTGAATTTGAGATACGGGATGCTAAATAGCCAACTTCGGCTACTGAAATGCCACTCCCTAAGAAATCGTGCTCTCACAAGCATTTATGGCGGGATAGCACGAGGCAAGTCGACAATTCAGAAAGATCAGAGTATTTCGCATTGAGTGAATTCCATATAGCAAAGGGTAACAAAGCCCCAAATAATAATATTACAAAAAATAGCCAGTTCCAAGGTGCTAAGATGAATCCTCATAATTATGTTCCATCTTCTTGGCTAACAAACGACAGAAGTGAAATCCAACATAAGAAAAAAAAAGAACGTCTTAATCTTCCATTCATCATGACTTCTTGCGAAGAACTTGGTGATAACCGTCTAGCCTCTAGACTCTTCATGCCACTGCTGCCACGTCTTTGCGAGCATCTCTACACTGCTCTAGCTTTAGCTTTGCGAAGCTTAGATCTGAATTTTGCCGCATGAGAGCCTCTGACGTTGGACCGCGGGGAATCGTCCTCGTCGGAATCGCTGGGTTCGACAACAAACGCGGTTCTGTTGGATGAACCTGCAGTGCCCGATCCTAAAGCAGATAATCCCAAGCCTAGTCCAGCACTTGATAGGGTACCATTGCCGGAGCTGGGTACAACGACGGAGCCAGAACCGGATCCGACGGATGAGCCCAAGTTGAGGACACCGGAAGTCAGTAAGCCTGAGGAAGTCAGCCCAGAGACGGTCGATCCCACAGTTGATGATAATCCTGAGGCTGCAGATCCCAAACCAAAAGCATTTGATCCCACACCCGAGACGGTTGATCCAAGGCCAGAAGCAACAGATCCCACGGGAAGTCCTGCACCAGAGATTGCCGACCCCAAGCCGGAAAGAGTTGAACCTAAACCAGAGACGGTAGATCCCAGACCGGATCCCACCCCAGAGACTGCTGATCCTAAGCCTGAGATGAGTGTTCCTAAATCTGCAGATCCCAAACCATTGTCTAAGCCGGGTCCCAAGCCACCCGTCAGGCCAGATGTAACAATTCCGAGATTAGATCCCAAGTCAGGAGTACCTGTAGTCGATCCCAAGCCAGTAGCAGCTGATCCTACACCTGCTGCCGCCGACCCCAGCCCAGATGCAATAGATCCTAGACCATTCGCTGCTGATCCCAAATCAGTTGCTGCTGAGCCCAGACCGGAAGCGGCAGATCCCAAGTTAGATCCCACGCCAGATAGAGCTGATCCCAAGTCTGGGAGAGAACCAAGTGCACCAGTTGAGTTGCCATCAAGAGAACCGAGAGTTACTGTTAAGTTGCCAACAAGAGGGCCAACAGCTCCAATAACCGTCGAGTTCGGATTCAGGAGTCCAGATCCCAAACCAGGGAGCCCGCCAGTTAGGTTATTCGTCAAACCAGTCAGGTTCCCAAGGTTTCCGAGACTTCCCGGGTTGCCCAAGTTATCCAAGCTGCTCAAGTTACCCAAGCTGCTCAAGTTACCCAGGTTACCTAGATTGGTCAAGTTACCTAGGTTGCCAAGGTTGGTCAAGTTGCCTAGATTGCCCAAGTTGCCCAAGTTACCCAGATTACCAAGGTTAGTCAAGTTGCCCAAGTCGCCGAGACCAGGCAGGCCAGTCAAGTTGCCCAGGTTGCCCAAGTTGCCGAGACCAGGCAGGTTAGTCAAATTGCCCAGGTTACCAAGATTGCTCAAGTTACCCAGGTTCCCAAGGTTGGTCAAGTTGCCCAAGTTACCCAGGTCGCCGAGGCCAGTCAGGTTAACTGCGCTGGTTCCGTTTCCAAGGCCTTTTCCAAGTCCCGAGAGGGAACCAAGGATGCCTGGCGTACCTAGTCCTCCAAGTCCTCCCAATCCTCCTTGGATACCTCCAAGGCCCAAAAGTTTCAAGAGGTTATTAACGAGACCGGTAAGGCCGCCAACGAGACCACCGGCCAAGCCTCCAAGGCCATTGGCGGAAACGCCGCCCAATCCTCCAAGACTACCAAGACCACCAGGATTGCCAAGGGCCCCGGTGAGAGCGCCGGGCAATCCACCAAGAGTCTTGTTCAATCCACCAAGGTTAGTTAAACTGCCAGGAACGCCACCATTTGGGTTAATTCCACCATTCTTGCCGCCATTAAGACCACTCAGGGTGTTATTCAAGGTACCAAGAGTTCCGTTCAGGACAGGGCCCAAATTGAGTCCACCACTGGGGATTACAATGTTGGTTGCGGGTAAAGTACCATTCGAACCACTCTTATTACCAGATTGGCTCGGAGTGCTACTTCCCTTGTTGCCAGCATTCAAAAGCCGTTGGAGCACACGGGCAAGCTCTACAGGGTCAAGATTGTGTGAAGCTGCAAACTGCTTGACAAAGTTTGTGACAGTGTCTTGGCTAGTGGCATGTCTGACAAAATCAAGCAACTGCTGGAGCTCTGCATTGGTCAGTCTTGAAGCATTCCCAGATACCGGAGTGTTCGCAGATACCGAAGTGGTCCCAGATACCGAAGTGGCCCCAGATGTTGGAATATTGGCAGAGGCTTTGACAAGATCTCCCAAGCTGTCAATGCCTCCATCTAACCCAGGTAGACCGATTCCAGCAAGTCCACCCCTGCCGCTGGTCAAACCATCAAGAGCATCCACAAGGCCGCCAAGAAGACCCCCAGACCCTTCGAGGATATTACCAAGACTGTTGTCTGAGCTGCCAAGAGCCAAAACCTGTTTCACCGCCTGAAAGAGCTTTCCGGGATCAAGGCCGTGTAAAGCAGCATACAGATTAAGATCGTTAGTGGCTTTCTGCGTGTCACCCTTAGAGTTCTTGACAATATCAATCAGATCCTTGATCGTCGCATCGCTCAGTCCTCCAACCACACCCCTGAAAATTCCGTTGGTGATTCCGTTGGCGAGTCCCTGCAAAGCTGAAGTCAGAGAGCCGGTGGTCGAGCCAGAGCCTACTGCAGGAAGGGAGATTTTTCCTGCCGGGACGCTGGACGCAGCACCGGCAAGACCGTTGAGAACGCTAATGATACCATTTAAAGGGCCACTTAAGTCGATTCCTGCATTCCCAGCAGCTCCATTCAATCCCTGAAGCAGCGAGCCGAGATTAATGCTGCTCTGGCCATTGAGGCCAAGGCCTTTAAGGAGATCCGCTGGCGCGATGTTGCCATTGGAATCAGCACCGAGACTCTTGAGGAGAGTACCAATGGCAGTATTGTTGAGGCCAAGCCCTTTGAGGAGACCACTCAAGTCAAGGCCATTGCCGTTCAGGATGCCGCTTAAATCCAAATTTCCAACGTTGCTTCCGAGGCCCAGCTTACTCAGTAGTGTACTCAATGGCAGAATTCCATTGGAGTCCGCACCAAGCTGCTTGAATATGCTCTGAAGATCAGGGTTGGCAACACCGATATTTTTGATAATGTTGTTCAGATTGATATTGCCTTTGCCGTCGATTCCGAGTCCTTGCAAAAGCTTGCCCAGATCAGGGGTTGCGCCACCGATTGCACCACCTGCATTTCCGAGAGCACCACTCAATCCACCGTCCACGAGACTAACAACTGTATCGACAAGGCTGCCAACACCTGTACCCAAAGCGCTGCCGATGGAGCCTCCGATATCACTAAACGTGCCAGCTTCCTCTCGTTTCCTTAAGGAAGCTGTTATCAAAAGGTTGCTCAGAAGTTCACGGTCCGATTGAGTAAGTTTGCCCGTCGATAGATGAGACTCTAATAATCTCAACGCCTCTGAGTCCGGCTGCCGAGCTTGTAATGGGGCCCCAGTAGGCGCTGCCACTGAGCTTCCTGCAAGAGCAGTTAGAAGAACAAGGGATGTTTTCAATTTCATCCTGAACTTATGATAACGAAAGGCTGACAGCACCAGACGATCAACGAGCGACAGGAAAGAGAATGGATGCCTTCCAAAATGGGGGCAAATAGGGTCGATTCCGTCGCTTTTCTACCACAGACTAAGGGCAGAGTTCTTATATTCAGCAATTCCCACGGCATAATAACTGTATTTGCTCTGTCTCGGGCATTTTGTTCCGCCGATCTGGAGACCCATGCCTGTTAATGCATCCGGCGACGAAAATTGATCTCAGCGATCCCTAAGTGAACCTCCTGATGGAACGTAAACCGGATGAAGATGGGCGACGGACCAATCAGTAGCGACTGAGGATGACTGATAGCCTCGGAAGCCAAGCCCAGGAGCCTGGCGCCGGGAATTTTGAGTGATTCAGACGCGAAAATTGACCTGTCAATAACATTCGTGCAGAGTGAACCAACAACACTACCCTAGGCGGAGGTAGAATGAGCTGCATTCCGTGGATCACAGACTAAGTCGTCTCAAACATGTCCGCTAACTTCCGAAGAAAGGGGTCGAGGAATTACCCGACACAGTGGAAGCCAGAGCACGTTCTCTCCCTTGAGGCCCAATACGGGTAAGAAGACTTCATGATCTATACGCCAAGTTACTGCAAAAAAAGAGCCCCCCTGTAAACTATATTGTTATATCAGTAATGAAAATTTATCCAGAATGAGGAGGATATAATGGCGGAAGTCTAATTATTCATGAAATGTTTAGTACATTACTGCATAGCTGACCTCGTGAACGAATGTGATGGAGAAGCAATAAATGCCTCCAAGTCGCAGCTGCGAGCATGCTTTCTCTCATATTGATCTCCATTAAGTGAACATTGTTGAACAAGAGTTTTGTTTTGCTGTCTGAATGGAGCAGGCTTATTGCATTCTTGGCAAAGCTCGTTGGATCCATACATATACTCTTAGGCTTTGAAGATGAGTCAGTAAAGAGACGGTGAACAGCATTGGAACGAATAGCCGCATTCCTGTTAGAGATCTTAGTCATCACGCAATAATAATGCTATATTTACCATCCATCGGCGTTATCATTCACTTGGAAAAGCGAGTAGGAGTGTTGTACACGTGGCGATATTATTCACTTGGGAAGGAAAGCTTGAGTGCTGTACTCCAGACCCATAGGATTGGGGGCTTATACCAGTATTCAACACACTCACTATTAAGGAAATAGTTGCCTACCTGCTGTATGAATCTTTTTCTCTCAGACAAAATATGCCACCTACCGTAGCCAATAAGTATCTGCTTTGCGGGTTAGTACCACCTACAAGACATTGAGAATAGGTATAGTGTCTTGATCTTAGTACTTGAGGTACATTGGCCACATGTGCTCTGTATTTTGGACCATCACTTGGTGATCATATCTGCATCACAACCAGCGTCGTAGGACAGACACATGTAATGGCAGTAGCCAACCAGTCGACTCACCACCAGCTAGACATTGGCCCATTTTCATCGCCTGCCTATGTACATGTAAATATGTGTTTCCTTCTCTTTCCTCCCCCACCTTCCTTTTCATCACTTCTCACCCTCGCAACCACTGTTCGCCTGCGAGGATATTCGTGTAAGCAACTTCAAGCCTCCCGGCTAGGCAATCACAGAACTCAAGACAGACCCAAATCACTCAGTATCTGCCCCAGCCAAATCCGGTTTTCCATCCCAAAACAAAGTCCGCTCTTCCAATCAAGCCTCAGGGTAAAAGAAACTAACATCTCCCTAGATCTTCGCAGCAACCGCAGCCATGTCGGACTAGCAAGGCGATGTTAATGCGGGAGAGGAATTCCAGCATAAGATTGAAGCTCAAGATCAAGATCGAGGTTGTCAGACTTTTCCATGCGAACATCATGCCCATGAGGAGCAACTTGAAGAAACCTTTTGGGCGCTCGTCAAACGCTTGGAAGAGACGGAAGCGGAGAACCAGCAGCTTCGCCAGAATCTCCAGCTTACACACGAGCTCGTCAAAGAAATCGTCGCATCTCAAGACGGCATCAAGAGGACGCTCGTGAATTACCGGACTTACATACAACAAAGGGAACAATGGGAGAAAGGATACGACAGATGGTGTTGGATCTTGAGATGGACTAGCCTGGTGACATCAGTAATGTCGCTCGTGGTGACAGTGATTTGGCTCGTGTTTATTATATAGCAGCGAGCTCAGGTTATTACAAGGATGGATGGCTTAGCATGTGCCCAGCACCTTCGTTATACCTACTTGTATATTATGCTATGGAGTCTCATAGAGCAGTCACTCACCAGCTAGACTAGAATCACTTTTGAAACTCTCGCTCAAGGCGTAGTAAGGGCATCGACCCTCGTATTCAAATTGAAGTAGTTCCGGTGACTGATTTGCCGAATATTGTCGAACCTATGTCGGGCATCCCTTGTTACCCGCAGCATGTAGGCAAATGCATCTTTAGGTCTCCAATGCATAACAGGCAGCATCCCAGTGACCCTTGTTAGTGTGGCCGCGAGGAAGAGAGGAATGAGGTGTTGGTCAGGGCGTCTCCGTATAGGTTCTATTAGAACATCTACATGTACATTGGAAGTTTACCACAGTCGTGATGTTTCTATGAAATCTGACATCAATATGCATTTGTGAGGTTCTTCTACTAATCTAGACGTCTTCTTCTACTATCGCCTCTCCAATGCCGTTCAGCGTATAAGATTTGCTATCTCAATACCACCTGGGAGGTGCCTACCTAATACCTAGAATGTACAAAATACTAGGCGTGTAAGAGGTCATGCGACCTCACAATGACCTCTTTGTTAATTGACAAGGGACCTTTGAAAGAACCCTTCCAACATGTTTTGAGCAATGAAGGTTCGTAATAGTGATTGCGGAATGAGCCATGTCTGTCTTTTGAACCGTGTATTTCTCGAATACACCGGTTGCTGTTCTCACCTGGCAACGGGAGAGAAGGTGGAGGGAGAAGTCGACCTCTCAGCTGAGTAACTTGAAGAAAACGCTGTCATCAGGGATAAAAAACGCCGCATGATCAAATCAGGCAATCATTACAGGCAAATGAAGCACAATTACGAGGAGTATATTACTACTTTCAGTGAAAGAGTTGCGAAATCAATGGCCAAAAATCCAGGGCGTGACGCAAAGGCTCAAGCAAGGCGTATCGACATTGCGATCGAAAATAAGACTTTTTACTGCGATCGTTCCGACATCGCTGTTTAGGGTGACACATAGAGTAGGGTTCTACGGCCAAGATATACATCGGTTCTGAGGCCCTCGCCGCAGGGTAGTGTGAGAATACGGCGTGATAAATACGATATCAAGCACAAGTCTTACCCTTTCGATACTATATGGCGTATTACAGAAGATCATAGACAGATAGTTAACAGATGTTTAATTATTGGAAAAGGCCTCTGACGACCGCCAGGATTGAGAATTTCTCATGGCCATAAAGATCCTTCCCTCGAGGGAGGACCTTACGATACACTATTGGTCCTCATTCAGTGTCAAGGTTATCCCATCGTCAGAAATCTTCACAAGATCGTCTCCATTCTGGTGACTGTTGATGGTCAAGGGGAGCTCGTTTGGGTTTACTTTTGAAGGCCAAGAGTAGATCTACCTTTATTCACTTGATATATCTCTGTCTGCTAGATCTATCCCTTTCTACTAGATCTATATATGCTTGCCTAGGACTACTAACTAGCATATTTAATAGAAGCATTTCGTTTTGCATATATACACAAACCAAAAATCACGCATAGGGTCTGCCTGAAATAGGTTAACCTGCTGTCGTTTCATTCACATATCCATTTAACATATCATTATACACGTTGCCAAGACTCTTCGCCTATTCCAGTAAGCTAAGTATTCTCTGAATGGTATTTTCTTAAGCTGGTAATGCACTCTCAAGCTAATTACCCACAGCAGGCAGTAATCTGTTTCGCTGTTTCTTCCTTTTTGTCAACTAAAGCTAAGGTCCTCAACCGTTTCGTGAACTATGTGAGAAATGAAAGAAAATAGCGAATTGTAACGCATCAAATTATTGGGAAACCTTAGCCCCTCCGTTTTCTCCCAGCGCAGTCTTTTCAATTGCCATTACCCGTTCACATCACCATGAATTCCCCCCCTCCCTTAATCATGAGCTCGCATAATCTATCCAGTTTCACAAAAGGTCCATATCTGGGGTAAGTCCATGGAAGTGTGGTTCCCTGGATAAACGTAGTCGTCATCGATTGTGTGCGGGCGAGTGGTGGCATGTTCTACCGCTGATGAGAAATTGCAGCGGCTATGGTAAGATAGAGGAGTATGGATATCGCTATCATCAGCATCTTCGTCGGCCATTTTTTCTTTTTGGCATTATTTCGGGCGTTTCTTTGGATGGCCTTCTATAGAACCAATCCGACTCGCCCATATCCATGATGCTGTCTATGTTGGACGGAACGACACCTGTTGCAGCTTGGTCAAGCATCCAGGGATATTGCTCTGCAAGGTCAGGAAACCAGCTTTGCTTCGCACAGGCACACGGGCCAAACATGACGCGTAAAAACCAGAAATCGATCCAAGTGGCGCCGGCCGTAGAAGCTTTCTTGCAGATATCATGATTGGAAATGCTGCTTGTGGTTGGCCGAATCGAGAAGTCCATTTTTGGCGCAACTCGCTTGAAGTCTGTGTGCATTCCGACAGACCAGATGCCCCGTTCCGTTCGGTATCTCTCCATGAGTTTTGTTTGAACCAGCTGGGTTATGATATTCGATGTCTGGTTTACCCATGGGAATAGCTGATCCATAGAAACGTCGGTTTCTATATCGCCACCATGGACACCATTTCCTGGTTGGCGGACTCTGTTTTCATCAACTGCTGCCTGTTTCTTTCTTGTTTCTTCCTCTTTCTCTTGTTCGACTACCATGGCTCGTTTCTTGGCTGGTCTCATGGTAACCATTTCATCCTCCGTTCTTTCATTCATTGAATCATAAGATTCGCTATCCATGTCGCTATACATTTCGTCATTAGTTCCTTAAACGCGTTTCTTGACGAGCGTTGGCTGGTTCTCCAGGCTTCTTGAGGAGATTCTATCACTGCCCGTTTTCTCTGGAAAGCTAGTGGTTCGGGTTTATTACTTTTTGACGATTCGTACTCGAAGCCTCGATTGTTTGCTGTTTTATTCTTTCAAAAGAAGGCTTCCAAGCCTATTTTTCTGCTGAGATACCCCTGTCTTAGCCTTGTCGTTGAAGATAGGAGATCGCAAATCGTGGTCAAGTAAAAGCGGATGGGGAAGCGGAGGTGAGAAGGAGGTGACTGCAGAATATTTTCGTCAGAGTATATAGCTCTTTTAGGCAGCCAGCAGGCAAAGTGGAAGAAGCAAGGTCAATGAAAGAAAAGAGGAGGAGAAGGGGAAGAAGATGCAGAATATCTTCCAGCAGATTATATAGCTTCTGTTGGCAGCTGGCAAGCAAGGCAGCAGCTGACAGCTTGATTGCCCTTCATGCTTGCCAGCAGGCAATAGCAGCATGCTAAGATCTCAAGCAAATTTGTGAGTTGTATACTCTTGAGATGCTATTTAGTCACTGAGTCCCATTTGAATCACATGTTAGCTTCATTTTGTAGGCAAAGATGTAGCACGATAGTATGCAGAAATATTCTCTTAACACAAACAACGCCTAGTCGCCCTTTTCGTCTCTCTTCCCGCTCAATCCATCCATCCATCTATCCTTTTGCAAACCCTCTGTGGTCCTCCCGTCCACCATACCAGTTGATGCTTAGGTAGCATCAAAATTTTAACCTAAAGGGCTTGATGCAGGCCATTATAACAAATAAAAAAAAGGCACACTTGTACACAGGGTATATGGTTTACAGGGGCTTGCCGCCGATGAAGTCAGACCAGGCGCGGACCTCTGAGGGGATGCCCTCGGGGCGAGGGAGCTTCTCGCTCATGCACTGAGCAAAGAGGATAGCGGTCTAGTTGAAAGGTCAGTACGGCTGCTGCTTGAATGGGATATGCAGATGTATTTGAATAAGAACTTACCTGGGGCTCCATGAACAGAGGCACACCAAAGTCGACGGCGTTGCGGCGCATGACATAGTCGACATCGGAAGTGGTCTTGCCACGGGCAAGAGCCAAGTTGAAAACACCGCGGATGTCGTACTTCTTGAAGACCTCACGGAGAGCACGCTTGTCCTCGGTGGGGAACTCAATCACCTCAACCTTGACTTGGTGCTTTGAGCTGGACTCAATGAAGTTCTTGACATCGTTGCTGGCGGCGTACAGAGTGTAGCCAAGAGGGGCGAGGTAGTCGACGACCTGAGTCAACCAGGATTTGTCAAGCTCACCACCAAACAGCAGACCCTCACCAGGCTCAGGCATGCGGAAGTTCATGGTAGACTGGAGAGAAGTCCAGTAGGCCTCAACAAGATTCTTTCCGAAACAAGCCATTTCACCAGTAGAAGCCATCTCGACGCCCAGGAAGGGATCGGCACCAGCGAGACGAGTCCAGGAGAACTGAGGCACCTTGGTGGCAAGGTAATCACGCTTGACGGCCATGAGATCGGTGGGTTCAGGGACGTTCTTGCCAACGAGAGCCTTGGTGGCGACGTCAATGAAGTTGGTTCCGAGGACCTTGCTGACGAATGGGAATGATCGAGAAGCACGGAGGTTGCACTCGATGACCTTGAGAAGAGGCTCACCACCCTCAGGGTTTTCGGCCTTGATGATCTGCATGTTGAAGGGACCGGTAATCTTCCAAGCCTTGGCAACCTTCTGGGCAATCTCCTTGAGACGCTCCATGATGCTAGCATCAAGGTTGACAGGAGGCAGAACCAAGGTAGCGTCACCAGAGTGAACGCCAGCCTGCTCAACGTGCTCACTGACGGCGTGGATAATCAGGTTACCCTCAGAGGCAACACCATCGACATCAATCTCCTGAGCGCCCTCGATGAACTTGGTGATGACAACGGGGTGGTCAGGGGAAACATTGGCAGCAGCCTCGAGCTTCTCCTTGAGGTCCTCCTGGCTGCGGATGACAGTCATAGCAGCTCCAGAGAGAACATAACTGGGACGAACCAGAACAGGGTAGCCCACCTGGTTGGCGAAGTCCTCGGCCTCCTGAACAGATGTAAGCTCCTTCCATGCAGGCTGGTCAACACCGATGCTATCAAGAATCTCAGAGAACTTTTGACGGTCTTCGGCCTTGTCAATGTCCTTAGGATCAGTGCCAAGAACGTTAGCGCCGCCAGTCTCCTGCAGGCGAAGGGCAATATTCTGAGGCAGCTGACCGCCCACAGACACCACAACACCAGAGGCGTTCTCCAACTCATAGATATCCATGACACGCTCATAGCTCAACTCTTCAAAGTAAAGCTTATCGGCCGTGTCGAAATCGGTGCTATAAGTCTCCGGGTTATAGTTGATCATTACAGTCTTCTCACCCATCTCCCGGAGAGCCTGGGTGGCGCCAACAGCGCACCAATCGAACTCAACAGAGCTACCAATACGGTAAACACCGCTGCCAAGGATAACGGTTCCCTTATCCTCAAAGGTAACATCATGGGAAGATCCGTTGTAAGTGGTGTACAGGTAGTTGGTATCGGCAGGGAACTCCGCAGCAAGGGTATCAATCTTCTTGACCCAAGGGCGAATGTTGAAGCTAAGACGACGAGCTCGGACTTCATCTTCAGTGCTGTTGACAGCATTTGCAATCTGGCGATCGGAGAAACCCATCTTCTTTGCCTTCAGGATCTGGTCCTTCTGCAGGGCATCGAGGCTGCCAGCAGCTTGGAGCTCACGAGTGCAGTCAACAATGTTCTGGAGCTTGTACAGGAACCACTTGTCAATCTTGGTCAAGTCGTGAACCTTCTCAACAGAGTAGTTCTCGTGGAGCATGGCCTGTCCAACTGCGAGCCATCGGCGATCGGTGGGGTTTTGAAGCTCAAAGTCGAGGTCCTCAAACTTGTCACCCTGGAAACCGACAAACTTGGGGTCGACTTGGCGGATAGCCTTCTGGAAAGACTCCTCAAAGGTTCGGCCAATAGCCATGACTTCACCAACTGACTTCATGGCACTTCCAATGTCACGCTTCACGTGCTGGAACTTGGAAAGATCCCATCGAGGAATCTTGGTGACGATGTAATCCAGAGAGGGTTCAAAGTTGGCAGTAGTAGTCTTTGTAACAGCGTTGGGGAGCTCAGGAAGGCTGTGTCCCAAGCCGATCTTGGCAGCAGTGTAAGCAAGGGGATATCCGGTAGCCTTGGAAGCAAGAGCAGAAGATCGCGACAGACGGGCGTTGACCTCGATGACACGGTAGTCGAGACCATCGGGCTGCAGAGCATACTGAACGTTACACTCTCCAACGACACCCAGGTGACGGACGATCTTAATGGCAGCGGTACGAAGCATGTGGTACTCCTCATCACTCAGCGTTTGGCTGGGCGCAACGACAATGGAGTCACCGGTGTGGATACCCAGGGGGTCGAAGTTCTCCATGTTGCAAACGGTGATACAGTTGTTGTTGGCGTCTCGGACGACCTCGTACTCAACTTCCTTCCAGCCCTTGAGTGATTTCTCAACCAGAATCTGGGGAGAAAGAGTGAGGGATCGAGCAGCCATATTGCGAAGCTCCTCCTCGTTATTGGCAAAACCGGAACCCAGACCACCAAGAGCATAAGCAGCACGAACGATGATGGGGTATCCAATCTTATCAGCGGCACTGAGAGCCTCGTCCACGGTGCTGACAGCAATTGACTTGGCAATGGGAATGTTGATTTCCTCAAGAGCCTTTGCGAAGAGGTCTCGGTCCTCACTGACCTCTAGGGTCCTGACGCTGGTTCCGAGAACCTTGACGCCGTATTTCTCGAACAGACCCTGTCGTTGCATCTGAACGCCCAAGTTGAGGGCAGTCTGACCACCAAATGACAGGAAAATACCATCGGGCTTCTCCTTCTCGATGACATAGCTGACATATTCCGGGGTAACGGGCAGGTAGTAGACTTCATCGGCAAGGGAGTGGTTGGTTTGAATTGTCGCAATGTTGGGGTTAATGAGGACGGATGCGACACCGGCCTCCTTGAGGGCCTTCAAAGCTTGTGATCCTGTAATGCGTTGTATTAGTAACCATGTGCTTGGTTTCGGTTTCGTGTTCCTGTAACGGCTACTTCCACCACGTAGGCAAAACGCCCCATGTTGCAGCAGTAGCAGAGCACAGGAAACATTAAAAATCAGATAGAAGTGGAAATGAACTAACCAGAGTAGTCGAATTCACCAGCCTGGCCAATGGCAAGACCACCACTGCCAATGACGAGGACTTTCTTGACGTCGACATTAAGCTTGGGCTTGATAACCCCGCTGTCGAGATAGGCCTTGGGATTGGGGGCAGCCTGAACTGAATACGGTCGGAAAACGGAAATTGTGCCCAATCGCTTGTTGGCTTTCGGCGCAACTGAATTCCTGGCCTGGGACTTCAGAGCAGCTGTGGTAAAGAGCCGAGTCGGGAGAGCTCGGGGGAGACGGGCGCTGCTCCGGAGCAAACCCGGGGCCCGGGCGACGGTCAACGCCGAAGAAAACATTGTCGCCGGCATTGTAGCTTGTCGGACCTTTTCCTGTTTCCCAATTGACTATTGAGTCGACTCAAGGGGAAAAGGCTTCGCAAACAAAAGTTGCAGTGCTGTGGTGGGGTTGAAGAAGCTAGATCGGGATAGGAAGTGTTTTAAGCTGACAAAGCCCTCCACAGGTGGTCTATGTAGCGGAAGCTTTTGTTAGTTTGCATTTCAACGCGGCGAGTTGTGGTTACACTAACCAGAGAGATAGTCCTGCAGAAGATAATATTAGCATTTTGAAAGCAATTGATGCAGGGTTTTATGGTTTAAGCAAACGAGGGCTATTCCAAGCTGCCCAATGTGGGGGAAAATAGTCTTGTATGCAGAGGACACGTGGGGAGCCGTGGATGTATGTATGTATGTAATGTATGTAATGTATGTATATCATACCTGAGAAGTAAATTCCGACGGGCGCCCGTTCATAAGGGCGGATTAAGAAACGGTAAGTCGAAGATGTGTAATCGAGGCACAAGGCACTCTGGGTAGTAGATTGGATTTGAGCTGATGCGGGATTTGCACGGGGTGCGATTGGACTGTTGACTCTTCTGACAGATGGTGAAGAAGAAGAGAGAAAAAAGAGAAGAAAAAAACGAAGAAAAGAAAAAAAAAGGGTTGATTGGCCTGTTAGTGCCGCTTTAACAAGCGCGGCTTATCCTGTTTTGACGAGCTCTGGGGCGCCGATATCGTTGTGTCTCGTGTGCCCTATTTGACAATTGAGTCGAGTCACCGATTAGATAAGGATCGGTGAGCCCCCCAGCTTTTTTTCTCTCTCCTCTCTCTTCTTCTCCTGCTTTGAGCCTTTTAGTGAGTGAGAGATTAAACTGAACAAGCGTTGGGTGGAGCCAGATCCAATCCGAGATTCATTTGAGGCGGCACCCGTCAGATTCACCTGAGAAAAATTTCCACGCCAAGGGAAAAACCATGACGTTGTGGGGGGGCTGCACACGACATTTCACAGAGGCGCCAATCAGGGAAGATGCTTCATGACAAGGTATTAACCTAGAACGGACAATATCCCAAGCAGTGTGGAAATGAAGCTCCGTTGTTTTCCATCAAGCCGTGACCCCGTTGAAACTATCTACCTGGATGACAACACGAGATTGTTGTTGCTGTTGTTATTACAGAGTATTGTTTGCTGTGATGTTTTGCGTTGTGTTGTGCGAGTGTCACCACCACTCGGGCTGATCAATTCTAGCCCTAGCATTGGACACAAGCATCCCACTAAACTAGCATTAGATCTACCTGGCATCTTGGGCCAGCCACCAATGAGCCTCGAGATGTCTCAATTACTAGCTTTGAGCCGGCTTACAGTGGTTGAGTGGCATCTGGCTTAAAACCAGAGCTAAACTGGGAGCATCTCGGACTCCGTCAGATGTAACTTGGCTTGAATCGGCGACTGCACGGGCCATCGCCCAAGATCGTTTTTACCGCCGTAGCTGCCGCTCATTTCTTTCAACGTTAGAGCGCTTCCGTCTAGCTCCGGTATCGCAAACTTCTGATGAGTCGCATCTTGGGAAGCTGAACATGACTCTGCTATGGCATCAACCTTGCATGTCGAGTTTCGAGATTTCGACGGAATTATCTTGGAATTTCTCGGCAAGTATACGTGCAGGCATGTATCTTTACATTGCCTCTCTACCTACTTGTATGTAGTACCTACCAAGGTAGAGAGTGACATTGCTGCTAGAGATAGATATGGCTACTAGAGATAGATGTCTCTTCTATGGATAGATACCGATACTAGAGGTGGATATCGATACTACGGGTACCTGGAGATAGATCTCGCTACTACGGATAGGCCTAGTTGCGAATCTTTGAGCCTCTCCATTTTGTGCTGTAATCGACGGGCGTCACAAGTTCCACTGTTCTAGCATATCCTTGACCAGATTGAGGTGACGCCCCAGATTTGCCTCGTCCTCTGCCAAGCCGTCGTCCATTTCGGCTATCAGGTGAAGATATATGTAAGGGGCTCCTATCTTCAAAGTTGACCGCCGTCAGTTTACAGAGTGTGGCTGGTGTCGCCATTAACGGGGACAATATCGCTATCAGAACAGAAAATATCCACGTTTCTACAAGCAATCACAATATACATGCACTCAGGCATTTTTGGGAGTCGGATAACAACAATCTTGCGGTGTTTGCTAGCCACTGAGCTGTAGAAGATGGCAAACCATAGCCATACCACAGAGAGACAACAACCTCCCTCCCCCTTCTTGTTCAGATCTTTGCAACCATCCAGTTCATTCCTCCATGAGCTTATTTATTTCATCCAAAAGCTTGGATGCGCTCTTAGCTTTCGCTGCCAATTCTTCCCATTTCTGCAAGAGACAGCAGCCCCTTGCCATTCGTTCCTCGTGTTGCTGTTGGTGATTGTCATGATCAACATCATTGATCTCCAATTCCAAAGCCTGTCGGACTTCGCTGACGATGAGCTTAACTCTGAAAGCCTCTACAAGATTGGGCATCTCTGTCTCTCGCTCCTCCAGTGCTAGTTCGGCAATGTTGAGCTCTACCTCGTCTTCCTCGAAGGCCTGATTAACTTCGTTGCATCGTTCTTCAAGTGCCTATTGATCATAATTAATCTTTGTCGCCTCTTCACTCAGCTGCTGTCGAAATTTGAGCATCTCGAACCTTTAGTTCCAGGTATTTCTGTCGAATATCGCGGACCAACAATACCAATTCTTCCCATCTCCGCCTCAGTTCCTGGGATTTACTCTCTTGCGTCGTTGTTTTCGTCTCGCGTGAAGCCGCCTCCCTAGCCGGCTTGATGGGACCGTCGACGTTCATTTTTGCTTCCTTAAAGCTCCGTTCTGGCTTTATTCTTAGAAGCTGAGACGAAGCTTCGCTTCAGGTGGAAAGTGAATGAAAAGGAAAGAAGAAGAAAAGGAAGAGAGTGCAGAATAATTTTCGTCGGATTATATAGCTGTTGCTAGCAGTTGGCATCTTGATCGCTTTTCACCTGTAACAGCTGGCAGCTGCTAAATAGACCTCTTGTCAACTAAAGCCAAGATTTTCATCTATTTGGCAAAGTAGGCGAAAATAAATTGCACCGTTTCACTTATAGCTCCTCTGTCCTCCCCTAAATATCCAGGCGGTAATTCGTTCCACCGTTTTATCTACCGTCAACCAAAGTGAAGATTTCCCTCGTTTGATAAAGTGGGTGAAAATGAAATAGAAAATAGCAAATTGTGTCTTTCCTTTAATCCACAAACCCTCTGTCTTCTCCTAGCACATACCATCACCCGATTCACTTCTTCTGAGGTGCATTCTAGCTCTCTTCAATATCTCGTTTCCAAATCTGGCACGCGCATTTTACCTTCAGATCGCTGAACTCAGCTTGCGCACTCTTAAGTGCCCTTGACAAACGATCGATTTCTTCACGGAGAACATGATTATTCGCCTTCTGATTCTTGAGGACAGACTGATGGTTTGCTTCTTGTTCAGTCCAAATGAACTCATGGTTTACCTGCTGTTCGGTACAAACGAAGTCGTGGTCTTTTGCTCGATAGCATTCAATCATGCCCACCTGCTATTCCAACTTTTCGCACTTTTCTTTCAGATACTCGTGGTCCGAACATAACTCAATGCACCTAACTTTCAATTCCCCAATACCCCAACCAATTTTCGTATCAGAGGTTTCTCCAGAGCTTGCTGTAGCACATTCTGGCGGCTGAGATTTAACACCAGACTCTTGGAGGCTTCCCAGACTGGTTCCCGAACTGGTTCCCACTTCCATTGTGTCGGATTGGCCAGGCTCTCGGCGATCTTCAGAGTTAATCCCCATTTGCGTTTTGCTACTATCTGCTACTATCTGCTGGATTTTTCAGGCTGTCGATGCTTGGAACTACTTCCCATTTCTGTTCTACCGGACTTTTCGGGCTCTCGACGATCCTTGGAACTTGTTCCCACCCCTTTCTTGCCAGATCGCTAGGGGTTCCGAGGGCTCAGTGGCCTTCCTCTTAGTTGGTGTTGAGCCATTAATAATAGGCGTTTCCAATTCTCGGGTTTCGGGCTTCTAAATAGCCTCCCCATCAGCAGGAACAGCACCACCATAGGCCGTTTCCAGCACCCAGGGATGGATTTTTGCAAGCCGACTGAACCATGGTTGTCTAAAGCAAGCAACTGGTCCAAACATCACACGAAGGAACCAGAAATGAATCCAATTAGTGCCGTTGCCTCTAGCATCTTTGTTGATGACATGGGCAAAAATCTTGGTCGTTTTCGAGAAAACGGTAAATCTCATAATAGGGGCGTAGTGTCGAAACTCCTTTTGTTTTTGGGTAGATCAAGACCCATGTTCTCTAATGTAGGATACCAAGAGATACCGCTGAACCGTTCGAGTGATAACGTTTGACGTCTCATCTACCCATGGGAATAGGACGTCCATCGGAATAGAGCTATCCACGGCGTACCTCGCAGCTTTTTCTATATTAGACAAACCGTTAGTAATACAATCAATACTGCAGAATATAAGGGATATCTGACTTTGCTTTGCTGCCAATTCCGGTTTCTTATCTAGCGTAAGCGGTAGCTCGTTGCCGCTTCCCTCGTCGGTTTCCTAATTATCTTCTTTGTTTGCCTTTGCTCTTGCACAGTAGCTCATTTTCGGTTTCCTCATTGGAATGCGAAACAGTTCTCTTCTTGCGTGGCAGCTCATGATCCGTGTCTTTGCCAGAATAGGAAACGGCTTCTGTATTTCCGGTAGTAACAGATAATAGCCGTAGTAGCAGATAGTAGCGGCAGTAGTAGATAGTAGCGATAGCAGCAGATACGCCAGGGACCGTGTAATATCTATTTAAGTAACGGTGACAAAAGAGGTGGGCTAGGTGGTGAGTTACCAGCTGCCAGCTGGGTATTTACCTTATCACGAGGTCAGCCGAAAAGGATGAAAGGAAAGAGAAAATGAAAAGGAAAAGATAAAGGAAAAGAGACAACATGTATAGGTGGCTAGGCGGTGTGCTATCGGCAGTGAATTGTTGCCTGCTCTATCGTAGTTACTGCGCACCCCTTTCATCATTCTATATCTTTGCTAAGGTACTTATGGTGATAATGACAAGGAGAAATATACTAAGTGGTATTCTGAGAGATTACTTTAATATGCCATGTGCCTCTCTTACAATCCAATATGGCAAGCAATATAACACGTCCACGTTGTTGAGTAATTCTGCCTCACATACTTGTCATCCGAAATGTGCATTAGCTTTATTTTGTTCCTAGTCTATATCCGCGCTGTGTCCCTAAGCAATAATACCGCCGACCCGATGCCATTAGCGAACCATTCTAGTTCAGTACTCGATAGCTGTGGACTTTGTTCAAAATCCATTCCACCCAAAGATACGATAAAAGTATAAACCCTGTCCCTCAGAACCCCCATAAAAAAAAGCAACAAACGTTGAATATGCTCTTTTCAATCCACAGTGGAAAGTTCAAGACGGCGGCGGTGGTGGTGGCGAAGAATTGCTCGGGGTTGCGGCACGACGTTCGTTCAGCCTGAAGGCAGCAAACCGTTTAGCAAGTGGCTCACCCGGCTCACCAACAACAGATGGGGCCTTTGAATGAAAAGAAGACGACGAAGACAATGAAGGCGACGAGGCCGATGATGGGGTCGTTGGCAAAACTCCATCATACTCTCTTAGACGCTTGGGGATTCGCTCACCAGTCGAGTTCAGGATGACTTGTAGTGTCTGCCAGCCTCCTGTAGAGCGGAGCTGGAACGAGTCGGCGAGGTCATGCTGGGTCGCAACGCGGCAGAGAAGGGCCTCCTCATCCTAGAGCGGAGAAGAGAGTGGGCAGTTAGCCAGTGTCATACTTGCAAAAAGGAATAGGAAGCAAACCTTTGAAAGAACTCCAAGCTGGTGGATGAAGCAAAGAATGTGAAAGTTTGATACTTCTTGGCCGTTGTCACTAGGCTTTTGGCCTTTTCGCAGATTCAAAGCTTTCGCCAGAGCAGAGTGCTCTTGACTCTCGCCAATGTACTCGCGGTTCTCAATGGGAAACCCTGTCTGCGTGAATGTGGGCTTAGGATCGGCAGGAAAGCCGTGTGTTAGAGTCACAAAGAGATATTCGACAGGAAACGCCGGCTTTGCGTTCTCCTGCACCTTGGCTCCGTACTCGTTCACCTTGCGATAGAAGACTTCGGGTATGTACCTCGTCCGACTGACGGAACCATCATCTTCCTCTTCTTCGCGAACGAGCATAGAGTTGGGGTCTGCTGACGGCTCCACAATGTCAGCTCGCACCATCTCGACCGACTCGTTGGACATTTGGTATGCTGAGACGGCAATGTTCCCATCTTCATCGCCTGTGATCACGCATGTAACAAACTTGGAACCGAACTGGCCCGAGTCACTCCATTTTGAAGGGTTAGGGTACTGGGCTTGTAATCTTGACGAAAAGCATATCTCGAGAGACGATAAGTAATACGATTCGAGATGGCGCTTGCAGACGACAGATCCGTCGCCTAACCCTGAGTCGAGTAAGTCTGTCCAGATGACACCTACAGGCTCAAGCCCACAGAGCTTGGCAATATGGTCAATATCCTTTTGGTTTCCCCATGCGTTCATGCTGATGCCGTCAACCTCATCGACTTGTGGTGGCTCATATATGGCCTCCACAACAGCTTTCACTCCCAGTGGGACTTCGGTGTACTCGGTATATCGGCCGTAGAGGTAGCCCAGTCGTTGGGAACCCGTTTTACGCCAAGCGTCAATGAAGCCATCAATAATGGAAGGGCTGGAGAATTCGACGTGGTCCACCATTCGAAAAGTCTGGGGGTTGAGCGTAATCGCGCTCGGCTGGCACTTTGTGCAAATACCTTCTGGCCAGGCCGGATGACCAGATGGACAATCGCGCTTGACTCGGAAATATGGCTCGACAAGGGGCGGAATATAAGACGTTCCGGATTCGGGTTTGTTCGTCGCAGCGTTTATCTTGCGCAGATGGGAGTGGAAAGAAGGGTACTTGATTCCCTTGTCTGCTAGATAGCCCGGGTCGAAGGGGTCCATGGGTTGGCAGTAATCGCACATGCCCTTGGGTCCATGTCGACACATCCGGTCTCGTCCTCGTGGAATCTTGCCATCTAGCTTATCCAGACGGTCATCTACTGCCGACTGCTTCACTGTTTCCCATGGCTTCGAGATTCTCTCGGGTTTGGGGTCGATCGGGAAGTCCTCCGTGGGCAGCACAGGCTTGCCGTTTAGTCTAGCAGAGGTCACAGGCTCGGGAACGTCGCCGTTAGTAGTTCCGCTCGCAGCATCATGTTGGTATGTGAGAAATATTAAATCGCCGTGTCTACACATTAACAAGTCAGCAGTGCTTCCGAGCCCCGCGTCCTGAACGAGGGACGTCATGTTAAGCGGCGTACTTGAGGCCGATCTGCCCGATCTGAAACTGAACAATATCACCTAGTCTCTTCGCATCGCGGGCCGTGGGCGAGTTGGACAAAACGATGGTCTTGGGATCGACAGTCGAAGGTAGGTGAGTAAGTAGCTAAAGCATGCTTCGGTTATAACGTCTTCTTCATCAACCAGGCACCTCAGCGGTTCCCTGTCCAGTACTAACCTGCTGTCCCAGATCGCCAAACGTAGTCGTCGGCTCTACCGTCAGGCGAATCATGCCATCCGGCCCTCGCAGTCTGATCAACATGGCGGGCGAATGGTGACTGCAGCACGAGATACTGGGCGCGATATGCTGGTGGGGGGAAATCCGGGTCTGCGTCAACTGTATGTAGGCGATTTGGCACGAGATTCGATATATCAAGAAGAAGCGGGACACAAGATATAAGCGGGCACGAAAAGAAAGAAAAGGAAGAAGAAGGAAGGAAATTGGAACCGGATGTTATAAATCCGCAAAGTGGCCAGGCTGCAGCATGTCCAGCTTCGCAGCGGCGGGAGGGGAGGAAAAGCGAAACGCAGGCGGTTGAAGCTTATTGAATCATGAGCTCCAGCTCGGGAATAGTACGTCAAAAGCGTCATTCACAGTGTGCCTGAAGCGGGCGCCACACTGCTGAAGTAAGCAGCGGTCGGTGGAAGATCTGTCGGCCCGCCGCCATGACTAAGGCCCTGCACCTGTAGGAAGTGCATGCTCTCAGCTGCTAGAAGCGGCAGTTGGGCGGTACGTACCCCGCGACAAGGCCTTGCTGCCGCCAATCTGGCCAGAAGGGTGGCATGTGTGCGACGTGTCGATAAGCAGCAACTGCACTGCACTCTGTCTTTATAATCCAGGGAAATCCAACCCTCGACAGAGCAGAAAACAACCCAGCGTTGCGCCGTTCCACGCTTCTTCGTCCACTCATTTGCGCTCTTGTCTGGATTTTCATTTTCAGCACGGTTCTTTATTGAGAGAAGGACTACGGCTATTCTGATTTCAAACGCTTCCGAGCCTCCATAGACGATCGTCACTCGCTCAACGAAAAAAAAAGAAGAAACACCAAAAACCAGCAAAATGTTCGACATTGACTGGAAGGGCCTTGCCCTTCCATTCGCCTACCTCATTGTTCTCGGCGGCGCCCTCATGACGTTTTCCACAATCTATCGCAGACGGAAGGCTGGTACGAAACCACTCCCCCATGACGTCCTCGCCGCAACCGCTAACGCAGTCATCATTGCAGCTGAAAGCGCAAACCTCGCGCCCTGGTTCGGCCCTCACCTCCAGCGAGACGTTTACCTCTCCCTCTTGCATCTCGATCCCGAAGAGGGCGCCGAGAAGGCTCCCAAGGTCCCCGATGGCGTCCTGCGAGCGGCCCTGCTCCGGCGCGCAGTGGAGGATATCGAGCGCCTAATCCACATCAAGACTGCCAAGCAAGCGTGCGGAGCGCTTCTACAGAGAGGAAGCGTTGGCGATGACCTGTGGCAACGATTCCTGCGCGCAGAGAAGGAAATGGAGGAGGAATTGAGAGATGTCGTCACTGAGGTATGCTCTTTTGTTTGCCATGCCAACCTTCAACTCTCGTTAGAATGATAGCTAACACAAATATTTTAGGCCAACGCTCTGGCTCCTAACTGGGGCTCCATCATCTTCCAGTCTGCGCACGAAATCGCCGCCAACACCAAGCTCCGCCAGCGCCTAGAGGAGATTCAAGCTCAGACCGATGCCGAGAAGGCTTGGTGGGATAAGAAACGAGGACAGATCCGCGCAGACTTCATGAAGGAACTTGAGGAATCCGAAAAGGGCTCAACGAAGGACGGCCACGAAGACGACGCCGTGGTGGTTGATTCCCCCAAGCACTGAGAGGCTAAGGGAGAGAGGGAGAGAGGGAGAGCGTAATCAAGGCGGCTACGGACAGGGAGAGAAGGAGAGGAGAGCATTTACGGCGCAAACATGGCGCCATTGTACATATAGACATTCTATGAGGGGGGAAAGGGCAGGATGATCAATGGGCGCTGTGTGCATCGCAACAGAAGTTGCATGGCACCCACAAGTGCAGCAACCATGGTGGGTAGAAAATTCATGGCGTTTGAATGGGTATCACAGATGAGAGGATGAGGGAGTGATTGGATTTGTAATGTATTTTATTTAGGAAAGTGGCTTTCAAGAACCCAAGTTAGCTATCCAGCATCCAGCGTCCAGCATCACGAATTACATTGTGCACAACGTAGGGTGAGCAGGTGTTGACGACACTTGAAGTAGTGTCGGGTCGCTAAAGTATTTGATAAAACTCTGTATTTGTACTAAGAAACGGTTATATCATGTCAAGTCATTGCTGTAATTCTTCTAACCAGCCCCTCTGTTATAATTCCACCTCTCCCTCCGATGCTCCGTGTATGCTGTTAGTATTGTACCTCCCCAGCCTAACACCAGAGTATATACATGATATGTACGAAAACACCGTATGAAGGTGGCCGGTGACGGTCTCAATTCGCCAATCTAAGATGCAAGTAGCAGCTGCCCCAAGAGAAACACCCAATCCAATGATAAAAGACCAAAAAGCAAAGCAAACGCCACAGAACCTTTCGAAACTCCAGGACCAACGGCCATCTCTCCCCAAAGATGAAGCCGATGCTAGACCGATGACAATGTTGGATATTGATAAAGATGTGTTTTAATCCGACAAAGAGAAGAGAAAAAAAAAGAAACAATCGCCTCCATCATTGCTGAGAAAAGGGATTCATCTTTCGTCTCAAAGCATCCTCATCGGCCGCGTTCCTGCTGGCGTCTCTCGCAATCTGCTCCTCCGACTTGAGGACAATTGTCGGGCTCTCGCAGCCTCTCAGACCGATAAACCGGCCCATCTTGCGGCGCTTCTCTTCGAGCGGTGCCTCGGAACGCCAGTTGACTGGGCAAGGGTACTGCCGAGACCAGGGGGATGGAGTTCGCTGGTGGTAGAACTGGGCGAGGGACTCGAGTTGAGCATCAGTGAGGAGCCAGAACTGCAGCACGGTGCGCGGGAAATGCGGGTGGACGGCACCGGTGGTGAGCTGGACAAGAGGAGACAGGGGCAGGGCCATCTGGTGTAGCTTGTGGGCGAGCTCGGGGTTTTTGGCGAGACGCCGGCGAAGGGAGAGTTGGTGGTTGTGGTGGTGAGAAGGCAGGCGACGGTGATGCATCATGATGGCTGCGGTGAAGATGTCGTGAGATGAATAAAAAGCTTCCAAGTTTCAATTGGAATTTCCTCCTCTTTGTATGTGTCCTTGTTGTTGCCGAAGCCTTGGTATGTGGTAAACGTCGATGGTAGCGGGGTCTGCTGTCCAAGACGCCCGACTCGACGACTCAAGACTCAATAGACGATGGCCAAGATGGTGTACAGCAGGAAAGACGAGCTTTTAAATACAGGCTGAGCCTTTCAGTTCAGCCACTAACTGGATCTCTAATTAAGATCTCTGGGATCGTTTGTCGTTGTGTCTTTGCTTTTTCCCTTACGGCTGACCGTTCTCGGAAGCAAAAGCTTAAAAAGGGTCGGCCAAGTCAAAAGCGTGTGTGAATGCGGAGTGTCCGTCAACGTGCACAAAGTACGAGTCCGTTCAAAGGCTAAAACAAGCTCAAAACCAGGCGAAAAACGAGGCTTGTTCAGCTGGAGTTCACCTTTTCCCCTTTGTATGAAAACGACGCAGGAGGAAGAAAGAAACGAAAGCAAGTCGAGGTTTGGGGCCCCTGGGCTGCTTGTAGATGAAAAAAGGAGCGCCACTTGCAAGTGTTGTTCGTTGGTTCTTTTTCCTTGTTCACTGTGACTATGTCTGTAGCCGCCGCACACCGGATGCGAGACAACAAATCAAATTGGTCAAAATCAATCAATGGCAGTTTGCCGGTCCTAGCTTCTCTTTTGAATGGTTGGCTGGGTGCTTCCGAGCGAGAACGGAGAGTCGAGGCTGCTGAGCTGAGATTGAATCCGTGGTCAGGTGCTTACTCTATGGCTGGCTGCCGTCTCTTGATTTAATGGAAGCTGGAATGTGGAATATCGATAATGATACTTGGAATAGAAATAAGGATATTACTGGGCGGCAAGACGAGGCAAACGCGGCCAGAGGGCTTTTATAATAGATGGGACGGCAAATGGATGCTCACCTCCTCTTATACATCATGCTTCCCCAGGCCCAGGTACATGTAGGCATATGCACGCAATCGAATAGATGCACGCCCTTGTACAGCCTGCCACACAACACCTGGAATCACTCACCCAGCTTGCTTACCATTATGAACACTTTACTGCATCGTCATCATCAAAGCCCAAGCCCAAGCCCAAGCCCAAAACCAAGACCAAAGGGGGGTGCCGGTATTAGCGGCGAGCCAGGAGTCTGGAGCTGGAGCCGGGATCTGGGAGCCCTGCGCTGGCCCTCGTCGCTCAGCCCCCGTCACAGCAGTCGCGTCTCTCGCTGGCTGGCCGCCACGCCATGCCATTGGAAACGCCTCGTCGCTGCTATTGACACTAAGCAGCCCACCAACCACGCAGTTGCTACTGCTCTGGGCAAGGCGCCGCCGCTGGTGTCGTCGCTATTGGTACCGGTACCTGGGCCTGTACCTGTAGGCTGTAGCTGTAGGCGACGGAGCCGCCGCTCGCGTGCGCTGCATCTCTGGGGCCCCGCCCGCTGCTCTGGGACGGTGGCCACTGAGTTACAGGTCAGGACGGCACTGGCAACCGCTAGAGCAGCGCCTGTAGCACTCTACCTGCAAACCGCTAGAGCTCGCTACCTACTAATGTACCTCCACCTAATACTAGGTACCTTCCATACAATATGTATGCAGGGCTTGCCGCTGTCCATGTCCCGCGTCTTCATCCCGCATTCCGCTACATGTCATCTACGAGTACTAATAATCCTTTGGTGCTTATCTTGGATGCCATGCGATTCGGCCTCGACTTGGACTCCGACTGACGAGAGCAAAGGGCGAGGGCGAGCAGAGCTGATCAACAAGCGTCAAGTACTAACCAGCTGCCAGCCATCCAGCCTTTACCACAATGACGGTCGGACGCTACCTTACCTGGGGGGGGGGCAATCTCCATGGGGGGATGAGCTTTGCGACGGACGCAGCCATAACGCCTAGAGTGAGACATTGCTAGCCAGAGCTGACCCTCCCAGAGAGGAACCCTGGACAAACAAGCAGAGCGTGACGATGGATGAATGCTACTGTACTCAGCGATTCGCTGCTCCGTCCGCGGTAGCATTGTGCCAGCGAACGGCCAGCGTCACTTCGGCCAACATCAACACCCAACAGGCGACCGAGACCAGAAATATCTCCGTCGACGTTGGGCCGAGAGGCTTCGGTTCCCGGATCCGCATGTCCTCGTGGCTCAAGCCTTGGACGCACGACGTGCGTGTGTACGTTTGTACGTTTGTACGTTTGTACTGCAAAGAGGGACTCTGCAGCAGAAGCCGGCGATGCTGGTTCCGGGCAAAGCCTCAACTCAAGCCTTCCAAGACCGGAGCCAACCCCGTCTCGAGCGCTGTGCCGTACGAGTGCACAAAGTACGCCGAAGCAAGCAAAAAAGGAAGAGACCCGGGCTGGGTCCGGCCAGCAAAGTGCATCAAAAGCGAGACAGCGCCAGCGCTTTGGTTTGGAATGCTCTGCGGGACCGGTATACTCGAGTCCCATCAGCGTGCTATTTTCGGCACTCTGCTCGCCCTTGAATCCCCTTTTTTTTTCTTTTTCTTTTTTTTTCTTCCTTTCCGGCAAATTGGCTTCATTCGTGGAATAACCCACGATGCCTGAATAGCAGCCTGTTTGCATGCAGTTGGTGCCCTGCGCACGCGCGATCTGCGCATTGCCCTTGCTATCATTGATCAAAGCAAAGGATCGGGTGGCACATGGGCGTCTAGGCCGCCCAGCCATGTGGCCGCCAGACACAAGAGCTTCTCGCCACTCATGACCCGAATACTTGCATATAAGTCGGCCTGCATACGACTATTGCACTCTCCCTGCGGATTGTGTGAACGGCATCCAATCCGTTATCCATCTGCTCCGTGCTGCCGATTCGGCGAATGTCTATTGGGGCATTCTCTACCCGAGTCAAAGCGAGATTTCGCAAGCCAACAGCAGGACAGGCCGAGTCTTAACGAGAGCCGGTGCGGGCAAGCATGATATGATCGACAGCGCATGTGCTGGCCGGCACACCTTTTTGTCCAACCACAACAGCAATCCCATGGGTTTCCGCCAATCCCATCGCCAGCCTGAAACTGCATGGGTTCGAATTGTCTTTTTTCTTCCAGAAAACGGCGGCCCACCGTAAAAGGTCGGCTACAGTACAAGGGAATACTATACCCTTCGGGTTTCCTGTTCCATGGCATAGGCTCTCTACGGCATAGCCGCTCAGCCGGCTTGCATGCTAAGAGCTGCGTGTGTCACTATTGAGACATGCACTAGCAGATACAATAAATAGATCACGGCCGGGTCTAGCAGCTGCAGGGCAAAGAAAGTTGAGAGTCATTGTGGCACTTACAGTAAGACCTGGCAAGCAACGGATTCAGTTGAGTCAGTTGGGCTCACGACGTCGCCGCACTTGAGGGGGCGTTTGAGGCTCTCTGACCTGCTCACCGTACTCGTCGTTGTGCGAGGTTTCATCTGCAGCCGGAGTTGTCGACCATTTGCAGCACTGCTCTACGCAAAACAACATACGTGGCAGTCATGGTCGCAACAACGCTCTCGAGAACCGGAAAGTCGCATGAGAGGCGTCACCTCGCTCTCGCCTAGACGAATCATGGACCTAGCAATGCACGTACACGTAGGGCACCGCACAGGTGAGATTTCTCCGTAACCAATACGACTGTTACCCATCGCCATCTTTCAATCTTACATGTCTCAAAGGGCCCCCCCAGCCCGGTGGAACCCCAAGCGCATTTCACCTTGCTCATCTCCAATACGACTCTGTACTGTAATAGATGGGGGGAAGCAAACGCCTAACTCGTATGCTGTAACCCAGGCTAAGGAACCAAGAGCAACATGAGGATGCATCGAGCTTGTAATGTGATTCATTCTGGCGCCCCTCTAATTAAAATTGGGATTTGCTGGGCGGCCAGCAACCCGTGTGACAGAATTTACTGCCCAGGACTAACATGAAGTGATGGACAGCAAATCCTAGAGCTCGATACTAGCGATTGTAACAGCTGGAGATATTACCGGGCTGAGAAAGGCATGGACCTCCAGCTATAGCAGCTGGTTAGTGCTTGAAGCTCCAGGCAGCTCATCATGTATCATTAACCACCGGGCCACAAGCCACATCACTCTCCTTCAATTCCGCTTCCTAGCATGTTCAGCTCCGAAAACAGTGTCCCCCCCCCCCAAATCAGAAACATTTTGACACCACTTTGACTAAAAAATCCCATCACTTCCGAGACAATCTTTTGTCATTTCCTTTTTTTCATTTTTTTTTCCAGCACTTGTCTGAATCACACCGTTATTTCCGCCTGGCTCACTCACCGGACCAGGACCCAGACGACGTCAGTCAATGATTCAAGTCAATCTGGCCAGCATCACTAACACGATTCACTTCACTAGCAAAGCGGCACTTGGTCCCGTGTGGCCGGACAGACCGCCCTTACATGCCGTTTGCCTTTCAGCTTTCAGCCTCTTTTGCCCCCCCTCCTGTCAGGTGCAGCCATTTAAAGAAGAGAAGAAGAGAAAAACTGGAACAAGCCATCATACCGGCTCCTTGTCAGTGGACGGCATCCTGTCAGTCATGTATCAGGTTTATCCCGCCTCTCTCTCTTTCTTTTATTTCTCTCCCGTGTGTACATCCTATCCTTACGCGTATAGATGCATGTATCATACCTGACGGACGGCCTATGCAATAAGAGGCGTTTGGGTATCAAGACACGGGCGTAGCTCTGCATGTCCATGACTCTAACACTCATCCCAAGCATAATTACCACTAAAAATAAAAGTCGAGGCCCTGTTTTTGCGTGAAAAAAAAACCACATTCTCATTGTATACATCATCTCGCGCAAGTTGAAACATTCACTCCCACCCCCTCCTCTCCTTTGACGTTGGCTTGTATTCTGGATTTTTTTGTCTTTCCCTTGCTTCCAGCGGCCCATGCCAACTCAAACTTCCCAATGAAACGTCCGATACCCTTGTCTTTCGCTTCCGCGGCTATTAGTCCCTGCCCATCAAATCCTTTGTAGATTTTTGGGACAAGCCAATCTCGGTACTCGTACTAGTCGCATTATACCAGTTCCAGCTTGCGTGCCGCTTCATTATTTTTTTTGGGTTCCATCCGTCGATACTTGGCAAAAAGCCGGGGCCACACAACGAAAGGAACCGGGACAAAGAACTGGGGGAAGCAATATACGTATACTCCGTACTCCGTACGTAAGGTTGCAATTAATTAAAAAAGAGAGAGAATAAGGCGCCGTGCTTGGCAAAAGGACCCTCCTCAGCTGGGGTCACCTGTTCACATTTTCTTCAATCCTTCATCGTTCGTCATCAGCCGCACGTGGCGATGGCGCGGTTCCCTGGCTTTTTGGGGAAGCGCCCGACTGGTCCTTTGTGGTGGGAGGAGGATGAAGTCATACTCAGTCAGGCGTGGGATTGACTTCATGTTCCCTTGTCCCAGATTTGATAATGGCCGTAGCAGATACTCGAGGAATGGAGCGATAGTAGCAGATGTCAGAGTCAATCAAGTAGCGGTAGTAGAAGAAAGCAACGATGGTGGCAGATAGGGACATACCTACTTACACCAAGTAACGCTTCCTCTGCATCGCGTTGCATCACCAAAACCGCACGATGGTACCTCCATTGATTAATGTTGCGTTTTAATCTACGTTAATTTAGCCGCCTTGTTGGAAATGTCATCTGTGCGTCTTGTGTGTCGTATTTTTGATTTAATTGCCTGATTCCTTCGCTTGCCTCTCAAACAGTTTCATGCTCTTGGATTTGCCTGATTCCTTTCTGCTTCCTTCTGACGACAGCGTTTCACTCACCACTCTTCTACTAACCAAACGCCATTCCTCTTCACACTTCTGCAGCTTTAGGGCCGAGGCTTTTCTGCTCCTTCACTTCATAGCCATCTCACCTTGGCAATGTGGTCCGTCTTCTTCTTGCTGCTCTTGACAAAGCCCATGGCCTTCAGCTCCGCCAGGCCTCGATAGAACATGACCAGAGCCTTGCGCTCGTCCTGCTGGCGCTGCTCGTCGTCCTTCTCACCATCGTCGTCGTCCCCCTTCTCCTCGCGCACTAGCGTGTGAAATGCGGACCACAAGTCTGCCACGTTAATCAGGCTGCCCGCCTCGAGATACAGGTGATAGAGGATCGAGGTCGCGGGCAGCGTCGCCTGCACAACACCATCCTCGGCGCCGCTGCTCCTACAACAGCTGCAAGAGAGGTAGTCGTACGGGCGTGCCAAGCTACGCCTGAATGTCACCCGCGGCCGTGGCACCATGACGTCCCGTAGAGGCGATCTGCTATCATACAACCACGTCTCCGAAAATAGCACCTTCTCGGGTCGTCTTGTCCCGAAATGCGCCGTCAGCCGTTCTGACACTGCATCGACAATATCTGTCAATTGCTTGTCTTCGTCGCGGAGGGCTGCCGAGTCACGACTCAGTTGGACTCGCTGGGCAATCACCGTCGTCCGCATCACCTTGCTCTGGCTGCTATATTTGGTGTGCAGTGTCATGCCGGCGCTCTCTGCGTCTGCTTGCAGCTGCTCCAGGCGCCGGAGCGTCTCTTCTAGGAAGTTCAGTAATGCGGCATCTTGTTCCCTTGATGCGGGCTCAAGGTGAAAGCTAGGCTCTCCATCTTTAAATATGGAAATGATCCGACGCAGCATGCTAATGAGTGCGCCTGAGCCCATGCGTCGGATGTGTTCGGTCAAGCTGCCATTTCCAGTATTAGGATAAGCCGTAGACAGAGAATCGACGTACGCCCGCGAGAATGGGGGCTGCACAGCTCCTGCGGCCTCCCTGATAAGCAGTAAGCGTAGGTGACCATCCATCCAGTCTTGTCGACGCTCATTGTTCGCTCGAGCCTGCGCGAGCAAATACTCGTCATCTTCTATAAGCGAGCGCGCATGCTGGAGGCTATCAGCAGTTGCAACCCCAACTGCCGTCTCCACCTCATGTCGGAACGAAGGGAGATGCCGCAGTGCTTCGATGTGTTCAGCTTGGAGGATCCCTTCCCCCTCTCCAGTCTCGGGGGCCAGTAAGACGCTGAGTGCGTTGGCGTAGAAGTGGCACATGTAAATGTACTGGCGGCTGTCAGCTTCAAGGCTAAATTCCAGTCGCCATAATATCTCACCTTCAACGAGCTTATGAATGCCTGGATACCCGCCATCTGATCCCGTTGACGGTCGAGCATTCCCCTGAGGATATGCGGCCCTAGTCTTAGAGGGACATCGCTGGATACTACCGCTCCTTCGAATACTCTTTCTAAGATTGTATCCGTCTGTACACAGTCGAACTGTGCACCATGTATTAGCCTACATGCTGCCTTTAACAGGCGGCTTTCCAGTAAATCAATGGATGTAGCAATTCCAAAAAGCAGAGTAAATGGAATTTGTGGTCGCCATGAACTGTACTAATGTTAACACAAAAGGAACAAAAAAAAATCTCTGATGATGCTTTGAGAAGCATACCTAAGCAGGGTAATGATATCAGACAGCAAGCCGCTGTCAAATGCTTCACTATCCTGGAATGCCACAAAGACATTCTCCTGCGGCTGGTGCTCCAGGAATACATGCAACGCCTCGAGATCATAGGGCAGGTAGCGTCGATTCGAGCCTTGCCCAAGCTGCAAGTCTTCTTCGCCGTCAACTACGAGCGTTTTCGACGTTGCGTCTTGAATAATCTTCTTGAGGGCATTCTTCAGGTTGGTCGCCTCTGAAGACCGGAGCCTGATGAATTTGCTGGGTGATGACCGCTGAAGGGAATCCGACAGCTGTTCGAACAGCAAATCCTGGGAGGCAATGTTGGGTCCAGTGATGATGAAGGCAGACGGTATCTTGTCGCCGCTATAGGGCCATCACATTAGCACCATGCCCTGAGTTTTGTTTTTTCGAGTACAGGCTTCAGTTCTTACCACTCTGATTTTGCCTTGTTAACAAACTGTGACACCTCATCCAGCGTCGCGGAGTTGGAGTCTCTCAAGATATCCTGCCCATCGCATTAGCACGCTCATCCAAGCTCACAGCTGCACCAAAGCATCAAATCACCTGTATGCGAGCATCAATTTTTGCCCAATTCTCCTCAAGAAGCCTCTCTCGCCGCTGCACACAAGCCGCACTCTCAGCGCCATTCAACAGCGGAGCGAACCACGACGCTGAGCTCTCCTCGTCCTCTTCATCCCTTTCATCTACTGCAGCACGCCGGCCAGTTTTTCGCCGTTTTGACGGCCTGTCTCTCTCTCGGCGTGGCGCCTCATTTTCTTCTGGGTCAAAGACGAAGGCCACCTGATGGTTCAAGGCCATTAGCAGCAAGTACAGGCACGGTGAATGGTTCCGTTCTTCACTATACGCACCTGGTGATCTTCTTGGCCAAAAGTGCTCTGCGGCTCTTCATTGGACATTTTGTCCTCTTCTATCTACCGCAATCGCAAAGGCTGCTTCTGCGGCACGAGATTGGTGACAGTCAAAAGTCCATCGCCGTTCATGTCATGGGAACGCGGTTTGGCAGAAACACGGTCCTCTACTAGGGAGGTATACAGTGAATCGATACAGTATATGTACTGTGTGTGTTTTGTTGCCCAAGGCCAGGAAGAAGAGCTTACCTATTGCTTAGGTACCTAGTACTTCATTCATACCCTACAAGTCAGTAGCAGCACAAGTCCCATCACATCATATCACTTAAATCAAGCTGCTTCTCCCACATGTTCGCATTCATTTACAAGTCAGTCATCGTACATCGCTGAATTTCATAAACTAAAATAGAGCCTTGATTCTCGACGCAAAAACATGCCTACCTAGTCCCCCCCAAACCAAAAAGTCCTTTGGCCCTAGCAATAACCGCACTC